TCTAACATTCATCGTTCTAACATGATAAGTATATTAATTGGTTGGTTGAGGTGCAGCTGGGTCCCTCTGAGGCTGGCACCTTGCATGGTTTTTGTGGGGTACACGTGACGTAACTGCTAGGGTCGTAACATAAAGGCTAATTATACCTTAGGGCTTTTTTTAAGTTCTTTAATTTAAATAGCTCTTAATTAATTTAAGCTAAAGATATTATATCTCCTAGGTAATTTAGATTTATATAATTAAAAATAGCTATTTTAATTAGGCTAAATTTCCATTTTAATAAGAAGTTTTTTTTAATAATTATAATTATTATATATAATATATAGTAATTTCTACTAATAGCTTACTTTAAGGCTAATTTAATTATATTAATAAGATTATAATTAGTTATATAATAGCCCTAATTAGGCTATAGGCTATTATAAATAGGCATTATAATAATAATTATAATTAATATTAATAAGTATAACTAATAGAGAAAAAGTTAGGTTAGGTAATATACTTAAGTATAATAAATAAATTAGGCGTGGTATAAGGTTATAGAGGTTAACTAAGGATCCTTTAAGTAGGTTAAAGGAAGAAGGTTAATTTAGCTACTAAGAGACTTATAGCTAGTATTTATATTACTTAGTCAAGGTAGTAATTATATTATTAAGACAGATAAACCTTATTTAATATTAACTTCTATTATAATAGCCTATAATAGAGGTCTTTTTATTTAAGTTATTAATAAAAAAGCTAAAAAGCTAAATAGCCTTTTATAAGGTTAAAAATAAGGGGAAAAAAAAGTACCTTTATATATATAATAATTATAAGTATTAATTAAGTTATTAAAATAAAAAAAAACTAAAGAAATTTCTTAAATAATAATAATATTAAATATAAAGCTTTTAAGATATAGGTTTACCTAGGTTAAATTCCTTAGTATAGAAAAGTCAAACTAGGGCCTAAAATAGGGATTTAGTCCTAGATCTGGTCCCTATAAGGGACCCTAAAAGTGGGCCTGCTTAGACAACTTAGCCCAACCTTAGCCCGCCTCAGCCCGACCTCAGCACGAACTTAGCTTAGAGCGGCAGGAGCTTAGTCCTAGAAACGGAAATGGATTTTAGCATGCTTGAGTTTCGTCTCCGAGTTTGTTGGTTTTGAGAACCCGCTTTTGCGTCTTCATGGGTCTGTCAAGACCAGTATCAAATCAAAGTAGTATGACAAGGATCTTGTATCATTCATTTAATTGCGGGATGTTAATAACGGGAGTTTGACTTTTTATGGCGTTGGGCATTACTCTCTGTTGGTTCTGTTATCATACCGCTCCTTTAGCGATTACTTATAGTTGTAGCAATACCAAGGATCAGTTATTAGCTCTCCAATGTTGAACATCATATCACTACACGCGGCTCTACTCCTTCGGATACTATTCCCAATCCTTCAATAGCTCAGTCTCGGCTATAACTAGCCAATTCTTTTATTCCCGCTGCTTCAATCGGAGCAAAGCCATACGCACAATCCCAACCTCTTCGTAAACACAACCAACAGGCGGTGAAGCTCCTTCGCACCAAGGATATACTGGAGCCCGATCATTGGTGCATCACATCTTATCCGTTTCGACCACACTATACATATTCTGCGGAGTAGTTCTTCATGATTACCCCAGGAATATGGCAGCGATGTCCAGGGGTTAATATCGACATGGGGTTTGTGATAAGAGTTCCATATTCAGGATGGGATCGACATATCAGACGATGAACTTCTCCCGGCTCGGGGTTTATACGTACGCGAAACTCTGAGGGTGTTTGAACTCAGGGAGGATGAATAAGCCTCCCCCGATGAACTTTGTTGATACGACAAGTGATGCGACTGGTTTGTTGGTTCGAACCGAGGACGGAGGTGAAACGGTGAACCCGACGTTGTTTGTTCACGATGTGACGTTGCATGAGTTTATTTCTCGCTCGGGTTGGGCATGAAAGTTACACCGAATCTCGATGGATTCCGACGCCTTTGGAAGACCCGAATGTTTGGAATCATCCATCCTTGACAAAGTGACAGATTGAAGACATTCACACAAGCGAAAATGATTCAAGTATAGGGAAAAAAAGAAATCGTATACGCTGTTATTGAAAGACAATGCAATGCTAGCTATGAAATATCCAGACCATCTCTAAGTCCTACAATCAACAGGGCTCTCAGCATGTCGAGAATATCTGCTCAGAGTAGCATGATGAAACAGATTCCCAGTGAGACAATCAAAAAGCGCAACGACATAAGTGCGCTGCTTATCGTTCAGAGAGGGATCACGCATGAACTTCTCCGACAGGGCGTAGTACTTCTTCTCAACGTCGAAGCTCATCGTGCGGGTGATGGTCTTTGCCAAGTTCGGCGATACAGACATGAGTGTCGCAATGACGTGTACTGCATTAACGACAGAGCCATTAATAGTGCGTGCCTCGTAAATCTCCTTGTCGTATGAGTAGAGATCGTTCATGAGGATGGAGTGTTGCACGTAGAGGTCTTCTAGCTCGTCAAAGGGAGCGATTTCCTCGGGGGTATGGTGAACACCGCATCCGAATCGAATAGCAGCAATCATGAAACTGAGAATTGTTAGTTTATATCGCTAGACTTGGTGAATAAGTGAACTCACGGCTTGGCGATATCGTGACGGCGGTAGTCCAAGTACTCGGCCAACGTTGCATATTTATCTTGCTTGAATGGTGATTTCTTACGGCCTGCATGGACAAATGTGCCGACGGCTTGGAGAAGACCAGGTCCAAGAACAGGATCACATTCTAGAACTTCTGTGAAGAATCGCTTCATATGTTTGTTCTTGGGTTTCATGGTCACGAATTCGTCAACCACTGTCGTTTCCTAGAGGAAGTCAGTTCTGTGAAAGCATCTTGTCTGTTCAACTTACATCTTGTGTTGCACCGCGCTCCATAACATCTAGATATCCATGTCAGCGACATTCACGTCGAGAAAAGATGGAGAAATACCATCATGAAAGAACAGAAGCAAAAGAGCCTGCGTCAGCAATTCTATTCGAGTTGGCGACGATGATGGATAGAGGTAAACGGCGCATGACACAGCATCTTCAACGAGCTCGTCAATTTTCCCCTTTCGACGCTCGTCCGTGAACTCCATAGGTAGAGTTCCCCTCTCAGACGCTTTATCGAGACTGATTCGAGTCACCAAATCCCGTCCGGCTACTTCACCTTGTACCCACCACTTGGACTGTCTCACCCATGGGAGAGAAGTATGCCACGGAACACCCAGCTGCTCAGGATAGAGCGTCAGGGGAGCATCTTCAGGGACATTCTTTTCTCTGAAGAGAGAAGCAAAGTCCAGGTCTGGTGGTCCAAGAGTATCTGGTCCAACGGGGTCAAAAGCACGGACCAGAGGTCTAATGGGCAGGTCTTTGTGAGGCATTGTGTATAGATAGTTTGAATAAGAAAAAAGATGCTCGTATAACGGATCTACCCAAAAGTTTCCGCGAGGAATTGCGCCACCGCAAGATATATATCCTTTTGCGATTGCCGCGGCGGTGAACGGGCCATGAACTGACGGCGGCAGCATCGGTTCGGGACGACTCCATAACGGCTACAACGCGTCAGGGGTCGAAGAAGCGAAGCCAACAAGGATGCGATAAACCACCCAACGGCTCTGCATTCAGGGTGTTTTTGACTGATATCCTGCTTGCTAGCTCAGCACGTGATGCCGCGTTTCCTGGTGTGATTCGACGGAGTGCCGGCATGGGCATGGGTGATGTGATAAGACCCGGCGCTGTTTTTTGTGAAGAGAAATTGCATGGAGTCATGCAGAGTAACATTAACCACGCTTGACTTGCAGTACGACTCAGCAAGCGAGGTTTCTGTAATCATACCATGGCCCATAATCTGCCACGGTCTCTCAAGGTTCAACGACATGACATGTGCTGAGCCCCCTGGACCAACGGCACGGGTCTTATACCCACTTCGGGCGCAGACAACGGTACGAAATACTACTCTGCTCCATCCGAAGGTAACCAAAGGATCCGGCTAAGTGGATGACACAATGCAGATCAGGATCCCCTGAAACACTTGCAGGTAGCATTCCCAGTCAAAACCTTCGACTGATAATAACTCGTTTCCTCTCAGGACAAGCGGAGCAAAAGTTACTGACATGCCTAATTCCCGCAAACTCATGGGTGCCATGCCCGCTAATGCATCTCAATGTCGTAGCATTACAACACTAAAGCACGTTGACGGCTAGAGCCAACAGCTCGGGTTTCCCTGCTTCGTACCTCTACAGCCATGACAGTTCTTTGCCTGCCTAGAACAGACTTTCGACGCCCCCACCTGTTGGTCACTGTAAAATAAAATCCCTGAATCCTTTGACAAGGGGGAAGTGACACGTAATGGGACTAAAGAATTTTAGTTTAAACGGTCGCATCATTTACCCCGGCATTGTTCGACCGTTGGATGCGACGGTTGACGGGGGAAACGGATCATGATAGACGGAGGAAACGACCCATTGTCAAATGTGAATTGTTGGATGTCATCCGAGGTACGTGCGAATTTTATGCAGGAGGTTGCATAAAATGGCAAAGTCTGGCAAAAAATGGGGTTTCTCACAATTGCATGTTGGGGCTTTATGATTTGATACTACTCAATTCATTCTAGACTACCTCTCTGCCAATATCTAGATCTGGCTCACTAATCCCAATGGACACTTATCTCAGGGCAAAACTCCCGACATATACCATATCCCATAGCAGATTCCTCCGTAGTCTATAACAACCTCTCGTACCGGCCGAGAGAACATTGTTGAAGTAGCACCAGCGTGCTACAACTACAAATCCCATAGCAAATCCCTCTATAGCCTGTATCCCCTACTCAACCAGTCTTCTCACCAGGAGAACGTCTTCGAAGGAGCACCATTGCGCTACAACTTCAGATGCAAAACCTTATCAAGATTTGCAAGGCATCTAGTTGTCAGACTTGCCAAAAGGGGACTTTTCGTCAGCATCGCAATTAGCCAGAATCCTTGCCCCAGTTCCCCCAGAAGATAGCCGAGGACAGGTTAGCGTCATCGTGAGCGGTCAAGAAAGTCTCATCATCAAAGATGGGAGCAGTGAACTTTGTGGTCTTGAGAGTCTCGTCCTTGGGAAGTCGATAGAAATTGGCCATTGTACCAGAAGATTCATTGGAGGAAGCAGAGTGAGCATCAGAAGATGAGGAGAACGCAAGCTCAGGCTCAACAGTTCTCTCGAGCCACTTCTCAACAGAGGAGTGAAGAGCTTCCATGGCTCGACGCTGGATTCCCTCCTCAGTGAACCAATCCTCGACGATACCGGCCTGGAGCTCATTGATGAGTTCGTCAGTAGCTTCGACTGTGACCTGAACGTCGGGCTTGCGCCGAGGGGTGAACTTCATGATGCCCTTCTGAGCATCGAGGTCGATCCAGATGTCGTTGTGATCAAGGTGATCAGAGGCACGATCGTCTTCTTTCGCCATGTCTGAGAGGGCCTCAACGAGGTTGGTACGCCCCGGGATGCCGTAATCCTTCAGGGGGATACCGCCGGGACCGAGCTCGCGGTTGCGAGCCACGGCCTTCTTTGAGGTGAAGAAAGAAAGCATGGTGAAGGTTAAGATGTTGAAAGAAGGGGTGGAGTATCGGCTTTGAGTGTTTGATGATGAGAGTCGAAGTGTCATGATGTAAGTTGACGGAAAGTGAGATGATCTATTGCGAAGATATCTCAGTCGAAGAGTGTTGCAGAATGTGTTGAGGGAAGAGTCTGGAAGATCCTGACTTACAGCGAGCGAACTTTCTTATTCAGGAGATTCTGCGGTCTCCTAATCTGGCACTGTAATCGCAAACTGGGCAATGGGCTCAGACCAGGTGAACAATGACTGCCACTGCCAGAGTAGTGGCCATTCCGCCAATATAATCATCGCAGGGCAGGCTCCGATGAAGATGCCTGGAAAAGGGGTTCATTCACTCGAGAGTGTAAGTGCTTCGACCAATCTGAGCTTGAGCCAAGAGCCAAACAGGTCTTGATATAGTGACGGTGCTCCCGTTCATTGGTGGATCTGGATAACATCGCCAAGAACACATGGCAATAGTTGTATGTTTTAGTGTACAGTGGCATGAGCAGAACGAACACCTCTAGGTCACAGAACTGATGCCTCTATTGCCCCAGCATGCTTTGAGTAAGGAACAGTAACGGGAGTGCCTTATCGAGGTTGCTTCATTCCCCAGGACATCAAGCACATGGCAGTTCAAGCGGCTGGATATCAGGGGAGAGTCTGCATATACAGAGAATACAGTTGAGAAGAACATGCACCGATGTCACAGATATTGCAACAATTGTAATCACACAGCAAAATGATATGGCTGCAATATCAGTCGCCATTTCAAATGCATCATAGCGAGTTGTATTGTTTCAATATCCGCCTCCATACCAACTTCACAAGCAAATCCGATAACTCCTTGTACTGCCAATTCCCCCACCCCTCCTTCACAGAACTTTCTTCTGATCCTCCAAGAGGTACTGCTCAATCATTGACTGAGGAACTCTGACCCTTCCCCGTGGCGCAATCTTCATTCCATGCTCATCCCTCATCATCTTCCAAGTAATCCCGCGTCCACCCTCCGCCTGAATCTCATAAACCGCATTAATCCGATACGCAAAATCATAGCCCTCGTAATAAGCGTCCTTGTCATTGTATTCTTTGTTCCCCAGCCCATCTTCAGGCAGCGACTTATTACCGGAGTTTCTCGTCACGGCTTCGTTGACAGGGCAGATGTGAGTTATGGCGGAGTAGGGAGCGGTGCGGTAGAACCAGATGCGCTGAATGCCTGCCATGTTGTACTTTCGAAACTCGTATGTCTTGGTGCCGTCGATGATTTGTTGCATGTAGGGATCGTTCATGGCGAGGATCATGTCGCTGCGCTTGGGGGCTTTGGTGGGAGAAAACATTTTGCGGAGACTTGGTGTTGATGATGCGAGGAAGCGCTGTGCAGGCGATGGTTATTGTTTATAAGGTGAGCCTAAACTTAGAATAGACTTGGTGAATGAGTTGTCTGAGATCAGGTGACAGCGTGTGTTGGCAGTGTGAGGTTTGAGTTGGATGGCAGTGTCAGCAGCTGGCGCAACTCATTGGCATACCAGCGATCAGAGCCGTGATTCACCTCATCTTAAAGAATGGGGATTGCCTTATTGATAAAGCCCATCCCGGAACTCACGTATCTAAGTTTTAAGTGCGAAGTTTATAAACAAAGTATATCTCTCTTTCTGCACATGGCGAAACCTTATATCTTCCTATGTTCTGACGATTAGAATAAGTAAACAGTAGCAGAGTCCAATGTTTAATAAAGCATGTTCTCTGAACAGTGAAAATGACCGTATATAAATCTGATCCTGAACACTAAAATGTGACCGTGTAAATCACCCGCATTTTGACGGACACAATCTAAATGACACTAAACTGGGAGAACTGCAGGAGCAGCACCTTGGCGTCTCGCCTGAACAACAGCCATCATCATCTCCCAAGCAGCATCATCCTTCTCCAACGTCCCCTTCTCTGGCGCAAACCCATCATCATCACGATAATACCGCGAATTCTTCTCCAACCACGCCGACGGCCCAGTGCCACAGTCATACTCAATATACTGCATCCGGCTCGCTCTCTGATTATCTATCCCCGTCCCATGTCTGTGCTTTTCAGACACCCAGCTATTTTCCCTGTCCTTATATCCTTCCTCCGTCGGGGCAGGATAAGCAAAGTTCCGGTGCTGGTTTCGCGAGAGTCGATGATCCATAGTTTGGAAATCGATGCCCTTGTAATCAGGGTCTTGCAAAATTGCCTGTCGAGTATCCTTTGGACAATTCCACCAGCATCCATGACCAACTCGGAGTACTTTCAAGCCCTTCATCGAATCTCTCCACTGGGAGAGAATATGATGCCATCGAATGGGAAAGTCGCGTTTTATAGGATTCCATCCTCGTCCTGTACCACCTTGCGCTGTATGAGCTTCATGATCAGCATACCCGTCATTTCCAATACGAAGCTGACGTGCATGGTACAAAATGGGAGAATCATCAAGATACAACTCTTCAAGTCCTCCACTACCATTCTTCTTGCCGAGCTTGGCAAACCACTCGATCTGCCACTCATGAGTAAAGACATAATTCCCCAGCGCAAGAACCTTTAGTTGAGGAAAAGGCGCATCTTCTCCAATATTTCGAAAGTCCATGATGGGGAACCAGCCCCAGTAGTCTTTGAAGTATAACGACAGTACGCGCAGATGATCCGCGATGTTAGGCGAGAGCCACGTGTTGTGGAGGTTGCCGAAGAAATCGTACTTCTCCACATAGTGAATCGTGCTTTCGGGTGAAGCTTCACACTCTTCTGTCGTGACGAAGACTCGAAAGTCGACAAGACTTGGGAGGGATATGATCGTTTTCCAGGCCTCAGAGAGAGTGATGCTGGGATCATCATAATCCGCTAGGTGAGTAATCGTCAACTCCTTCAGCGGGAAAGGCTTGTCATGAGTGAACTCAAGATCCTGATCGCTATAGTCAAACCACTCATCTGCATCAAGATATATGCACCCTTCCATTTCGTCATCAATCTTGATCTGCTTCTCCAAAGTCCAGAGACCCGCAGCGCAGTGAAGAATGGTATCAAGCACACGATATCGAAACTCAAACGTTTCTTCAATCGTTTGACCATACCGATCATCTTCACCACAGTGCTCTTCAAAGCGAATATGAAGAGCCGTGACATTTGTGAAACAACGTAAATGAGGAAGCGCGTTCATGAAAGCCATAGGGAACTCGTATGACTCGTTACAGAGGTACTCAAAGTCGAACTCAATGCGCGTATCAATTGTGATCTCTCGGACCAAGCTTCTTAATTCGGGGGACTTGGCGATTTGGATAAATCGTTCAACTGATGAAGGGGCGAATGCTTCGAGGCGTAAGCTTCTGTATTTCCATGGGCGTGCGATCTCATTGAGTCTGTGAGACGTGAGACGGAGGTTTGAGAGCGTTGGTGGTGTGAGAAAGGAGCAGATGTTGTCCCATATCTCAGTGACGAGTCTTGAATCGTCGGAAGCCATGATGATTGGGATGAGATGAGATTGGTGAAGTTGAGTTGAAGCATTTTTGAAGTTGTTGGATGAGCGCCTTATAAGCTTCTACCCGCCGCCGGAGCAACCCCTGTAAATGGGGCTGGTGCCTAAATCTGGTAGGCAGTCAGCGCGCTAAACCGGTGGAAGAGGGGCCCAGCAAGAGAACTTCTGACCTTGAGCTAGAGTGCCAAAAAGAACTGATCTAAATGCTAACTAAGTCCATATTAAATTTATCTAAATTTCCGATGAAGTCCTTCTTGCCTCCCCTTGGTCTGAAGCCTGTTGAGTGCATGCATGGTAGTGCTTACAGCGGGGTTCTCAATTAACGGCTCGCCATCATGACCGTGCTCACTCACAGTCTCATTTTGTGAGAAGGCATCTCACCGGCGTGAACGTAAGATCACTCAAAACTCGACTCATACTTCGGAAGTAACGATTCGATCTAAGAGCCGTTTCTGAATGGAGATAATCATATAATACACATTATAAACCCGCTGTATACCAACACCTCGCTCACAGCATTATACCATAAAGGCCCTCACCCTGTATAACCTCACCATTCTCGTACGTGACCCTCTTCCATCCTTCAACATGCGTCTCGTCACGAAGCCACTCGACGGTAGGCCAGTACCGCTCATCTTTCTTGATCGTTACGACGGAGGGAGTTCCGGTGTAACTCATCATTTTGATCTTGAAGTCTATATTCTTATTAGTGTTTTGCAGAACGTAAGGAACCAGGGAGCATGAAAACTTAGGACCTCCGTCCTAAGTGGTGGGCAGATCAGGTAATCTTAGCCAAGACTGAGTAGCCTTTAGATAATTTTTGTCACTTATGATAAAGTGTCCTAAGTTTTGCATCCCTCAGGGGAGAACTCACAGGTCTTGTCGGGAATACTAGCGATGATTTCCACGAGTGATTCTAGATCGGGTGTAGGCTTGTTATCGATGTGTGTGATGAAAGTGGTTGCATAGACGTTGTATAGGTTTGCCGGTGATCCTATGAACCAGCTTGTGATGTACACTTCGCTAGGCAACTTCTTGATGCACTGTCTCACAGTGCGATGGGGTTTTTGCGCCGTTAAGCCGCAGAAATTAACAACGCGCGAAGTTTCGAATTCATCTTCGGAGACAGTTTGTGCTCTGAAGCTGATCTGTTCACCATTTCGTACAGCAACGACGTCGAGGCTTTCTTTCCAGTACATGACATCCACGTCATGTAGCTGCGTGATAAGCTTGCCGTCAAGGGTGAGCAAGACATCACCTTCACCCAGTTGATCAGGGAGTTGTTTTGGTCCGCGTTTCACCATGAATAATCGTCGGTCGGAGGAAGACTTGCTCTGGACTTTCTCTATCCATTCCTCTGCAACGCCCATGACCCGCGCTTCGATCATGGTCACGGCCTCGAGCTCGATGGAAAGACTGCGCAGGGTTGGGACGATGCCTTGGCTTAGCTTTTCAGCGATCGGAGCGATGGCTTGGGAGCTTAAACCGAAGCATGCCTCATCGAGATCTTCCATTTCGTAGACGACCCAAAGTGCCTGTACGACGCCGTCTTCGCGGATGAGAACGCCGCTACCGCAGTGAGTTCCGATTCTGGTCTCAACGTCTATTCGGTCGACGTTGACGGGGCGGCCGCGAGGTGGGTTTGGTGGTTCTCGCTCGAGGGGAATGACTTTCGTGACGGCTGTTGAAGCATAGACCATCTCATCGCAATCATTGTGCCCAACAAAGAAAGTCGAAGCACCTTGTGAGATCCTCTCTGTGCTAAACTTTGCGCTTTTGACGGGTGCGTCGACGAGGCTTGGGTCGTATTGAATGATAGCGTAGTGGTGCGCAGGATGCAGAAAGACGACCTTTCCTGGAACAAGGACCGAATCGGCAAAGGTCAGTTCGATATCACAAAACTTTGTAGGCACTACAGTTCTCGAAACGATGACGTATCCGCGATCAGCGTTGATAACAAGGCCCATGCCGAGTTTAATGCGCGTGGATTGTCCATCAATAAGGACCGGTGACGAGAATCGCACGTGGACGAAGCTCCTCACAATCTCAGCAATTTCTCGTTGGGGAATATGCTCAAGCGCATCGAAAGACGCACTCAGTGGCGGCGGGCGGATAGCAGGTAGTGGCTCTGCGAGGACTTCAACGTCCCAAACACCGGTTGTATCGTTCCTCTTAAACATCTTCATGCGCTGGAACCAATGTCGATCGATAGGTACAACAGCCGTTCGAACGGTATGCGGTTCCCAGACGTACCAAAATTTGATAGCCACGCGTGCTCTGTCGGGGATATCCGTCATGACCTGCACAAACGCATCTAGGTTTGGCGTCTTTTTGTGATTGACGCTATCGACCATGATGTAGTTATCGTGAGTGGGATGGAATGGGCCGGATTTGCTGACGTATACACCGCTGCCGCGGCAGGGGAGGAAATACCGTTGGGCGACTTGGTATGAAAGGTCGTGGAAACAGGCTGCTCCAACAGTGACGAATCGGTCGGGTGTGATTTCGGAAAGGTCTTGGACGAGGATATCCTCTTCGACATCTTGGCCATCTCTTTGAACGAGAATACGGACTGTTTTGCCGATGTTTGAGTCGAAGATCTCGTTCAGACGAAGGAATTGAGTAACGAGATCCCCGTTGATTTTGAGAAGGATATCGCCCTCCTTCAATTTTTCATCCGAAGGTCCCTCGGGCAGTACATCAAGAGCAACGATAACGTTATCCTCCCCTGGAAAAGACTTGCGCAGTATACTTTCCCACTCAGGACTCAGCCCAAGCCGTCGGCACTCGTCAAAAGGCTTCAATTTGAAGACAGTCTGGATCTCACCTCTCCTCACCTTCTCACCCCTCTGAATCTGCTTCAGCGCGCGCAGCGGCCCATCCAGGGGCAAGAAGTAATCCGTTGATCCGTCGGTGCGTCCACCTGCTTGAAGAGCGATACCGTGTCCGTCGACGTTAACAACTGGACTTCCAGAACTTCCTCCGGATGCTGAGGCGTTGGCTTGGAAGTAGCATGTGTTGAAGTCCATGTAGCCATCGTATATAGGAGCATTTCTGTCAAGACGGCTGATGAAACCGGAGAGGATGCCGAGCTTTTCGCCGCTATCGTTGCCGATGACTTTGATCTCGGTTCCAACTAGGCGATGTTAGCTGAAGGACTTGTATCGGAGGTTCAGGACCGACCTTTCGCGAGATCGGGTCGAAGCTCCATTGCGGTGAGATCCATATATTTAACAGCCTTTGGGTCAAACTTCAAAAAGCCGAAATCATGTACTGGATCGCGATAAATAGGGTATGTATCGACTTCTTCCTGGTTATTGAAGACGATATACCCCGAAAAGGGGCCAGGGCCAACAACATGTCGATTTGTGAGAACGAGACTACAAAATTAGCTTCAAAACCACGTATCTTGGGCAGGAAATGCCTCACCCTCTTTCTGCATCAACAACAAAGCCAGTCGCTTCGCTCGTCTTGCTTGTTTCCGTATCAAATGAATAAGGCTGTGAGAACTTGACCGACACAACACATCGAACGACCTTCTCTATCGCCCTCTGCCAAGCTTCGCTCTCTCGTTCTGAAAGAAGACCTGTAGCAGCGAGATGATCTTTCTCTGTTGTGTGATGCTTGCTGACGCCATTCTCTGTCGCTGAGAGGGATACATCGCGGAGTTTTGTGAGGACGGGATCCTGGTCGATTGTCATCCTGGCGGTCCAGGGCTCAAGGTTGAAGATTTCAAGATGGTAATGTATAAGATGTATACAGTTTATTTAGTTGAGTTGAAGATGAGAAGTTTTACAAATGAGAATGAGGTGCAGGCGGTTGAAGTAGTCTTTGCTTACGCTGCATCAGCCAAGGCAGCTCTTTTGTAAATCACTGCGTCGGTGACCCCTCATCGAACATGCATGAATCAATTACTCAGCCCCCAAAAGTGGATATCTCTCACCAACGGGACAATTCTCATTGGATGCACTCTTGGGGCGGTAAGAAAACGTTAGGACCTCTATACCAAGTGACAAAAAGATTTAGGTAAGTATAGCATAAATTTAACGAGCCTTTAGACTAGATTATTTTTTTATCGGCCCAACTTTGGGTTAGACGTTTTCTTCCCCGAGGGCAGGCATCCGCGCCATAGAACCAAGGCAATGATGTCAATTTTCAGCCTCATAAGGCGTCCCGAATATTTTCAGGGCATTTTTAGTGGATGACGGCGGATCTTTGGTGGTTTGCGGTCGCGTGAGAAGTTCAGCTCGGAATTATCGGGCGGCCGAATCGAGTTATTCCGAATATTGGTCTGGAGACCTTGATAGTCAGCTTACCACTGACGCGGTGACTCATGATGTTGCACATGATTTAGATTTCGTATGAGGATGTGAGTAACTGCGAAAATTGTTACTTATTCTGTGCGATTGATTTGCGTCATTAATGTCGGAATTGACGGTACCATTGTTGCACGCGAAACTTCTCGGCATTGGTTCTGACGGTGCACTGAGCATCTCAAAACTTGACCATTTCTATTTGAAGTCTATAATTGAATCTAGGCAATAAGCACACTTTTAACCAGAAGCAAGAGATATTCTCGTCTTGCTCTCCCCCATCTTCAAACTCCACTCCCCATCCCAATCCTCCCTCTTCCTAACCTCAATATCAACACTCTTCTTCGGCGTATAAACAGTCGCCATATCCCCCGTATTCAGCGCTGGATTCTTCACCCACTTCCCTGTCACAGGAACAATCTCACACCTTATAGCCAAAAGCGCGATAACGATAAGAATCTCGGTCGTCGCAAATTGACGTGCTGGGCAAAGATGAGGCGGTGCACCCCAGGCGACAAAACTGCTAGCTTTTCGGTCTGAAGAATCCTTGAGGAAGCGATAGGGATCGAATTGGTCGGCGGTGGGTCCCCATGTTGAAGTATTCGTGTGAACGGGCTGGCCGGGCATCATTACGTAGTGGCCTGCTTTGAGAAGATATTTTCCGTCGAGGAGGGTGTCTTCTGTGACTTTGCGGATGTTGGCGTGTACGTGTCGCAAGCGCTGAGTTTCTTGGAATACCGATAGCGCTAAAGGGCACTTCGTCTTCAAAGCAGCGACATCTACTTTGAACCCAGTGTCTTTATCTCCGCTGACAGCTTGCTCAATAACTTCCTTGCGCACTTCCTCAAGAAGATCAGGCCGAGAGAAAAGTTCGTAAATGGTCCAGTACATAATTGGAACAGTATTTGCAAAAGCAGCAGTCCCGAAAGTAGCTTGTTGCTTGCAGAGATCATCTTCATCAATGCCTGCTTCTTGCATTGATCGGAGACGTTCCTTGTATATGAAGGATACATCGCTGGGAAGATTCTTGTTATACTTGCGGAAAGCGTCAAAGACAATCTCACGAGCAGCGTAGCCTTTTCCGGTGATGTCGAGGTTCACCATGTGGAGAGGGAGATACGATTGCCATTTCCTATCCACTTAGTTTAGACAGGTTCTTGTTTGAAGGTGGTTGAAAAGGGTGACTTACCAAAAAGCTTGGTCAACCCTTGGATCAAGAAAAGGATGCTCTACACCAAAGATCCCACAAGCACTAGCCTGAACAACAGCATACTGCGCCCACTCCAGCAAGTTAACCTTCGAAACACCATCTGTCTCTTTCGGAAGAAGTTGTTCAATATCGATCAACGCGCGATCTCCCATACGAAGATTCTGCTCATCGAGAAACGGCCCCGTAGCGAGACCGTTCTTGTGGGCATGACTAAACGAATCAACCCATTCTGTACCAAAAACTTCATAAGTCTCAGGTTTGGCATCGCCCATGAGTTTAGCGGCTGTTTGCATAAAGGGTCGGAAGGAGAGGGTCTTGGATGTCTTTTGGATGAGGGGGATGAGACGGGATGTTTTGGCGATGTAGAGCTTTGTGTTGAAGATGGCGACTGTATACATTTCCTCGTTTGTTTGTTTGCTTCTCTGGTGTTAGCATACGTGGAGAGATCTAGGGATTGGATGTACCTTGTCATTCCGTGATAGCCAGAACTATACTTCATCATACCCCATAGGTGACCAAAGAGCGGTATTTTCGACTGAAGTCTCTTGGGCTCCCTTGGATCGTCAAATAGCGAGAAAATCCATTCTGCCGCGTAGGCAAGCAGGACGAAACCCGCAACACTGTACACGACTTCTCGCAACATTGTGAATGATCAGCTCTCAAAAATTCATCTAGATCGAGGTAACGTGAGAAACTAAATAGTAGATCGATTACCTCGCTTATCCAAGATTTCATCTTTGTCGGATTCTCACGATCCGAATACGAGAACCCCCTTTGGTGGATCGCGGACAGAGGAAATACCCCTAGCGTGACGCTATGATAGCGCTGATGGGACTTCTGTTCAGGGATTGGCATATCAGAAAACTGGATTAACGGAGACGATAAGGATTGATGGGGTTTCATGATTGGAGGAGAGGTAAAACGTCTTTTTACCCCGTCATTTGTCGTGTTTAGGGAGATTGGAAGATCATGGGCGTCAATGTGAATTGCCTGATGGAGTTTTCAACGTCACATTCGGTTACATCGCTTTATTAATTCTCTTCAACGAACTTTCTTTTTGGAATCGTTTATAAAGCTCTATAGAACCTAATCACGTAAAGCTTGAGTCAATTAAGGGTTTTCCATTTGTTGGCTTAATGTAACTCGTCGCGATATTGAAAGCTTTAAGTAACAGCAATAAAGTTCTATAAACTTTCCTGAAGGTTTTCATAAAAACTTATTGTTATCTTAAAAATTTATGACTAAATACTTCCTCAGTTAGTCACTTCTATCTTGGCCGTGACCGGAGAGTAAACTCAAATATCTACACTGTTTACACAACTTTGGTGGTTATTGGGAAAAGAAGGTCAAGGGATAGCATAACCGGCCTCGTCATCCAGCCTGCCGCATTCTGAAACACTTGATATTCCAGCGTGTAAGGCAAATTGGCCGCAAAAGAATGGTCCCGCGGAGGAACCTCGTGGTATCCCTCAAAACGTCGAAGTGAAACCCTTTTCAGGATCTCCACCATCAATAGCCAACGATTTCCACAACCTGTGCCACATGACGGATCAGTGCACCAGAGAACACCCTTAGTACTTTCGTTCAAGGTGGGATGAATAGGGTGCTCATCCGTATTAAATGTGATGTTCGAAAGCCAGCCCATGCTGTCCGCACCTGTGTTTGCTAAATGAATTGAAACACGAAGGACGATATAATCGTTATGGTAGAGCCAAAAGTAACGTGCTCCGCAATGGCGACAATAGTAACCGTGGTTATTACACCAATATCGAGGCTCGGTTGTAGGCTTGGACTGGTGAACAGGTAGACCGGAGGCTGGGAAACAATCGCATTTGTCTGACGGCAAAGACGACACGATGGAGTCAAGTTGAATTGAAGCGTGCTGACAAAGTCCATCGCGATGTGTTTCTTTTAGTCGTTTCAATAGCTGCGACTTCAACGCTGGCATTTCAGGGTATTGTTGAGGATCAATCTTTACCAACGGAAAAGATCTGGAGTACTGCAAACCGCCGTAGGTGGACTCAGTATTGACACATGGGCGATACCGTTTGAAGTCCGATAGTTCTTCAGAGTCCATGCTGTCCACGGGAAAGTGCTCCGGGTCTGAGCAACGAAGGTCAACTTCCTCTCCGTCATGCGCCTCAACCTTGCCCGAGACTTTGACATGTTTGCAAAGGGCAAATTGACCTAGTAGTCCCACGCAGGTATTGTGCGCTCTGCCGCCCTGGGGGAAAAGAAGTTCTGGGTGTTTGGCTTGGCATCCAGTGCAGTGGACGGGTTGCCAGAGTTTCCTCAGTCTTTCTTCCAATTCGCCGGAGTCCAAGAGCTTGCCACATGGTTTGCATAAGGATCTTCGTAGGAAGATCCGCTTAATGTTCCGTAGCTGGTCGCATACAGGTATGGTAATGTGGCAAGCCTGCTCCTCATGCTGCAGAATTTCCCAGTGGAAATCTTGGAACTGAAAGTCGTCGGTCAGGTTACGCAGGACCTGGCAGGTTTGGCGGACCATATAGAGGGAGCTATGCGGTAGAAAGAGCATGGCATAGATCAACAGCTCAGGTGGGAGTTGTAATAGTCTAGACTCCAAGTTCTGTTGACATCCTAGCTTCTGGGGCTTGAGGGGCACTGGAAAACCTGCATCTTCTGGTACTGGTGTATCTAAAAGGAACGTCTTCCTTTCATCAGCTCCCAGGACGGGAATGTGATAAGTGCCTTGCCTGAAACGGAATTTGTCTACCAAGCGTTGAGTCCACGATGATGAGAAGTGTGGTTCCAGTTTGAAGCGAAGCATTTTGGCGATGCTTCTGGATAGTATGGGCTGAGGCGAAGTGTGGTAAAGGGAAGAATGAGAAGGTGGAAGAGCAAAAGAAAGGCACCATAATTTATAACATTGTCATCTGTGCGATGCTGTGGCCTGATCTGCAAAAGGAAGACTTTAAAATTTAGAGACCCATGAAGCAGTCTTACGGTATAGAGTTTCCTTGTGATGTAAATAAATTTCATGTCCCAGAAAGTCACGTCTCAAGGTTCTCCATAACACAGATTGTTAAACTTTGCACAAGCCTAGCGAGGTACCAACCCGATAGCGTTGCTAATCGCAGAAGTTCTTTCAAGTCCGAATCCTTATAACCAGCAAGAGGTAATGAGGGGGGGAAATAAAACCTCTTGGTACCACCAAAGGCTTAGCGAAGTCATCTGAAATAAATGCTATTTACTATCAAGAGATCGCCAAAGTACTCAAGACCCTACCATGTTTCTTTCTTGCTCCTTGCCGCCTTGGTATACTCCCCGACTTTCTCCACCAAGGTAACACGATGAGCCACAATTGTTAGGCCCTTGACCATATTGTCGACGACGACGCTCCGCACTTATTGTTGTTGGAGGAAAGTGCGCCTTGAGGCGAGGTGGTAGGTTTATCTTTTGACCTAGATCGTCCGTCCGCGTTTGGGAGCATCAAAAACCTGCGACATGTCCTGATGTCGAGACAGAAAATATTCATCCATTTTTGCCTCAATACCTTTTGTTACAGTAGCACGGTCTTGGAAGATATTCAGGAGGACGTCATAACTTGTCACAACAGCATCGGCCAAACGAGGTCTGGATCACCACAGACGGATGCCGGAGAGCTGATACGACTGTGCCATGACGTAGCGGGACACTTGAGACTCAAAGATCTGCAGTGCCTTGGCTCGAAGATCCTTTAGTGTTGTTTAACACGGCGTGGTTTTATTCGATGCGATAGTTATCGGCGGCGGAGGGGCGATGGGAGTTGGGCCGGGACTAGAGTCCGCTCTCTTGTCGAGACGGGAGAGGCGCACTGAGCCAGGTCTAGAGGCCCTTGGTCAAGATGCACGATGGCACCGTTGAGTTGTTACTGGAACAGAATTTGTGTTACGGTGAGGTGGTCGGTTTTATAACACGCTTTCGGTCTTCCTATTTGCCTGGTACAGAGGAGGACGAGGAGGAGAGGCGGCTGGTCGGCACTGCTCCTAGACATTTCCTCCGGCCTCAAGGACCCGAATCTCCTCTCGGGTCGCCGACACATCTCGGGTCACCGGGTCGAGCTCCTCGGCCAAACCCTCCTCTGCTGCCCATTTCATCCGGTCCCCAACTCCAGATCAACCCCGCCTACAATTGTTAGAATCTTTGAGTGTCATGGTCAGGGCTCGAGCTAAGGTCGTGGAATGCACATACCTTTCTTCTCCTTCCCCTTCCTCCAGGCCTTGAAGGCCTTGACCCCCTTATCCCCAACCGTGACAATGTGTGCCACGCCGGTCAAATATTTGACCACCAAGTCCGTCACCGCGTCGAAAGTCTCGAAAAACGACACAGCAGCTATGGCTGCTGCTGCGGTTATTATTGCTGGTGCTGGTGCTGGTGCTGCAGTGGTTGTGATGGCTGAAGAGAAACAAGTCAAACATGATCACCGACGTAATGGATAAGTCTATTCCTGCAGTATGGGAAGGAGCCATTGATACCACTGATGTTGTGGGCAGGAAGATGGAAGATGAGAAGGAAGGAGCCCATCACGATCCGTTATTACATGAAGGACAAAGCCAGCCGTCTCCTCTATTCTGCTCACGCCTCTCGAATGTCAGATGCCGAGCTAGAGGAATGGCGAATGTCTTTGCCATTGCAGCTACGACCTGCATTGTCAATCTCTCGTTCATAAGTGCCTCCCCTGCCGACTAAGCTACCGGAAAGTATGAGAGTTATGGGGTTGCATCTAGAGTATCTCTACTTGGTGATTATAATCCATCACGCTAGTGGGAGGTGCATTCATTGGGCATAGGGCCGTGGATATCCCGTACAGTGACGCAACGATGTAATAGCTTATGAGGTTCCTGGGAACAGACTCAAGTGATGAAACAGAATCCTTAGGCTCCCAGCAACAGCAGGGTTTTGATAGCTTGTTCTTGAAAATTGGCAAAATCTCGATACTCTCTTGGCTCCTGGGATGGCCCTGAAAATAGAAGCTACGGTACCACGTGGCCACATGACTTCAGCAGACGCGAGGTCAATCAACACACGCAAGCATGCAAGTGTAGGTGATGTTGTCTCTGCGGAAGCGGCAGATTAAGCGGAAATAGACGGGACTTGGTAGGTTTATGGCCAAACAAGAGTAAGATGCTTCTCCCGGCTAGACTTACCGCCGTTTCCGATGATGCTGGCCGGTCCGTGGGCAAACTTAAGGTAAGCCCTGTACATACGACGAGTCAAGACCAGGAGCAATTATCATTGCTTTAATCCTTGCGTCTGTGAAACTCCTACAATCTCCTCGCGATGACCAATCTTTCTCAGGCGAACAGACACGGCCAGTCTCAAGCGCGGGGGGCACCACGGATTCGCCGTGACGGGATTTGTGATATTCCATGTGGCTGTTGCCAGAGAAACACGTCCTCTGTAAACAACCGAATACAACTCGAGTCATCCTCAGTAAGAGTCCCCCCCGCACGACGATGGCGCAAGTTATGAGGCATCCGCCATCGCCAACGCCACCCCTGCAAACAACCCGTCCTACCTGGAGCTGACAAAGCAAGAGGACTACTTGCTGGCCGTTTCCGACACGTCGAGAGTCAATGGTAAGAAAAGAGGTAGACGCCCCAAGGCCTTCGTTCGAATACATGAATGATAGAAGCTGCCTGTTGTAAGTACGGTGCGTCGGAACACGGCCAGCGCGATGGTGTTGGTCTGTAATGGGCCTGCATCCTCATTCAAGGAATATATAACCAGAACAGCAACTGACAGCCTTGCTGCGGCTGATTTTATATCTAAGGAGACTAAAGATGGTTTTATCCAAGATAGTAAGGTACCTCTTTTGTTACAATTTATATTTGGCCAACAATTTCCGCTTCAAGGTCTCCTATCCAGAAAAGCGCCCGACGTACCTCAAACCTATCCAAAGCCTCACTACTCTTTGATCCAAAGAGCAGCATACATATCTTGATTTGAATTCAATGTATACCCACTTACCATCGTCAGCCGATATCCTTTACCCACCCAGTTATCAAACTCATTCTGGTAGTCCGCCGAGGACATCCGATGTCTCGTAACCCAAGGGCCACTTGGCGATTTGTCCCAAATCGCAGCATAATAATCCACATTTTTGACCACATAGCCATTGACATGAACAAGACGGAAGCCCTGCCCCACGTACTTATCAGAAAGCCCCTGATAGTCAGACGACGTCATGCCATGATGTGCAACCCATGTAATGTTAGTCGTCGACTTTTCCCACAGCGCCGCATACGAGGCCTGATTCCCCTGCGAGCAGCCGCTGACATGCTTCAGGCGGTACCTCTGTGAGGAGAAAGCATCAAACGCGCTCTGGTATTCCGAGGAGCTCAAGCCATGTCTAGCGACCCACGCGGGACCCGCAGATTTGTCCCATATGGCTGCGTACCGGGCGTCTCCCGCAACAGTGTATCCGTTGACGAGACGGAGCCGAAAGCCCTTGCCAACGAGAGAATTGAACTGGCCCTGGTATTCCGCACCGGTCATGCCGTGCCTTGCAGCCCAATCCGAAGAACCATTTTGGTCCCAGATGGCTGCGAAGCGTGGATCATCGTCGCTGGTGTAGCCGCTCACATAGGTGAGGCGATACTTGTCATGTACCAGCTTGCCGAACGTGTCTTGGAAGGCGGAAGAGGTCATTCTGTGTCGAGCTTGCCACGGCGCAGCAGCTCGAGCAGAGATGGAATGGTATGCGCCGGTGCCGTCTGATGCTATCGGTGTGGCCTCTGAGGGAGAGCCAATCATGATCATGAGGGCAAAAGCCCAAATGATAGTGCATCCGAAAGCTGAAATCATCATGGTATTAGCGGATGACAACTTAGACGTTTTAGAACAGGGGAACAAAGCGAGGGATAAGATCTCTCGCCTGTGCCTATTTTCAGGCTTTTATGCTGGAGCGGCAGGCCGTGATGCTGCTGACAGAACTCCACGGTGCTGGCAATGTTCAAATTTAGACGAAGCTGCTATAAATAGACACATCCAAACTTGAAACTTGAATGCACATGCAGGACACCGAGCGGGCGTGCCGGGATGTTTGAGAGCCACGCGTGCTACTAGAAAGGGGCTGAGCATTACGCCCGAGGATATCTGCCACTAGGATTGAGACATGGACAAAGGTGCTGCTGGTCTCCGTAGATTTCAGGAAAGCTTGCTATGAATAGTTCTCGTTCTAGTCCCGGGCCCTTAAATCATATTCAAGAAAGTTACCATATATAGCCCAGGTATAAGATTTTTTAGCTTAAATTAGAGAAAGTTTTAGTATATCTATAGATCTAGGACTATTAAATTAGTAGAAAAGTTCTATAAATAGTTTAAGTTTATAATTCTAGATTTATAGCCAACCTGTAAGTCACTACTAAGTCTATATTCTACTTTAAGCTTTTAAGTAGACTAGTGTGAATAGTTCTCGTTCTTGTGCCAGACCCTTAAATTATATTTAAGAAAGTCACTATATATAGCCCAGGTATAGGATTTTTAGCCTAAGTTAGGGAAGATTTTAGTACATCTATAGATCCAGGACTTCTAAATTAGCAGAAAGGTTCCATAAATAGTTCAAGTTCATAATTCTAGATTTATAGCCAACCTGTAAGTCGCCACTGAGTCTGTATTCTACTACGAGCTTTCAAGTAGACTAGTGGTTCAACAGTTACATTGGCATATATTCTATTTCGGGCTTCTAACCTGGCAGGTCGACGTGATAGCATGCTAGCATACGTACGAGATTTCCTTGGGGTGCTGTCCGAAAGAGGGATGTGGCAGATTGTCTTTTTGAGATGCTGCTGGTTCACAGAGTCGCCCTTAAGAGTTGGTTGGATAATATTCACGATATGTTATTTTCAACGAAATCTGGACTAAATACTAAACACGACTCAGTTTTAACGAAAGCCTTGAAACATCTACAGTTGAATCAACTTGAATCACCATCGGTTGTCGTAACCTTGTTGCTAACCGAACCCGAAGCACCCTCCACAAACAAAGGTCGAGCAGCCATTGTTGCAGATCAAGAAAATGCCATCGCAGTGGACATCTGCCGGCTTTGGAGAACACGGTGGGCCTCCACCGCCGTTGCACTCACAGAGTCTCTTCTTCCCAGTGACGCAGTAGCCACCGTCGCCCCAGTCACTTCTCCCTGCCTCGTGCCATCCAGCCGGGCACGGCTCCGGAGAGCAGAACGGCGCAGTTCCGCTCCAGAAAGCCGCGCAGCCAGGGTTCTTAATGCATTCACAGTAGACTTTGTGTCCGGTCGCGCAGCAATGCCCATCACCACAGTCATCGGTTCTCGTCTGGTGGGTGCCGGCGGGGCATTCCCCGTCACAAAACGGTGCAGTGCCGTACCAGCCAGGTGAACATGCCAGGACTCGACCTAGAATGACTTATCAGATCCTCCCTTGGGTGTGGACCAGGAGACTTGCTTACCAAGGCCGAGCAGACTGGATATAATAAAAAATTGCTGCATTGTGGGAATATGGACAGGAACATTCGTTTGAATCAGTGCGGTCGATCTGCAGGGAGGTTTGCCTGTACTTATAAAGTCGTTTCCTTGAGAAGTGCGTCGTCAGACACCCCGCAGCCCAGAATTCATTACGAGGATCTGGAATATGTTGGCCTAGAATACCCAAGTACTCACTTCCGGTCTCTCGTAGCCACGAATTATCGCATGTCCAATGACAGACTTCATGAGTCAATCTACCCCAAAATTAGTAGCACGCTGCCTTTCCCAGACTGACACCTAACTAGACTCAGCCCCTTTATTCTGCTGCAAGTGCCAAGTTTTCGGGGACAAGAGTATAATAGCGTATACAGGGCTTCAACTCTATATCAATGCATTCTTTTGATCACACGCAGCTGAAGGCTGTAACTAAAATAGATGTCTCTGTGGCTTATGGCTAAGACCAGTCGTCGTGTCTTGTAACAAGTAGCGCGTTAGGCCATTCTTTTTATCACATTACGAGCTGAGGTAAAAGCGAAAGAGCACTGCTCTGCAGTCGCTAATAATAGCTTATGGCCTAAAGTTGATATATGCCCCTGGATTGCTAAGAATTTAAAGTAATCTAAAAATAATAATATACCTCCTGCTCTATCTATTTTAAAGCTAGGGTAGCAAACCACTCCACTAAATCCACCAGCAGGAGTAGTGACGTGGATAGACTTTAATCCACGAAGCCCATTAGTGTAGTAGATCTATTTAAAGCGATCGTACATGTGGAATAGATATAGTGGATTAGCAGATAGCCCCTCATACATGCACCGCTGGCAGCGCAAATAAGATCACGTGACCCTTGCACCGCCCCTGGTGATCCGTTATATAAAAGGCATACATTATATATACAAGAGATATCTCTCATTCATCTAGAGAAACAGCATTTAGGTATATAATTAAAGAGAGAAGATAATTCAAGATATATAGAGCTATTTAATACATAATATATCATCTATTAGCAATGTACCAGTCTGCCCAAGGCTATGAATAACACCATAGCTATTATAATGCAAGTGAATTACTGTAATGCATATAATATATAAACAGCTCTTTTTCTCAGAAGAAGGTCTCTATCCCTACATCGAATATCATCGTAAAGATATATAACTGCAACTAAAGCCAGCATTAAAACCCTTAAGACATCCCCATCTTTATAGATAATACAGCAACACTAGCAGGGCCTTTAACAATAAACAGTAACAACCAGTTTCTTCTACGGCCTATTACTAATAACCAACAAGCATGGCCCCCAGCCTGCCTTCCTTATGCATTAATGATTCCGTTCCCTATTAAGCTTTAGAGGTCTATTACTACCTTGCCAATAGATCCAATCTCCCCCACTATACTCTATACAGACCCCCAAGTGCTTATAAGAGCTTAAACCATTCGATATCCTCCTTAAGGGCAGACTATTAATATAGAGATACTGCTATTTAGATATTAGCTTAGAGAAAAGTAGTATATTAGGTATCTTAATAACATTCTTTCCTAATGGCAACAGCGCCTTCTTCTAAATATATCTATTTAAACTTATATATAAACTTAGCTATAACTTTATTAAGCCAAGCTATTAGATTACTATACTAATACTTAGAGATTTAATTCTTCTCTTCTTTTTCTAATAACATATAATAACATATAATAATTATATTTCTAGTTACCCTTGTAAATATTAATAGGGGGGTTCCTATCTCTATACTAACTCTCTTATAACTCAAGATGTCTTTTAGCAGTATACTATATATCTCGCATCCCTCGCCGCGCCGAGAAAGGCTGCTCTGCCATCTCTGTCCCTATATTTTATTCAACCCACTTGTTTTTAGCTTTATCCTAATTAAGATAACTCATTATCTCCTCCTTAGTCTGGTCTCTATTGCTATTTCCCACCTTATAATAACACCCTATTTGCTTATAGTTAATATATTAGTTATAGTCTGCTTTACTATAATATAGAGGCAGCCCTATAGCCCTCTAGTACTGTTGATTGGTCTTATAGGCTCCCTGAGGCAACATAGTAAACCAGGCCTCTCGTGCTTCTTTGTATCATTGGAAGATAGCACGGGGGTTATTAGCTTGTAATGCGGGCACCGCTGTGTAATGGTTAAGGTTCCCAACGTAGCAAACCATAACCTAATTAGTTTATATTGGCAGTTGCAACGGGGCGTGGTATACTGACCGTAGGGTGGCGAATTACGTCTAATAATGTTAAGGCGTATTCTTAAGTAATTAAGTTATATTAAAAGCTGAGAGCTATATAGACAGGGAAGTGGGAATGAGTGAAGCTATATATACTATTCTGATTTGCTTGGTCGATCATGGTTTTGTGAGTCGAACAAAGTCGAAACGACCTCGTTCGACTCGCATGTGGCGAATAACCTTATTGGTCGGCACGGAATGTGTGATGTTCCGTCTTCATACCGTTCTAATCTTGGGTCGTAACACCGAGCAGTCGTTACTTCGCATCAGCATGCCTGTCATGAATGGATACGAGGCAACAGTCCGCACCAGGAAGAGCGGCGTGCGGCTGCTGATCATCGCCATAACCGCCTACGCACGCAAGGGGGACATGGAGCTCTGTCTGGAGAAGGGGGTGGATGACTACATTGCAAAGCCGGTGAACAGGCAGTTGCTAATGAGGAAGCTGCTAAAATGGCTTGCGGCACCGATGGGTGCGGATGGCGGCCGCCAGGAGTTCCCGTGAGACCTTTCACCCGCCGAGCATTGCCTCTCTGCATTTTCGACTGGCGACACACATGCTGGAATCTAGACTACGGCAGACTACAAGGTTAAACGTACGGTTCAAATCTGGGCCGTGACCTGGCGCTTTTGCTCGGATGTTGCATCTTCTAATTCTGTTAGATATCCTGATTTCCAGTAGATAGACACCTGAAGCCAAAGCACGGAGAAGAGGATCCTAATTTAGCTGGCCAACCAAGACCTCTCAGTATCAGATGCTAAGTCTTAGCTCCCTTATAGCACAAACCTTTACACGGCCCGACCGTTCAGCCGTTGTCTCTGACCCACCAACTCTGGCTCTGGCTCTTGACTGACCAATCCCTCTCAGAAGGCGACCTGGGTCATGACGACACTATATAGTAAGAAGCGAAACTCGCTCAACCCCACACATCCGGATGGTCGGTGAACTCGTCGGGGGATCGGAGACTCGGGACGGGGTCTGTATGAGCAACCCCGATAACCTCTGCAACGGCCCTTGTGACTGCAGAGGTCTAAGTTTGAACGGCAGGCCGAATTTCCAGTTCAGTTCTTAAAAGGCTCATGATGATTCAACAAAGCCCTTTGCTTCACGATGTCTTGTGCTCGCCTGTTTTGAGCATACTTGAACTGGAAGTACACCAGGTAACTCCCATTTGTTGTCAAACTCAAGCCTTTAGATGAGGCTGCGATTGAATTACAGAAAAGCATCGACAAGCTGCAACGGGCATCCCATAGCTATAATCTCTGCCCTGTGTTGAGTTCCAGCTCCGGGAACCTGGACCCTGGGGAATGGTGTCGCCGCGCTTGACAGCCGGACGAGCCGTCCACCCAAAATAAGCTCACTAGCGCTGATAGTGTGTGGGGAAATCATATGGTTGGTGGGGTCTGAAGCGGGGAAGCACCCGAGACATTAATGGTGGTTGTGTGTGCCCGATAGACTTCCAGCTCATTTAGAGTATGACATTGTGCAGTTGTCGACTTCTGTTAGAGGATTCCAACACAATATCGATGGCTTCAGACCAGTGGGCATCAGGATCTTCTTCTTACGTGTGCTAACTCATACTTTCTGGTTGCAGACGGAAGCTCAGTATGCCGAAGCCTCTTTGTCACGATGAGTTCACTTGAACGACAACCATCAACAACCTAGATGAGTGTGTATTACTCAACGGGCTTGCCCATGATGTCAAGTTAGCTTCATTCGGCAACAAGGATGTTCGTTCGGCGTATCAACTCACCGGCTCGATCCCTCCTCTTCTGTTTAGCCCTTGGCTGTTAAAGGGGCACAAATACTGATTTTTCTATTTAAGCTATTGGAGGAGTTTTGGACTGACCCAGACCCTCTATAGACGGGCGATTGACCATCCGTTCCCATTATCGGACCAACAGTCTGGCCGGAGGACCTCGTATCCGATAAGATGGTGGGGCACGGGAAGACAATGGATCGCGGGTTATTTAGGTTGTGATGAAGGCGGCATTGCACTCAATGGCACTCGCGAAAGAATGAGATGAACTGTGACTCACTTGCGCGGAGAGTTAACTTCGGAGGTGTAGGATAATTCTAAATATAGGTGCAGGATAATTCTAAATATAGATGCAGAACTCAAGCTCAATTCATGGTAGATGGATAAGTAACGGTTAATGACTATCTAAGGCGTATATATTACAGGCATTCCTCTCTCTACCACATGGTTGTGTTTCCCCTATGTCGAAGCCTCTGTATCTGACATACGAGCATCTTCCCTCTCGCGCTCTTCTTATTAGCAGTTAGCAGAGAGACCCGCCAAATTCTATACTCTACCTACCACAGCTTTATCTTATTAAACCATCCATCGGCCACCATGCTTCTCAAACACTTTCTCCTGGGCGCACTTCTTGCCCTGAGCTCCGTCGCTGCACTTCCCAACCCCGAAGCCGACCTTCACGACATCGAGGCCAGAGATGACAAGCACCACCGCCCCCGTTGCGGCAAGGACGCCGACCCTGATCGTATGAACAAGCATAAGTGCATCTGCAAGGACGAGGGCAAAGAATTCGATCCAGAACACAAGAAATGCCGCTGCCCCAAGGACCAGATGCCGGATCCTGACGATCCCCATAAGTGCGTTTGTAAGGACGAGGGCAAAGAATTCGATCCAGAACACAAGAAATGCCGCTGCCCCAAGGACCAGAGGCCGGATCGTGACGATCCCCATAAGTGCGTTTGTAAGGACCGGGACAAAGAATTCGATCCAGAACAAAAGAAATGCCTCTGCCCCAAGGACCAGAGGCCGGATCGTCACAATCCCCATAAGTGCGTTTGTAAGGACCGGGACAAAGAATTCGATCCAGAACAAAAGAAATGCCGCTGCCCCAAGGACCAGAGGCCGGATCGTCACAATCCCCATAAGTGCGTTTGTAAGGATAAGGGCAAAGAATTCGACCCAGAACAGAAGATATGCCGCTGTCCCAAGGGCACCCGTTGGCACGGAGACAAGTGCAAGCGTCACTGATATTGATCATGACCAAAACTGATGATGAATGATATGGGCAATGGTTTCTTTTCACGTCCACTCTGCGCGAGCCTGCTTTGAGGCGTCGCGATTACGATCCTTAGACAGTTATCCCTCTTCTTCTACTATGTATAGTTTACTCAGATTGGTCAAAAGCAATTAAATACCGGTATTTCACTTTGAATGACTGGTCGAATCTGATGTAGATGCCCTGACAGGCCTGCTTGAAGGCCAATTTCTCCAAGTGTTCAGCATCCTATCCTCAGCAGCTGAAGCACGGTCTGTCAAACTGAGACTGTGCGATGTTATTGGGATTCGATCTGAATAGTTAGTGTGCCTGAGGTTTTCGGTCCCTCCTGTCAAGCCTCCTCGTTGCAGTGGCAAATTTGATCATCGCCCGTACTGCCCTGCATGTCTTGCGCCCATTTGTCACCGTCAGACGCTGCCTTTCCTCACAAGAAGAACGAGAGGTTTCCCATCTTTGTTCGTGAGCATTTCAGCATGCCTTCCCGTTGCGTTGTCCTCCTTATACATCGGAATAGAAAATGCTCAACTGTCTCGGATGCTTGACCACATTCGCACGTATCCGATTCCGATGCACCGATCCTGTGCAGCGTGCTGGAGAGATAATCATTTCATCGAGAATGGTGACCTTGCTGTAAAGTACGTCGTAATCATCTACGGCTTCTTGGAATCATTGATTGATGATCTCTGCAAATTCTTCAAACCCCCCGAGAATGACCCTGTGGCTATGCAAGTTGCTAATTCTTTGCTCTCATCGCTCAACATCTCAAAGCTCAACGCCGTAGCTGCGGGTGCTCCAGATGACTCAATGCTACAAAGCCTAGCTCTTCTGAAGGTCATGGTGCTGCAACTTCAACTCGGCGCTCGTGATGCAGACAAGGTTGATGAGAAGGATAGGTCATTGCGTGAGACAGGAAGAATGGATGAGAGAACGAAAATGCCAACTGGTGTCTTCCGAAAGGGCACGACCTCGACAGATGTCCTGGTGGAGTGGAAATGTATCGACGGAGCACATATTCCTCCGGAGCACTCAGCAGCGACATACCACGCGATGGCAGGAAATCGCATCAAGAACCTTGCGCGTCTTCTGAAATGGGGTTCTAGGCTTGAGGACCTCAGAATACTAGACTGCAATCGGTGTTATTATGCGAGATGGACTCTCCGACGACGAAGTCCGATAGGTGACCCAGAGCGCTGACTACGAGCACTCTGCCGGCGCGTTTCGAGAGTGGATACTAAGCACCTCACTGCCAAAACTTGGAAGATCCAGAGGGAAGGAGTACATGATGGCTACAGAGTTATGTTTAAAGTCTGAGTTTGAAGGGATGTCGACGGACGAGCTTCAACACGCGTTTTATAGGGGAGTTGTGAAGCCTATTAATGGCTCTTGGGGGAGGTAAAGGGCGACACAATCTGTTGGATACACAATGCCTGTACCTCAGCACAGTATATACGATTATCTAAAGAATCTAGACATTTAAGCCTCTGACATGACAGAGACAACCGCGAACCGATAAACGTATGATGTCTTATTGAGGAGGGCAGTTTACTAAGTGCATATGAATCGGAGAAACTCTTCACCCCAAGCGGGCTTCCTTGTTATTCGGTAAGTCGTTGTACGGAATCTCTTGCGTAAGGAGTTTTGACTTTCCATCATCTGCCCAGTCGAAATTATCCATGTACCTAATTCATCACAAACATTAGCAACAGCACACCGCTAGAAGGTATGAGAACTCACGACATCATAGCGAAGATAGCATATGCCTCAGCTGTAATTGTTGCTTTGCTCGGCCCAGTATTGCCAGCATATTCCCCGATAGGGCTTAAAATTGGGTACCTATGGGTAATTCTTTTTGTACCAAGACTTCCTTTTGGCCCTAGCTTATATGGAACAGAAAGTATCGGTGACACCCATGGGTACCCAAAAAAGCAATATTTTAAGCCCTATACCCCAATATGCGAATGAGCAAGATTCGAGACCCACAAATAATCGTCTTTCATCACATGATTAGTATTAGCCATTTAGTAGATATGAGATGCTTACAGGTAACGATCTTTTGTTTGTTTGGTGTTGAAGCATCTGTTGTGAACTTCTTGGTAATAGGATGTCGATAAACGAAATCTCCATCTTTGCCGACCACTGGTTGATCAGGGACTAAACAGGGAATTAACAAACACACTAGTAGCTCATTTCTTGAGTAGCTTACCTTCCCGGTTCTCTGGTCCTCCACTCCTAGAACCTCCAAACCAGTGCGCAAGCTCATGTACCATGACCCGAGAGAGACTCGTGTGTCCAAAGCTATCCAACCCATCACCAATCTTCACGGAACCCCTTGCATCAACAGCCGATTTGGTATTAGCCACATCGTCTATAAAGCTTCTTGGGCAGAAAGTGACGAGATCAAATCTAGTCAATCTAACAGCCCATATGTCCCCACCATCACAAAGACCAATAGACTTTTTCACTTCCTAGGCTAGGTAGCGATTTTCTTGACCCAATCACCAGCGCTACCCTTGATTTCATTTGCTCTAGACTCACGTACAGGATGATTCGCAGGGTCGTTTGGGTCTTTGTCGTCTTTCCTAATCCATTTGAACTTATTTTGATCGCAGAGGATGAGAGGTTTAAGTCCGCCGTAGCCATTTCCAGAAACCATAACGCCTTGGTGAAGCGCCTTCTCCATACGGTCGAAGACATCTAAAATATGATATTTTTAGACCTTCATGCGTTATCGTTGGGTACTAACTTACACATGACGTTGGAGTAATGTGACTCTTTGGGGTCATGTCCACCCTTATTAGGGACGAAACCAAACATGTTGGTCACGGCGCGAGCAACGCGGTCCCAGTTGCTGACACTGCTAGCATCCTGCTTTGAATACCTTGGTCGACCGTCGAGTAAAGTCTCAAGGTCATCTTGGCTCTTTACTGCCGTGACTTCAGCGTCGTTGTAGGCCTTTTGTAGAGCATCCCGATAGGGAGTGCAGGAATCGTCTACGTCCCATAGATCGAGTTTGGCGGCTAAGCTGAGGCTAGCGAAAAGGGGAAGGAGATAGTAGAGTTTCATAGCAAGAGTATTCTAGAGAAAATAATGAAATAAAAAAGTAGTAGGTTCAGTGAAGTTGCAGGGGGACTGGGGTGATGGTCTCTCACGGCTCTTGAACAGAAGTTTGAGACAAATTTATATTTAATATCCACTCGAGTTCCTTCATGGAAATTGTCATAGATGATGCAGGCTTACTGGATCTGAGAGACTATCATTTAATTTGCACAGTAGGTAGTGTAGTTGTCCCAATATCGTCAGCGATGGCGGAGTTCCTTTGGCCTCGTATTTTCTCAGGTGTCCATGTTTGGATATCGGCATAACCGAGACATTCTCTTCCGAACCTTTTCAGTATTTCCTCCGCAAAACCTTGATGATTTTGGCTTACTTTGTTTACCGCTTGTGATAAGTTTAGCAGGTACAGGGTGAAGAGTCTTATCACAAGCTGACTGTACTGCCGAACAAGGCAGGTGAATATGTCATGAATAGAGATGAACCATGTCTGAGCAGCAAATAAGGTGGCTAAGAACCTTGATCAAATTGAATTGTCTTGAGAATAGTTGAAAAGCCTCGAAATCCCGGATGCTGAGATCATCTTCATGGTGTTGCTGGATTGCTTATTGAGGCAGAAGCTTCATTGGGCGTAGTAGCGGAACGTGATGCACGTTGCCCCACTGTAATCACACCAGATTTGGTTAGGTCATGGCTCATTGAGGGATTTCACTGGTGGAATCTCCTCTTGCTTAAAAAGGGGAACTGCCGTCAGCCTTATGAGATGACTACATGGCCCCTTGAATCCTTCGGACGGGCATTGCTCGGCTATGCTAAGGAACATGCTTATGCTGCTGAGAATATGTTCTAGACCATTATTTCGGATAGCTTTATCCCTCAGTAAGTCTGACGAGACATTGAAAGGTGTCTTGCGATTGAGCTAGAATGCTCTTCATCTATTAATACCCAACGCTTCTGGGAATCAAGCCTTTTATCAATCTGATTTAATAGACTTCAATTCAACCCTTCAGTCTTTCTCTCTCCATAACCTTCCTATTTATTAAGCCTAAATCTATTGTTTCTTCTCTTTCAACCATGCCTTCGCCCTGGAAGCTTGGCTTCCTGATAGCACCATGGCTCGCAGTGACACTTGCGAGTAGCGACATTGGGCAACGACAACGTTCCGCCCCAGGTCCGATCTCTGACAGAGATTGGGCTGCACACCTTAATTTGGCAGGGGGTGATGCCGTTAAGCTCCATCTAGAGTTTAGCAACATCATCGTTCCAAGACAGGAATTTCAGGATCTACAGACAACTACGATAGGCCCTGACGACTCCGTCCCAACTCCTGTACCAGATATCTCAACTGGTCCCCCAGGCCCAGAGGAGCCAGCTACAGTGTTACATCCCGGTGATATACCAGAGACAACAGCAGTACTGGATGATGATGATCCTCCCGAGCCCTCTGCATCCGACACCCTCAACCAACAAGAGCCAGGACAGACCAGCGCACCAGCCGACAACAATGACAACGGTGGCCAACAGCCAGATTCAACCGTTGCTCCACCTCCTGAAGAGCCGAAAGAGACTACCATAGCTCCTGAGGATGACGGCTCTCAAGCTCCGACAACTTCCATCATCCCAAAGCCACAGGAGCCAGAGGAAACGAATCCACCGGATCCTCAAGACCCAGCTACTGCAACTGAGCCTAGCCCAGAGGGCCCTGCCTCAGATTCACCAGGCTCGGAGACACCAGATGATCCTGCAACTCAAACTCCAACCAAGGGAGACCCCATCCCAACAACCCAGAAGCCGCAAGAACCTGAGACCTCAACTCCACCTGCAACGAATCCAAAGCAACTTGGTCCGACTTCTGTAGAGCCAGAAAGACCTGAGACTTCAGCTGCACAATCTGAAGGTGCTGAGAACTCCCAAGATCCTGGATCTCCTACCACGGTACAGAGGCCTGACATCCCGCTTCCAACACCTCCTGGTCCTGATGATGATAACCCTGACGATACGGATAAGGATAAGGACAACAAGGACAACGAGAATAAGGATAACGACAACAAGGACAGCGACAACAAGGACAGCGATAACAAGGATAACGACAACAAGGACAACAATAACAAAGATAACGATAATAAGGACAAGGATGACAAGGATAGTGACAACAAGGATAAGGACAACAAGGATAACAATAACAAAGATAACGATAACAAGGACAACGACCCCGAAGACCCGGATGACAAGCCCAAAGATCCTAAAGATCCAGATGATGACTGCGAGAAAAAGGAGCCAACCCCCTGCACGAAGACCGTCTCATTTTACTCTGAGAGTGAAACTTATACCAGGTACACCTCGCTCAAACGTGCTTTCATTGAATTTTTAACTCTCTAAACCATATTGTCAGCACCGTCTACGTAACATGTGCACCAGCTGTCGACTGTCCCGCTCGTGAAGCCCCCACCATCACGACATCTATTTTTCCCGAGGTATCTGTTCTATGGGGGGTTGTTGATACTGAAGATCTTGTCATCCCTCAAGATCTCCAAGACGTCGACAATGAGACCAGTCAATATTTCCAGCAACTGTTCGATGACGAAAACATCTCTATCAACGATGCCCAACACGCCGATGTCAAGTGCGAGCAGAACGCAGACAAGGATATTTCTCGAGACTGCTTCAGCCTTATCCAGGATTCCTTCTGTCATGCTGTAGAAAGAAAGAAGGGTGAGCCGTTAGCGCTGAACTTTACAGGCAATCAGGGGTCTCAGCAGAAACGCGCTTCTCTCGACGAAAGACGCAGGATGCTACATGAAAGAGCTGAAGCTTGCGGCGGTGGCTGGATGTTCGAGTTTGATTGGAGTGGCGCTACTAACCTTGATGACTGCTTCACTTCTTGTGAAGACTCGATGTATGCTTTTAGTGATGAGTGCTTCGACTCTGGTAACACTTTCAAAGAGGGTTCTATCGATGTTGGATGTGGGAGCTATAAGTACAGAGCGGTTCCTGCTCCTACTACGACTGTACAACCGACTACTGTCTTCACCAATGGTCCCGCTATCGCGACATCAGATGGAAGCTCATGTGTCCTCACCGCATTGAACACACAATGCACTACCACCTCCGATAAACCAACCTGCACGATCAATCCCTCATGCTCTTCATGGATCTCCACAAAACCAACAGAAAAGCCACCAACACCTCTAGGATTCAAGCCAGTTGTATGTGAGAAAGAATCCGACTATCCCAACCATCCCGACGTTTCACCAGATTTCCAGGCCGGGCGCGCAGGCGTCTTCTGCGGTTCCGGTATCTACGATAACAAGGCTTCCAAGATAGGCCCGGGGAGTAAACCATATACTGCTGTTCACAAGGGAGGCAAGGTGAATTATGTTTATCAGGTTTCGTGGATTGAGGGTTGTAAGACTACGGTTTCGGAACAGGATGTTTCGCAGCCTGTTGGGGATAAGGGACCGCGATGCGCTGAGATTTTCAAGGCTGCATTTAAAGGCTGTAAGTTATTCATGCTTTTCCTGTAACAAGGTGTTGCAGTGCTAATTCTTGTGTAGGTAATAATGGTGGTGTTGGAGGATACATCGATGCTGGATGTCTTCGCTATGCTTTCATTGGTGGGAAGAAAATTTGAGAGGAGCGTGCATGTACTGGGATGATTCTCGAGATTTAATTCAGTAGAGGTGTTAAAATAAGAATAGAGCTATTAACAATAATGTCATTGGTTTTGGCATACAGCGCTTGCTGTACAGGACTTCCCAAAAGCGTAATATCACGCGAGCTCCAGTGCTACGCGGACTTCTCCACCTGCGTTGTTTTACGTGAGACAAAGTCTGACCTGTGAGATTATAGTCCACATGCACTCCCGAAACCATTATCCAAAGACATTTTAAACTAAAGAATTTTTCTTTCTTCTTTTAATCATCAAATTCAACACCAAATATGGCGAAGCCGCAGATCGTCGTGAAAATCCCTCCAGCCTCCGATGCGGAGGATAAAAGCCTTGTCTCAACACTCACAGATATCGTCAACACCGTCTACACAAAAGCCGAATCAGATATTTTCATCCCATCATACCAACGAACTTCCACCGCCGAAATCACCAAATTTTTACGCAACGGCCAACTCGCAGTAGCTTATCTCCAACCAGCCAACGAACCCATCGGCTGCGTCTTCTTCAAACAAATGACCCCCACCCTCGGCGAATTCGGCATGTTGGCACTCGACCTGCAGTACCAAGGCACCGGTGCAGGGCGTCAATTAGCAGTCTTTGCAGAAGATGAATGCAGGCGACGAGGGTGTACGGTGATGCAACTTGAGCTTCTTGTGCCGATGACGTTTCATCATGAAGGAAAGGCGAGGTTGTTGGGTTGGTATACGAGGATGGGATATGAGCTTGTTAAGTTGGGGAATTTTGCGGATGATTATCCTGACTTGGTGAAGTTGCTTGCTGGACCGACGGAGTACAGGGTTTTTGAGAAGAGGCTTGTATAAATACGAAAGGCAATTGAGTTCATAACTGTATTATCTGATTCCTTCGTTCATACTATTTGCAAACATAGACCGAACTTGCAAGGCAAATGTCAGGATCTAGCTCTTAGCGTGAATGTCAACATCATCCAGAATAGCCTCATTTCGCTTCGCAGCAGCATCCCGCGCTCGCTTCAGCCGTCTCGTCGCAACATCAACTTTCCAAGTAAACGACCAAGTGATGACATTCATAATAATAGCCATGCCAATAAAGCCCATCGCGATTCCAAAAGACGTGGTATACCTTGGTGCAAACCGAGAGTTGAATAGCTGAGACCCGACCGCACCGCCAATCTGGCCGTAGCTATTGGCAAATGCAATGGCGAAAGCGGAACCGGTGGCGCCGTCGGTGGTTTGTACTCTCCATGGCCACATCATTGTGTACCTTGTCTGTTAGAAAATGTCGAAGATGGGTTTGGTTTGACTTACCAAGCGATTGAGAAGCCTCCTGCTATTACAGTAGCTGCATACACACCGCCTGTGTTTGGGAACGTGTACAGAACAACGTAACAAGCTTCTATGATTATCATGAAACTTAGCGGGATCAGAGGTAGAGGGAAACGGCCTGTATTGGCGACCCATCCGAATACTATTGTGAGTATACAAGCAAAGATGGCTGGGGGGATGTTGAGCAGCTGGGCCTCGGCGATGCCACTGCGACGAACCAATGTCAGCATTCATACTCTCTTGGCACATTTTCTCGGAGGCTTACGTGAAACCCAGATTTGCAATGACCGTAGGCTGATAAAAGTTGAGCCCTGTCGTCCCAATGGTATAAAATGCCCAGCAGAGAAGAAACAGCCAGAGCTTGTGATCTTTGAGAGTATGCCAGAACTCTTTCCAGTCGAAGTTTTTCTCAGCTGCTCTAGGAGCGTTGATGGGAAGTCGAGCTTGGACAAAGGCTTTCTCTTCCTCGGTCATCCAACGAGCTGTATCTGGGACTGTCTCCGATTTTAGTATGTAGCGCTACGTTGGTGTTGGTACAAACTCACAGTCGGGCATGAAGATATATGCGAAGATACCCAGAAGTATAGTGAATACTCCCTCGGTCAATATCAGCCTGTGTCATGGTCAGTAAGGCTTTAGACTTTGAGATACCAGCAGGTGAGTGCAGACCATTTCCATCCCGACAAACCCTGCGCATGGACACCATTAAACGCAAAAGCAAGCACACCGCTCACAACAGCACTGAAATTACCGAGAATAGTAACAAGAACGATACGAGAGGCCATCTCGTCGGGGCGATACCAATAGCACAGCTGGAGGAGCATACCAGGCCAGAGACCGGCTTCAAATAGACCGAGAAAAGCGCGGACTGTGTAAAGGCCGGCGGCATTCTTTACTGCGGCGTGACAAACGAGAACAATACCCCAGGATATCTATAGAACTTATCAGTCTGTGGGATTAAAGACGGGATGGGGAAACCAACCATGATTCTTGCTTGCCAAACTGATGGTTTGAGGCTCTTTACCAACAGGTTTGAAGGCGTTTCTGCCAGGATATACGGAATCTAGACAGCTCGTTAGTGATAAAACTCATATGAAGAAACTTGGTAACATACATAGTATGCCATAGTGACAAAATTGTAGTCATCAGGCGAGATATTCAACTCGGTCATGATATTCCTCGGCGTTCCACGATCCATGATTCGAGCATTCGAAACCTACAACATCAGCACTATAGTACCAAGAGAGATTATCAACTCACGTTAGAAGCGTCAATAGACTTGACCATATACATAACAGAAAGCAATGGAAGGAGATGCCAATCGATTCTGCGCAACAACTTCTTCTCCTGCTGACTACTCAACGTAGTTCGCGCTCCCATAAGCCTTCCATCATATCCTACAATACCGTCGTGAATATCTTCGGAAGATGGGATAGATTCTCCACGGGCAACTGTATTGTAGTGCTGTTTGACTGGTGGCTCTCCGGATAAAGAGTCAGGAAGATTATGAGTTTTCTCATCCAAAGTTTCATGGCCTAAGTGGCCTTTGGAGATACCAAAAGAGGCCATTTTAGCGATGATCTTCTCCAAGCTTGATAGAATCTACCAAGGTAATCCAATATAGATATAAGTCTTGGCTTCTTGGCTTGTGTATCTATCTACTCCTCACCCCACAATATGTCGACATCCGCGATCGGCATTCCTCATCTTGGCGTGCGGTAGGGATATAATTGCGCAACCCAGCTGTTATCTGTCAAACTATTCCTCAAATAATAATATTCTCAAAAACTAATGCGAATGATTCTATTGGGGTGTTGCCATCTCGGTTGGAGATAGAATTTGTTTTCTATATCCCCCGCTTTTGGCGGATTCGAAATACTGCACGTCAATGGTGACATTTGTACCACGGAAATTGATTGGCTTTTGGAGATTGCTTATCAATTTGGGAAGATCAACGTTATATCGTTTATCAGGACACACGGAACGGTACTTCTACCGGTTTTCATTTCGTTACCCCTCTTTGTTATCTGCTGTTATCGACGATGAAGATCATCAACACCTTCGTCTTCACTGCCGCTGCAACAAGGGCTTTCGAGCTCAGCGGTGTCCAATTCCCTTTTCTGCGGGAATCGCATGAATTGTCACCTCTTCTCGACTTGCATAAATCTCTCGTCGAGCGACCCTCAATCACCGGTTCAGAGAAACGCGTCACCGACTTTCTCAAAACATACCTCCAAGATGCCGGTTTCACCGTTGAGACTCAAACAGTAGCCAAGAACCGTGACAACATTTTAGCTTACTACAGTAACACAAGATCCACGAGAGTTCTCGTGACCTCTCATATTGATACTGTTCCGCCTTTCTGGCCTTATGAACGACGAGGTGATGAGATCTGGGGTCGAGGAACAGTCGATGCGAAGGGTAGTGTTGCAGCGCAGATCATTGCGGTTCAAGAACTATTTAAGCAGAAGGAAGTCGGCGAAGGTGATATAGCGCTTTTATTCGTGGTGGGTGAAGAGACAGGTGGACCTGGGATGGGCAATGTCAATGATTTAGGCCTTTCCTGGGAATCTGTTATCTTCGGTGAACCAACAGAGCTCAAACTTGCTCGGGGACATAAAGGCGGATTGGGCTTTACTATCAAAGCGAATGGAAAAGCTGGTCATTCGGGATATCCTGAGACTGGGAGTAATGCGATTGATAGCCTTGTTCGTGGGTTGGCGGCCCTTCAGAAGGTTGAGTTGCCTGGAAGTAAGGAGTTTGGAAATACTACTCTCAACGTGGGTAGGATTGAAGGTGGTGTTGCTGGGAATGTCATACCAGCGAGTGCTTATGCTACCGGTGGAGTGCGAGTTGCTGGTGGGACTCCAGAGGGTATAAAGGACTTGATACGCCAGGCAGTTGAGGATAGTGATGCGAGCCTCTTTGTGGAGTTCTTGTATGGTATTGGGCCTGTACCTACAGACTATGATGTCGATGGTAAGTACGAAGCCACGGTCCTTGAGCTGAAGCTGATTGAAACAGGATTTGAAACTGTGGTCTTGAACTACGGAACAGATATTCCTCGGCTGAAGGGGAGCCATAAGCGATATCTGTACGGACCTGGGTCAATCCTCGAGGCGCACTCTGCGCATGAGCACTTGAAGGTTTCGGATCTGGAGCAGGCTGTTGAGGGGTACAAGAAGTTGATATCTCACGCGCTTAATCAACCTCCTGAGCTGTGAAGGCAATTCAGGTTTAGATCTTTGGCCCAGAGGTTTCTACGTAACCATTTTCGATAGTCCACTGGATCTCTGCCAGTACCCAAGTACAGGCAGCAGAGAAGCCTCCAAAGTTCAATGACCCGAAATGTATGAGCCTCTATGTGTATAAGCAAAGACAATTTCCTCCTTTATCCAAACGCCCGCTTAACTATCCGTGCTTAGACATTTAATAGCGTCTTGTTCCACGCTGTGCCATCGGATACAACCAGCGCATCATCCCACGACATCCCGTAACTAAGCCTCCGCTGGCTTCCGGCCAGTGATGAATCGATAACTCGTAATCAATCTCAACTCACGACTTCGAAACTCCCTCTTCACACCCTCCATCAACACCATAACCTGATCGTGCGAATAATTCCATACACGCGTGAACAAGGCAGGTGTATGTGACTCAACCGACATTTGCATATGCGTCAACTCAAATTTTCCAAGCTCCTTCAGCGTCGGGTCTTTCGCCCAAGGACCAATGGGTATCTGGTCAGGTTAGTCAACCGTCATGCAACGATGAGACAAACTTACTCTGTAGACTCTCTCAACAACATCCTCAAACCCAGCATCAATCATCCACTGCTTATGATACTTTGCCACATTAATCTGCTTCCCAAACATCTTACTCGCCTCATCAAGCTTGTTAACCCACTCCATCGTCCACGGCGCCCTATCACAACTATCATCATCGCTGAAAATCCACGCATCATACTCCTGCATCTCCATATACCCGCCTGGCTTAAGATTATTCAGCGCCTGCTTATAAAACCTCATCCAATCTGCACTCGTGCCACTGAGCGCTCGACCGTGGATGTAGTCAAACTTCTCACTCTCACGGTACGTCCACTGATCTTCGTAGTCGTCAACGTGAAACATGCAGTTACTTGGTACCCAGTCCGGCTGGATCGGGGAGAGATCGACGCCGGCGACTGTTGCGTTGGGGAACTCGTCTGCCATTTCTATGGCCCAGATTCCAGTGCCGCAGCCGAGATCCAGGATGCGGAATTCGTCGGGTGAGTCTGGGTTAGGTAACGGCGCGGTGTGCAGAGCGCCCCCGAGGAGTAAGCGCCAGATGTGATGTTGGAGATCTAAGCGCTGTTGTTCTTGATCGTCATTTGGGAGGACGTATTGACCCTCGCGAAATGCGTGGTAGCGACGACCATTTTCATACTGGTAGTCGTAGATTGATGACGTGGCGGAAGCAGTGTAGATTGAGCCTCGGTCAGAGCCATAAGTAGAGTCTGCATCGTCACCAGCTATTTCATCCTCCTAAAAATGTTCAACACGTTATACTCATTAGTTTTATCGTGAGTGAGAGCGTACATCAACTTGGAGTGGCGCATGCTCTTCTGGCTGTTGGTTCTCGTCATCTGCGGGCGATCGGCGCGTCTCACCAGGATCTTGACCCGACAGACTGGTAACGGGTGGAGGAGACCCTGACGCTACGGGGGACGAAGAAGTCTTGGGTTTGGAATCGTGTTCAGAGCCCATAGTGGTAGTAATCGCCCAAATAAGCACTATTCGGTATGTGAAACCGTAGTCATGTCAAGCTCAAGCGGAGAATGACTGAGGGAAAAGATGGTCAGCCACGTGGAGACGGCGCGGGACAACCGGAGGAAGAGAAGAGAGAGAAAAACGACGGACTTTAGTTGGGAATTCCATGACCGTGGTACGATTGGGGAAACACGCGAGGATGGTCTCGATTCGGTTTAGTTACATCGATCTAGGAATGCATCTCCGTCTTTAAAGAGGGGCCCAGACTCAAACAACACTAAAGCCAAGCCAAGTCGGCTAAGGAAATAACACTCACCGAATTTCTCCCTTCTCCTCTTTCCTCACAAGCCAACAGACATACAAAGACAATGGCCAACGACAAACTCATCTGCGTGATTGGCGCCACAGGCAACCAAGGAGGCTCCGTCGCCCGTCGTTTTCTCAAAGCGGGCTTCAAAGTGCGTGGCTTGACCCGCAACACCACCTCACCCTCCGCCCAAGCCCTCTCATCGGCGGGAGCCGAAGTCGTGACTGTTGATCTCAATGACGTCTCGACTCTCAAGAAAGCATTTTCCGGTGCCAACGCCATCTTCAGCGTGACCAACTACTGGGAGCCGTTTTTTCGACCTGATTGTCGGGAGCAGGCTGCGAAGGAGGGCATTTCTTGTCGAAAGTTTGCGTATAATGTTGAGGTGCAGCAGGGAAAGAATATTGTGGATGCAGCTGCTACCGTGGTTGATAGCCTTGATGATAATGGGTTTTTGGTCTCGACGCTGAGTCAGGCTGAGAAGTGTAGTGGGGGGAAGTTTAAGGAGTTGTATCATTTTGATGCGAAGGCGGATGTTTTTCCGGCTTATGTTGATGAGAAGTATCCCGAGTTGGCGGCTAAGACGTCGTGCATTCATACCGGCTACTTTTACACCAGCTTCAACATTCTTCCCGACTCATACATGAACAAGGTGCGTTCATCGGATGTCCTATCATGGATTAATACTGACAAGAAATAGCTCCCTGATGGAACCTTTGAAATGTCCTTCACTACCTCCCCCGACAGTCTCGTCCCTCATCTCGACCCGGTTGGAGATCTAGGCAACTTCACCTATGCCGTGTACCAAATGCCTCCAGGCAAGGCCTACATGGCCGAAGGAACAACATGTACATGGCCGGAGTGGATTGAGACTTGGGGCCGCATTAATAAGGTCCCCGTCAAGTATCGCCAGGTTACGCCAGATGAGATGACAGCCGCTACACCTGATCGAGAGGCGGGTATTGAGACAGGATACATGTTCTCATACACTTCTGATCCAGGATACGATGGTGGTATGAAGCTGTTGAAAGCTAAGGATATTCGTGAGGTATGTGATGATTCATTCTTGCGATTTTTGGGCAGATGCTGACTTGGCAGGCGGGAATTGACTGCCCTATGACGAGCTGGGAGGAATGGGCCAAGAAGTACGACTGGTCTGCCATTCTTAACAAATAGGAGATCAAAGATGCCTACGCATGGTGATTTTTAGCGCAAAATGTGTTGCAGAAAGAACTTATTAGAGTAGACTACATTACGGCCGAAAGCATGATGATCAAATATGAGAACTATCGGTATTTTTTTATTTTTCTTTTCAAATTCGCTGTTGCAATGAGGCAGCATTTCACTTTATGATATCAGATGATCCAACAGTTATGAACACTTTTACCCCTCCAGCTGCCACTTAGCAACTCCCTTCGCATGTAACTCAACAGTATCAAACATCGGCATGTCAACATCCCCCGGCTTTAATATCATCTGTAACTCGGTACACCCCAAAATAACACCTTCAGAACCCCTCTGAAACATCTTCCTAATCTCATCCAAGTAAAACTCCCTTGACTCAGGCAGTACCTTATTACAAGACAACTCCTGAAAAATGACACGATCCATCCTCTTCCTCGCCGCCTCCCTCTCCGGAACAAATGCTTCAACCCCAAACTTCCTCTCAAGCCTCCCCTTCAGAAAATCATGCTCCATACTAATCTGCGTTCCCAACAACGCAACTTTCTTCAACCCCGCTTTAACTATAGCGTCACCCGTAAAGTCAATGATATGCAGCAGTGGAAGGCCCGTTGCATTTTCGATATCTTCTGCCCAGCGATGATTCGTGTTGACGCAGAGAACGATGGCTTCTGCGCCGATGGACTTGAGATTCTTTGCAGCGGTGCATATTTGCCGGGATACTTCGTTGTAGTTGCCTGCTTGGAAGAAATTAAAGAGTTCGGCATGGTCAAAGGAGTGAAGGAGGAGTTTGGAGGAGTGGCCTCCGCCGAGATGGTGTTGGACATAGGCGTTTATTTGTTTGTAGTAGAGGAGGGTTGCGTTGTAGGTTGTACCGCCGAGAAGACCTAAGACGCGCATCTTCGGTAGAGATCGGATTAGCTTTCTTCTTTGTATGATGAACTTGATCCAGAGAGTTGAGGAGAAACAGAGAGCGATGAGGGGAATATGTAGATGGTGGCTGCCGCTGGTCTTTTTATGTGAGAGTGGTTAAACGACTTCACGCTTGAGATGAAGTGGGGTTGGTCGTGTTAGTGCAAGACCTCAAAGGAGTTCACTTCAGCTCGTTGGAGCTAATCCTATTGGTAGGCAGTCGCTTATCGTCAACCCTACCGCCGTGACTCTTGTCATTAGATCCCCCATTGTACTGTATCCCTCTAACGAAAGCATTAATAGAGAGCTCACTTCTTTTGACCATTAAGTAAAGATATCTGCATTATCAAGATCAAGACTTTAAATCACGACTATAAGTAGAATTAATCCTTCATACATCCTCGCATAAAGTCGTAGTTTGTTGCCTAGTATTTTTTTAATTTTGGCTTTAATTCTTCATTTCCTCCATGTAAGCCTAACGTGTTTCTAAGCGTGGTACGGCATAAGAACTAGAAAAACAAGTGTAACAAAGCACTTTGCGGCTGGAAAACGAGGAAAGAAGTACAATACTTTCCTCCTTTATGCTCAGAAATGATAAGGCAAATGACTGTGACAATAAACTTACCACTTTATCGCAGGCCATAAATATCCTGATGGGCTACCGGATACCATCACCAACCTGAGACAGCAAGCAACAAGTGGACTCTAGAACAGTACCTTCGCCATGTCGCCGTTCGCGGGTTCGCGCAGTTTCCACGGTTAAAAAGCACATCCCCCCCTGTTCAGAAATAACTTGATGAGCTATTTAGCTTTTCGTCCGAGTCTCCAAGTGATAGCTTTCCGGAATCGGGATGATGACGTCGGAGGTCCGCGGGGTTCGGAGATGAGTCCGCGGCGATGCCTTCTAATAAAAGACGTCAACTCAGCCGGTTGTGTTTTGTGCTATTCCCAACCGCACCTTCACTACATCAGAATCAGACTAATTTCTTGAAGATTTGATCTTTGCATCGCACACAATGACTTCTACACCATCTCACGTTGACTGGACATCTTCACTCGACAAGTACGAAAAAGGCTTTGAGAGTATCTTTATCGGCGAACCAGCAACCACCCGAGCCGACCTTGAAGGCCTCTTCACTCCAGACTACACATCGGTTGTTGATGGGAAGAATATCGACTTTCGGGAGTTCGTCGAACATATTCAACATCTACGCCAAGTTACAACAGCTATTAAAGTCCAAGTGACGCACTTCCTTCGCGAAGGTAACCAACTTGCCGAGCGCCATTTTGTTACAGCCGAATTTTCCAACAAACCTCCATCTAAATATGAAGTCTTTCTCTTCGCGACTGTTGATGGAAGTGGAAGGATCGAGAGATTGGTGGAGACACTGAGACAGACGGATGGGTTGGAGGAGCATAAGGATCTGGGCAGCGCCAGGGCTTGAGATACAAAGCAAGGGCATCACATAGAAAGCATTCAGGTCCATCAATTGTAATCATCATTAAGGCTCCAAGGGTATAATGCTATCTAGACCTTCCGTAAAACAACAATTTACAACCAAAAACAAATAAAATTATTAGGTTTCCTTGACTGCTTCAATCAGCTTCCATTCCCATGTCGTCTGATGCTGAATGCACTCTTGAAGAATCTCAGGATCTTCCCACCACCAACGTTCAGCGACGATGTATTCTCTCCAAACCTCCATCCAGAGCATACGCCCCACAAGATTACGAAGTTCTTGTCTCAGACCCTCTTCAGATATGTGACCTTCTTTCACGTACTGAAGCTGGCTATTGTCAAGAGGAATGGCAAAGAATGGCGTCGTCTCAATACTATCAGGATCGACACGGAGTGATGCACCATTCAGCCAGAGAGGGAGGAGCTTGCTTGGGTTTGTGCAGCGGAAACTAGCTTCCAGATTGAAGAGCAGATGATCTTCGATCCACGCTCGTAAAAGGGGACCGAGAGTGTTAGTCACGGGGAGGGGATCGATAATGGTGAGTTGTAATGAACCACCAGGCTCAAGACATCGATGAATGTTTCGTAAAAGTGCGGGGATATCTTGTGATGGCATAGCGAGAGGAAGACGTAATGAGTGAACGGCTTCAATGGTAGATGGGGCGACGGGAAATGCGGAGGGTGATCTAACTGGTGTGAGGACAGGATGAATGTTGGGGAAGGAAGTGGGTGATAATGGTGCTGCGGAGAGATGGTAAACCTGTTTGTTGTGATTGACGGCAGCGAGGTATGAAGTGACAGCTGAGAGATGTTAGTTAAGTGAGATGAGAGAGTGAGTTATTTCACTTACCAGGTGTTTCATAAAGAGCAAGAATCCTCTTCGGTGGATCCGACGACTCATCTTCAGTATCATCATCATTCATCTCTGAATACTCAGGTCCGCCCATGTTGAACATAGCAGAGAGCATCCACTGCATCTTCTCAACCTCCAGATCCTGACATGAATTCGGCGGATCATTGACGCCCTGCGACTCAGTGAGACGAAGAAGTCTTACCATGTTATCCTCTTTGGCAAGTTGCTTCACACCCAACTGCATCGCGTTGAGTTCCTTGGGAATGGTAGCCTCTGGCTCGATAACAGGTTCGTCTGGGAATTGAAATGAAGGCTCAGTGGGTGTGCATGCCCAATCCTCGGGAGGTCGCCAGCCATCGCTGCTTTCGACTCTTAGTGAGGCTGTAGATGATGGCATGCGTCGTGGGGTCTTGGCTTTGGTTGGTGATCTACTACTCTGTGGACGTTGAGGTTGAGATCTAAATGAGGTGAGTGTATGATCGCTGTGAGAGAATGTGAAGTCTTACTGAGTACTTGGTGAGCGGGCGCGATGCTTAGACTTGATACTCGGTGTCGCCACTATGGTAACACCGCAATTGATGAGATACGGTGTATCGTAGGATGTACGCTGAGATGTCGTCGCTTCCGTACTTCGCGCGACAAACGAGTCATCGCTCAAAGCTTGAATGAGAGGCCATGGCTGTAAAATAACACGCTCAAGCGTTTCTGTATCCCACCGTGAAGATGACGATGTGGGTGTTGGTGAAGGCGGATGAAGAAGCGTATTATCCCCAACGTATACCTCTATCAAAACGTTAGCATAAGAAGAATAACCACTGCGCGTTGTCGCAAACCTTGAGAGCGCTCCAAAATCTGCCCATTTCGCCTTGCGTTGAGGTCAACGACCCTCGCCATGTTGATCGTCGTCTGTTCACTCCCCGACGAAAAGGTCGAAGCCTGATCTGCCTCCAACTCATAATTCCCCACCATAGCGCTCGCTTTCGAAGACGTCGACGACATAGAGTCATTCCCCCGCTCAGCATTCTTTCGTTTGTAAAAGTTCCCAAACGAAGGTATCTCGCTCGAAGAATTAGATTCACGACTGAAGATCGATCTCGTCTTGGTCGCGGTTGTCGCTTTATTCTCACGATGTTCTTTTCTCGACTCCTTTGGAGCAGCCCAACTGACCTCCCACATGTTGAGGCGATATCGATCAAGGTCTGAGATTCGGAGGGCGAGGTTCGATGCTGGTTTTCGGAGGATGGAGTAGAAGCGGTCTCGGGTGGAGGACTCTGCCGCTGCGTCTGGTTTTGTTAATGAGGACCGAGCCATGGTTTCATGCATGCTCAGCTGAAAAGACAACAGTCAGTGCAAAATTGACGGGGACAGGGGACAGGGGTGAAGAGGGTTGCATACGAAATTAAACAAGAGAGACAATACCCAGGCGATTGGTTCGATGGGAGGAAGCGGGCTTGCAGCTGGCGAATGCAAGGCTGAACTTTGTCGTTTTGTGGAGAGTGTCGAGGCTCGTGAGAACGGGATTTGCGGAAGTGTAATAGCGAAGTGGCGGGCGGAATGAGAGATCCGAGAGACTGGGAATGCGGTATGGGTAACGGAAGAGAAGTGGTTATTTACGCGAAGGGCGCTATCTTCATTGGTGAGATTAAGAGTACGATAGCTTACGATTTACCCGAATTGAAAGGGTAATGTTCTGTGAAACTGAGAAAACCACCCAAAGGTGTTAAAATGGGGAGAGCGATCAGCTTGCCCATGCAGGGGAATAGGCGGATCACCTCATGTCATGGGTCTCGACGCGGCCTGGGCGTTGGAGTGGCTTGCGGCTATCGGACGTCTTTGTGCACTGGCTGAGCATAACTTAGATGCCATTGTTTGCTTTGACAATCAGCATGCCAATGCTTTGAATTACGCAACGAGATTACTCAATGCAAGTTTGTCAAGTACATTTATGCTCATGGTTTGATCATCCTGAATAAGTCTCATCATGATTGCTACGCACATACAACACTCGGTTCGTGTAGTTTCACGATAACATCGAGACTTTTAACAAGACCACGATTGGTCCAGGCGGGAATCAAATGCACGTACCATGGATCAAATACCTCACACCAATGCCGAGAAAGCAGTAGCTCAAAGCATCACTTTCGCATATCGTGGCTTGAGTTCTAGACCATTTGCGGGGACGTCAACTAGCCCAACCCAACCCAAGTCTAGCCCACCTGGAATCTCGATAACTCCAGCCCTGACAGGCTGAACTAGCCACGAGTTCAACATTTGCAACCTTTTCCGCATTGTTGGGTTCTCGGTCTTGTGGCTTGCGGGACGGAGGGTAGCAAATAATACAGCTCAGGGGTCTGTGGGTTGACACATCAGATCAGATCTTGTTTCTATTGTTATTTCCTTGGATTAACGGAACGGGGTCCGAGGGACGGGCACATGGTCTAGTGCATTGATTGCACTGACATTTTGGAGGTTGTTCACGTCACTCTTACACCCAACATCAAGACACAATCGCCATCTCTTAGATGGTCGAGATAAGTTCTCTCATTTATCAGAAGCCACAAAAGAAGCGAGAATCACACGATTTAACTTCCCCCTCGCCAAACTATCGAAAGTCTTACCCCATCAATCTCGCTCTCGTACCTGAGAATGTCCAACCACATTTGCTTTTTTTCTTCTTTTTTTTCAAGAGACAAAACCACATGGTTGGCGTGGCTTTTAGCGTTCCTCAGCCAGCCTCACCAACAGCCCGGGTAACACTTCACAAGGACATCCGAGCCGGTTTCGGTACTCCCGCTAAAATAAGTTGGCGTGTAACCCTGATTCTTATTGATCAGTATTGTTTCGCGTGGCTTAATGGTGAGACGCAATCATGCAGAGCAAGATGTCAAAGCGAGGTGCCAACCATTGTTGGATGCGTTATAATTTCTTTATCACCCCTTTCTCTTATTCATGTGCAACTCCCCTTTGAAGTGAAAAGGACAGTGTCTGTGACCGACAAAGAATCTTCACAAAGAAAAGTCTAGAAGCAATCATGAAGAACCACGCGGTAGATCTAGCTACAAGGTTCAACAGGCGTGTCGCAACCTCCTCCATTGGCCGGTTCTTCAGGCTACAAGGCAGTAGACACGTATGTTTCATTCCAGTCACAAAAGCTTTCGCTTACTAACCTGCCCTTAGAGTAGAGAGATCGACGGGACGACATTCTTGAAAGAAGTTCGTGCTGGGGCGACGACTTTTGCGGCTATGACGTATATCATTGCTGTTAATGTAAGAAGTTTGTGAGGGAGAGTGGGAGAAGTGTGCTGATGAGGTTTAGGCTTCGATTCTTTCGCACACGGGTGGGCCTTGTGTTTGCGATGAGAAAAATAGGATTGATTGTGATAAGATTGATAGTTATGCGATATGTAAAGAGGGTGAGCTCTGGGATTGATTCGTTGAAGAAGAGGACTAATGAGATTACAGAGGTGAGGCGAGATCTCGTCACGGCTACGTCGGCCATCGCTGGACTCGCAAGTCTTGTCTTTGGTCTCTTCACCAACCTTCCTATAGCCCTTGCGTAAGTATCAAACTCCAAACACTTCACTTATCTAACAGCAAACAGACCAGGCATGGGCCTCAACGCCTACTTCGCCTTCCAAGTAGTAGGCTACAATGGCTCAGGCAGTATTCCCTACGGCGTCGCCTTAACAGCAGTCTTCACCGAAGGTCTCATCTTTGTATTCCTTGCACTAACAGGTATGCGACAATGGCTCGTCAAACTGATACCGTCAACCATAAAATCTGCAACTGGAGCTGGTATTGGTCTTTTTCTGACTGAGATCGGCTTGTCTTACGGATCTGGTATTGGTGCTATCACTGGGGGTTATAACGCAACGCCTTTGGCTATTGCTGGATGCCCTGTTGATATGATCAATCCGGATACTCAGATGTGTGAGGGCGGGATAATGACTAGTCCGAAGGCGAGTAGACTGAGATCGATGAAGAGTTTGGCTAACGAGAATGGTAGCTATGGACTGCTATTGTTGCTGGTGGTCTACTGACGACGTATCTCATGGCTTTCCGAGTCAAATACGCTTTCGTAATTGGTATCGCATTTGTTTCAATCCTCTCATGGCCGTAAGTCACCCACAATTCCCGCTGACTTTACGTGTTTCTGACATGAAGCAGACGAGATACTGCCGTTACATATTTCCCTCACACACCAGAAGGAGACTCTCGTTTCGAGCTCTTCCGCAAAGTGGTCTCTATTAACCCCATGAAACATACCCTCAATGCTCTAGACTGGGACGTCGGTCAACATGGTACTCAATTTGCCCTTGCGCTTTTCACATTTCTCTAGTAAGTCCTCCATCCACTCTGTTCTCCCTCTCACTAACAGACTCAGTGTCGATATCATTGATGCAACAGCGACAATGTTCTCCATGGTCCGCTTCTGCGGTGTTGTAAATGATCGAGATGGAGACTTCCCTCGATCAACTCTAGCATACTGCTGTGATGCAATCAGTATTTCCATCAGTGCCCTCTTCGGTTGTTCACCTGTTACAGCCTTTATCGAGAGCGGTGCTGGTATTGCTGAGGGAGGACGCACGGGACTCACAGCTATGACCACTGGTTTCTTATTTCTTTTGTCAATCATGTTTGGGCCCATCTTTTCATCTGTGCCGCCGTGGGCAACTGGCCCTGCTCTCATTCTTGTAAGTGTGAGATGGCGTTCTGCTTGGATCTGGACTGATACTCCCTAGGTTGGATGCATGATGACCCGTCAGATCACAGAGATCAACTGGCGCTACATAGGCGACACCCTTCCCTCATTTGTCGTCATCGCCTTCGTCCCGTTCTCATACAGCGTAGCCTACGGCATCATCGCGTAAGTCCCCACCCCCTTCTACCCATTCCCCAGCTAAGCAGCCATCAGCGGCATGTTATTATACACAGCCATCAACCTCATGATCGCTTTAACAGTTCGTCTTTCAGACGGTAGACTAGAACCAGATAACTACGACATGAAAGAATATTGGACCTGGAAAGCGCCAGGAAGAAAGCCATGGTTTGTACGAGCTTTTAGAAACGCTACTTATTCTGCACAGGACGTGCATGAGTCTAGTCCTCAGACCTTTAATACTCACGGTGGCTTGGACTGTGAGATGGTGAGGGTTGCGTCGTCAGATGAGAGGAAGGATGATGCGCATGTGTCGGTTTCTGTGCCTTTGCCTACGCTTCCTAGATTCTCTCGTTGAGTCATTCATGGCTTCTCGATTACCTGGCTGGCTTTCGTTCACGCCGTTGGGATTATATATTGTTCGATTCTTGTACATATTTATTAGTTCACCTAAACTCTACGTATTACTGCATCAGAGAAGTATCAATTATTTGTTTACCAACTAAAGATGTATTTATTGAACAAGTAGAAGATTGCTAGCTGTCCTATGGTATGTTTTGAGTCCATCGAAAATCACCGGGACCTCAATGGGGCTTCTTACACGACTTGGGCTTCCATCCCTCTGGCTTCAAGACCTGTCCGGCCAGATCAAATCCCGGTGCAACTATCATACGTTAGTTCATCTCCCCACTCATTCAATATCATCTCACGACTTACCAGTAGTCCCAACAAGAGTCCAATCACCCAAACTCCTTGCACTCTGCCACTCCTCCGCCTTAACAACAACCTGAGGTCTTTGTCCACCAAAAAGATCATTTCCCATAACATGATCCCTCGTACAAGAACCATCATTCTTCGAGAGAGACAGAACAAGCGGTGCACCGGCGTAATAGTGCCAAACTTCGGCTGCATCGAGTTTATGCCAGAGAGATTGGCCCGCGGAACCTTGGAGCAGATAGTAAATAGCTGTACTGATGGATCGATTGGTTCCTGGGACAGTTGTCGGGTCTACAAAGGTTTGGACGAAGTACCCTTTTTCGGTGTTGGGTTCGAGTTTGAGAAGGTCGATGACTTGTTCTGCTGAGCAGTCTGTGATGGGTTTATGTTTGGTGCGGCGGTCGAGAGATTCAGGGAGATGGAGGGCTAGGCTGAGGGGGAGCCATGATAGAGCTAAAGCGAAACGCATTGTCGATGAATTGAGTTGAGAGAGTTATCTGTAGATATGAGAGTGAGAGGATATACTGTTGGATTGATGGTCCAGTCAATTCAGACGGCGATCAACCATCCTTTTGTACCTCATCTCGAAAGCTATGCTTACTCCCGGCAGTTTCGGATCGACAATGATGCGGGGTGGCTGGAGGTGTCAGATTCACGGCTTGCAAGCAGTAAAGCGTGAATTACCAATCTTACTCATGACGTACACTCTTGCACATCCTCATTTAAGCTGAATCAGTATAATCCTTCGGTGAGATGCTGCTTAATCTGACACTGAACCTACCAATGACATGTCACTGAGCGTATAGAGCGGGTGCCGCCGCGTGCCGGGGTCTGGACCCTTTAATGTCTCAATCGGGAAGCCCCGATATTCGATGAAGTTATCAGATAAGAAAGTCTACTTGAACGATGAGTAGTCCTCTCAAGTCAGGCAGGCTTCAATTCTGCCTCGCAAACTCAAAATGGCAACCAAGAAGCCCCAAGAGATTCTCGCCGCACTTCTCCAAACAGTCGAGCGCGACATCGTCCCGTTGACAAGCGATGGCGTCCGCTCAGGCAGCAAAGTCTTCGGCGCAGCAATCCTCTCAACCCAAACCCTTAAACCTCTAACCGTCTCAACAAACAACGAACGCTCCTCACCTCTTCTTCACGGCGAAATTAACTGCATCCAAACATTCTACACACAAACATATCCCGATCCCAAATCTCGACCGAACCCCCGCGAAGACTGTATCTTTTTCGCAACGCATGAGCCTTGCAGTCTGTGTTTGAGCGGAATCACGTGGTCTGGCTTCAAAGAGTTGTATTATCTGTTTACATATGAGGATAGTCGCGATCAGTTTGCTATTCCGTATGATATTGAGATACTGGAAGAGGTTTTTCGGGTGAGGGCTGAGGGGGAGAGTGATGAGGCTGTTGGGAGGAGGGCGTTGTATAATAAGAGGAATAAGTTTTTTACTGCCAAGAGTGTCAAGGATCTTGGTGAAGAGATTGAGGATGGGGATGAGAGGAAGCGGTGGAGCGACGAGGTTGATAGGGTGAAGGCGTTGTATTCTGCGTTGAGTGATGAGTATCAGAAGAATAAGCAAAGTGGCATAGAGACGTCAAGTACTTGGAAATAATTGACAAGTTTCATGGAATTGGGTCGAGCCTCGAGTTTTTTATGCATCTTCGCTCCTGAGATACCCTACACGGAATACCTGGAGTGGCCTGTATTCTACGACAACCGCTTGGGTAAGGATTAAATAGCCAGTGAAACACGACCGAATTTTCTACTGTTATGTCAAGCCATCTCCGATGGGAGATAACCAATTGTTCCAAGAAATACAAGGGAAAACCCGCCGACGACGCATCTTAGGGCGATTTCAGCTGAATCGTCAAGCCTCAAGCACTAAAAATAACCACTACGTAGTACATCACATTCAGCCTTCCTCAGAGTACGATAAGATAATCACTCCCAACGATACCGAAATTCCCATCGGAAAAACAATCCGATACCAATCTCGATATACGGATCAACTTCTCAAAAATTGATGCTTGAACAAATCCCCGATCGAAAAATCGGAGCCCGAGATCTGGATCGGGCCGCTAGCATCTTAGCGTCGGCCTAAGAGCCTAAAAGGAGGGCGTCACATCATTTGTTTATCATGTATAACCTGACAATTCATCCTGCATTATCGTGAGAAGCGCCTTGCCGTAGACTAGCCATATTAGATGATTCCTTAATAACAGAAGTTCAATAACATTCATGCATGATAACGTTATAGATGGTAAAAAGAACGGATCAGGTGAGGCTATCACGACGTGCAAGGATATCGGGAGATAAACTTAACTGAACTTACAGTAGGTTCCATGAAGATCATCTCGGCTAGTCTCAACGTCATGGCTCATCGACACCTTGGCAAACCCACAAAATAATACCGCAGTGAATACAAACTTTGCTTCGTCAACATTCGTTGTTGACGATGGAGTCCGACATCGCAGATGATCTTGACAAGCTCAACGTTCGAGACATTCTCAACGCAGACTCACGACCTACGTTTATCATCGATCTTGATCCTGATGACGAAACGCCACTGCGCTCAAAGGCTATTCAGCCTGTGTTTTTCAACAGTGCACTCGCCACGCATGAGCGACTCTTAGATGCTGTGCGCGGTGAGCAGAGTGAGAGTGAGTATGCAGAGTTCAAGACTTGGGCTACGGGGATTACGAAGCAGGACGATTCGAAGGATGTGTTTCCGTTGTTCTTTTTGTACAAGGGCTTGCTTTGGACGGGGTCGACTGTTGGGAAGAGATGGAGGTTGATTAGTGGGAATCGACTTTGGCAGCAGCCTGACACGCCAGCGAGTTTATCATCGGCTGCACTTTCGAGAGCGAGTACGCCGAGTCTCAAGGATCAGGATACGCCAAAGGGAGAGGTTTCAAAGTCGCCCAAGCAAGATGAAGCGAAGGAGGGTCATGTTGAGGAGGCGCAGGAAATGACGCCGACGGAAGCAACATTGATAGCGTCTACACCGCGAAAACTCCCCTTCAGATCATGGTGGCGAGGCAGTAATTCAAAGGGAAGTTCAGATCGCAACACCGGCAGTTCAAGCAGTGGCTCCATAATCCTAGGCAAACCCGAAAAAGCCGTCGCAGACTGGACGGTCGCCAACCCAAAAGGCCTTTTGTCACCCTACATCCGTCTCCTGCGCGCCATAGACTGGTCCTCAACACCCCTAGGCCCCATGTCCTCATGGTCCCCCGAACTACGCCAAGTAGCGAATCTCGTCATCAACAATCCGCACCCCGCGAATATCTTCTGGGGAAAAGACATGACCATGCTATACAACGAAGCGTACGCCGTTAGATTCGCTGGGAACAAACATCCTTCTATGCTAGGGACGGGAGCGTCGGGGCCTTGGTCTGAGGCTTGGGATGTTCTTGGTTCAGCGCTGCAAGAGGTTGTGAGGACGGGTGTGAGTTTTAGGAGCGATAATGATGATTTGGTGTTGTTTAGGAGGGGTTTTTTGGAGGAGACGCATATTTGTTGGTCGCTTACGCCGTTGTATGGGGGGACGGAGAGGATTGTGGGGTTTTATAATGCGCCGTTTGAGACGACGGATATGGTGTTGAGTCAGCGACGCATGGGAACGATTAACAAGGTCAGCGAGTCGTTGAGGAAAGCGACGAGTATCAAGAGTTTCTGGATGTCTGTTCTGGATGGTCTTGAAGATAACCACCGAGATGTTCCGTTCGCACTTCTGTACTCTGTTGGTGAGGCTGAAGAAGCAGATCAACAGTCGAGTTCGTCGGGGAGCACGATCTCGAGCAAATCTTGTTATCTTGAGGGAACGATTGGGATACCGCTTGGCCATGCTGCTGCGCCGGAGCAGATTGATCTCAAGAGGAGTTATCGGGGGTTTGTGCCTTCGTTTCGAGAGGCGATGCGGACGAGGGAGCCGACGCTCGTAAGAATACGAGATGGGACCTTACCTGAAGATCTTATGCAGGGTATCAAGTGGCGAGGATTTGGGGAGGCTGGTACAGAGGCGATAATCTTTCCGGTTCGACCTACGAACGGAGAAACTGTACTAGCGTTCCTGGTTCTGGGCGTCAACCCTCGTAGACCATACGATGAGGGGTACATGTCCTTTGCAACACTTCTCAACAACCAACTTGCTACTTCACTAGCATCAACCATCCTCTTCGAAGACGAGACCCGACGTGGTCGCGACGCAGCAGAAGCAGCAGCTCTAGAGAAAGAAGAACTCACGCAGCAACTGAACCTACAAGCAAGTCGTCTTCGAAGAATGACAGAGTTATCGCCACTGGGCATGTTCCTCACCAGTCCAGAGGGTATTCTTCGTGAAGCAAATGATCGATTCTACGAAATGACTGGCCATAGCCGAGATACTCAAGGCGATATGTCATGGGCCGATCTTATGAAGAATTCGGGAAGTATAATGGAAGAAGGCTGGCGTGGTCTTACAGAGGATATGCTCCCTTGGTCAGGAGAAGTTAAACTCCGAGAAAGCTTTGAAAACCCCGTCAACATTCATGGGGAGTCGATTGACTTTTGGGTTCTCGTCACAGCTTACCCCGAAATCACCGCTGGCGGCGCATTAAGGTCAATCATGGGCTCGATAACGGATATCTCACATCTGAAATGGGCACAAGGTCTACAGAACCGAAGATTGCAAGAAGCAGAGGAAACACGACGTCAACAGAACGAATTCATCGACATAACATCCCACGAGATGCGCAACCCCCTAAGCGCGATCTTACAATGTGCAGATGATATTACCTCAGCGATGCAGGCATGTCGCACCAACGGCATCGCAGCTTCACAAGAAGTCATCGAATCATGCCTCGACGCCTCACAAACAATAGCTCTTTGCGTTCAGCACCAAAAGTCAATTGTTGATGATATTCTCACCGTTTCAAAACTTGACTCAAATCTCTTGCTTATAACACCGGTGGTTTGTCAACCGCAAGCTATCGTTGAGCGAGTGGTCAAGATGTTTGAGTCTGAAATGCTAGCGAAGGATATCACGCTTGACATCGATATCAGTTCTGAGTTTGAGGAGCTAGCTGTTGATTGGGTTGCCATGGATCCGAGTCGCGTTCTTCAGATTCTTATTAACCTCATGACGAACGCTATCAAGTTCACTGCACCTTCAGCAACGCGGGTGATAAAAGTGGCTGTTGGAGTGTCGAGAGCTCCACCGGAGATTAACAACATTCCTGGATTTGAGTTTGCGCCTACGAGGGGTGAGATTGGAAATGTTGTGGGATCTGATGAATGGGGGTCTGGAGAGGGTCTGTACGTGCGGTATAGAGTGCAGGATACGGGTTGTGGATTGACTGACGATGAGAGAAAACTTCTCTTTCAACGGTTCAAGCAGGCCAGTCCACGAACACACTACAAATACGGTGGCAGTGGCCTTGGACTATTCATCTCAAAACGACTGGCAGAGCTCCATGGAGGTCGCATTGGCGTTGCCTCAATAGCCGGCAAAGGCAGCGATTTTGGTTTCTACATCCAAGCTCGACGCTCATCACCTCCCAACGAACAAACCTCCCTCCTACCAATCCTCACCGAAACACCCTCCCCTTCATCCCCCACCAAAAGGACAGTCCAACTCCTATCCCCAAATCCCTCAGCACGAACCCGTCGCGAAAGCATCCTCGCCGCCGTCTTCACCCCCACCACCCTAACAGTCCACATCGTCGAAGACAACCTAATCAACCAAAAAGTATTAGTAAACCAACTCCGCAAAGCAGGCTGCACCGTAAGCGCCACGAACGACGGGATCGAAGCTCTAGAATTCTTAAAAAAGACGCATTTCTTCAAAGCTGGAGGGTCGGAGTTATCGGTAATTCTCATGGATCTGGAGATGCCGAATATGGATGGTTATGAGTGTGTGAGGGAGATTAGGAGGTTAGAGAGGGAGGGGATGATTGGGGAGCATGTTCCTGTTATTGCGGTGACGGCGAATGTGAGGGATGAGCAAATTAGGAAGGCGTTGGATAGTGGCATGGATGACCTTGTTTCGAAGCCGTTTAGGATTCCGGAGGTTATGAGTAAGATTGAGGGGTTGTTGAGGAGGTGTAATAGGTAATTGAGTTGGAGCACGGGTTAGATTTTGTACAAGCATTGGGCGTTGATATAGAGTGATTTACATTCAGCCGGTCTATCAGCAGTCAATTTGACAGATTTGGTACCTCGTGATAGAAAGAGTCTTGATTTACTAACACCGGTATTCGGACGAAAGGAAACCGCGCGATACGAAGAGTGAGGCGTGATGGGATGATCCCTGAATAACCTCATGAGGTTGGGCCTCAAGATCGGCGCTGCATTGCAGGTCCCCCACGTCCCTAACCATGCAAGCTCTTATCGCCTCTTCCCTTGTGACAAACGCATCAAGGAACACGAGAGAATCACAATCAATGGAATATGTCATGATGTTAAAGTCTACAATCTACTACGCTCAGAATACGCTATGCTAATAATGCCTAATAAACACTCCGTCTATCCACACTCCTCCTATCAACACTCATCGCCCTCGCACTCCTCCCCCCATCAACAACACTCCTCCCCGAAACCACACTCCTTCCCGATGAACTCCTCCTATCAGACCCAACACTCTTCGCCGGCATGATCCTCTTGTTCAAATCAACAGGCCTAACCTTATCAAGATCAAGCGACCGAACCTCAAAATCCGGCTCCCTCTCCATCTCCGCAACTGTATGTTCCCGTCCAATATGGTTAACAAGCGTATCAGCACTCGGACACAAAACATCTCCATCGCGGAACCGACTGCAGAGCACACAGGCGAATTCTCCCTCGGGAGTGTGACACTTGATGACGAAGCGTGGACTGATGTGGAATTCTAGTTCTTCGTCGATTTCTCGCTTGTAGCCACCTTGTTCTGTAATCACGCGCGTGGCTGTTTTCCCAATAGCCCATGCATCGTCTGCTTCAACGTCTAAAAAGACATCGCACGCTGGACAGAGGCAATCACCCCTCGGTGCAAATGCCGATGCGAGGGGTCGTTCGGGGATGTATTGTAGATCGAGGGCGTAGCGACAATAAAGGGGATCATCCTTTGTAACAGTCGATGCTCGTTTCGGCGGCGGCAACGCTTTCGGCAGCGCAGGTTCTTCCAGGTCCATAAGTCTCTCCCGCTGCTGTCTCAACGCCCCCAACGATCCCTCCCTCGCCGCATCACTAGCCGCTATCAACCTCGCCATATCAGCCCTATCAAGCTGCCGTCCATTATACACCGCATCCTGGAGAACGTTGATGACCGTCTGCTGCAGCGCAATGACCTGCGCCTGGAGTTTGTTCTCAGTAATGACATCTCCAATGGCAAAGCGCTGCCCGTAGCGTTGGTAGCCATCTTCGAATTCGCGGTTGATCAAGGCGCCGGAGCGCTGGAAGGAAGCTTCGACTTCGTCGCGGGCGCGGGAGTTTTGCTCGACTTGGGCTTTGAGCTTTTTTATCTCCTCGTCTTGTGTGGTGTCGCGCTTGGCTTGCTTGCGCTTTTCTTTGACGCGGTCCCAGAGACCCATTGAGGATGTGAATGTTCCGACGAGGGTGCTGCATAGTGTAGCTATGATGAATGTTTTCTACAGGATTAGCACGTAAACCCCATTCAAATAAGAGGAGAGATAGTTACCTTGAGGTTTTTCTCCTCAATCATGTTGGCGTAATTCATCTTGCCGATGTTGTTTTGCTCAAGTTCTTTGTCTCAGTAGATATTGCAATTTTACCAATGCGTGAGATCAATGCGTAAGTTTGATGCCCAACGACCCGAGACATGTAAACAAAAAGAAACAAGTCGCAGATCATCGGCGTATATATGTCTCATCCCCGATCCAGGGTCTTCAGGGTTGCACAATGATGGCATATTAGTCCCCTAGGGGTTGCACACCGCTCGCAGTGGAAATACGTGGTCGTGAGCATATCCCGCGTTTTCTCTGTCATAATACATATTTCCCGCAGCCAGTGACGTCAGTTGCATCGAGATGTGCCAAGTTTTCTGATTGCTTCGCTAATTGGTGGATCTAAAATAATGACGATGCTTGTTTCCGACGGTTTTTGCACTTTATCCACCCAGGCTTTGTCTTGTTTTGTCTTTGACAGTTTAATTTTAGTATTTTATTTAAAAGCCAAGATTACTTTAATATTAATCTGGAAATGGTAAACGTGAGCTCGTTTGTTCTGTGAAAGTTGGTGCTACGGAACGGATGTTACTCCGATGGACATGGCTCGGCGTTTCGGAAAACCAACATGATCATGTCTGCTGACTTTTTGTGCAAGGTACATGGTATTAAATCGGTATCATAAAATAATGCCCAAGAAAATGATTCGCTCTTTAGTATGCAATGCTCGTCCACACAACCTCATCGATCTGCCTTGTTAATAATCTCCATCTCATGCTCCATCCCAACGGTCCGTCCACTACTCACAGTAACAGTCGTCAATCCCCCAACGTCACTCAACGTCAGCATATCTTCTTCATCCGATATCCGCGCCAAAGACCTGTCGATGAAAATAGGTTTGTTTCCTGATGGCCCTTCTTTCTGCTTTCTCATCTTCAAGACCACCTTCCGGACAAGTTGGCGTGTTGAAGGCACGCATGCTACTGTCGCGCCCATGTATGTCTCGATACATGCCCAGAGAATGACTTGCTGTTGGCCCGTCTCTTTCGATATTTGTCAGTGGGTGTTAAAAGTTACTTTCCAAGATAGGCTTACGCGCTTCTTCTGGATCAACAAGGAGCTGTGATTGAAAGGTCGTCCGGATGATGCTGACTACTGTGAGACTGCCACCATGTTAGATATACGTTTTCCTCACCCGTCAGGTTCTTGATGAACTTACAACAGACCCAAGCCAAACATGGCCATTACACTGATCTTCTTGTTGAGCTTCAGCCCTATGTTGTAAAGTTGCGTCATGGGCAGCACAAGCATCCATATATCCAGAGCCAGGTTGACCACGCAGTGCGCCAGGACAATCTTTATAGCATTCGAGTATTTATTCATATTGCTCACTGAATCTGCGCCATTGTCGAGGAGATACGTCACAGATCGTCCGAGCGTAAAGTTAAGAGTCAGAATGATGGCTGTTGAGAGGGCGTTGAAAGCATGGGTTATCCAGACGAGGATTCTGAACGTATTGTCTTGGAATACTCGTAGGTAGAAGAACAGGATCGATGTCTTGGCTGCTGCAAGACCGCACACATAGAGGAGATGAAGGATAAACACTTCCTACATTGATATCGTCAGTTTTATACCCAAGTTTGAGCTTGATCATGTACCTTTAGGGCATTGGATAGGTCATTCTTGGTAAACAATGGTGCGGCGAGTCCGACTCCGTGGTGTATTGCTATGAATGATTAGCAAAGACACATACTGAATGAACTGGTCATACCAAGTAGCGTAAATACCGTAAACGGTATCAAAATGAACTGCCCATCGTCAGCGGGGTTATTGCCAAACCAAGAGTCGTCATACAAATGTGATGATTGCCCATGTGTCATCAGCGCCCCAGGTATTCTTCGTGATGATCTTCGAGGCTACCCTGAACACAATGAAAGAAAATGACAGCGTCGCAAATACGATGATAGTGGCTCGATACTCTTGTCGATTATCCTGCATCGGCATCTGACATAGCTTTTGACCCATGTCAATGAAGCCTACACAGAATTAGCTACCAACACACAGCGATAACCCATCAGGCATGCCTTTTATCTCTTGAGCAGTGCATACCCCGGTGACACAGTTCAACACATTAGTCTGAAAAGCCGGGTTATCGCACATCGATCTGATATTCGTGTTCGTCTCGCCCGTCGAGTCCATCGTTTCGAGGATACATGGTATCTAAAACCCGTCAGTCTCACAATAGAGTAAATAATCTGCTTACTTACTGCACATGACGGTACATCTGAAAGCGAAAAGGCCGTCGCCAGACCCGCCAAACAGAGCAGAAACAAAACCCTCAAGATAATCATTTTGAGGCTCTGCAAGACAGATAGAAACAGGAACAAACGGAAATAACTCCCGGGGCCCCCTCAAGTGTTTTTAACAGAGACCTCGCTAAGATTAGTCCAACTACGTTCTTGGTCTAGTACCCTCATTCTGGACCGCATCGATCCCGTCTTCAACGAGCTTACCAAGGAATGAGTATAGCGCCCATCATTCCAACGGGAAGTTAAATCACACTGCACCAAACCAGAACAGGTGAGTGATCGCGTAGGTACCCTGCTACGCTATGATCCGGTGATGACGGGAACTGACTGTGGCGTCGACGCTACTTCAAATCTTGGGACGCTCATCTCATCAAGCACGGGTCGATTCGTTAATTAAAGGCCCCCAGATGTCTCATTTTTGCTTATTCCCCTTAAAACCAACGAACTCGCATTCTCCTCATGGGTCTTCAACCTCCCAAACTTTCCCTCACCATCATCCCAGACCTGCAAATCGATGTAATCCCTCTGGCGCTTGTCATCAAAAGCAAAACCAATGTAACATGACGGTCCGCACCACTCTGAGCGCTGTGTTTTGAAACACCAGAAAAGTGGTCTATGAGTAAACAACCCCTCGTGTTCCAACCATGTCTCCAGCTCGCGTTTCTTATCCAAATGAAGACTGAAATTCTCAGTTTTGCGGTTGCATTTGGCTAGCCAGTCGTTATGTGCTTTTTCGTGGAAATCAAGACGAATTTCTATTTTGAAGGATCGAAGATCTGGACGGATTGCTTTGAGGGTTTGGTATTGAAGATCTTGTAGGTTGACTTTGTCGGCGCAATCGTTCAGATCAATGTGAATGTCGAGATCTTTCAAATGTGGAACGTCGTTAAAGATCTTGAGCTCTCCATCACGAAACCAGTGATCGTAATCTCGAAAAAGGTGTAATCGTGAGATATAAGCGAAATTAACCTTGCTTACAGGCGATGTATCACCAATCGGCCACATCCTATGCCCTCTTCCAACAACATAGTGGCGCGGGCAACAATAACCCCTCCGAAAAACATTCTCCGAGTAGAGAATCGGAGTAGCTTCTTTGTTAATCACCCAACAAGTTTGAAGGATTTTGGGATGGATTGCAAGAGGGCAGTCCCATGGTTCTTTGGGTATGAGGCGGAAACTTTTAGAGCAGTGGTGAAGTTCAGCGTTGTTTGGGGAGATGAGGAGATGGCGATAGATGTAGAGACGGATTTCTACGGGGAGAGTGAGGAAAGGGGAGGCGCCACTTTCGATGTTGTGACGTGAGGGGACTTTGCATTTTCGTGGCGGTGTGTTTCTCATTTTGTTGCCGGATTGGGGTGAGATGGGTGAAGGGTCTTGTTTAGCGGTAGACTTTGGGTGAAGGAACTCTGCTATCAGCCGCTGTTGATTCATTTTTGTCTCACTGGTTCAATGGGATGAATTCGTATGAATGGAAGAAATAGATGAATAGGTAGCATAAAGAGATGGCGGGAGTGTGATGGTAAAGAGGTGAGCATCGTCAGCATTTAGCAGGCATCCTCACCACAGCGGGCCATTGATCTTCCGGGTCATCACACTGGGTAGTAGATCAGGCTGCAGAAGTTCTGCCCCTGCAAAATCGGAGGATTTTAAGTCGTAACTGCGTATAGCACCAAACCGTAAGCAATAAAATATTATGATCAAATAATACCCGAATATCATCTCGTTTAAAATTAACAAAGCCGACCAGTAAGCCAGAGATTATAAGCTGGAATAAGTTGACATCCCATCTGTTAGCAAGGCAAATTACCGTAAACAGAGTCTTGATTATCACGAACATCTCATGTCCAGTCTAAAAAGTCTATGCCGCACTCATCATATCTAAACAAATACACTTATCTCTGTAATGTCGTAATATCCCCAACTCCAACCTAACCAGCCATTTTTTTCATAACCCTAGTTGCGTCCTCGCTTTCCGCGTCCATTATCAGCATGTCCACCGGGAGCACCATGTTTCTGACGAGGTCGATCAGCAACCGTGTTCAACCCCCGCACACCTCTCAAACCCATCTTGCCAGCGGTACTCTTCTGAATAGTAGGCACATCAGGTGATCCCAGACCCTTGCGCGCGTATTCATTGGCTATTCGAACGAGTGCCTCCTTGTCCCATCGGAGAGCCTTCAGGTGACTGTTGTAGTATCCCAGCCAAGCCTGATAAATGCGAGATTTATCATCGTCCTCCATCTTCTCGGCGACTTCGATGACGTCTTGGGTAGGAGAAAGATCGGCTTCGCGGCGGATGAGGTTGATTTCCTTAAGGGAGTACTTGGGGAAGAAATCCTCTGCGTCGCAAACGATCAAAATTCCGCGTCCTTCAGCGTCGGCTCGTGCTGTTCGGCCGAGACGGTGGATGTAGCTCTGCTTGTCGGCGGGCATACCGACTTGGATGACGGTGGTGACACCGGGGAAATCCATTCCGCGAGCGACGACATCGGTAGCCACGAGAATGGCGCTGCGAGCAGTTCGGTAGTCGTTGGTGATTTTTGTACGCTTGTTCTGACTCATGCGACTGTGGAGGATCGAAACGGGGGGAAGGCCTGGAAGATCCTCCAAAAGGCGCCCGTAGAAATCAGCGATGGCAGCAGTAGGCGCGAACAGAATCGCCTTGAAGGCCTGGCCGCGTGTAGCTTCCTCCCGAATACAGCCAACCATGGCGGGCGCAACGTCGGCAAAGGTAGGAACCTGGACGAGGAATTGGGGAACGCGCTCGTGAGTGTTGGCTTCACCGGCGGGAATGGTTGAGATGAACTTGTAGCCCGGTGAGAGGACGAGGCCAGCGACTTGCTCAACGTGAGGAGCGATGGTGGCGGAGAAAAGCATGCCTTGTCGGTCGGTCTTGGTCTTATCGGGAAGACGGTTGACAATCTCACGAAGATCTTTCATGAAGCCCATGTCGAGAAGACGGTCGGCCTCGTCGAGGACAAGAGTGTTGAGCTTACGCATGCTGTACACGATATCCTCGTTGGACATGTGATCCAGAAGTCGACCAGGCGTAGCGATGAGAATCTCACAACCACCAAGAATCGCCCTCTCCTCACGATCTTTGTTCGTTCCTCCAATAGCAACCTGAACGCGATACTTAGGGAGTCCTTGAAGAACCCTCTTCGCCTCCGCAGAGATCTGAAGCGCAAGCTCACGAGTCGGTGAGATAACAAGCAGTGAAATGCCATCACCGGCAGCTCTGTTCTGGTTAATCATAGTCTGCAGCGCAGGAATCAAAAAGGCCATTGTCTTTCCAGTACCGGTGCGCGCTTGGACGAGACAGTCGCTGCGGTTCGGGGGAAGCAGCTCATCCATGGTCGCAGCTTGAACGGGCGTCATGAACTCAAACTTCATGTCGTTTGTGATGGTGCGCACGATGAGAGGGTTGACCTTGTTGTTCTCCAACAGACTGTCGAAACGGCGCGAGGTAGGAGTTTCAGTCAGCGGTGCAGGCGCAGGCGCAGGCGAAGGTGAAGCCATCTCTACATCAGGCGAATCATTCTCAGGCTTTGGGTTGCGAGGCTGATTGCGAGGCTGGTTTGGGCGACCGCCGCCACGAGAGCTGAAACCTCGACGATTGCCGCCGCGACCGCCGCGGCGTCTTGAACCACCGTCCATCAGGAAAAGAGGAAAAGAAGGGGTCTGTTGCGATGCGAAAAGTGTTGTGAGGGGGAAAAGTTGAGTGCGCGGACGTTGAATGATGTTGAGGGGAAGGCGAAGACGCTGCATTTTTCTTTGTTGACCGTCTTGAGATTTTGATAACGGGTAAAAAGTCTCTGCTCTTTGTAGTACGGCGCTAGACCGAAAGGGGTAACAAGCGACGGCTTAGGCGAAAGACGCTAGGCTTATTCTGGGAAGAGGCGACAAAGCGCTGCACCTCAATTTTTGTGTAGCAACATTATCCCAAGATGATAGCAAGGAGAATGAGTTTTGCCCAAGACGTTTGAAATGTTATTATGAACGTACACAAAATTTGCCAAAAGTACTAGAGCAAATCTAGCACCTCGTAGAGGTAGCTTAGAGCCTTATGTGCTTCCAATGATTCTTTTAACAATGTCGGCGACGTTATCCGGCTGCGTCAAGTTGGGAACATGTCCGCTCTTGATCTTATGCACGCCAACCTCGCCTTTACTCGCTCCCTTCAAAAATTCAACCATTCCATACTGATAAGCCGTAAGAATGAGCTTATCCTCTTCGCAGACGACGTAGTGCACGCCAACATCTTCATAACCAGGGTAACTCAACTGTTCTCTGTACGACGCTGTTGAGTGCTGCGGCATCGCTCTGGCAAGTCCGAGGGCCTCCTCGGGTGAGAAGTCTGAGTAAAGAAATGGTGCGCATTCCGATTCCAGCGTCATGTAGTCATCCTGTTGCGAGGTCAGTATCTGTTGAGGGATTGTGAAGAAAGATCTTGCCTCGATTTTGAGAAAGTCGGGAGCTTCCAGTAGCGACAAAACGGACCCGCCAACTGGCAGTGCGACGGCAGCCATGTAGATGATCTTGCTAACACCTCCCTCCTTACCCTCAGCTTGTCGGGCTTTTAGAGACAGTGTCTTGAGACTTTGGGTGGCGGGGACTCCTCCGTAAGAGTGAGTCAAAAGGACAACCTCTCTGCCCTGATCGACTAGCTTTTCCACTACCGACACAATCTCGTTGACGTCGTCAGTCATGGTAGCCGGCTTGACTTCTCGCCGTCCAACCGAGGGCAAGTCAACTATCTCGTTGGGTATATCATTGCTAGTGAGACTTTGCGACAAGCTTTCGTACATAGATAGGGCCGCGAAAGAGCCTGGGACAATGACAGCGGTAGACATGGCGCCGAGTTGGAGACCGAGGCGAGAGTTATCGTTTGAAGACACGACTGTGGTTTCAGTGCAGTTAAATAAATATTTCGTGCCGCATTGCTGCGTGGCAAGGCTGAAGTGCATCTGGCGAGATATGCAAGAACGGAAGTATTTCCAGAATAGGCTTCATTCTTCATGCGGCCCCAAGCTTGACTAGCTTGGTGGCTTGGTAAGCCTTCGCCTCAAACTCTCGAGTAGATGTTGATTCAAGAAACATTGCAAAATGATGGGCTAGAACAGTAGGTACTTGCTCCGCTTTCTCTGTGTGTACTTCATCTCGTGTCTGGGACAATCGGAAGGTTTCTGACCAAAAGTTTCTGATTCGTCTCTCGGGCGGGTGATCCTTGCTGTTTGCATCAGCATGTCAGCATGAGGCACAGTGACCTGAGGTTATCTCCTTCACTCTGTTCTCCCAACAAACTGTGACAAAATGGCTTCTCTAGAATGGCTCCTTGATCTATGCGCCATCGCAAAAACCTGTGGTAGCGGCATCACCACTGACAACACGCCTCTGGAGCATCAACTTCCCCCGAGCAAAGACCCGTGGTATTCCGCGCCTGAGGACTGGGAGTCCAGACGGCCTGGCGATGTTCTCCGCATTCGTTCCGCATCGAACCTCATCTCCATCGTCGATGATTCAGCAGCGGTATATCATATCCTCTATCGGTCAACAGACTCGCGGGGACAGGCATCATGGGCTGTCACTACGCTTTTCATTCCAACTTCATGTTATCGTTCCTCGTCAGGCAAAGCGGCGATACTGTCGTACCAGTTCGCCTACAACACATGCAACGTCGACTCCAGTCCATCATTGGCTTTATCCGGTGCAATGGCGAAGAGCGAACCGAATCTCGGTATTAAATCGAGTACATCTCTAGTCACTGAGATGCTCTCTTTCGGGTGGATTGTCAACACTCCGGATCACCTAGGGCCAACTGCTGCGTTTGGTGCAAGTGTTCAAGCAGGCTATTCAACCCTTGACGCTTTGCGCGCTGTTCATAAACTTGTCAGTCTGAGGGAGAATCCAGGCTTCAACACTGCGATATGGGGATACAGCGGTGGCTCGATTGCAACATTCGCCGCGGCTGAGTTACAACCATCCTATGCACCAAATCTGAACATCTCAGCAGCTGTTGCCGGCGGTCTTGTGGATGACATCTCTGCCGCCCTCGACAAGATCAACCAGAGTCCGATCGCCGGTACTCTCATAGCCTTCCTGCTGGGAATCACCTCACAGTATCCCGAGGAACGAGCTTACCTGGAGAGTCGGCTTATCCCAGAGACGAAAGACGAGTTCATGTCAGTAGTGAACATCGAAGTTACTCAAACAGTCGGCAAGTACTCGGGAAAAGATATCTATGCTTTCTTCAAAAATGGCGGCGCAGACCTAAGAGCTCCAATTTTACAAGAACTCTATGATAAGCAAGCAAAACTAGCATACAGAGACGTGCCTATGATGCCGATGTTTCTGTACAAGGCTATACAGGATCAGTTTTGTACTATCGATCTCACTGATGCTACGGTTGCTAGACTCTGTGACAACGGAGCGGAGATTACGTTTGAGAGGAATACAGTGGGAAGTCATGTATCTGAGATTGAGAATGGAAAACCAAGGGCGTTTGAGTTCTTGCAGAGTATCTTTGATGAGTCGTACAAGTCTCCGGCTTTGAAGCGGAATGTTTTGGATGTAACGGTGGATGTTTCTTCACAGAGCAAGTGAACATGGTTTTACTATGGTCATATTGTAATATAATATTGAATCTCATGAAGGTGCAATCCTTCCCTTCTCCATAGGAAGATCCGTCCCCTTCCAAACCTTGACACTATCTCCAGGTCCACTTGTCCTAGCAACCCAGTTCTCAACCCTCTCAACACCCCACATTATTGTTAACATATTTATCAACATCTGATCTACCTCTGATGCCTTTGCGCTCAGAAAAAGACCCTCGCACTCTAGACTGCATATGAACAGTGGATCTACGTTTCGACATGCTGCTGCCCATGTAAAAGCTGATTTGGCTTCCCAAAGATCTCGACGTGCCGTAAAGTATATACCGCCATGACACTCGGCCCATTTCTGTCGAAGTGTGAGATATACGCCGATCGTTGAAGTTGCCATTAGCCATATGCGACGAATGCTTTCTGATAAAACCCAAGAGCGCCATTTTCGGGGTAGCGGATCGCCATCGAAGATGGAGTCCAGAACGATGCCGTTGGCAGACGCAACAGCTGTCGAGCTGTCACCACCGTCGCATGGTAAGCCAATATCTGGGTCTTGCAGCGCTGCTTCCCAGAGATGACGAGTCCATGAGAGAAGAGTGTGTATCTGTTGCTCGGCGTTGGCTCGCGCTCCGATGGAAGGCGAGAAGAGTGCTAGCACAAGATGTACAAATAATGCTTGGGTCCGAGCAAGGTGCTCTCGAACGTCAAGCGTCGCTTCCGTGTCGACACCGTCGTGACAATAAGTCTTGAGTAATGCTGATGCTTTCGACGCCAATAGTTCATCAATTATCGTCTCATTCGCCGATGTTTTGGAGTTATGCAAGACAATGCAAGTGAAGGCGTCCTGCATGACCGGTGGCAGTCCGGCATCGGCGTAGAGCTGATTGTGTATGAATGGGCTATGCGAATCCGTAACCCACTCGGTAAAGAATTCATGAACACCGTGGATGAAGTTCATGCAAACCGAGTTTAAGAAAGATGGGGTTGTGAAAGGGATGTGCCGAATGGCCCATGCATCAGGCCTGAGGAAGAAGTCGACAGGATCCTTCTGGTTTGAGATTGTGGCACTGCTCGTCGCCGGTGAGTCCTCTGGCAATTCAGCGGTAGGGAGAGCATCCCAATTGCCCAGACTTGCCGCCCACTGATTGAGGTCTATCAACTCATTATTCGGCGTTGGGAAAGGTATTTGCGTCAGACTTGGCGGACCAACACTGAACGTACTCTCTCCACCAGTTTCTGCTCCCGATGTATACAGCCTCTTCCGCTTCGTAGGCGGATAACGACACTCAACGTCTCGATCGTTACAGCGCCCGCAAACAGGCTGTGCCTTGTCGCATCTCCGTTTTCCGTTCGTGCACGCCAGACACGCTTTGAGCTTCGTCGCAGAGCCCATGGTGATTATGTTGAAGCGGGAAGACTGCGGGTTTCTGGTGTTTGCTGCGGGTGGGATTTAGGAAACGGATTAACGTTAGCGACCTTTGTCAGCTGCCCTGTGGAGATTCTGCGGGTTTTTGGCGGAAACTCCGTTGAGATAAGCTTATCTCGGCGTGGTTTAGTGGTGCTCGAAGCCTAGCAACTTAGCGCTTCCAGGGCATCAGGCGGGTTTCTTGCGGGTCCAATAACTTCACTCGCAATACATCCGACATGTCAAGATTGTGCCATGCTTCTTGTCACGACGGATGGTTCGACCTGAGAATTTGTATATAATGGACAAGTATCCAACTCTCGTAAGTTCTATATTCAGATCTCATCGTTCGTTCATTCGACCCCAGGATCAAAAACCTTACAACAACTTCCCAATATGCCTTCTGCAGCAGACACCAGGCCCCAGGACAACCCTTGGGAGAATGTCGATGCACCAACCAACGGCAGTAATCTCATAACGAAGACTCATCGTGAGTCATACGAAGAAATATCCCCCACCAGACCTGAGATTTCTCAAGCCGGCCGTACTGTTCTCGTCGCCGGAGCCTCCACTGGAATTGGCTTCAGCATCGCCGAGTCCTTCGCCGCTGCATCTGCCACTCGCCTCATCATCACTGGTCGTCGTCAGGATGCCTTGGACAAGGCAGCCAAGAAGATCAAGACGAAATACCCCAAAGTTGAGGTCAGCCCTATTGTCAATGACTTTGCAGATGAGACTGCCACTCGTGACTTTTGGAAGAAACTCGCAGATGATGGTATCTTCGTCGATGTTCTCGTTTTGAGTGCTGCGAAAATGTGGCTGCCCAATACTCTTCTTGGACTCGGATATGAGACCTTCAAGGATGGCCTTGGCGTGAATCTTGTTGCTCCGTATCTATGGACAAGTTTTTTCTATAAGCAGCGAGAAGTTGACCCTTCCCGAAAGCTGGTAAGCTTCTAGCCATAACTTTCCCTAGGAGTATAAAAGCTTACAACGTTTCAGGTTCTCCTCAATCTCGCGACTATCGCCATCCATGCAACTCAGCTCTCTGTTCCCATTCCTCTTTACTCACTCACGAAGAGCGCTGGAACAATGATGATGCAACACATCGCAATGACTGTACCCTCCAACGAGATGCAGGTCATCACCTTTGAGCCGGGACTTCACTACACCGAGTCTTTTGAGCGCTTCACCGACGAGAACAGTTTCCAGTGGGATGATAGTATGTATGCAGTCTCAGAAACCTTTAATATACTGACAAAGGTACAGTCAAACTGCCTGGTGACTTTGCTGTTTGGGCAGCCTCTGAAGAAGCCGAGTTTCTCCATGGCAGGTTTGTATGGGCGAAGTGGGATGTCAATGAGCTGAAGGCTGGACCTTTGCGGAAGACGATCGAGGGTAACCCTTCGCTTTTCAGAGTTGGCGTCAATGGATACTAAATTAGAAGCAAAGGGTGAAGTCAATATCCGAGAGTCGTCTTCATAATGTAGAGCTTTCAGCCTATCAATATATGGTATGATTGAAAAACAGAACAGTGCATTTGCTATGGCGTTATCCACCACGATGTGTTCCATGACTTACATACCGGGCAATAGTCGAGACGAGCGGGGTCCTGGAACTCAGGAAAGCCTATTAAAAAGACGCGTTTGCAATCTGAGCACTTATATTCCTGAACCCTCTCCAACTTCTCATGCATAAACCTGATCATGTTGGCCGCGAGATCAGCGTTGTCGCTCAACGTTTCACAGAACGCGTCCTGACCCATCAGCGTCCCAATATTGTTGAAAGCGACCTCCACAGCGATATCGCGTAATCCTCTGTCCCCTGGAGGCGTAGTTGTATACGCCAAGGCAACTGCAGTGGCAAAGCCATCCGCCTCCCACCCTGCATCAATGCTGGCGCGATACTTGGTCGCGGAAAGTCTCTTCAGAGCCTCGATACCATATTTATCAGCAATCTGATAGACCTTGGCATGGAAAACCATAGCCGACGGGTCAGCCGGGGACTCGTAGTCGAAACAGTACATGAAACGTGTCATCGCCTCGACTACAGTGGGATCAAAATCCATGATGTCTATCACTCGATCAGAACTTTCCTTTGGCAAGTTAGTTTTGGCTCATTAAGAAACAAAAAGGGGTATTTGTCGAACCTTCCATGGCCCATCCAGCTGCTTTCTGAAATATTCAGAGTGGCAGTAGAGAATAAGACTGTGGACAGCGAAGTCCCGAGCTCCGCATCGAATGACGGCGTCTGAAAGGGTGGTATTGTTGAAGTAACTGTTTAATCAATAACTGGTACATGACGATTGTGATATACGGACTCACTTCTTCAAGGATGCACCAAATTCTTCGTATGGCGGTGATTGCATCTTTGTTCCATTGACCAGACGATTAATGGATATTAACTTTGTCTAAAGAAAAGAAGAAACAAGGGAAAGCTTCTTCTTCTTATCTTGAGACAATACATCTGCTGGTGGGCCTCCCGCAGAAACTTCAGCCACAAGCTGAGGCCACAGTGGGGCGTCCAGACAACGGGACATTTTATGCGATCAAACAATCAAATTCGTTGGAAGGATCTCAATGATTTTGTCTTGGCTCTCCTTGATTGGGTCGCTTCTGCTGTGAGTGAAGACGAGACTCCTTTCCTTCCATGGTCCGGTTAGTTGCATTTTGAAGTAGTCCCAATGACAGAAAAGGACAAGGCTGTGGACTGCAAGTTCCTGCCTGACCATTGCAATGAATCACAACATCCGAAAGGCATTTGTTGTTAAAGAATCTATATTGTCAGTGAGTAAGTAGAATAAGGCAGAGCGTTAGATCATACATCATAAGAAATTTCTCGATCAAGAACATGCCCCCGCCTCCGATGCGGCAAGGTTAAGGAAGGTTGTCTCTAGTGGCGATGAAAGAAGAGACGTGTCTGGTGAGAGGTCTACAGATGATATCTCGCCAGGAGATCTTTATGGGACAACATCTCTTCTTTGAGTCCATAATTAATTGTTTGCCACGGATATTCACGGGGAACCATTCATAGTGAGAGACTGGACATGGAAGTCCGCGATTGGAACCATCAAACGCACAGGCCTTTGCAACGTGCCAGAAATATCTTTTACGTAAGTTTGGTTTTGGTACTCCTTCATTCCGTCTCTTGTCTTTCTTCGCGGATGTTAAAAGGTGGTGTGAAGCGACGATCCGTGATTGGAGTTACAGCCGCTGCCTACCGCGATGACCACTGACTGCCGACAGGGCGGAATTCTTCAAGTAACAGTAAGGCTTGCTTGGATAAACCGGCAGATCATCACTTGGCACTTGTGGTCGCCGCTTATCTACAATTAAACGAGTGGACCCCGATGTCCCGAAAGTAAGCTGCCAAGTATGGGGGCCAAGACCTCAGGAGAAGCCTTCGAGAACATTACAATGTAAGTTATTTTTTACTAGCTGGTGGAGTTCAGTAAATCTCTATAGATACTGAAAAACATTACTCTTGTTATACAAGAAGATATAAAGGACATGAAGTCTACCAGATATTCATGATCAAGTTTGTGAAGCTGGTCAGGTAGCCTCTTGTGTAACTACCATGATTATATCTGTATTACTACCAGTTATTTCAGCTCCAGCCATTGAGATCATACAGCTTACTAATAATTTCGTATTCCTTATGTGTTGCCGCTGACTGGCTACAGATGTGGACATTGCTGGACTTGGCAAGCAAGGAAGATGCATGATCATGTTTCGTCCTGTCTTGTATCGTGAAATTTCCTTCTCAGCTTCGGCGATCCTGAGTCCTTGGCAGCTTATGGGATGATCTTCACTGTATGGTACAACTGAGAAGATCAATAGGGGCATCGACTGCGGAGTGATGACTATAAAGCCCAGAACAGAACCCTTCTTAATCTCAAAATCACTCCCAACATCAAACACAGTCATTCACTTAACTATCCAATCTTTGACCATTTCATCAAATTCATTCACCATGCTCGTCCAAAGCCTTCTCTCCTCTTCCCTTCTTCTGGCCGTCGCCCAAGCTGGCCCAACCGTCACCGGTCAAGGTCTCGCCAAGCGTGACGGTTTCCCGGTCTGTGATGACACCTCCAGAACCTACGAAGGTCCTTACACCGACGGCGAAGGAACTTACGTGACTTCCGACCGAACCACCCATCCCTACAAATTCCCCAAAGTCCGCAAATGCTGGTACGACTACTTCGTGCTTGAGACCTCAAAGGAGCATACCCCATGGCAGAAAGCCTCCGGCGACATTTACTGCACCGGCACCCAAGTCTGCACTGCCACCAAGCTCGTCGGAAAAGAGGTCTGCCAGGAGCGATCTGACAGCGTCAGTGTCAGCGTCGGCGGTGAAATCGAGGGTTTCAGTCTTGGTCTTGATTTCACTACTACGGAATCTGAGTCTAAGTGTGTTCAGGCCCAGGACCTGACTGCTTGCACTTGGGATGATGGAGCTTGTCATACTGTTTGGACCCAGCAGCAGGTCATGAGGCAGAAGGGATATCGTCGACAGAGATGTAACTGGGGCAATGGGGATGAGACTCAGTGCATGGATAACTGGGAGCAGACTACGCCCTCTGACTTCATTGACTATGGTTGTGGATCCAAGTGCATTGATACGAATGAGTGTGGCAACACTGATGGAAAGCCTTGCTCTAAGTAAGCTTTGAGCTATCAGTTCTGGGGAGAGTTTAGGGGTCCAGTGTCTATTTCTTCTTACCATATTGATGATATACCTTTTACTATGGTGGCTATTCTGGGGTAACTGCCGGGGATCGTCGGGATTGAGAGGGATGGGGAATACATGTACTTTTCTTCTGATTCTACAAACAAAGACATATATTTCTCGACAATACTGCCTGCTTCATATCTGAGTTACACCTATGTTGGGATAAGATGGTAATGAAGGGGGTCAAACAGTTGCCTTAATTGAGAGTATGCATCTGGTCACTGCATGTCCACTAGCATTCTTGCCCCATGCCATAGGAACACTTTCGGGAGTTCAGTATGAATTGATGATTTGAGACAAGGAAAGTATTGTATGAAGCACTTCACAATGGAGGACATGCAGCATTAACCAACAATTTGAATCGCTGCTGCATTTCATCTTGAAAATGCGTCGTCAGTGCTGGTTGATGGTTTAAGAAACGAAGACTCATTCCGCCTCGGAGTTAAAGGTATTTAGTGATAACTAGAAGAGTCAGAGGATTGAGGGCGAAAATAAAACGGTGGATTGTTTTGCGACGACGAAGGTAAACATGTAGTTCCACTTTACACGTCTACATTTGTCAAATCCGGGGTATAAGTCACCAACCGAAGAAGATGATACGCATGATGGGTTTGACAGCTTCAATGACCTAGCCCAGGAAATTACAGAAGAAAGTAAGTTTTAGTCTAAGCTGAATGGCAGCACGACTTACTTTCTTGATATTAATCTACTTATGGAATCTCAAGTAATCCAGTTACAATTTTATCCCTCTCTAAGTCCCGCATATGTCTCCAATCTATCGCTTATAGATCTTGAGCTCGAAGTATCGCAAGACGGGAAAGACAATGATGGCGAATCCACAACCCAACCACATTCCCAAGTCCGCATGAGAAGCAGCTTCAGAAATAGGACCGATGTACCAAACCTGGGACATACCGAGAATAGCACCAACCCAACCGATGATGAAGCTTGCAAAAGCAGCGAGACCAACTGGAAGATAGTTCTTGTCCTCCCAGGCAGTCCAGTCAAATCCTTGACGACCACGGAAGAACCAATGCTCCTCCATGACGATGCAGATCATGAGCATGACCCAGTATCCCATGAGACTGACAAAGTTCTGGAAGACGACGAACAGGCTTTCACGACCGGCCATAGCGAGGACGAGAGTGATTGCCGACATGATGGTTGACCAAGCCCATCGTGGTACAGCCTTGGTGTAGCGACCAAGAACCTGACATCCGAGTGATGCAGAGTACAGAGATGGAGTACTGTTGGCAATGACACCAAGAGCGATGATGACAGAGCAGAAGCGACCAAAGCCGTGAAGAGGACTATAAGCTTCGACGATGAGAGCGCCAGTGCTGATGGCGTTGGCATCAGACCAAGCCTTGTTGTCAACAAGACCAGTTGCCAGACCAATGGCGATGAGGTACACAAGGGTGAATGACACTGTCAATCCAGTGACAGTGAGCAAGAAGACCTTGACACGGGAAGTGCGCTCTGGGTAGTAGACATAAAAGTCAGAAGCAGCAGCAGCCCATGAGTTGGGGACGTAGAAGCAGAGGGAGAAGAATGACAATCGGCTGGCAGCGAGGACATTGCCAGAGACAGTGGGTTTAGCGGCGGCATTAAAGGAGGGCCCAGCGACGCCGATAAGAACGGCAAGGACAACGACCTGAGCGATCCAAGCGTATCTGTGCCGCGTCAGTACATGAGTGCATGCATAATAGATACATGGAGACGTACCGTTCATAAGTATGGAAGATCCTCATGCCAAAGACGGCGACGACCCATGAGACAATGGCGACGACGATGACACCGACCAAGATGGTCATGTTCCCGCCGCTGACAGCTGACAAGACCTGTCCGCCGATGATGCAGTCAATGGTAGCATATCCAACCATGAGGACGATATTTAGGAATGTCGGAAGCTTGCTTGGCCAGTAACCCATAAAGTATCGCAGCACAACCTGTATCACAGCATGTCAGTCAACGCCATCACCAACGGAACAGTACACTAACCATCGTCCTATTACCACTCTGCGGTCCCCAAGTCGCCATATACGCCGTCGAACACGCCCCCAGAATTGTTCCAAAGACAGCAAGCAACGCACTATCCAAGAACCCCAACCCAAAAACCATCGGCCCAAACAGACCCGTCGCCAGGTTGTTCAGCGACAGATTCGCACTGAACCATAGCACCGCAACCTGCAAGTCAGCAGCACTAGAAGGTTCTTGTCGCTCCTCTGGGAGAACACGCTCGATGCCTCGAGCTTCAAGCCCAGCGAGGTTTTCAATGCGATTATTCAGCTTTTGGAAGGACGAGAGCGAGAGGCTTGGGGGGTTGGAGCTTTCATCGCCTGTGGGTGTTGAGCTCACGGTCGCTGATTTCTCATGCGTGGCTTCGGCCGTGTGTGTTGGGAGAGACATAATGAGGTCGGTGGAAATTAAACAGGAGAGAAAAAAGAAAGGTATGCACGGCACACAAAAGTCCGTGTGGTATAGAGGTTGCGTTGCAGGAGTTGAAAAGGGATGCAAGTAGAGTTTGTTTTTGTCTTGCAGATAAAAGCAACCCTTGTAAGCTGTCTCGGTTGGAGCGAACGGATGTAGGTAGAGTAAAGTGGGAGACGGAATGCTACCGACCTCTCATTGACGGTAAAAAGCTCATGCATGCATGCATGCTTGACTGGTTCATGGTATTGGTGTTGGTTGTGGCTTGAAGCTGATGACCAGGGTTTTAAGGTCTAGGTCGTTTAACCCATGTAGTGAATTTAGCAATGAAACCATCCCCCGTGTGCGCTAGCAGAAATGGGTTTAGGGGTGAGGTAAGGATCGGTTGGAGCGGAACCGCGATTGCTACGCCGCGGAGCGGGAGGGAAGGGAAGGGGTCTTAATCTCCATTACGGGCACTAAAAGATATGCCGGTTTTATTCTTGGCGATAATTCACTTGGCATGAGGGAATAAACATGTTCATAACGAAATAAAGTCATTGTAATAAGTTCATGCTAGTCTAAGTAATACATAATTGATGGAATGGTCTATGTCTTCTTCGTGCTAACCTCTACGCTCGTAACAACTGTAATCTGTCCACTACGATTCCTCTCATGCTGCTGTGTCCCACTACTAACCTTCGCTTCAGCACGGTACGGCCGCTGCAGCAGATCTGGTCCATGCTGGTCCACCAGCTCAATCTGACTTCCCTGCTCTGGCGAAACGTCAGTGCGCACGCCATCCTCGTCCTCCAGCTTCGCCCAGATCGAAGGTTTGCTTGACAGCGGATGACGACCTTGAGTTCTTCGTCGCGCTGAACCTTCGGGGTAAGATCCATTGCGGTATGGAGTGTTGGGGTAGGATGGGTCGGTGGAATCGCCCTTGGAGCCGATGGCCAGACGCAGAACGGGCCAGCAGAGTGGGAGGTTGCCGACCCAGAGGGCGACGCCGCCTTCTGCGACGTACCAGTAGAGAAAGACGTAGGAGTTGGGGTTGCTGAAGTTGTAGTAGCGGTTGAGGACGGCGGCGAGGATCTGCACAATTAGCGCATGGAGAGAGGGGTTGGAGAGGGAGCAGCTTACATTGAACAAGCCCAAGCCAAAAACACAGCACAATCCAAACTTGCGCTTCTTGGGAAGACTGATGTTGATGACGATCGGAATTGGTAATAAGATCAACATGATGTCGCTGGCGATATTGCAAGCCGTCGCAAAGATCATATGGTTGTAATACGTCGCACATTGCACTGCGCCAATTAGCTCAATCCCCTCTCGAATCTCTCAATGGCAAACTCACTCTTCTTGGGATTAACAGGAACAGCCCAATACTCGGGAACAGGCGAACACCAATAAAACACAAACATGAAGGTAACAACGACATACGTCACGGCGCAAAACGCAGAGACGAATCGCACCGCCCATTTCTGTCTTATCGATGTTCCCTGCGTCAATCTCGCGTACAGAAACAGCAGACACGCTTTGATGGTCCATGTACAAGTGAGTGCGAATATTTCCAAGACGAAGGTCATTTTGCTCCCGATTATGGCTTGTTTTTTTCCCTCGGGGGTGAGTTTTGCGGCGACGTCGGGGGGCATGTAGTTGCTGCCATTCTTGGCGACTTCGTTGATCGAGACGACGACTCCTGTGAAGTTGATCTACGCCTCGAGCATTAGCAGATGTGTATCAGAGTTTGGTGTCTTTGGGGGAACGTACGAGGGCAAAGACCATGAGATAGTCTTCAATGGCGAGACGATTCCATTTTCTAAGTTTCATGCGTCGTGATATCCTGCAGGAACAAATATGTCAGTGAAAACGCCAAAAAGCCACAACTGGTGATGATGGCTTACAGTCGACACACGACGACAAACAGACCCAACACCCATAGAATCCAAGACTCAACCAACAACTTTTGCAGAAAATCCATAGCGAAAAATAACGAGTGAATGAGTGACGAGTGCTGCAGTTGGCTGCTCCGGACAGATGAACCTAAATGTCCTCCGAGAATTGAAGCACCCCTGAGATCTATCAAACAATAGACTTTATCGCCGGTGCGGAAAAAATGGCACGAGAATCCAAATTGCAGGAATAATCTCAGCTTGACACGAGGGAGCAGGGGGAGAATGCAGTCTGCATGGTTAGTCGTTTCCCCTGCATTTTTTTACCTTTTTGCTTCAAACTCGGATGATGCTGTTGGCAGAGAGTTGCGCTTAGATCGGCACGTCAAAAAAGCATGGATTTGGCAGTCGGTCATTGGAGTCGATCAAAGTGATAGACAGTAGTTAATCGGAATATCGTATCGATTGACAGTGACGATCTTGATCATGGTATGTACAGATACCACCAACAGCCTCAAAAGCCTTGAACAAACATCAACAGCGTTCAGCGCCTGCTGAACAAATTTCCCGTCGTGTAGCTCCGTAGCTCTCCCACTCTCCGTCACTTCATGCTAGACGCGGCAGATGAAGAAAACCACCACCGGAAGTGGCTTGCACCTAATACGCATATTACAAAGGAACAAACCGCTTGATAAGGTAAGTATGGCCCGAGACATTCGGCTCCCACAATGGCGCAGCCACGCTCCTATTCTACAACACCGCGGGAAGAAAAGAAAAAAGAGACAGTCGAAACTCTGTCTTAGCAGATCCAATTACCGTCAAATCCTCCAGGATCCGGTATCCCCGGCCCGCATCCGACCCCTGCGCGGGCCGTGGGGGGGTGATCCCGGCTGGGCAAAAGCTTAGAGTTTTTTTGTCATACGATGGTGGGCGGGCTAAAAGTTAATCTGCCCCGTTTTGACTAACGTAGTGTAGAGATCTAGAAGGGACCTTTGGGGGGGAAGGTTTAATGCTTGTGCTCACGGCAGTTGATATATTGATGGATACCAGTTACGTTGGGGGTAAAAGTATGTCGGATTGCGTGATTGTTTGGGTTAGTATCTCGCGGCTAGTATTCCAAGACCCTCTAGTTAATATTACTCGTGTAATGATCGTAGGATTAAATCCTGGTGTTGCTTAAAGTAGCCAATCATGTACGTATCCAAAGAGGAAGCTAGCTAACGACCAACAGAATATTCCATCAGGAGACTCGTAACTGCAGATAACGCCCCATCAACCTGGTACTGGTACGCGAAAAAGCAGCCAGGATTCTCGGTTACGTCGGATCTCGTTCTGCAGAATCGCTTGGCGCTGTTATCTCTTTACCCAGTACCAAGAAATCAGCACATCCCCCCAAACACCACTCACTCTAGGCGTATCATTGGCTCGTCTAGCAGCGGGGGTGTCTCCGCGCTTTTTTCCGAAATCTTCAGCAATCTTCCCGCTCTTCCAAGAGGCGTTATAACTGTCTCACTTCGGTAGCACCCACGATTCTACACTAAAAGATAACACCAAAATTAATCACCAACCATGACCCTCAACCCCTCTCTTCGCACTGTTGACCAGTTCACGCAGCTCGTCTTTGACTTTATCGTCATAGGCGGCGGCACAGCTGGACTAGCGGTGGCAGCGCGTCTCGCTGAATCCGACCCCTCGTACACAGTCGGCGTCATCGAAGCAGGCGGTCTTGTCGAAAATGATCCTGATGTTGACATCCCGGGCCACTATGGTAGGAATCTTGGAGGTGACTACGATTGGCACTTGGAGACGCTGCCTCAGGACGGTCTCGGGGGAGGAGCCTTCCGTGGCCGAGGGGGAAGTGTGTCGGTGGCACAAGCGCCTTGAACTACATGGCGTGGAACCGCGCTAGCAGGGATGATTATGATGCTTGGGAAGCTTTGGGGAATCAAGGTTGGAGCTGGGATTCTCTGCTGTGAGTTTATGCTTGTTTTATTGGATGAGAGTGTTTGAGCTGATTGTTTTCGTTATGTAAAGGCCTTTCTTCAAACGTTCCGAGACATTTCATCCTCCTAGCGAGGAACTTCAGCGAGAGTTTGAGATTTCTCACGACGCGGATACGTTTGGTGACTCAGGCCCCATTCACATATCATACCCAACTTCGTATTCACCATCGCACGCGTTATGGCACAAGACGCTTAATGCGCTCGGTGTACAGACTAACCCCTCTCACGTTGGGGGCTCAAACGTCGGCGTTTGGACATGCGTGAACGCCGTTGAGCCGAGCGCCGCGCGAAGATCCTACTCGATCGATTACGCCACTGGATCGCGTAACCTGCACATTCTCACCAACGCCACGGTGAACGAGATTCTCATTAGCGAGAGCCTTGTAGCCACTGGTGTGCGATTCACGCATCGTGGCGTTGAGTATGATGTTTCAGCTAGACGCGAGGTTATCCTCTCAGCGGGGAGTGTTAAGTCGCCGCAGATCCTGGAACTTTCGGGGATAGGAAGTCCCGAGGTTTTGGAGAGGGCTGGTGTGAGCGTCAGGGTTGATAGTCCGCAGGTGGGGGAGAATCTGCAGGAGCATATTAGTGAGTGGGCGTGTTTTCAGCTGAGGTGAGGGATCAGCGTTGCTAATCTTGTTAATAGTGCTTGCGACGATCTTTGAGGTTGATCCATCGCTCGCTAATCGTGACGATCTTGTGAGAGATGAGAAGCTTGCTGCTGCTGCGAAAGAGGAGTATACTACAAAAGCAGATGGTCCTTTGACGGTGCTTCCTGTATCTCTTTGCTACGTCCCCTTTGCGCATTTTGTTCCAAAGGATACTCTTACTGGTCTTTATGAAGATGCAGACAAGGTTTCCGTGTTTGACTCGGACAAGCAAGATATTCTTCGTGAACGATTGGATGGAAACTCCAAACTGGGTCAGATTGAGTATATCTTTGATCTTGGGAATTGGAACCCCAACTTCAAAGGTGAAGAGGGTAAGAAGTATGGCACTATGCTGCAGATCTTGCAGTATCCCTTCAGTGTCGGATCAATTCACATTCGGCCAAGCGAGCACGCTACAGCTGAGGATTCACCCGCCATCGACCCGAAATACTACGAAGGATCCCATGGAAACCTCGACATGGAGGCTATGAAGCAATGTCTTCAATTCGTCGATAAAATCGTACACACAGCTCCTCTCTCAAACATAATCCGCTCCTCAGCATCCCCTTCCGCCGCCGTCATCAAAGACGACAAACGTCTTGGGGAATGGATTACTCAAAACACTATTACTGACTGGCACCCTGTCGGAACTTGTGCAATGGGCGGTCGTGCTGGCATCGAAGGTGGAGTCGTTGATGAAAGACTTCGAGTTTATGGTGTTCATGGTTTGAGGGTTGTTGACGCGAGTGTTATGCCGCTACAGATCAGTGCGCATATCCAAGCTACTGTTTATGCTATTGCTGAGAAGGCGGCGCATATGATTGTTGAGGATGCGAGGAGTGCGGATAGGGAGGGGAGAGCGTTGGTGACGAAGCAGGCTAGACTTTAGAAGAGGTGATATTCTTATGTACTATTTATGATCTTGACTTGAGTTGCGAGTGAAGTCAGTCATCGCGAAGCCAAGCTCGAACTATCGCGCCTATGGCTTCAGGCTGGTGATAAGCAGACAGATGACCCGCTTCATCAACAGCAAAGAAACTCAACTGATCATTTCCCTTCCAGAACCCTCCTTTCTTAACATTCCAACCGTCAGCATCCGAGGTCAGTTCGCCATTCTTATAATACCAAGGTTTATAGTCAAGTTCTCGATAATTATCTTGTCCCTTCCATCGCTGTTCATGCAACATGCGCATTTGTCCGGGAGTATTACTGCAATCGTTAGAGACAAGATTCGACGCATGGTTTGCTTGGGGGTCTTACATGATGATATCGTTGTTGCCGTTGATGAACAGAACGCGTATATCTGTCTCATCGAGAATCCACGTCAACTCTCGTGTAACGGGTATATGGATATTCTGCGCAATGTCCCAGCGCTCATTGGTATCAAAGTCGATAAGATAAAATGGAAAGCGGTCGAATCCGAGTTTCTCTTGAACCCAACGACGATTCAAGAACTTCCATTCTGGCCCATGGTCCATGTTCGAGCACAAAGGAGGCTTCTCACATGGATGCCGGTCTATCACCCAGTCAGCACACAAACTGCCGCTCATAACATATAAACGGGGCACTCACCATCATAAGGATCCCATCCACCAGGAACAACGCCATCCATAAAGTACTCCCCCAGCGTCTCCTCACAAACCTCATTCGCCGCCCTACAAGTCTCAATATCATAGAAGTACCGACACTGACTCCCCATTTTCTTACACTCCGGTATCGCAGCGAGCATATTCTCACAAGCCGTCCTATTCATCAACGGATATTTCCGCCCATCAGCAGCCCAATCCGTACAGAAGAAGTCAAAATATCCCATGAACTGCTGCGTCGCGTCAATATACCCATCAGCGATAATCGCAGATGAAATCTCGACTTGAGGTGCTATGCCGCGCTTCGCGTTCTCGCGTTCGTGAGAGATGATATGTTTCGTGTAACCGGTGACGTAGTGTCCGCCCATGGATTCACCGGTGATGTGCCATGGTTTTCCAGCGAGGTCGGGGAATACATCGTGGGAGAATGTTGAGAGGAAGGTATATACGTCTTTTGCGCCTTGTTCGAGACTAACAGCAATTTTGTTTCGATCTGTAATTTTGGAGAAGCCGACGCCTACGGGTTGGCTGTAAAGTGTCAGTGAGAGCAGTCATGCTGGTGTTGCGACTTACTCGATGTAAACAACATTAGCGTGGTCGATCCACGAGTAATCAGCGCGTTTCGTTGAGTTTCCATCGGGATTCACGGTACAGGGACCACTACCCATGAATAAACCCATTTCTCCAGAAGCGCCAGGTCCGCTGATGCCTGCGTTAGTTTGGCTTGTCTTGGCATCAGTGTCGGCTTACCCGCTCATCCATAGTAGCAAAGGATCAGTCTCGGGATTATTACGACTCTCAAAGTACCCTTACATCATCAGTCTCGTTGACTCAGTCGAAACTTGTGTACGTACAGAAGAACATGGACTTATCCTCCGTGACGTTGACCGTCCCGGTGAATTGACGAGCGCCCGCATCGCAGAGCTCAGAAGACTGTTTGCGGACAGTGAAAGCGGGTTTAATGACTGTCTCATATGTTAACGGCTTTTGGTCTTGGGCAGTGACATGGTTAACAATAGTCGCGAGTAGCAACACTGTCACTGGGCCAAGCCACATCGCGAATTGGTGATGAGATCGTGAACTTTGATGGCACTTGAGAGAATTACTAATGCTGACACTGGCCAATCAACCTTTTCTGGCCATGGTGGGGCGGTGGATTGGAGATAACGATAAGATAAAAATTTGTTATTGTTTGCTACCCTAGATGTTCGTGTTTGTATTTCTGCGACACTCCTTTAAGCGTCAGAATATGCGACGAGAAACTATTATGTGTGTAGAAATATTGCCCAAACTGTATCATATCCTGTTTAATGATTTTCTTGTTATTGACAAGCAGAGTGGTTGTGCTTGATGAATAAGGTCGTTTGAACGTCGCAACAACACCTTATGTGAAAACAAAACCCTACTACACTGTTGAAAAACACAGATCTTGAAAGATTCTATCACTTTGGCTAGCGCAGGCAACAACGTAAACTCAGCTAAAAACAACGAGGATTTATCATGATGTCATTATTGAAGCGAAAGCGAGTTTCTGCCTCAGGCATACCGGGAAGAAGTGACTGCTCGCAAGGCTAGATGCTTCTAGCGCGACGCGACGTAACCACAAACGCGTTCCAGGCTGACATCCAACTCACCATAGACTGGCGGTCACTCATCCTCAGCCAGCCTTTCTTGTATTTTCCATCAGAGATGAAATGAATAACTCTATTGCGAGAAATAGACATCGCCAATTGTACAGTCGTCTTGTCACCAGTAAAACCAATCCAATATCGATATGTATCAAACCAGCATACTCAGATCGTCGCCTTGAGCTTTTTCTCTGAGACACGAGACAAGAGCGACGGAAATAAGCGGTGAATAGAAAGAATATTCTGCGCTTCTCTTCTAGAATACCAACAACTTGGCATTTCCTCCTTCTCCTATCTAAATTCCGATATATCAAACGCCACTTCGGTAAACACCGCCCAGCCTGTGACTCAAACTCAGCCATATTCACACTCTGGAACCTCAATAATTTCCCGTGCGGATGATTGGTCACTTCAGCTAGGGCCTGTCTCACAACGTTACACTAAACGAAAATATCGAAATGACGACTACATGTTTGCCCAATTTCCCGCATTCACGATTACCGCCATTTTTCTCATCAGGACCCATCAGGATAGTAATTCACTTCGCGCTTATTGCTATGGGCACTCATTCATGTTGAGTAGTGCTGGGGAAGTGATGTGAAGTGACAGACACTGCCGCCAAACGCTTCTGACCGGGGTTAGTCACACAGCGGAAGCGCCTTTGTTGACACCTCATCAGACAGGCAGAACTCTGCGCCTGCATCACCTTCTTTGTTCACTTCTGTCATTACTAAATAGTGCGATTCTACAGCTTGGCTGTACTAATATCCCCCTTCCTCTCGTTATTCCCATCTCTCTCAACTCAACTCAACTTTTTCTATTAGCGACATTGCATTGGATAGCAAACTTTTCATCCATTTCCGCCTGAACTTTCATCGCGATATAGCGATCTCAACAGTAATGTCTGAAAAGGGTAAGGGATTCTCCGAGACTGATTTATAAGCTTTTTACTGACTGACCTGCCTAGTGCTCGAGCCATACCTTTCTCTCATGGCGACGCCTGAGGAAGAATGTTTGTTGGCTCCACTCCAACGTGTCAACTTTCGCTCACGCAGCACAGTTGAAGAGGACTACGACGATTTGATTTTCATTAACGCTTACGATATCCAAATCGAATCTCATCTCCAGAACAAGAAAACAAGCGACGTCACTTTCCGCATAAAATTCAAGTTCAGCCCAATCGACACCTGGTCTCGCGGCTGGGCCGAAGAAATCGATCTTCAAAAGTACTATCAAGACATCGTCCTCAACTACTGGCGCAGCATCGGCGGGCGCTGCAAAGCTACGAGATTCAAAATGTACAAAGTACTCAGAATCGTGGCGGAAGAGAAAAACAAGTATCGCGTTCAGTGGGTTGGGTATAATGGTGGGGAGGATACGAATCTGGAGCCCAAGAAGAAGGTCTGGTCGATCGCGCCCAAAGCTGTTCTTGCGTGGAAGACTCGAGTGGTGGAATAGGATGGGGGGTATTGGGCATGAAGCGGCAAAAAGTAATTCTTTCTGATTGGTGGCGTCAGGGATACCCAGCGTTGATGTTTTGAGCGGGCGTTTGGTATTTTTCATATTGGATACATCATACCCATAGCGTGTTTTTCCTTTTGTCATCACAGCCTCGCGCAAGCAAAATTTCAGTTTATTAATATCATTTCGAGTGCTAAGCAATAGCGCTCTTGAATATCCAAGTCTACATCTTAGTTATCCTCTCTTGTGTTTCCCTCTTCCCGACGGTTCTGCTCCTTCGACATTTCCACCAATACATTTCCTTGCGCCCTTGCTATTTCTTCTGCCTGAAACGACCATTGACGCATTGATTCCAAATTGCTCTCGAGTTTTGAGAAGGCATGGCGATATCCCCCGACAATATTCAATGTTTCTTGGCCTGATTGTCGAGTACCTAGCCCATGCCGCGCTCTGGCTACTAACAACTGGAGTCTATCCACCACATCCGTTTGTTCAGACAATAGTCGCTCTCTCCTCACGCACAGATTCTTGAAAGCATCTTCGAGTCTGGTGAGCTTTCCTAGCATTGCGTAATTGATTCCGCTGGTTTGTGGCTGGGTTGGGTTGCCCCCGGATTTGGATTGGCCTTGGTGGTGGAGGTTTGAAGACATGGTTTGTTAATGTACTGAATAGCGTAGAAGCAGATGGTTCTTGTGTATTTGACGAGTTGTCTTTGGTAGGGAGGTTTTTGGATTGTTAGACCTGGTTGGGTCTTTTATCTGTCAAAGGACTTGGAATCGGAACAGTGTTGATAATCACGCATGCATGTCAACGCCATGATGCATACATTTACTCACCTTTGCTATATACTGTGTATCATGGCCCTCTTGGTCGCAAGCTCATCACGGACATCTACCTTCGCGCAACATATCACAGAAGAAATCGGCATGCCGTATGCCTCAAAGCAGTATCACTGTTAGTGATCTCTTGAGTTGCCTTGGACCAGAGCACAGAGTGCACGAAGACACGAAGCGCAGGCAAAGGAATATCGAAAAGTAAAGCACCAAGAATCCTTAAGCAAGTTAGTAGGCCGGGGTCAGACTGTTGATGGCAAGAGCCGAAATCTTGGTAGACATCGATTCAATGGGAGAGTTCACCAGTGGATTTCCTCAGCCGGAAGCTCAGTGTTCCAAGGACGACAGAAACCTTAGATACGGAAGTGATCAATTGCCCATGAAGACAGATATTAGTGATCGAGTTGCGACGGAGGCATTGGCGATGGCGAGCACGTCTCGAAGGGTTGCGCCACGGCGCCGGTCATGAGTAATCATCACTGACGCTCTCTCCGTCCCAAGTCGATAGGTCTATAAAGGACCTTAGCCATCCCAGGTTTTCTGAGTCGGTCCTCAAACAAAGAAGATCCAAACGGACGAAAATTGCCTATCTCTGCCATCGCTGAATAACTACACAGACCATGTTTTGGCGTGGTCGTCGAAGGGAATCCGATGTCCAGCGATCCACGAATAACCAACGCAAGTCCCGATCTAGAAAGGCAACATGGGAAACACAAGTGAGAATCGATAAGCTAAATGAAAGACTGGACAGCATACGTGCGGAGATAGAGGAGATATACCGCAAGAGAGACGAGAAGGAAGAGAGAAGGAGAAGAGCGAAAGATGAACTAAAACGGTTAAAAGGTAAGAGACGACCAAAGCAGAGGGACATAGAGGATGCCAAGAGGACGTTGCGCAGAAGGGTTCGTGATTTGGACGAGATTAAGGGTATCCTGAAGCAAACTAAACGCGAGAAAAAGTCTATAGCCAAGAAGAGGGATCGTCTCACCCGGCGCCTGTAAGGGGATTTGGAAGTGGGGCGGGCAAAAAGAGAAGAGAGATATAAGGAGTACTTAGATGTTCTCTAGTGAATTTACATCACAAACCTTAGTGGTATCTTGAGATGATCTTATATTCAATCTTCGGATTAACTAACTATGTTACTACTGCTGCCCTTTCTCTGCCTCTGAGAAGATACACCAGGAGACGGGAATGGAAAAGGGACAGGATGATAGAGCAGACGTTTTACCAGGACACATAAACGTGACTGATAGTGAGTACCATGGAGAATTGGAACTACCAGGCGTCGGAACCTGACTGGGGCGTTGCAGTGGATTGGTAGTTCAGCCGAATGTTGAGTGCCACACAGCGTCATGTACAGTACAACGTAGTGAACTGTTCATAACCAGCCTGCAGGTGTGAGGGTGAACAATAATAAACCACCATGGACAGAGACAATGTGTCCATGTTCGCGTGACGAAGTCTTAAAGTATAAAATTGCGAACCTGGTTCGTTCCAGTGGGAGTAAACGCATACTCATTCAACCATATACATCCAGATACCAACAGCAAGAGCTATCCCCCACCATCCGTCTCAAGCGCACTTTAATCAAGCATGTCCGACCGAAGAGTAATTGTAGTGGAGGTAACATCGTCACCCCAGGAATATGATGAGCGAGGTGCCGTGGAGAAGGAGATTGATCATGTAGAAGCCAAGATAGAAGGTCTGCAAGAGGACATGGAGCGACTGGACAAAAGAATAGACAAGCTTGATCGGAAGACAGAAAAACTAAATAAGAGCAATAAAAAATTCAAGAGAGTCATAGAATCGAAACAAGATGGGGCATCAAGAGAGGCGGTGGAAAGTGGACTTCAGACATTGAAGGAAGGCAAAGACAGATGTTCGAAAAACGAGAAGACGCTAGCCGAACTGGAGTATAAGATGCAAAGTTTGGGAAAGAAGGTACGGGATTGGCAAAAATACAGAGAGGCACTTAAGAGTCGTCAAGAGGAGATGAGGTATGACACCTGGATGAGGTGTGAGGAGAGTTTGAGCTGGGAAGAATGGAAAAGGAGTACTTACCATCAAAGGAGGTGAAACACTTGGCTGTACTTGAATTTGATGGCTTTGGAATAAAATAGAGACGATGATAGTTATCGCATTCAAGTAGAGGTGTTCCACGAAGTGCTCTATTTGTAGTGGAAGGTAGAGCGACTTGGCGTTGAGGCAAACATGGTTGAGACAGATACCTTCCGAGTCTTGGAACATTTTCGCAGGACTACGGCTATGTCACATGCGCACACAGAAATTCTCAATTCAAGCAAATTGTAGATAGAGAAAATCATTTAGGAAAGGATCATGAAGATCTGCTCGAGGAGTATTGTGAATGGAGATACCAGCTAGACCCGTAAGTGACCGTATTGCCTTCTAGTTCTGGTAACCTCAAGAAGCTGGCTGCTTCATCACCGATAACTTTCAGATATGCCCAGTGAAACAGAGAGGCGTGACAGTGATCAGTTGCAAGCAACAGAAACATGTGTATGATTCATCGCGCATCGTGCCCCACTTGTACTGAATCAAATTGCATAGCGCGTGGTGTCCAGTTATATCAGGACAAGATTCCAGTCAGCTACTGTGTGCTGCATCGAACCTCTTACCAAGACATACTCAAGTGAATCGAACTACTGCACCGAATCCCATCCCATCCCAATCTTATTTGGACCCTCCTCAGACGACACCATGCCGGAAGACAGCCCCCAAGAGAACGCCGCACCAGAGAATGCGCCCCAGAGCCTGGATGCAAATGCGCCTTTGGATATGGTTGTGTATGAACCAAAGGCTGAAACTCAGAATGAGCCAAAGGATATTCCACCCGAGGTTACGGCCGAAGATTCACCTCCCCTTATACCCCAGAACGTGCCTGAGAACTTGCCCAAGAACACTCACTCTAGACCTGAGAAGAAAAGTTCTCAGGAGGGCGCTTCTCACGAGCAAGAATTTGTTAACAACGTACCTGAGGAGGCTGAACTAAGAAGGCAGATAGTTAGAAGGGTTAACTTTGAGGAGAACTCACACGGCGGACGCTCAAGGGAGACAGAATCTCCAGGAAAGGGATCTCACGGGGGAGACTCTCGCCGAGGGGAGTCTCATAGAGCAGACTCACGAAGACCAGACTCTTACCAGAAGGAATCTCACAAGAAGGATCCTCATAAGAAGGATTCTCATCACTCACGCAAATCTGAATCTCACAGATCGGAATCTCGCAAGAAAGATTCCCACAAAAAATGCTCTCTCAGATCAGACTGTTACAAAAAGGATTTACACAGATCAGAATCACACAAGCCGAACCCTCACGGGAAGGACTTTCGCGAAAGAGACCCACACAAGTCATCAAAGAAGAAGGAGTCTGACAAGAAAATGAAGACCAAGGATGCTACACCAGAGTATGGACGAATCTCTTTCTGGGCTACTGTAGCCCACCACGTTGACCGAACTCCTTACATAAGAGAACCGGTTCAAACAAAGAGGAAAGGAAACTAAAGGCAGAGAGCAAGGCGCATGAGACTAGAAAATAGTTATAGTGTTGCTTATAATAGAACAAACCCTTTTTAAAAGTTGAACCGGGTCTCGCCTGCGAAAATGCAAGAAGATTTGCTTCTGAACAGTTGTAAATTGTCCCTATAGTTCTCGCTCGGAGCCTGCAATGAAGAAGTCTGGTATAGAAGAGGCCTCGGTTCAAATGAGACGCTGAAGACTCTCCAACTCGCACGCAGAAGCTTTGATCCTGAGATGTCACTCGACACCAAACATCAGGTCGAATGAAGCCGAACCGACCAAATGCAGTCGGGCCAAGAGGAGAATTACTGCTAGTGCTGAGCTGCGAATGGAGTGATTAACTAAGCTTGACGTGCAATCGCTGTGTATTTTGGCTCTGAACGGGACAAGGGACTCCTGACTTGCGACATTCACAGTGAACAACTAGTCAAGGGCAGGAAGACAGTCGAGCGTGATCAGGCTTGGCTTCTCACGAGAGCAAAATGTGTATGATTCACTCGCACGTAGCGAGCAAATTCGGAGTGAACAGAGGTTCCAGACAGCACCATGGAGGTTTATATCGAGACGAGACTGGCATAATGTATTGTTATTCTGCACCAACTCTTGCGCTCAGATACCCAAGAGGAACTTCAGCCACGGCAAGACAAGACAATCTCAATCATCTTTATTATCCTCTTTCAGCCGGTATATCTTGTCACTCACTCGCTCGAACAGTCGCAGAGTTGCTATCGAAGAACACTATCACCTACTGCGATCACTCTACTACATTTCCAACGAAAATGCCTGATAAGAATTTCCCCCATTTACTAGACACCTACGCGTTCACAACACACAGTGACACCGTTAAAGAGACCAAGGAGAAGCTTCAGAAAGTCAATTTTGAAAGGGCGAAAATGGAGGTTGATAAGGAATATATCGAGAGGAGGATCGATAAGCTATGTGACGGCAGGAGCACGGTGCAAGGGTGCCTGGAAAGGGCTAGGGATAGAGAGGAGGAGAGCAAGCTGAGAGGACAGGAAGCTCAAAGGAAGAAATCGGCGAAGCTGGCGGATTCGTATGAACGCGAGATCGACAAGCATGATGAGTACATTGATACGCTGGAAGAGACGCTGGAAGATTTAGACAGGAAACAAAAGAAGTGGGATCGTGAGCAGAAGAAGCTTAGGGATATTGAGAAGATGTGTAAGAATTCGGTAGCTAAGCTTCAGAAGAAATGAGCTTGGATGCCGATGAGGTTGCCATGCCTAGAAATACAGAAGTTGAAACTCGCGCCTGGACAAAGAACCTGTTGATTCTTACCAGTGAGATGGCTGACATTATTCACCCAAAGTGAAAGCATAAGTATCATATTACAACAGCCGAATGCTCATCGAAATATCGCAATACACATATAGAGTATGAATCCACCTTGAGATGCTTATTATCATTCTTTTACCAGGTGATTTTAACAAGCATTAACTTTCATTCTGAGCAGCATGACGAAAGGGACAAGAGCAAGTGGCTAATCATCGAGGTTGTCTGAAAGCTCAGTGACAACAAAAGTGTAGGGAGTTGATTGACTGCATCACAGTAGGATGTCTCTGAGTAACCTCCTGTTGCGAAAAGACTGGCAATGAACAATTGTTGGATTTGCGAGTTGTGAATCGTAGGGAAGCCGGGGAGCGAGCTATTTTATCAATGTAAAGTTCCTCGGATCTAGGATGCGGATACACAATAGAGAACCCACTCTCTTCAACGAAACCTGTTCCTTGCACTTGTAACTATCTACATCGTCCAAGAACATCATGGCGGACAACGGCCCCCCAGAGAGAAATACAACCAAGAGAGAACCCAAGGAATTGCCCGAAACCGTCACTTAGAGCATACCCAGGCTTCTCGCCCAGGGCAGGCCTGAGGAGGGTCAATCTGAACCTGAAAAGGAACAAAGCGGGGAGGATGACTCTGAAGAGTACGCAACTACGAAAGATGAAACAGAAAAGAAGTCGGCTAAGAAAGTCAGGTTCAAGGAGGACTCGCAAAAGAAATATTCAGAAAAGAACAAATCCCGCAAGAGGGATTCTGACAACAAGGACTCTAACAAAAGAGAGTCACGAAAGAAAGACTCCCACAAAGAAGGCAATCATGAGAAATCTACACCTAAGAGTCCCAGCATCGGTCTTTGGGATACAGCGACGATATATCAGTTGAATAATTGCTTGATCGAAGCGAAAGCTAAATTGAAAGATGTCCAAGAGAAAGTGAAAGCACTTGAAGAGAAGAATAAGGCGTTACTGAAGGAAGAAGAGGATCTCCAAACCGAGATTGATACGTTCAGGAAAAGTATTAGGAAGAAGCGATCATTAGCCTTGATAGTGGATTGGCCTTGAGGCAGCGGCTTTGTTAGGTTGTTGCTTGATATAGAACAAAGAAGCTTTGGAGTTGGTGTTCAGTGAGTTGAACTGTGGGTTAGGACATATTGGTGATAGTATGAAACATGGTAAGGCCTCGTTTCTTTATTATCAGACATACTCCCGTCACACTTTACTCCATTACCAGGACTCCAATCTTACGCTGTGAGAATACCAGCGCCTAGCATCTCCACTACCAAAGAAGAACCTCCAACCATCATACCATCGACTTCTTTCCACAAATCTTTGTCTGGATCAAGCCCTTTGTCCAACAGGTAGCGAGTATACCGCTGACATCTTCCTTTGACAGCATACCAGAGCAACTCCTTACCATGCTCATCAATGAAACCGGGGTTTCCTACTAACCGCTCAGTCATGTAAATAGCAATGTTGTCTTCTCGAGCCAGTGCCGCGGTGATGATCGCATGGTGTCTCGTCCATCTCCGAACAAGCGGGTCAGCGCCGCCCTCAAGAAGCAGGGTCAAAGTTGCCATATCTCCCCGTATAACAGCCATCTCAAGAGCATCAGCTCCACGAGCGCCGGCCTTGTCTTTGCGAAAAACGTCCTTTTCGATGAAGAGGTTGAGGATGTCAGGCTGAGGGGCGCCTATCGCTATATGCATTGGCGTTTCACCCCAGTCGTCGCTGTCATCGACGTGTGCTCCATTGTCAAACAGTAACCTCACGATATCAACGTATCCTCTTCTCACAGCCAGCAGCAAAGGCGGAACGTCGCCATCCACATGAGCGTTTGGATCGACACCTTGATCCAACATGAGCTTCACTAGATCATAGCTGCCAGTTGTCATCGCAAAATACACAAGATTATCCCCAACCTTATTCCTAAGATGCACGTCTGCACCTCGAGCAAGAAGAAGATTCACAATATCCCAGTACTGTTTCCTAACAGCTGGAAACAAGGCAGTCTCATCCTCGTTGTTGATGATGAAGTTGACATCAGCGCCTTGATCCAACGATCTCTCCACCACTGAGAAAAGTCCCTCTTCAGAACCCCATCGGAGGGCCCTGCACCGCCAGTGCGCATCATCATGATAAACAAGATCATTGGCAATGAGGTAAAGCCGTTTGTTGGTTTGGCAGAAGGCGTTGAGGTCAGAACGCACTGCAAGATTCTGTACGATCAGTTCGATGATCTCTGTTGCTAGATTTTGGAGTAACATATTGACTGATTTAATGTTGTGACAGTTCGAATAAACACAGGAAAGGATGACTTCTTCAAAGTGCTGAAGGAATGAGAGAGACTGACGTGAGACTTTAGATCACCGACTTCTGATCATCAACGGAGGATTGGGTAGGGCTCTATATTTGAGCTTACGTGTATTTTTCGCATCACGTACGTGGCGGTATCAAGGCAAACAGAATAGATCATTCAACGAGAAAGGGAATTAAATGACCGACGAGGAGAACATGGCTCATGTCACGTTCGTTATCATAAATTTCTGTTTGTTCTCAAGTGCGACAGGGCAGGAAAGATTATGAAGTGGTTGGAGCTGGATGTCATGATTTATTGCAGCTATTCCTAAAACCACTAGCTTAGTAAATCCTTCGCTTTTGTCGAGGCTCACCGTCCTGGCCGACCACTCAGATGCTGGATGGATCAATCGTCACCAAACAGCTCCCTTTGCTTTCTTCTTCATTGCTTCAATGCATTTCGGGCATTCCTTCTAATCCATGTACTCATCTCTCGAATTGATCTCAAGCATACACTTGCCCGGCGGAGACTTTTTCTTCTCGCCACACTGCGCTCCGTTCTGCTTATACCTGATCAAGGAGTCACATCTTTTGTTGCAATAGTACCTGACGAACGTGGTGCTGCACATGTTGGCGACTTTTGTACCTATCTCGTCTTATTGCGCGTGCTAGATCTGCCAGGTTGGTTTCGTTTTCGAGGAAACTACAAGGGAAGCATTGGCATATTTATGCCCACAGGAAGCCGATGGTCCGTGATATGAGCTGATCATAATCATGGCCGTGGCACTGAAGAGATGTCATGTAGTACTTCACTTGTTAATCTAGGAGAGACTGAACAGAGGCTTTCTTGTTTGTCGATAATAGCAATAGTGACTAACCCTTCAGTTGTTGTAGTGATTAAAATCACTTCTTCTCCTTCATTTTCTTTATGCAAATCAAGCATCATATAGGAGAAAAGTATTTATTTGCCACTTTAACCTCGGATTTGCACCTCATCCTGTCATTTGGTGTCTTGCAAGGCGTCACAGTCGTATCGCCATGACCGAGAGTCCAGCAATCTTCGCATTGATATCGGATGCTTATTGTCTTGCACATGATGGTAATTGTAAATGTAACGGAGAAAGACACTGTGTTGTTTATTATGTATGGTGACTTATTTGATGGAGTATGTTTGAAGTATGGCGTGCCAGAAAGCAAACAGTTGGCTGGGTTTATATAATTCTTGCTGTGCTCTGAATATGGAAAGATTCATCACTGATATCTACTCGATATTGAAACCAAAGAGGAGTGCTCAGTGACTCTCCAACTCTAGAAGTCACACGATTGTATTTAGTTAAAGTTTCATTGATCAGATTCATAGAAAGTGATCAGCCGCCACCTCCTAGCAGCAATCCACTCTATTCCTTATTTCATGCCTTTGTTCTTCTTTTCCTGGCATTTGTGGCAAAAGTCAGGAGATAGAGTATCAGTTTTCTCCTCGAACTCTGCTACACACCCTTTCTCTTTATCTCCCGGGCTCTTGCATGGATGTCCATCTATCTTGAATCCGATCCGGTGCGAGCATACCTGGCAGATAGATGAGGTATGAATTGTTCTGCACATAGTCGCTTGATGATCGTGTTTGAATGCGGTGGTTTGATGTACTTTTAATATATGTGAAATTGTAATTATTGGGCTTTCAGTGGAGAGAAGTCCAAAAATCTAATTTATATAGTTTTGCAAACGCCTTATTATGTGCATGAATTTACACTTAACAGATATCAGAGGTGGGAGTTAATTGACTGTTATTCAGGTAGTTCCACTGTCCCTAAGAATCATGAGATATTCTAAACCTCCGAATCCAAGTACTCGCACCTCATCGTGATTCAGCCAACGCTTTTAACTTAGCCTCCTCCTCCTCTTTCCTAGCCTCTTGACATGGGTCACATTCCACATACCGAATCTTGTCCTGTGAATTTACCTCTTTGATGTATTTCTCTGTGTCTTTGTGACAGCAAAACGATTCAACACGCTCTGAGTTTATCAAATGACTGCAATAACCCCAGTATCTTATAATCGTAGTTGTGCACATGGTGAGTTCAATGTATCAAGAGGTTGTGGCGTTTTCGATGTCGAGTTTGTGGAAATCGTTGTGAAGTATATTTAAACGAGTATGTGACGTTGAACATTGGAAAAAGACATTGTGAGATTGCTGAAAGCTTGGTATTTATACTTTCCAGGATCTGCATGTCCAAATCATATCCAAGTCCAAGGATAAATGTCGCTAGAAGTAAGAAAGCAATAATTCACAATTACAGTGGATCAGCTGCAGACGAGACTCCATGATACAGACCGTGAATCTGCATGACCTTATGTACCTTAGAATGTCCTTATATATGAGTCACTACATTAACACATGCGCATTGCATAACGGTAATGATCAAATTCTCTCCTTATGGACGATGTTCCTTTTCCTGAGTTCCTTAATCAAGGTCGCAACATTAAAATTCCATAGCGTTCTTCTTCCTCTCCTCCTCTTCCCTCAGCTCCCTCTCACGGAAGCATGGATTACATTCTATCAAGCCATCGCGATTATCCTCAAGATAATTCACATGACAATACTCAGTGCCTTGGTAAGCACATGGTATGAATTCCGTTCCTGAACTGAGAACATGGCCGCAGCAGCCTATATATTGTACCAATACGCTGTCGCACATCTCACTGTTCATTAATAGTATTAGTAGATATTGGGTAGGTGGTTTCTTTTGTAAAGGAGATTGATGAGCCTGAGTTTTTTTGAGCGTTTTGGATGGTTTGCAAGTTGAACACCGGGGCTTTTTATAGAGGGCTATAAGCAACTTTTCAGGGACAGATATGAAGGAGTGAGGGTATTGATTCATAGGGGGAGGTACCTCTGATGATACTGTCCTGCCTCCATGGTGAGTACCGAGTCTGCTGAGGGAGGGACCTTCTTATGTATGATATGGCTACTCATTGGGTTGATAGGTGAATATTTGACATGGAAATCTTGGAGATGAAGGGTCATGATTGCAAAAGTGCATCTTCAGGAGAATCGCAGGCGTAAATTGTGTGAAGATTGTTAAGAGACTTGTTTGTTAATGTGACACGAGAAATATGGAAGATGCTATGAAGAAGAATCTCTTGTCAAGACCGGCCGAGCTTAAACCCCTGGGGAGAACTCCATACAACGGTCCAGATACCTCATTCTTCGACTACTTGATTGATTTTTTGAGCTCAGCTGCCTGTAGCTTCAAAATAGCTAACCAATCTTTCCCGATGTTGGCATAGTCGGCAAACCCTGCCGGGTCCTCCAAGTATGAGTACATGATGTCCCAGTTAAGTGCCAGAAGAGGACCCATGATGGGGATGAGACCCAGTCCTGCTCCGACGATCTGCTTGACAATACCTGACCATGCAGATTTGTCGAGGGGCGCATAGACGAAGCGAATTCCTTCATTTATCGACGTCCAATCGTTACCCTTTCTGTGAAAGTCTCCCGAATCCCACTGGCACAGGGAGTGGTCTTCCGCGTTGAGCGAGGCTCCTTCTCGAAGTAACCAAATAGAGTCAAAGCAGATATGCGTACCATCGGCACGGCGGGCGACTCTGTCGTCTGGAATGCACAGTGATGCCATGAGTGCTTGGACGTTCAAGCAAAGAGCAGCTCCAGAGTACCCAAGACCGCGGCTGTTTGTAATGTCGCAGTGAATGGGGTCATTATCCCAGTAGTTCTTGAGAGTCAAGCCTTGTTCAGAAAACTTGTGAAACTGTACGGTCCCAAGTCTGCTGAATCCAGGATAGTTGGGATCCTGGAAGATCTGAGGGAAGTAGAGTGCTCTGATAGGGAGTGTCGGATCGATAAAGATATATTTATGGGACTTGATGTTGAACGCCAGATATACGTTTTGGTCTGTTTCCGTGTACCACCTATAAGTGCTTTGCCCGTCATTGTGGACAAAGGGGCTTGGGGAGTCAATTGCTACCTCGCCACTGGTATCTTCAGTATCATTGTAAAATACTGAAGTACTGGCGAAGGTTCCCAGAACCTGCCTGGCGGGTGAATGCAGGAATTCAAAGTTGCCCCGAGGCCAGTTCGGCTTCTTGATGCCGTTTGAGTTTGAAGCTTTGTCATAAACTCCATTCATGACAACTTCAACGATAAAGGACTTGTAGAAGCCTGCCTCAGTCTGCATTCGCGGTGGAAGTGCAGAAGTGGCCGTGAAGCCTATTCCAGTGGGTGGAGCATAAGCATCATAAGCTTGGGGACTGACGTCCGACTTGGCATTGCTTGAAGATGTGTTTTGAGGCTCTTGTGAGGCTTGAACTGGCTCAGCTCCAGGGGCTTGTTGGACAAGTGTATCGGCCATGACGAAGGGAATAAGAGAGAACTGCTTTGAGATGGGTAGCTTCTATGCTAGTTGCAGAGTCTAGGTAATTCTTCAAATACTGAATGATGTTGCAGATGCATCCTTTCTGCCCAGATATTCAAGAGGCTTTATATGTTCCATGACAATGTCGGTTAGAACGGTGCGCTAACTGTGCCGATACACTTGACATATGCGGCTGACCTCTTCCCTTGCCGTAAATGTCTTTTTCTGCATCCGGGGTCTCCGCTCACACACGGCAAGATTCTCAACACCAATATGTGACGTATGTGTGCGCCATGTAGGACTTTGGGATTGCGCGGAACCCTGTTTCGGTAACATTGAGACTGAGATGTGATAGAGGCAGTGGTGGGGATTGAACATATCAACTCGGGGCGTGTGCTTCTGTTTCAAGTACATCTAGTATGCATATCGCAATTTACCTTCCCCTCAACGCTACTTTCGTTATGTCAGTCATGGTGAGTCTCCGGACAGGGGTTTGAGGAGCTCGACAGGCTTTCAGACTTCTTGTCCTTTATGGTACTAGCCAATAAAGTATATGCGTTGCACGTCGCTCGTTATCTGTTCCGTGCGTAGCCGCCGCAGGAGGACCATGAAAGGTCCAATTGATTCACGGTTACATACTGTGTCTGGCTGGACATCCTCTGAACTAACATCAGCTGCTGGTATGTATTTTCTGGGCATGGGGTCATACATTCAAGCTAACTGGCACAATCATTCTAGAATCTCTGACGGCAGATTCACTGGCATAACCGTCACTTAGCTCTCTCTACCAAAAAGCCATTTTATTATTCAGTGTTTAGGTTCTTCGCTCACTGCTAATATTCCAATGAATTCAGCGTACTTCTTATAAAATGCTACTCGACGGACCAAACAGGCACGAGTGAAAACCAACGAGAACGGTATACCGATTGCGAGAACGAGATGGCCCCTGGAGCCTTCGCTCCGTATGCAAGATGATTGACTTGAGTTGAAAAATACTTTTGCCAATCAGCTTGTACATAAAGTGTACCAGAGCTTTTGTGCAAGCTCAATGACTTGATACCGGCTCGAGGCAGGTGCTTCTCATGAGAGGAAACTGGCTTGAATCCCTGCAGGAAGGGCTGCTTCAACACTTCAGTTCCGTGCAGAAATGAGGCTGAAGTCAAATTGAAGAGGTGCATATCCAGGTCTGTAGAGATCAAGAGAAGGCGTTGGTTAGGCACAGGCGTAATATCATGGCCACCATCCCACCATGTATCGTCCCATTCCTCGTTGAGCATTTTTGGAGGACCGATGGCCTCGACTTGAGAGGGCTTTCGAGAGAATGAACCATCTCTATACTCGTAGCGATTCATCTGAGCTCTCGAGGGACACTTCCCTTGAGGAGGTAGGTCATTCCCGACAGCCCAAAGGCTTTTTGTTACTTGGTCCCATACGAGACTGTGGACCGCGGGGAGACCATCAAGCTCCTGAAGGAAGTCTGGATATGGGTTTGATGTATCCAAGGATGCGTTGACGATCTTGATGTTTCCAGTTGGTTCATATGAAGTCGTTGCTATAGCGATCTTATCATCAGGGAGAAGCTCGACACCGTGAGTTCCTCGCAGACCGGGCGCGTCCAAACACATGCCGAATGTTATAGCTTTGTCTTTAGATGGTTCATCGGGACAATGGCTGATGATGACGACCGCATAACCATAGACTGCTACAACGCTTCTACCGTGATTTGCCCACTTAGCATCTGTCACGGAATCTCCATTTTGCAGACACTCGTTGAGTTTCTTTGGTATATCTTGGTTGACGAAGTCGATCTTCGTCCAGTTCCATGATACATGGCCACTAGTGTTGTGGATGCTGATTTGAGCAGGATAGTATTGACCTGTAATGATCTCAGGAGAGGCCTCTTGAGGGCGAAGGATATGCTGCAAGCCATCGTTGCTTCCGTGAGCCTGAACGAGATTGGCTGCACCAATAATGAACAGCCCAGTCCGAAACAGCCACCGGAAAGCCTCGAAAGTCATAGCTTCAGTTGATTTGGAGTAGAAAATAAAAGGTTGTTGATGGCAGATAAAGTCTTGACGCGCCACAGTGATGAAAACTGTGACTCAAACAAAGTAACTCACTCTATCTTCTGGGTTTGGTCTTTAGTGAGCCCTTACTCGAGGAAGACTCACACAAAGGGTACCTGTAGGATGCAATGATTCAGTTCAGTCAGATCAACTTGCATATAAAATACTGAAGGCAAGCGGATGATTGAGCACTACGTAACAATAATGGGGGCGGAATTATGTTCTCAGCTGAATCAAACATATATAAGACACGGGACGGGCAAGTGACGAACCATATCACCCAATACATGCACTAAATACGCATGTATGCCATGAAGCTCGACCTGGACTGGCTGGCTAAATGTTCTAACTGTGATAGCTGTGCAGCAAAATAAACCTTTTGGCCCGAAACAAGGCAGATCAGCCGGCGGTATTACCTATAACAACACCTACAAAATGTGGCAAAACTAGGGCAGTAGAAATATGTCTCGGCTGTTTGACTTCCCGGGAGCTGATGGCGTTTATAGATGGCAATCAGTGGCCTCAAATTCAATCAAGCCAAGACACGGCTTCAGCCGGAACCTGAAAATGATGAGCTAAGGGTTTGAGTGTTGAATCCTCTCGTCTTTCGCGTCTTTACATATACGGCCCAGGGGAAAGATCATCGTTTTTCAGCTCAGCCCTTCTCAGCCACTTTCATCCGAGCGGCATGGCAGATCTGCCGAATGAGGCGACGTGCGGGTCGATTTAATGCAGACGAATACCGGGTGTCAGATGACATCACCATGTTTTCAATGGGTCCTGTTGATGGCTGATGACTATTAATCCATGACCAGCTGGCTATCAGTATCTCAGCTGGAAGCGGGCCGTGCCGATCTGTCAACGAAGTTCTATCGGTAGCTGGTGGCGCTGATCAATCGCCGGTACTGTTTGAATGCATTTCAGCTTCTGCCACTAGGTACGCTACCCGCACTCCCGCTGACATGATTTGTCACTTCTATGAGGGAACTCGATCCTATTCTTATACCAAATGGCGGCCAATCTGCTGGTTGATATGACCCTATGGGTGATTTGCGATGGTTGATGTTACGAGGATACTGGGCAATGATGCAAGGAGGCAGATGGAAGTGCAGCTAGCGAGCACAGAGAGCCTAGGTCCCTGTCATTCCTCCTGTGATCTATGATTCTTGTAGAGGCTCAGAGGCTCAAAAGCTAGGTGAGTAACGTGGAGATGAAAACATACCAATTGTCCTACGTGAGTCAAGATTGTTAAAGCTGAGGCATGCAACTGTTACAACTCAGAGGCCCTCTTATAGTTGAGAGTAGTTCAGTCTTTTATTTAAAACAAGTCTTCAATTATGATCATGAATTGCATTGTTAGGAAAAGAACCACTTTAGATCTGAAGTATGCCGTGAAGCCATAACCGGCTTGCCGTTGCTAGCCGATGGCATGCGTGTAGGAGCCATGAGAAACTCTCCCATGTAGTGATGACAGTATGCCCGCATTCAACGCGGAAATGCTGATGAATGAATAAGCGCCAAGCTGACCATGCCCGCTTTTCTTGCGCTCCAAGTTTGGGCACTTCAACTTCAACAGATTCGTCAGGTAGTATGCTACAGCACCACTGCAGTAACAGTGTCAATCAGGAGTCCGCCCAAGGCATGAAATACATAATAGTGACCTACTTCTTAAGAGTTGAAAGTGCATCAGTGCCGAAGCCTCGTTCCGGGAATAAACCATCTTCCCACGACAAGGCTTAGTGCTTACATCAACAGTGGGCTATGATCATGGTACCCTGTCTGTACCCTCAAATCCTTCGCTGAACAGGTCGAGATGTTTGTAATCACGCTGCTACGCCCTAAGTTCGTCCGAACTCCCTCCGGAAGACATAGAATGGTGAGATATTATAGCCTATCATAGAGATGTCGGGTGGGAAACATCGTGCGAACTCGGAGCCTTCGTCCGAAGAAGGATTCCGGAGGTCGTCGAGTCTTACATATTTAAACCCTTCATAAACCGCTCGAAAACACTGAAAGTTATCTCTACTCGCATCCAAGTCTCAAAATGAAGGAAAAATATCAAAAGCCAGTCGTACTTCTGGTTCACGGTGCTTGGCATCGACCTCTCCACTACCGTCTTCTCATCCAAGCTTTCCAACAACAAGGCTTCATTGTCTTAGCGCCGCCTCTTGCAAGCTCCGGGTACGATGATTCAGTTGACGGCAAGACATACCACGCTGATGTTAAGAGGATCCACGATGTTGTTATGCCTTACATCGATCACGGGAGGACAGTGATTGCTGTTGGTCACAGCTACGGAGCCATTCCTCTTACCGTGGCGATTGAGGGCCACAGTCTTGCAGAAAGAGAAGAGAAAGGCCTGCAAGGCGGCTTCAGGTCTGTGATTTATGTGGCTCCAACGCCAGTCTTACACAAGGGTATTTCCATGTTCGAAGCTGCGGGTGAGCAGCGTCAGACACCATTCTTTCACGATGTTTCTGTAAGCAAAATTGCAACGCGAAGCGCAACACACAAACTGATCGTATGCTAGGACACGCGTATGCCACTCGAGCTTGATAGAGTCAAAGAGGCATTCTTTTCAGATATCGATCATCGTATCGCAGATGACTTTATTCCAACGCTTTGCCACCAGAGCAAAGCTCCCTTCGAAGTTCCTGTCGTTTGTACCCCAGCAGACTTGAAGATCTCCAAGACTATGGTCATTTGTAAGAACGATGCTATCTTCTCTAGAAACATGCTCTTGCAAGTGGCTGATAAATGGGGTGCTGATACTTTGGAAATTGAATCTGGACATAGTCCGCATCTGGTGGAAGGGCACAGGATGTGGCTCGTTGAGCTTGTGTCCCAAAAGGTCGAGCAGGCATGAAGCCATGGGTAAAACTTGTTGGTATATGTATATAGGGAGAGAATGTGATACATTCACGTCGATTCCTAACTCCACCCAAATCATATGTTCAATTGAGAAATCCTTTTCGGGATTCAATAAAATGGCAATGGGAAACTCGGTGCCTGCGGCACAAGATGGCCTCAAAGGATACAGGCTGTGAGCTGTGTGGTCTAGTCTCAAAGTCAATTGCCGTGGCCCTATCAGAGCTGCGACTTTGATGACGTGTACTCCGTAGAATTCAGCCATCCTGGGTCCAGACTGCTGTAGGGTGCTGGCGATGATTTATTAGGACAGGCCGTAGAAAGCGCCGCTACTAATGATATTGACCCTTCCATACTCTTCGTTGGCTTGATCAAAGGTCATGCGTGGAACTAAAGAAGTAAAGCAATTTGTGGCGTAGGCCCAGACCGTTGGTGAAACTATGGACGGAATCTTCCTCCACAGTCACGTTTGACACCAACGACTGAGATATTTCCATAGAATATTGCGTTTCAGAACCGATCCCGGTTAAGAATGATCTCATGTTTTGTTATTACGCCAGCGGATCAATCTGACAAAGACCCAGCGTTACGATCTGACTCATATTATTGCTTACCCACGTGATGCGACAGCCGAGCAACGATAATCCTTCGACAAATTGATAGCAAAGTGACGGTGAAGATAACTAAAAAAGACTCTTCGCAAGAATCAACCATGGCGACCTCTTCTTCTGATGATGCTGGTTCCAGCATCGAGGACCTTATCTCCTCATACTCGATCCTCACCTCCTTAGCACCGTGGCTCTCAACACTGGACCTCTTCAGTCTCAGTCTGACAAGCCGGTCAGCTTACGAGTGCATCCAGTCGTCACCTACAATCTTTAAATCACTCAGTCGCCATTGTCTCTGCGATGGTCGCGGTCTTGCTACACGTCAAGCCTATGCAAGTCCATATCATCGAAACCGTATGGCCGGTCAATCGACGCTGAGTCCTCATCTCAAAGGCGACGAGGAGATCGAGGTTCGTCTATATAACATCAAATGCGATGAAGCGGGTGCTTTACCGTGTTTGAAATGCGGTATCAACATCTGTGAGGAATGCCGATGTTATCCTCGCGCAGCCCCGCCAAGTGCATATCCGAATCGCAGACCGCATTTGAGAGGGAGTTACGAGCTTGATAATATCATGTGCTTGTGTGAGGACTGTGACGCGAATAATGAGAAAGAAGTGGCGGGGAAGTTCCTGAACGAAAGATGTGATTGTGATATCTACACGAGGTGGATTTGTGTCAGATGTGAAGAGGAGGAGCGCAAGACGGCGAGGAAGTACTTTGCGGAACGAACGCAGATGGAGTGGGATTGGATCATGAGGGAAGATATTGACTATGGCGATGATTTTGAGCCTTCGAAGACGCTTCATGATCATGCCTTTCAACGAGCTGCAAGACTTCCCTCACAAAACTCTGAGATATAGCGAGCTGACTTGTCTGGTGCAGTTCTGGTGTACTTGCGGCAAGACAGTCTCGCACAGAACAGTACCACGTTGCATCTGGTGCAAAAGGCGACATTTGCCAGAAAGCGAATGGTATCAGGAACGTCAGGACATTGGTTCAAAACATCCTTTCTTTGATAACGTAAGTCTCCAAACTCAAGCAGTACGGACGTAACCTTTTGATCACTCGAACAGGATCCTGATTATCCTCGGTGGATAAGCGACGAGAACAACAAGTATCCAACTCCTTACCCAAGGTTAGGGTATCGGGAAGTTGAAGAGACTTAGGTTTAGTAACAAGGTTGTTAGTCGAGCCGTTGTTTCTGTGGTTATGGAAGTTTGATTATGTCCAATGGTCATTTAAAAGACTCAGTTGAACCTCTTCGCTTGCCTTAGATACAGAGTTATACATTATTTGCTTTCTTCCAACTGTTTAAATAAATCCCTGCCAAACTTCTCGAGGAGAAACTCTCGTACCTCAGGGTTCCCGCCCCTGATCACATGCAATGATTCTTCATCTCCATCTACTTGCAACCCCTCCAACGTGGTAACACGCGATAGCGCAACGTACTTCTGCGCCTGCTCCCAAGCCTTATCAAGCTTAGTCTTAACAAGATCCAGTGTCATTCCCTGGGATTTGTGGACGCTGACAGCCCATGCGAGAGTCAGAGGTACTTGCGTTCGCGAGAGCAGAGAATAAGGCGACGTTGCACCGAGGGCGTTGACGACGCAGGTGGGATATATAGTGCGTGTGAGCCCATTGTGGAATTCGACGATGGGCCATTGTCTTACCCCTTGGGTCATTGTAAATTCACTGATTTCCTCTTCTCTGTAAGTGGCGAATTCGCCTCCGAGACTATCCGAGTCCGAGTCTCCGGATTTGTTCTTCTTTTTCGGAAGTTTCGCGGGGTCGAACGGTTCCCAGCCGCGGACAATGCCTTGACTGCCATTGACCAGACCGTTCTTGATGTCGAGATTGACCCGAAGCATAACGAGAGCGTCTTTCTTCAATTTGACCATAGCATCCAGAGGATGTTCCTTGCATGCTTCCAAGGTTCCATCTCCTAACCGGTCACCATATTTCTCAAGCTCTTCGTGCCCTTTGTAACGAAAGCGATCTTTTGCCTGATAGTTTGTTTGCGGTGTCCGTAACTGGACAAACTCTTCATGGTTCTTATTGTTTACATCGTAGTTGGTGCAGTGGAGCTCTACAGCTTTACCTGGTTTGTAGGGATGGTCCAGCAGAATTTTGAGTTCCTGTGTTTCGAACGGGATGCCGAGTCGACATTTCTGAAGCATCTTGATAAAGTCCTGGTCGTTTTGTCGATGAATCTGATAGAGGTGCACGTGGGTGAAGTTAGCTTCTTGCCAAGCTCTACTCCTAAAGGCCCATTGATCCTCGATGTAGAAGGGACCACAGCTTTCCGTCTCATCCCAGGGGTAATAGAGATCATACTCTTCCTTATTGTCGTTCTTGTGACAGTTCCACTCAGTCGTCTGCCTGTCATGGTCCTTGATCGTACGTGCCCCACAGTACATACAGTTCTGGAAAGGCTTGACAGGGGGTAGTTGACAGAAGTCGCCGGTGACGATAACCTGGACGCCACCAAAGGCTCGAGCATGGGGATCATTATAACAGCGGATGTGTTTCATGCACACGTTCATGCGCTCGAGATGATGGTTCTCCACCATACTGATCTCATCGATGATAAGGACATCCGTCTTTTTAATGCGGTCCTCGATAGAATCGTTCCATGAATGGCCTTTGAGCTTTTCGAGGGGATATGTGAGGATGCGAGGTGTCCACCCCATGTAAGACCAGGTAGTTGTACCGTTGACTCCGAGGGCAGCTCGACCAGTGGGCGCGACGATGTGAACGGTTTTGTGTCGCTCTCGAAGCTTCTTGACCGCTGCTTTCAGAACCGTTGACTTGCCGCACCCCGCTGAGCCGGTGAAGAAGACGTTTCTCCCAGCCATGATGAGATCGAGAAGGTCTTGCTGCTCTTTGCATAGAGTTGGTTCAGGGACGGAGTCAACGCCAGCAGGACCGTTGTCGTCCCCAACGGGACCACTTTCTGGGGGGTCAGACGGAAGGATGGGTATCTTTTGTGCCGAGGCGAGTAGTTCCTCGTCTGAAATATCGCTGCCCAAGTCGGGTTGTTGAGACCAGTACTCCGCACTAGCTTGGCTTGACGAGGGGATTTTGGGGGCTTCATTTTCGTCGGATGATGGGATGCTGATGATGGAAGGCGAACGATGAAAATGCTTTATTGGTGCTTGCGCATTGGTGTTCCGCTTCCTCTTGAGGGGGGCCATAGGGGGGAAAGTTGTGGGGGCTGGACCTCTCACTCTGGGCATGGGTAGGTGACCAAAGATTTGATAGGGCGTGAATGAATGATGTATCTGTATAAGATGTCAGTGCATACTTACGATGAACTACAGACTGGGTGTACCCACATGGCACTTAAAGTAGGTGTGAGGCAAGCTAGCTTGATCGATCGCGTTGATGAACCTTTTGGGACGCGCCTGGTTTATTACGGGGCCAAACTCAGAACGCGTGGTGGTGTAGCGCACGTGACCGGGCGTATCTGACGTCTTCTCCAATTCGTTATCTTTTGGACTTTTGCTTTTTCTGGTGCAAACATGTCATTTGCTGGAATCTTCCGTAGATCGTATCGGAATCATGATGCGGGCATCTGTTCGAGACTCGCACGTTTGACGACTTCAAATGCCGGAATGCAAGGGTATCCTCCCCAGTGGGGTTCGCCCGGGAACTATAATACAGTATGAAATAACGGTTCTCAGAGTCAGCCTTTATAGGACGTTGCCCCATACAAACTCAACAGCAATATTCAACATGGCAGTCATCTTATCGCTCCCCATTTCCCAACTCTGCAACCTCTGTGCTTCAACTGGATTTCCCGCATTCGTCTTTGCTTCAACCAGCTCACCCAATGTCGTAATAGGACAGCTCATGTCAAAGAAGGCTTTCTCAGTCTGCCATTCCTCAAGACTCCTGGCTTCCCATAGTAGTTTGCTCGATGGGAGCGGAAGATTATGCACATCGCTGCAGCTACTGCACGTCCTACCATTCTCGATAGTGATCACGCAGCTTATGATGAGCCAGAGACAAGACGTTCGGCGACGTGATTCTGCAAAGATCCAATCTTGCCATGTTGAACTTGGCTCGGATATTTCGGAGGCCGAGTAGCTACCGGTGATATCGAGGAAGCGGGAACCGATTAGCTGATACAGTTTAGCTAAATATCCATGGTAAAGCTTGACAACACTGACCTCGGCTGTTTCGAATAGCCTGGAAGTTCGCTCTTTGCTTTCCGAGTCGGATTCACTCATCGACATCATCATATAGATAATCATAGCCTCTAGACAGAGATGCACCTCACGGGGAGAGAACGTATACAACTGCTTCATATTAGCAGAAGCTACTCGAAAAGTTCGTCATGCTTACCCTTTCCCGGAAGCGCGCCTCCTCAGCAGCGACCATCCTCCACAGAAACGACTGGGTTTCCGCCGTTCTCGCAGCAAAGAGCTGAGCTATACTCATGCAGTTACCTAGCGTCTCCGGTAGTGCTTTCTCATGCCACTGCGGATGCATAAATGGCGGGAAGGTTTGTCGGCGAAGCATCATCTGTGGATAAGCGTAGAGCATCTGCATTATCACTCGCGATGCATGCTGCATGCTGGAAAGTCGGTTTGATACGCGTGTTAAATCGCCCTTAGAGCTGAGAGATCTTGGTGGCATGTGGATTTGCCTGTCGTTAGTAATGGTAAGCGGCGACAATTCCACTGAACTTGGCTCCAGATCCAAAATGTCAGTCGACATTGGGTCCAACGACGAGATAAAACCAGCTGCGAAATCATCCATTTCGAAGGATATCCCCAATGGCGCAGAGTCTGCGAGGCTACTAATGGTCTGTAGCTCGTTGTTCGCCCAAACATTGGGTTCTTCACTATGTCTGACTGAAGTCAGAGGCCCGTTGCGAGTCGGTCGACCATACGCGCATCGCAGGTCCTTCTTCAAACACCTTGAACATGGCTGACCAAAGTCGCATTTCGTTTTAGCTGATCTACACGAAGTACAAGACTTTTGGCGCCCTTTGCGTTGAGTCTGAGCGCGACGGCAATAGTTCACATGGCGCTTAAATGGGTGCTCTAGCGATGATCAGCAGCTGCTAGGGCATGCTTGGAACAGACGTACCCTGAGTGAAGACTTTGTCGCAGAGCTGACACGTTTGAAAGAAAAGAGTCTCCGTTGAAATCTCCATTATGTTTGGTACGAGGCTTCGCGAATTGAGATGGCATGGAGAACACAAGTGCAGGTTGGTAAGCAGAAATATGTGCTCGGATTTAAGGCTAAAATCCTGCGGCCAAGACCCTGGGCAGGGTTTCGCTTATGCAGGCAACGAAGCGACCACTAAACTACGGTACCATCTCATGAGCTACAGTCGCTGTCTACCTGGGAAGTTCTCCATTGCGATCACTGATAGTCTTAGTAGGCCCATCCTCCCCAATAGTCGCCATTTCAACGATCCTTTCCGCGCCAATCTCAGTGCTTGTTCCCCACTCATGATAATTAGTCAAGCCCGTCTTGACCAATCCTGGACAAACAGAGTTGACCTTTCCTCCAACATCATCCAGTTCCCGTGCAAAGTTGAACATAAGCATGTTAACAGCTGCTTTACTCGCGTCGTAGGCTTTGTAGTCTGTATTGTAATAGGTCGTGGTTTCATCAGTTGCTTTCGCCAGACTGCCCATGACGCTCGTTACAAATACGATGCGCGGTGGAGCATTCTTCGCTTTGCGGAGAAGAGGGAGAAGGCTTTGAGTGAGACAACCGGTTCCAATGACGTTGGTGGTGAAGGTCTTGGAGAAGAGCTCCCAGGTCGAAAGACCTTCGTGCCTATCCAGCAAAACACCAGCGTTGTTGATGAGAACATCGAGATACCCGTACTTCTCATTAATATGCTTGACAGCTTTGTCAATTGACTCAGCAGAGGTGAGGTCAAGCTCTACAACTGAAGCTTGGTGGCCGTCTTTGCGGAGATGAGAGGCGATGTCTTCGCCGGCTTTGGTGTTTCGAACACCGAGAAGGACATGGTAGTTATGCTTGATGGCGAGCTCTTTGGCAACTGCGAGGCCGATGCCTTGGGTTGAGCCGGTGACGAGAGCGAGAGTTTGAGACATGATAAGAAAGTTGAATAATGTGAAGAATGGGAGATGTATCGGTTGTTGGTGATGAGTTCAGTGAAGAGCTTGAACATGAGATCTTTATATAGGTCAATTCGTATAAATAACAACAACGAGTCTTGGATTGAGATACTCTAGCTTTCCAAACCCAACGGACAAGTTGGCCTATGAGTTCCACATTTCATTAGTGTTTCCGGTCGCTTTCTATCGTGTTGTCTAGATGGCATGTTTGTCGCGTCCAAATTCGCCGGGCTCAACAGTGGGGCTCCGGCCAATTTGGCCGACGAACCATTGAGGTCTCGTCACCATTTCAAGGACCCCATTGCTTTATTACCGAGAATGTTGAATTTATGAGAAATGTTGAAAATGTGAGTCAGTTACTCTTATGTTCATACAAGCTTTGCATGCTTCGAATCAGGAAAAAGACACCCAGAATTGAGCAAGGCAGATGTGAAAATCCAGTCCGCTGAGCATCAAGGCAATTCTTGGGTCTTCTACTCAACCTTAATCTCCCTTCCCTTTTCTACGTCTCTGCAAAGTGGTATTCTCATCTAGTATGGTTGGGTTGATGTCAATACGTAGAAAGCATACTCCATCCAGATCGGCTATAGGTTAGGTAAGACTATACTCAGCGCTTTGAGGTGAGAACGCTCAACATGACCTCAGCTCTGGAATATTTAGCATCTATCAAACTGCTTCTGATAACCAAAGAGGAAACCATTTTAACTGCAGCATTGTACTAATTTGACGGCGTCAATGTGAGAGTTTTCCCCTCATTTCATGAACTTTGAAATGATATGTAAAGCTTCTTGTTACATTCCAATGTAAAGTTCAAATAAAAGGCGTTGGCGATGACATGAGTAAAGGCTTTGACATGTGATTCCAATAGTTCATCTGCCATCCCGGCACTGAAAATAACTGTTTACCTGGACATATCCTACATCAATGTATGCCGAATCTCTACTGATGGGTCATGCGAACCCACCATTCTGACCTGAATGCCAAGGCGTGGGGAAGTCTTGGCCAGTAGCAGTCTCGATGCTTGACAAGATTGGCAGGTCACTCGAGCCTGTCACTCAAGTCATCCGACGATAGTCTCTATAGTATCTCGGATGAATGGATATTGGCCAAGTCGTGATATCTTCGGGGGGATCTCAGATGTTTATTCCCTCGTGCGCTGACCTTGAAGATGTCTTGTCAGTACCCAAGCCTCTTGTGCGCGAGTATGAAAGGCGAAATAATCGTTGGAACTCATCTCGTTATCCTTCCGAGCAAGGCTGATAACGAGGCCTCTTCGTATCTGTAAAATACAACATCGTGTTACTGACTCGTTAATAGACGCGTGATGCAATCACTTAACAAGCAATACTACCTTCCATATCAAAAGCGGGATGATATCAATCAGAACATCAAGCACAGGTATGTAAAAGGCAGTTCATATACCCAAACGCGTCTCAATAAATCTCGCAGCTCCCCAACTACCCCTCTTTACAACTGATAACACTCAACGTTACTGCAAATCATAAACAGCGGAGTAATAATTGATTGGCCCACCGTCTCCGCGTTGAGGGTGGCATTGCCGGGAGACATGGCCCAACATGGAAGGTCTCCAGATATACAGGGGTGTCGTGGTAGATCACACGGATGTCGTTCGTTAAAAAGAACCTGTGCCAAGAAGACGCAGGGGCCGTCGAGGCGCTTGCATAGTGCAGAAATAGTCTGGCGTCTTTATCTTGCAGATCAGAGTATATTGCGGTGTAGTGGTCTAGACTATGGACTTCCTTTTGAGGCCTATTTCCTGGATTGATGGTGTTGAGAGGCTAGGTAGTGCACTTGGGCCGCAACCTCTTCAACTTACACGCTGGTACGATCATATCTAATACTGCACTACTTCATTTCTAGCGTCCTAAATGCTCCGATGATGTGCTAAGAAGGTTTATCATGCTTAACCTTACTGTTAAGCTTGCAATAGTCACTAACCACTAGCCTTCGGCGCATACATACAAATCAGGCTATACACTCCGCACCCTTTCCCCAAAGTGTAAATCTACGATGGTTCGTCCCGAGCCGTTTATTCCCTCGGCTGTTGTTTGTCCGAGAAGACCTTCCTATCTTGCTGCCGCCGAGATATTGAAAATATGACGTGCTAACCTTAGCGGGACTGAAGGCTAGGAACAAGTGACCCCAGATAGCAATGTCGCATGACTGAAGTGTTTGCGAGATAGTGCCTGGACAAAAGACCCTTCTTGCAGCGCTTAGATCCCAGAATAGGGCAGTGGATAGTTATGAGCTTCTAGATATTCGAGGCCAAGATATACAAAAGTCCCGGTTGAATTGGGAAGCTGGATAGAAACGTGGATGACTGGAAGCATAGTCGTCTTGTAGATACAGCGTTTAGAGAAGTATATAACAGACCCTTCGAACATGTTTATGTGAACTTCACGAACATCATCATCAACTCAGCACTTCACTCCAGTGCAACTCATCAAGATGCGTTTCTCCGACACTCTCGTCCTCATTGGCCTCTCCAGCCTCGCTGGTGCTCATCCCAGTCGAAGGGCACCCAACCCTTCACCACTGAGCAAGCGCGGCCTCGACCTGGAAGCTTTCAAGCTTCCTCCCATGGCTGAGTACGTCCCTCAGGATGAAGTTCCTGATGATGTCAGTGCCAAGGTCGTCACCAAGCGAGCTGATTACACCGAGACTGCCAAGGACTTGGTGAAGTCGACTTTCCCCAAGGCTACTTTCCGCATGGTCACGGATCATTATGTTGGTAGCAATGGGATTGCACATGTGAATTTCAAGCAGACTGTTAATGGTATTGATGTTGACAATGCTGATTTCAACGTCAACGTGAGTATCCGCTGGTTCCTGAATAGTCTAGAATACACTGACACGGATACAGATTGGCGCCGATGGTGAGGTCTTCTCCTACGGAAACAGCTTCTACGAGGGCAAGATTCCCGGCCCTCTCGCCAAGCGTGACGAGAAGGACCCCGTCGATGCTCTCAAGGACACCGTTGAAGTTCTCTCCCTTCCCGTCGAGGCTGATAAGGCCAAGGCTGAGAAGAAGAGCAAGAACCACTACACCTTCACTGGTACCAAGGGTACCGTCAGCAAGCCTGAGGCCAAGCTCACTTACCTTGTTGATGAGAACAAGGAGCTCAAGCTTACATGGAGAGTTGAGACTGATGTTGTTGATAACTGGCTGTTGACGTATGTCAACGCTGCCAAGACTGATGAGGTTGTTGGTGTCGTCGACTACGTCAATGAGGCGACATACAAGGTTTAGTACGTATTTCCATAACTTTACGCTTGGAAAATGATTGACCGTTTTATTATAGCCCATGGGGTGTCAATGATCCTGCCAAGGGATCCCGCACCACTGTTGAGAACCCCTGGAATCTCGAGGCCTCCGAGTTCACCTGGCTCAGCGACGGCTCAAACAACTACACCACCACCCGAGGCAACAATGGAATCGCCCAAGTTAATCCGAGTGGAGGCTCAACCTATCTGAATAACTACCGTCCTGATAGTCCTTCGCTGAAATTTGAGTATGACTACTCCACCAGCACCACTACACCTACCACCTACCGCGATGCTTCCATCGCCCAGCTTTTCTACACAGCCAACAAGTACCACGATCTCCTCTATCTTCTTGGCTTTACTGAACAGGCTGGCAACTTCCAGGTTAACAACAATGGTCAGGGTGGTCAAGGAAACGACATGGTTATCCTCAACGCTCAGGACGGAAGCGGTACCAACAACGCCAACTTTGCTACACCCGCTGACGGTCAGCCCGGCCGTATGAGGATGTATCTCTGGACGTACAGCACGCCCCAGCGCGACTGCAGTTTCGACGCTGGTGTTGTCATCCACGAGTACACACACGGCTTGTCCAACCGTCTCACCGGCGGCCCTGCCAACTCCGGATGTCTCCCCGGTGGTGAATCCGGTGGTATGGGTGAAGGCTGGGGTGACTTCATGGCTACTGCCATTCACACCCAGGCAAAGGATACCCGCGCTAGCAACAAGGTCATGGGTGACTGGGTCTACAACAATCCAGCCGGTATCCGAGCTTATCCCTACAGCACAAGCCTGACCACTAACCCATACACTTACAAGAGCGTTAACAGCCTCAGTGGAGTCCATGCTATTGGTACGTACTGGGCTACAGTGCTGTATGAGGTTATGTGGAACTTGATCGACAAGCACGGGAAGAATGATGCGGATGAACCCAAGTTCAACAACGGCGTTCCAACAGATGGAAAATATCTTACTATGAAGCTAGTAGTCGATGGCATGTCTTTGTAGGTTATCCCTGGCATGAGTACGAGTCTCTTCTAACGTTTGATAGGCAACCCTGCAACCCCAACATGGTCCAAGCCCGAGACGCCATCATCGACGCCGACACCGCTCTTACCAAGGGAGCTAACAAGTGCGACATCTGGAAGGCCTTTGCCAAGCGTGGTCTTGGAACGGGTGCCAAGTATAGTGCTTCCAGCCGAACCGAGAGTTTCGCTCTTCCATCTGGATGTTAAGGATAGAAGGGCAGGACAACGAGTGGATGAATGAATGAAGGGTTATGAGCTGGATTTTGAGATGATGTATTTGCTGTTCTTGGTATATATGGATGTGTTGTACATAGTCTCCTCGTATGTTGATATTGACTTCAATTGCAAATGCGTGTCACTGACTCTTGGGCTCAACTGTGAAGTGAAGAGTGGGACAAGTTTTATCTAAAATCACCCTCAGCATTATGATCATCATAAAAGTCATTATAAGAAGTATGTTGAGTCTAGACACCAATCATAATCTCGACATGGGAATTAGTCTCTGCCTAGACAATTTCTCAGGATGCCTGATCTGGGACTTAAATTTCTAAGAGTATGGGCGCTTTAAGCAAGTTCTAATTGAGGTGATAGTCATCTGGCTTTACCCATTGGTGTTAAACGAATAAGAACATGATGTCTCGCAATTGGGTCTGGGGCACCTCAGGTACCTAAGGTAGGTTACCTTAGTCTTGTGGCGTGGGTCGGTCGTGCTGCGACCCAGGTCTGCTCCTTTCCCCTGAGGACGACACAGACTGCATCGCGAAAATAAATACCTCTCATTATTAAAGGGTCCAGACTTGCTATAATCTGCTCACAGACTCAGTTCGTTCTCAAAATGGTGGTGTTTCTACTAGAGTAGACCCACATTTCTTTCAACACCAGAAACTCGCATCTGTCAACATCTCCAACACAGCGGTATGTGACTTTGATTGGCCGTCATCCACGCGCATCTTATTCTAATGCAAGAAAACTCTACAGATATACTCTACAGACTTAGGTGACACAGTTCATAAACCTTTTGAAGCGTTGCGCCATCGGCATCATGGCTGGATCGCAGCCGAAAGACCAGAAGTCGGAGGCACCCAGCGGGGCCTCAGCGCCCACCAGTAGCGCCCCAAACAACCCAGCCAACAACGACATTTCGGACTCGCAAACGAAGATCACTCGCTGGATACCCAAGCAGGTGGATCATATGGCAGCGGAAGCAGGCGACAATAACTCTGCAGAAGGTACCACAAACTTGACCTCTCCTCAATGAGAATCTGTCTTTACTAACCAGCCAGACGAACAAGAGAACATGAACAAAGCGCCGATCGCGACGCCGAGCCAACAAACCGAATCGATACATCTCTTCGAGTCCAATATGCATCACACAGCTGCTTTCACTCTTTCCGACGAGGATGGCGAATCTGCCGGTCCCAAGCCAACTGGCGCTTCAGATGAAGAGGAGAATTCATCACCTCAGTCTGCCAAGACCACGGGCAGCGGTTTCGAATTCGACCTCAGCAGCATTTTCGCCCCTGAGACAGATCAAACACGCCCTGGTGGTTATATGAGTCTTCCGTCGTCTCCATCTGCTACGCTCCCCGACGTAACAGCAACCGCCGACCCAACTGTCACCCCTGGTGATATTGAAGATGATGCAGTATCCTTTGCAGCTCCTATGAACCCCCCGAGTCCAACGAAGGTTACACAACAGGCGAAGATTAAGCAGTCAAAGAAAACGACAGACGGCAAGATGCGGAAGACGCCGCCTACGAATTTAGTCAGAGATCACAAGCAGCAGAAGAGTACCAAGACCACCAAGAAGCGCAAAGCGAAGGTGATTGATCTCATCTCGGAGGAATCCAGCGATGATGAGAGTGTCGAAGCCGAAGACCCTTGGGATAACACAGACGATTCTGATGACGGAGAGCAGATGACCGACGATGAGGCCCATCTGCCAAGCTCAAAGGGCAAGACGATCTCTTGGGGGAAGGGATCGCGAGGCCAGCTCCTCATGCTTGGACGCCGAGGTGATCAGGAGCCATTGCCGCCCGGTGTGCCTGCGCTGAAGGAAAACCAATCTCTGAAGAAGAAGAGAAAGAGGTTGCCAGAAGCGGTCAAAGAACCGTTTCCGGCGAACACGATCACCATCAAACAGCCGCGGACCGATTTCATGGAGCCTTATCCGGCTCGATCCACCCTCCCATCGGGACCGATCACAAAGGTCATTACGGCGGAAGAATGGGACAGACGAAACGCCCATTGGCTGGACAAGCTGATGGATCTTGAAAGCACCAAGGACAAGTTTGGACCAATCGTAGAGCAGGAGGTCACAAAGGAGATCTTCCCGCTCATCTCGAAAGCCCGCCGTAACATCCTCGGCCGTTGGGCCAAGTCGGAGGACTTTGAACTCGATTGGGAGTTACTTAAAGCTCCTATCTTCTCGGAAGTGGAGGTGCCAGATGAAGTGTCCCAAGAAATCTTCAAAGTAGAGACAGATGCAGCCAGACGATCACTCCGTGCCATCGAGACCGCCGCCCTGAGCCTCCCAAAAACCCAGCAGGGAACTACAAGATTGATCAAGCAACACACAGACCGATTGTTTGCCTATCGAGACCAAGAGATTGACAACCACAGCCTCATGTTAGAGATCGTAGCCAAGATGCGAGAGGCTTCGTCTGTCACTGTAGCGGAGATGAATAACGCATTCGTGATGAATGAGTCCCAGCATCGGCGTCAGGTCGATCCTGGTCGTACTGAAAGGGCCAAGGGGTTAGAGGCCTTGGAAAAGGATATGGAACAAGCTATCAAGGTCGTTGACAAAGACGAACCAGCCGAACGACTGATCCCATTTCTCAAGACCCATTGGCGGATGAGAGATGGTGAGATCGAAGACTGGAAGTACATGGCGAACTCGGTTTGTCACACAGCGAAGGAGGCCGGTCACCCCCTTAATACGACAGACCAAGACAAATGGAGCAACGATGACTGGGATTCACTTCTGCGCCTGGCCCGTCACCGAGGTGGAAAAGCTCTGGTGGCACTTTTGAACCTGGAACGTTGCAATCCAGACCCGACCTTTTTGGGCCGCCGGGACGGCTGGTATAAGGCAACTCTGCCCGACCAACAGTACGAAGAATGGAGCGACCAGTTCCCCTTCGGAGAGGAACCTCAGTCCGACGAGGATGATTCGGAATCTAGTGAGGAGGAATCTGAGTCCGACGAAGAGTGAGATTGATCCCAGATCCCTGGCGACAGACGGGTTATGCCATGAGGCAGTATCTGGCGGCATAGGGTTTGCGGAGTAATGCATGAAGGCCGACGGGACGAAGGATGGCAAGCTTTTGGCAATCGTTCATGGTCTGGGAAAGGGAGAAAAGATTACATCAGTAGTTACATAGCCAGAGAATGCAGACCGATATTGCTATCACATTATCCTATTAGCCAGACCTTGAGTCTGTGCTTCCGTCGAGTTGGTGGCAGATTAAAACAAGTAATTCTAATATGTTGTGCTGCCCAAAAATACTAAGATAGTTACATAAGTCTGGAAGGCGTAGTAATTCTGGTAGACGTAGTGATTGACAGATGAAGTAATTCTGGCAATACGTCTGCCACATGCTGTGGCAACAGATAATGGTTGATCTTTTTATGGAACTGAAGTCCAGTATGTGTACAACTCTGTCTTATGTAAAACAGATTCTAGTATTACAAGTCCTGTGGTATATGCAGTAAATTGGTCATCATATGGCCTCTCCTACGCCGCTCCTTCGGTCTCCTCATCTAACTGTTCGCATTAAAAAAAGATGCGCGTGGATGGCGACCGATTGAAGTCACCTGCCGCTGTGTTTGAGCTGTTGAAAGAAGCGAGCTTTTGGTCTGAAGAGAAAGGTGGGTGCACACGCAATAGAAACACCACTGTGACGATCAGACCGCTGTACCAATGGCCCAAAAACAAGGGCCCCTGTTATCAGGTAACTGAGTTCTGTGTGGTGAATATAAGCTCTCAGCCACATAACAGAGGAATTAGGGCCTTTACCACTTCTCAACAACCACTATTCAGTTTGTCCCAGCGAGAACGAACTGACACTGTGAGCAGATTATAGCAAGTCGAGATATTTCAACAATTAAGGTCATTTATTCACTAATATGCCTCTGAATGCTATGAATATGGTACTCCAACATGATATGGCCTCTCCTACGCCATGCCTTCGCTCTCCTCATCTAACTGTTCGCATTAAAAGCACAGTAGTCAAAGTTGTCCACCTTATTTCCTGCCCATGCTGGGAACGGAACCGACTTTCCAGAGCCACCAAAGACAGCAAAAGTGGCAATGAAGACCATGACCTGGGTACCACCGTCGAGAGCGGCAGAGATCAGGTAGTTCCACTTGACGAACCACTGAGGGCGGTATCGTCGGAGATAGAACTGACCAAAGGCACCAAGGATGAAGTAGCTAGTGACTGAGGCGTTGAGTCCGACGAAGAGGTAACCGAGGTACCAGAGAATGATGGGAATGTTAAGGTAAGAGAAGATTCGGATGTGGGGGAAGAACTTGTGAGCGAAGTAGAAGGGGAGAGGAGCAGCGAAGCCGATGAGGTAGGCGATGGTAACCCATTCGTAACGAGCGCCGATGGAGAACATCTTGGGGGCGATGGACCAGGCAATGGCTAGGGTGTTGAACTGCTGAACTTGTGCTCCGCTCCAGACGTTTGTACCTTCGGCTGACTTGAGGATGGTTGCCTGGTTGTCAACGATACTACACCAAGTTAGCTTCAAGTATCAAAATTCATGGTTCATGAGGACACTTACCTGATCATCATGACGTAGTTGAGCAGAGCACCGAGGATACAACCGATGACCTGAGTAGTGAAAGTAGCCTTGGGAGAGAGCTTGTTTTGCTGAGCGAGCTTCAGGTCGCGAAGAAGGAGGAAGCCCTGACTGAGAGCGTTGTACGTGTACGAAGTAAAGTACATGTTGGCTAAAACCAGTCAGTATTTTATACAATGCAAGTAATGAGGATCTTCTTACCAAGAGGGCGACCAGGGAACATGTAACCAGCCAACATCTGGAAGATGGGCTGAAGGTTGAAGCCGAAACCGGTGATGGCATATTGAGCACCAAAGAAAACCAAGAAGACAACAAGGAAAACGACGGCCAGAATGAAACCCCACCACGGCAGAGTTGACTTCATGGCATACAAGCAAGCCAATCCAATGATGATACTACTGAGAAGAATGACAAAGTACCAACTGTTGGGAACCTCGTCGTAGTCGAGCATGAGCTTGTAATGGGGATCAATGGTGGGATCGTCGCGAAGCTTCTGCTTCTCTTCCTCAGAGCGAGTACCGACATGCTGCCAGAACTTGTATGTCTCAGGACGAAGAAGCTTCTTCATGTTAGCGATTGTTATCCAGTTCCATCCCAGGCTGACTTCGGCATAGTTCCAGAGAAGCATGTGCACAATTGTGGCAGTCAGACCGGCGTTGGAAGTGATGAGATAGTTGATGTAAGTAGCAGTCAAGAAAGGAAGACCTTGCTTGTCGACAAGGTCGTTGTTGACAGTGAAATCAGGGTTCATGATCGCAGTTTCGTTGTAGGGAACATGGTTGGTAGAGTTGGAACTTCCATCGTAAAGGAGCTGAGCCATGAAGGGGAAGTCCTTTGCGCGCCAGTAGTTTCCGTAGTAGAGACCCATAGACAGAGCGATACCACCGATGTAACCGACGTAGCTGTTGAAGAGTGTCTGGAGAGGCATCCAGAGGGGTGAGCCGAAGCCAGCAATGTAGTTCCAATCGAAGCAGATGCTCAGGAAGCCCATTCCCTCGTTACCTTGTGAGCCGCCGAAGAGGTTTGTGAAGACGGGGTTGTGGCGGTCGGCGAGGCAGAAGATGGAGACAGCGGAGAGGAGAGGGAAGATGTACTGCTATTGTCAGCATGACTTGATGAATGTGAGTCAGGGCACTTACCTCGGGGAACCACTCCCAGCAGAAGATGGCGACAAAGACAATCCAGAATACTTGGAATCTCTTCCTGGTCTCTGACTTGGGCTTATGCAGAGTCTCCATGACAGTCGTGATGGGAAGGTTGGCAGGGTAGAGCATCTTGGTGGGGTACAACAAAACACTTCTCATCATACCAGCAACACCATATCCGATAAGCTGAGATGAGAGAGTGATGAAGATACCGGCTGCTTGGTCAGGGTAACCGCCATACCAGAGCTTCTGGACAGTCAAGGCTTCGGTAGACAAGGCTGAGACTGAGGCAGCTGAGGCCATGAGGACAGCCGCGGTATGTTCCTTTCTGTTCCAGGGACCGGGGTTGAGAAGACGACCGATACGACCCCAGCGAGGGATGATGTGAGCAAGACCGGTACCGAGCGTTTCAGCGAGGACAGTCAAGAACATGACGGAGACGTAGACGACTTGGGGCTTGAAGTACATGATCTCTTGGAGAACGCCACCAAAGGCGGACAATCCAATGCCTATCATCTATCAGCATATTACATCTCAAGAATAGGTAGCCAACTAACCAACGACAAACATGCGAATTGTCCATGGGTTCATAGTAGGATCATCGTCGACCTGGATGACATGTGTGACGATATCTTCAGCAGTCTCAAGAGGCTGCTTCACCTTATCAGATGACACAATCTCAATATCATGAACGTTCTTGTCATCCTGAGGAAGACCCCTCTTCTCATCGGCAGGATGAATATCCGCCTTGGAAGAAGGGCTCTCCGGCTTGGTCTCCTTCTCAGAGATGCTCATTGTGGCTTAACAAAAGAATTAAAACATAAACATGGAGAAGAGATGTCGATGAAACCTAAATCTTGGCAGGGCGATCAACATGTTTTGTACTCAATATCTAAAACACCAAGATGATCATCGTCAATACTACACATAAAGTCGTACTAGGCCATCAAAGGCATTCCGGGTTTTCGGCACGCTATCGTACTGGATAGAACGGCAATACCCAACACAGTGGCACAGGAACTTTTCAAAAGGACCAACCTGCCAAAAGTTCCTCTTTGTTCCCGACGTTATTTGCGGTTCTTTGGCCACAGCCGCACAACCCCGACTCATTTCGTATCTGCTTTCATCTGCAAGACATACGACTCCCCATTTGATATCATACAGCAGTCCAACCAGCAATTGCAAGCCAGTGACATGTCCCCTATTAGAGAGCCCATGCCCCCTTCCCCGCAAGATCACGCGTCTCTGGTTGCAAGTTAAGAACAAAAGGTCCTGGTAAATCGGCATTGGTGGGAAGTTACCTGCCAAGCTTGGCTAGATCAACCGAGGTCGCGCTGGATTGGGCAGTCGTCCCATTTTCAGACCCTGGTCTATCAAGCTATTTATCGCCGAGTTAGCCGGAAGACACGTTAAGTGCCGGTGGTATTAATCGTTGATATTATCAATTCTGGGGATTCATATGCTTAATCTTGTAATTCTGCAATGATACGTTATCACATAATAAAAAAGCGTGAGATTTTGCTCATATTTTGTCGCGTGCTGACGCGGGTCTTACACGGGAATAGAAAGACTAACGGTTCATGGCGAGAGATAAGCCACTCGCGTTGAAAAGGTTGCACAGATATGGAAATACGGCTATCGGCCTCCCGTTGCTAGATCGGCCGCTCGATACAAGACCAACGTGTTCTAGTGCGCCATCGAAGCTGAGGAACTTCTGTTTTCCATGCGGGCGACATATTAAACGCCGATGCCGGTTTGCCGGTCCCCTTATCCATCACAACCCCATGTTACGATAAGAATAGCCTTAGGTTAACGTTCGTGGGGAAGGTCATTTCATTTCATCGTGTTATAACCTTCAATACTTCCAAATCTGTCGTGAGGAATGCAGCCACAAATTCTGGGGAGATGGAGGCGAGTTGGCTAAAGCAGCCAGTGATCAACGTGGAAATGAATATTTTATGTACAAGAATCTATCTAATAGGCCATTCGCCACCGATTTTATCCAGCGCGTAACGTAGTAGTACAATCTATCAGAAGGATTCCGTCCAGAACTTCTGTTATCATTACAACAACCGCATTCTCCTCAATCCTTCGTCATAGACATCTTTCACGCCACTGTAATACTCTCCTTCTACTGGCTTCTCGATATCAAGCTCCTCCGTACCGAAGCCGAGATGTCCGACTGAGCTCTCATCACTCTTGCCCATCGACATCCTTCCCCATTTCATCTTTCGCCTCGATACATCCCTTAGTTCTTCTACTTCTTCATCGCCTATCAGTCGAGCACTCATACTGTCGTACTCGTTACTCCTCATACTCATCTTCGACGTAGCGCGGCTAAGAGATTTGAGTTTTGTAGAGGGGTAGTGACAGGCTGCTGATATAACTGCCGAGTTTGCTCCTGCGATAACCATCACGCCTGGGAGTTTTACGAAGGCGAGGAAAATTGGTGTGATGGCGACACCGATCGATACTAAGAGGCCGACCAAAATCGCCTTTGATGAGAACTGGAGACCGACTGTGACGGTTCTGTTATACGGATAACCTGAGGCGTATGCTGTGGTGTGTCAGCACTTTAATCTCAACAGCTAACTATTTTAGGGGACTGATGCTCACCTTCGTAATTGCTCACGTAAATACAGTTGGAGTAGATCCAATGGAGCGCAATACTAATGATGATCAAAGGGATCGAGAACCGATAAGGAAGTTGAAGACGATACGTCGCGTTCTGCGAGCCGCGTGGTTCAGTGACACGCAAGGATCGAAACTCGACACTGTACTTGGACCACTCAAACTCAGCCAACATGCGTGTAAAGAGGCCGTTGTATGCGAGGTAGCAGATGGAGAGGATAAGCTGCGGTGTGTTGGCAACCATGGTGAGCGATATCAGAGGTAGGTTATCAAGATGGTTGTCCCTCACGTCTTCATTCTGCGGTGCGTGCATGAATCGAGAATTGTTCCTGTTTACACGGTTAGAAAACCTTTGGCGATGCTGGGTAATGGCTGACTTACAGTGATTGACCCTGGACAGCGATACTTAGCATAACTGAAGCCACGATCAAAGAACACCCGATGAGAAGCGACGACAAGATCCAGATATTTCGCGGAACAGCCTTTCCAAACTTCCGTGGTGAGTCGTTATGCCACTGTCTCGGACCTTGCAGCCATTTGTAATTCTGATTCGTCTCCCCCAGTCTTGTCGGTGTAGGTTTTGACGTCTTTCTCAAATCCTCCATGGTCAACGTACACATACCCCTCGTCTCCTCATCCGGTCTCGAGATAAACGACGCAATAGCATCTCCTGGCGTCATAAGCGGATTCTCATTCCCCCAAACCCGCAGCTTCAAAACCAGAACGCATAGAAAAGTCTTGAAGAGACACATAATGCAGACAATGAGCAGAAGACTATTCGCTATGCTCAATCGACACGGCGCCTCGTACTTCTCTGAGTAACATCGATCAACCTGCATAACGCGATACTTGTTCTTGAAAACCGTTGGATCCGTGATAATAGCACCAGATTGGGCGTCAAAGATATTGCGAGTCCCTTGCATAACCCACATGCCGTAAATGTTTATGATAGAAGGCCCGTCGTCCGGCATAGTGTTGCCAAGTCGATCTGGGGAGGTAGATACCAGATAATTTGCTTGAGGGTTCGACAAGTACTGATTTGTACTGCCGCTCACTGAGCTTGTTCTTCCGGTGCGTGTGAATGTATCCACCGTCCAGAGAGGATTGATCACGTTGAGGTCCGTGGTGTTGGTCGTGTTCATCAATACATCAGCTCTTTTCCAGCCAACTGTTTCATTTCGGTAAATATCGTCATAGTCGTAAATTATCATCATCAAATGTCGCCAGTGCGTTAAAGCTTGCTCCGGGTTGTTATATCGATCCATGCATGTGCGCAGTGGTATTTCATACCAATTCCCACTCGTCGAGTTAACCACGAAAGAATCATTGATGGGTTTTAGCTTCTCCAATGTCTCGGGGTTTCCGTCGCCTTGTGATTGATCGCTGTAGTTCAGCCTGTCGTAGTAGGCCGCTGTGATTGAGGGAAGTCCTTTCCAGCCTCCTTGGGTGAGCTCCTCAGAGCCTATCATGACTGTGAAGCCATTGGTGCCTTTACTCTCGAGTACACAACCGTTGAAGACGAGATGGAGCGGAACAGAGCTCAGAGAGAACAGCGACCAGAAGAGTATTTTTCGCCAGCCGAGAAAGCGAAAGTTCTTGAGTGATTGAACTCCAATCTCTAGCCAATGGCCTGACCGATGGGCAGCGTCGACTTCAGCTCTCGTTGGCGCTACAAGACCTTGCATGAAGAAGTTGGACGACGCCAAAATGCCAGTACTGACGATATTGATGAGCAGATGAATCCACAAGTTGGCTTTCGCAGTTGTATCGCAATTCCCCTTGTATAAAATACTCTGTCCAAGCGCATCACCGCCATCCCTCCCATTGGTATCCACTTCATCGCCCTTCTTCAGCGCAAACAGCGACACGAAAAGCGTGACGAAGAGGAGCGTTGTAAGCGTACTGACGAGAATGGTAAGGTACACAGCTGTAAGCTTCCATCCCGAAAAGCGACTAAAGCAGCCCATTGTGTATGGCTCACCAACGTAGGCTGAGGCGGAGAAATTTGGGGGATTTCAAGGCAGGCAAATCAGCCCTGCCAATCAGACGCGTGGACCTCTGATCAAACAAACACGCGACTGCTCGGTTACGATGACCAGCCACATGGAGACCATGAGAATCCTTCGGAGGAACAGTAAGTCAAAGAAGGCTTAGAGTCGAGAGAAAGCATTTGTAATCTGAGAAAGTGTCCTTATTCCAGGTTTCAATAAGGTATCATTGAAATTTCGTCATCCGATTTATTTTTTTAATTCTTGCAGAGAACATCCTACCCAATACCGTCGTGGCTGCACCGAAGGATCAGCGTTGAAGGGGAAAGGCCAGTAAGAATGCTTCGTTTAATGTGATGGGGGCCATTCCGAGTTTCATTACATTCCGTATGACAGAATTAAACAGGCAGTATATCATTATAGCTGGCTGAGAGCTGACGAGGAATTTGTCACTGCCCCTGGTTTAAATTGATGGCCCCCAAATTCCCCCTCTGAGTTAGGAGAGCGAGGCTGGTTATGCAGTGAGATTTTGGTTCGAAACGGTGAAGGTTCGGATTTTTAGTTGACCCGGAGCTTGAAATAGAATTGTATGAGACAGGAGAGAGGTCATTGATTCGGAGACTTTTCTGCTGACTAATAGATAAGATTGCTGTTCCTTACAGCTTCACTCAGTGATTGGTTGAGTTTGAGTTGACATCGGTCCAAAGATGACGTACGTAGTGTTCAAGCTGAGTGACATCGATGACTTACCCTGCGTTGAGAGGGAATATTTCAAATACTCTTAGTTTATAGGCTTTACAGGACGGCAAAGATGGTTTAAGAGAAGATGCTTTAGCCTATCACTTCTGGAAGCCGTATATGTTTAACGTATCGTTTCCTGTATGTTTTCCTCGCGTCAATTGAAGAAAGTTAAAACCGGGCACTGAGCGACTCTAGCGAATGGCATTAGTGCACTCGCAAAAGCAAAACCTTGACGATAAACAATCGAAGACCGTGCTTATTCCCATGGAAATAATCTCCAATGTTTGCAAAGTTAAAAATAATTAGTAGCCTAAATTAGATTATTAATCGTAAGTTAGTGGGCATAATCAAAGGAGGGTATGGTGATATCTGTCACAGTATATCAAACCAGAAGTCAAAGACCAATTATAAGTTTAAAAAAAGATCCAATGGGATATATGTATCACGACAGCATAATAAAAATACTAAATTCATTTAAACCTTAGGCAGATAACAAGTCGATAATCAAGATCATTCTTCGAGTGTAAGCACATTAACGAAGTCAAATATGGTAGCAAATATTATAAATATAGCTAATGACGCAAAATATACTCAATCAACACCAAAAGTTCATTCCTTTAAGCTATATTTATTAGAACTTTCATGGTTTCCCGTTAATTATAAAGAAGTCACATCCGTATTCATCCTCACGAGCCATTTCTCTCCTCGTCACATCACCAAACAACCATGGTGACCGCATCTTTCGCCAGACTTTTCTCTTTCCCCGAAGAGATCATCGACGCAATATGTCAGACGCTCTGCTCCCACTGCGGCAAGAGAGCCTGTCCTCGACAGTTCTTTCGTTACGATAAGCAGAAGCCGGCTCATGACGGAAATTGTTTATTGGCCTTATCTCTGACATGCAAGAAACTGAGGCGTATTTCCCAACCGCATTTGTATCATCGACCGATGGGACGCGATTTCATTGATTTCATCGAAACCCTCGGTAGAACCCCAGCTCTTGGTCGACATGTCAAGGAGCTCTGTGTAGACGATCAAGTGATTGGGTATTTGTTTCGTCAATACGATGAACAAGTCGGATTTCTTGCAAAGTGCGATAAACAGTACGGCACTAATCTGTGTCAAGCTGCCCAGAGAAACTCAATGGTTCCGGTTCTATTATTCAGAAATGCCACCGGCCATTTCGCAGTAATGAGACGAAGGCTCGGGAAAGGCATCAATTGGCTCATCTCTGTTGTGCTCTCTCTCACACCAATGCTTAACAAGCTTGAGGTTTATGTCGAGATGAACTGTCAATTCCCATCGACCCTGCCTGGATGTCTTCCTAATTTGAGGAAACTCATTATAACCGGGTCACGAAGTATCCCAACTGACGATCTTGAGGGCCTTGCTGGCCTACTGGATGCAGCACCTCGACTGGAAAGAATCGAACTGGTCAACTTGGACGTACGGGATCCGGCAAAAGAGTCGAAGACGGGCTTCTGCCACGACACTGTCAATGAGATTATACTGAGATCATGCACACTTCACATCAGTCAGCTGGAGGCCATCATGCGTGGCTTCCCAAGACTACAAACTTTCAGGATTGGTGCATCAAGCCTTTGTAGACGCGCCAATACACGAAGTCAAGAACCAATTCCTCTGCACAGATTTGAGGATCTTTTGATGCTGAGAAGCGACACTCTTAAACATCTTACACTCGACTTTCCTGGTATTCACCTCGACCAACCAGGTGAAATAGTGCTCAAGGATCTGTCGGAGATGAAAGTCCTCGAGACACTGTACATTGACAGCGGCATGTTGGTTCGCGGATGGCAGCGCCGTCAGCCTGGACGAAGGATTTGCCACTTGCTTCCGCCGTCCATCAAGGAGTTCGGTCTAAAGGGGAGAGCATATCAGATGTTGCATGAGGAGGTTTTGGAGATGATGGACATGTCGACCTGGATATTCCCTCTTCTCCGAAAGGTAGTTGTTGCGGAGTTTGGAGACAATTGGATGATTGACGGGGATGAATGGGAAAGGAGGTTTGCCTCGGCTTGTGAAGCTCACAACCTGGAACTTTCGTCAGAAGTGCCTCGAGGCTCACAGGGTTTGATGCTCCCGGAGCCTTTTTGGGACTGAATTTGGGAAGCTGCAAGAGAATTGCGGGTTCTTGCCGAGGCAGACGTTTTGCAATAACAATGAAACCCATTCGGCTGTATCTGTTAGGAGAAAATATTGCATATCCAAGACAATGTTGATCGACATGCCCCAGTTAGAATTAGACAACAAATTAAGCATGTAGTTCACTAATCTATGAACGGTAATTGTCGCGAATTGAGATATGATGGCTGAGCTAAGAACGGCTGGCCCAATTGGTTCACCTTCGATTTAGATTGCGGGGTTCACACCACTGAGATCCTGAGCAAGGCACTTGGAACCTCAAAGCTGGGATGGCCTTACCTCAAAGGTGATAGGCCTCGGTACCAGTCAGGTGGGAGCTGACACTAAACGTCAGTGACAACGGAGCTAAGAGTCCCGAAGGTGCTGCCCCAATAACGGTGGATCCTGGCGCTGAGCAAGATGGTGATGGAACAGATACTCCCTTCATTTATCTGAGGATAGGCCTCGGTAAAGATGAGTTGGTGGTGAGAATCAAGTGGTTCTCAGACTGAAGATGGTGTTGACTTAATTTGTTCATGAACCTCGGCGCGGAACGAGATGTTGTTAACTCGAGGTGGTATTAAGATGCGATATTACTTCCCCACAAACTTGCAACAACGTCGATAAGCCTTGGTACCAACTACCGCCTAGGGATCAAGATTGTGGTAAGACAAGTCAGTCTAGAGCCGATCCGGTCTTTCTCGCGATGGCGGAATCTTGGCCATGTTTAGAAACGGGAATGATGCTCGTCCTGAAGATATTCCAGACTGCAGACACACCAGATAGATCCAAGATGGTGTCCAACTCCGCGAACATTTCTACCGAGGCCATCTCCCCAAAACAAAATTAGACATAGTTTTAGACATATTCCGCTATCGGAACGACAACGAGGTCGAGCGTTCTTGACACCTTATAGTGTCCGAGCACAAGAAGATCATCAGTTCATGACGAGTCATGAGCTTCACTTGTCCAAGCCCGTGCAATGTCGCGAAGGGATCAAACATGCCAGTTTCAACTATAATACGAGAACGCTAAAACCCATTAGACTGAAACCAGAAGGCAAAGTCGCCTTGACCTTGCCAACAATCCCAATCTATCGAAAACTCAAATTCCCGTCTAAGAAGGGCTGTTTTAATGCTCTAGCGTTGAACTACCCGCAATCTGGCACTTACGTAGCCAATACAACCTTGCACTTATTCAAATAGCGTGAATGGAACTTACCGAACCGAGGTCATTCATTCCTGACACCAAGGCTCATCAAACTCGAATTGGTATGGTTGACCACGTTAGCGGGTTTTAGTATGAAACCGGGAATAATGGCACTGCCCCTCCCCTGAGGCCACCATTCTGGGTTTCAGGTCCTTGTCTAAAAAAGCAACTGTCAAAGCGGCACACCGGTGAATTTGGGTTCCCAACAACGTGGTCATAGGGCGGTGCGCCCCGTTTCATACTGTATATTGCTGTTTCGATGATCAGTGGGGTTTCTCTTGACTTGGCGGAACGGGGCTCATTTCCCGTTTTGATGAGGGCTTGCGAAGAGACTACTGGTTTTAGCGGCGGCAGACAAGGGCTTCTCGCATGACTCGGGAGTTGAGGTTGGTGGGACGTATGCTGATAGGTTTGAGAACGAACGGGTTTGGTGGTATGTGCTCTTAATTTGTTTCCGGGAGATAGAGGTTGCTTGATCTTTGCTTCTTTGTCGTTCCTGATGGTACCAAAAGTGATCCATCGTCTCTACTCTAAGTTATTCCAAAAGCGTTAGGCTTGCGAAAGCACGGAAGATGGATGTTTCGTTGGACTTTTTAGATAAATACCCAATATGGCCTTGATGTTGATGGAATGAATCAAGCCTCTCAGTCATTCACTCACTCGCTCATCTCAGTAGCCTCTCTTTCAAATCCAACTCATCTGTCTTCGATTCTTCTTCCTTCTCTCGCCTCAGCCACCAAAATGAAGTTCTCCATCATCTCTACTCTTCTCGCCGCCACCGCCTCTGCTCTTCCCGCTGGTCAGGATGCCGCTGCTCTCGAGGCTCGCCAGCTAGGCGGCAGCATCACCCGCAACGATCTTGCCAACGGCAACAGCGGTTCATGCCCTGGTGTCATCTTCATCTACGCCCGCGGCTCCACTGAAGCCGGCAACCTTGTTAGTGACCCCCCACTAACCCCCAAGTGACAGATCATAACTGACTCTTTTATTAAGGGAACTCTCGGTCCCCGCGTTGCTTCACAGCTCGAGGCCAAGTACGGCAGGAACGGTGTCTGGATCCAGGGCGTTGGCGGTGCCTACCGCGCTACCCTCGGTGACAACGCTCTTCCTCGTGGAACTTCTAGCGCTGCTATCCGTGAGATGCTGGGCCACTTCAACGACGCTAACCAGAAGTGTCCTGACGCTGTTCTCATCGCTGGAGGTTACAGCCAGGGCGCTGCTCTCGCCGCTGCCAGTGTCACTGACGTCGACGCTGGAATTCGTGAGAAGATTGCTGGAGTCGTTCTCTTCGGATATACCAAGAACCTTCAGAACCGCGGAAAGATCCCCAGCTATCCCGAGGACCGCACCAAGGTCTTCTGCAACACCGGCGATCTCGTCTGCACTGGTTCTCTGATTGTTGCTGCTCCTCACTTGGCTTACCAGAGTGCTGCTTCCGGCGCTGCTCCCGAGTTCTTGATCCAGAAGGCTGATGCTGCTGGAGCCGCTTAAGCGAGTTGATGGAGGGAGAAGGACTAGGCTGGCCTGTTCTTGATTTTATGAGATTTACGCTTTTCATTGGTTTTTGTTTGTATCTATTTCATGGAGGAATGGCTTTTGTGACCATGGACACTGAGACTCAATACGATAGCGCAATCGCATTGACTTGCAAAATACTTCTTCCCGGGATCGTGAAATACCGTGACAAATTGCTTACCATTACTTCGTGACGCAAGATGAGCGTTGAGAAAAGATCATATCCGATATATCATATTCTCAGAACATGGGTCAATACGAGCAAGCCACATCTCAATTGGCGGCTTCGTCCCATCTTGTCCCCTGTATGTTGTATCGGAAGTGTCTGAGGTGCCGGCCAGGTGTTCCATGCTGCAGGGGTTAACATGCACGCATTGCATATGCTAGGTCCCATGTGACGATACATCTGACGGTGGGGGAATTGCCAAGCATGATAGGTACACTTGTGAGGAAATACTTGTTCGATAACTGTGAGATCTGAATTGACTTGCGACAGCGCTCTCACATTGGAGGAATCAGCTTTTGCGTGGGATTGCACATTTCTTCTTTGCATTAGCATCATTGCACTAGTAGTGGGGGGTAGTAATATTAAATAACTTGGCGAAAGCCACTGTAGCATCGAGCCACTTCTCATTTCAGATGGCGTCAAATGATCTGGAGATTAGGTTGTTGCCGTTGGCTCAAGGGGATTCGGACAGAATAAGCTTATTCATATGGGAAAACACCCCTTGGTGTCTTGCTACGAAGATGTGAGCTTGGGGAACAGTAGCAAATGTATGGTCTATTTATAGCAGTTGTCTCAACAAGCTGAGTCTATGATGTCTATATTTTACAGCCTCACTTCACCAAATAGCTAACCTTTGACTTCCCCTTACTCCTCGCAATCTTCTTAACCGTCGTCTCACCACATAGGTCCGTGGTATCTACATGCGTTCCACCACATGGATAAACCTCCGCTCCAACAATCCTCACGACACGAAACTTGGTCTCACCAGGTCCCAAAAAGCTTGCATCTGGGGTAAGGTGTTCAAGGCCATTCTTACGAAACTCATCAGCGTCCCACCAGTCAATTTCAACTGGCATCTTGGCTGCTAAGAATTCATCGACTTTCTTTTGAATAGGTTCTTTGTACTTTCCGTCGATGAGGCCTTGAAATTCGCATGACGCTGAGTCGGGGAAGTGAGACGCTTTCAACTCTTCGAAACCTTCGACTTTGTCTTTGAGGAGATGGTTGACTGCTGAACCGAGGACGTGACCAGCCGTGTGATATCGCGAGTAGAGAAGACGTTTTTCGACGTCGATTTCTTGCGTGACTTTGTGTCCTTCTGTGAACTTCTTGTCTGGGTCGAATCTTCCGAAATGTAAGACCTGGCCATCGCGAACTGCATCCATACGAGCGGATGCAACAGTGAAAGAAACCCCAGCCTCGTCCGTTATCTTGCCAACATCTGAAGGCTGACCTCCTCCTTGTGGATGAAAGATTGTCTCTTCTGTAACAACTGCGTAGTCTTCATCGGTGCCTTGCTTAAATAGCTCACGATTCTCATCCTCTAAGCTGCTGAAAGGTCGGATCGCCGTGACCAGTGTTTGAAGAGAGTAGAGCTTTGCATTGCGCTGGAAGGCGAGCACAGTTCGTGCTGCTGATGCCATTTTTGTTGTTGTAAGAAAGAATTAATGATGAGAGAGGTGGAAATATGCGAAGGTGAAGAGGAAATAACTGATGAATCAACGAATGAGAGAGGCGAGCACTAAAGCGAACGGGGTTTAGTGCTTAGATTTCAATGAATCACAGGGCGCGCCTTTGCAGCTTATCACTTATCTAATTGTTAGTGCAAGACGGCCTAACCTAGAGAAGAAGGTATTTGTTGTTATCCTCACTTTTGGAAACAAAGAGTAGCAAATAGAATGAATGATTATAAAACCTGGTTAACATATGACTATGGTTAACACAGATATGCTTTTAAAAGCTCCACGAGGTCATCCTTTAGTGTCACGCCTTGCCCTTTGTTTACGAACATTGTGATGTTGGCCATATTGGTATTGAGATCAAGAGGGGCAATCAAATCAACTCGACTTGTCGCGCAAGATGCCACTTTACTCGGAGATGAAACTTAAGCTCACCAAAAGCCATTTCCGTTTCTACAGCTGAGCTTCTGCCGCTCTAAGCCAAGCCGTCGCTGAGCTTTGGGCTGAGAGTTGTTTCAATACGCGCCCGCATCTTGCCTGCAAAGGGGCGTTCTTCCAGCTGACGGGTTTGGTGCCCCAAAAACAAGCAAGACGTCGTAATTCCTTCAAACCTCACATTATCAATCTCGATCACCGTCGTTTACTTTCCTTCCTGATTCCTTTCACCCGGCCCCGCCGATCACCATCATGATTCGCAACACCACCAACCCACGATGCTGAAACCGGAAGAGAGGTTCTTCGCTCCAAGCGCTAATATTTACCCTGGGGCCGGCCCAAGTACTTAGCACATTATGGATTGATACCAACGTCGCCTTATTTCTGTCACCATGGACGAGGAGCTCGAATCAGAAGACCCAGCAATTGAGTACCTCCAAAAACACATCGATAATCTCGTACCAGATGTCTTCAAGATTCGGGTTTCACCGCAAGGTGTCTTAACCTCAAATTCCACTGATCAAAAAGACGATAATACCTTATGTCCATACCGCCCTCCTCTCGAAGCAACCGAGCGTCCGGACGGAATCGAAGTGATCCCAAGGTCAGATCTGGAAGAGCTTGACCGACTAGGCTCACTGGTGGATCTTGTGAGATGCCTAGGATTCCCCAGATCTTGACAAGACGGTAAGCACCTCCCAGAGACTGGCATGGCTTTGTAGGACCTAGCTAGTCATAGCTCGTTTTCAAGTATTAATTTCTCTACCAACGCCTATCTTTTGTGTGGCATGAGATGAATCTATGGATTCGCTTGCCCAACATCCACACATTGTGAGCTTCGACAAGATCATTGTGGATGAGCTTGAGGGACGATGCGTTGGGTTTACAACCGAATATATTCCTGGAGGAACACTTGAGGAGAAAAAATCTCGGACTTTTAAGCTTAAGTGGCTCACTCAATTGATTACCGTTATCGATGAGCTTAACTTGAATCTTGGGATTGCCCACCAAGATGTCGCTCCCCGAAACCTCCTTATAAACGAGGCAACAGATTCCATAATGATATTTGACTTTAACTTTTCGATTCGGAGTGAAGAGCCTAGCTATAGTGAGGCGCGAAATGATATTAAGGGAGTCTTTTCACCATCTATGAGATCATCACTCGCGACGAAACACTGCGTGCCGTTTGGCACGAGGAACAACACGTCCTGGAAATAGAACAGAAGGATTGGGCCCAGCACCCAGATGTCCAACTTGACCGCCCGGTCTCAGAATTTCGCGAGGTCCTCAGAGAGTGGTCTAAAAAGCGTCATGCAGGCAAACAGATCACTGCCTACAAAAACGCGCCTAATTTCATCGATTGGCCAGATACTCCTGAACTACCATCTTTCGAAGTGGTCATATACTACGGGGGTAAGCCTACCACGGAGCTTCAAGTGCGATGGAGTACAGAGAGGAAGATGAGGTTAGAACAAAGCAAGACAGTTCTAAACTGGCAACGCCCTCCGCAGAGCAAGCTTAAACCTGGGGATAGAATTCTGGAGACTGGCGAGTTTATCACGCGGGCCTGATGTTTTGTGTTGATGTACTTAGAGCTAGCGCGGAACGGCCCATGGACAATGTAGATTGACTGTCAAGTGTCCTAAAATGGGTGGCAATTTCACTACATATACCTACTTGGGCTTGGTCCCTACCTATTAACATTCGCTGCCTCTCCTCGGATAGAATCTGAGGATGATTTAGATTCGTCGTGATTTCGAATTGAAGGCATATCAACTGACCTCTCACTGTATTCGACTAGCTGTGTGATGGACGCAATGGTGGAAGAGGTGCCTGGAGAGGTCCATCGGCCCGCGGCAGCATGGGTCCCAACTGACAGAGGGGGGAAGCTTACCAAAATATACCGAATCATCTCCGTAGCCTGAACTCTCAGTCAAAAGAATTAAAAGAGTCAAATCGGAACGTTACCGATTTTTTGGTGATGATATTCGGAAATTACCCCGCATGGAAACTTCCGATGCCTTGGTAAATGCCGTCGACCTTGCGAAACCATCAAGCATGTTTCAGGCGGGGTAGAATGTTGTTAAAAGCAATGGATTGACCACTGATTGCGAATCAATTACTATGAATCAGATACGAGTCCCGCCTTCTGGTAAACTTACAAAATGATTTTGGATATTTTCCTTCAGCACCCATGGGCGTATTTAACAGCTGCGCTGGTGGGACTACTCATGACAAAGCTCCTTGTCAATAAATACGGCAATGGGTTGAACGGAATCCCCGGGCCAGCTTTGGCCTCTTTCACTGATCTCTGGCGCTTTCTCGATGTGTATCGAAGACGACCAGAGGTGACGCATATTGCTCTACATGAAAAGCACGGCAGCGTCGTGAGACTCGGACCCAACACGGTATCGATCTCAGATCCAGCTGCTATACAGAAGATCTACGCTCACAACTCGGGGTACACCAAGTCTGATTTCTAGTACGTCAAGGCAGTGATGAAAGAATTGTTCAGGCTGACAAGTTGTAGCCCGGTTCAGCAGACCATTAACAAGAGTGGCAAGAGACTCATCACCCTCTTCACCTCACAAGATGAAAAGTTCCACTCGCAGCTTCGACGTTCTGTCTCTAATGCTTATGCCATGAGCACTCTCGTCCAATTCGAACCCTTCGTTGACTCTACTACCACCGAGTTCTTCAAACAACTTGACCAGCGATATGCCAACCAGAACGACATCCTTGACTTTGGAACATGGCTGCAGTACTATGCCTTCGACGTCATTGGCGAGTTGACGTACTCGAAGAGACTGGGCTTCGTGGATCATGGCAAAGATGTGGATAATATCATCGGAAATCTTGAATGGTTGCTCAACTATGCTGCGCCAGTATGTATAACCATAGCTCTTGATTGTGTCTACTAACCTGACCGTCATTTAGGTCGGACAACTGCCAATCCTCGATAGCTTACTCCTTAAAAACCCATTGAGACTGCAGCTTACAAAATGGGGCTTCACAAACTCATCATCACCCGTCGCCATATTCGCGCGCAACCGAATGCTCGCGCGTGTCGACCCTGAGAAGCTAGGCGATATGAAATTTGACCAAGACAACGGCCGTCGAGACTTTCTCTCACGATTCCTCGAAGCCAACCAAAAAGACCCAGAGTTCATGACCAATGATCGAGTGCTTGCTCTGACCGTGGCAAATATGTTTGCAGGCTCTGATACAACAGCGATTACTTTCCGAGCCATCTTTTACTACCTCATGAAGAACCCAGCTGATATGAAGACTTTAATGGCTGAGCTCGCTGAAGAAGAAAAAGCTGGCCGGTTCACCCGTGAAGATGGTCTCCTAAGCTGGAGTGAAGTCCGAGATCTTCCTTTCCTTAACGCCGTGGTCAAAGAAGCTCTTCGGTGCCATCCTGCCGCAGGTCTCATGCTAGAACGCATTGTCCCACCGCGAGGTCTTGAAGTTGACGGCCATCATATTCCAGGCGGCACAATCGTTGGAGTCAACGCTTGGGTTCTGCACCGGAACAAGGATATCTTCGGTCATGATGCTGATCGCTGGAGACCTTCGAGATGGATTGAAGCTTCGACTGAACAAAAGAGGCGGATGGAGAACTACATGTTTGCCTTTGGTGCGGGTTCGAGGACTTGCATTGGGAAGAATATTAGCTTGTTGGAGATGTATAAGATGGTACCGGCTCTTTTGAGGCGATACGAGGTAAGTCACAATATCGAGTTGAGGTGTACTTTGCTGACTGTATTGCTCTAGCTTGAGTTCCCTTCGGCGGACAACACATGGCATTTGAACAATGGTAAGCTTCTTCCGGCACACCCTTTTTTTATATTTTTTTTTATACCTATGCAGAATAAACCTTGTGAAGTCCATTCTTGATACTGACTTGAATCCAGCATGGTTCGTGAAACAGAGCAACTTTAATGTCCGGCTTAGGCGGAAGCACAAAGTATCTTTTCTTGAAGATGACGAGAGGCAACATTGAACTGATTGAGGCAATGAGAACAAGCTCTGATATGGTATCTTTCCATAAAAATTTAATTATACATGAGACCAAAGCTTTGGACGTTGCGCAGTAATTGCATCCAATGTGAATCACCGAGGCCATCTTGAGCCGGAGCATTCATTCCGGTACAAGATAAGATAAGAAATGCTGACTTGAACGTCTCCGATTCGCTTCCCATCTCCACGGTTCTCCGCGTTGCCTCACGCAATGAGTACGTACTGCGCCGACAGCGATGCCACCATCACAGAGTCGCCCTGGGCGAGTTGATACCGACGTTTTACTCGCCATCAAACCCGAGCACTTGGCAAATATCATCAGCCGAGAAAAGAACCATGAGTATCGTAAGTATCGTCTCAAAGACGGTGTCTCTCGCCTTTGGCTTTACGAAACTGGCAGTGGAGGCGGCCGCTCATCAATCACGTATGTCGAGCATTTCAACACAGCAACACACCATAGCTAACTATTTCATAGACACATCGCAGTAATCCCACCAAATACCCGCCATGAACCAGGTTCTGTGCCGAATGAGCCTTTTGGTATTGGCAATGAAGACTTCAACGCGGGACTCAAGGAGTCCAAGTACGGATATCCTATACTGGAGCTCTACGAACTGGCAAACCCGGTTACTCTCAACGAAATGAAGACACGATGGGGCATGGGTGGTGCACCTATGGGATGGCAGTACGTGGCATCAAATTTATGGGAGGACAGATGGGGCGAGGATGAGGAGAGACGTGAGACGGTGAAGAAATTGTTTTAGACCATACCCTGGGTTGCTTGGCGTGTGGTGTTAATACCATGAAGATCAATGATTTGCTTTATTCTCTCTAAATTGTTAAAAACTCTTCATTCTATCAAATTGTGCTGCTTCAGCCATGCTTCGCACATAACCGGCCACTTTGATACAGGCAGCTCCTTCGGACTATCCAACGCAAATCCGTGAGGCGCGTCGGCAAAGATATGCAACTCAACCGGTGCCCCAGCCTTTGTAAATCCCTCTGCTAAGCGATATGCGTTGACAACAGGTACAACTGGATCATTGTTGGAGTAAACGATGAAAACGGGTGGCGCAGGAGATCGGAGCTGAACGTCTGGTTGAATAACATCGTAGAGTTCTTGTTTTTCTTTTGGTGGAAGAGGAGGTTTATTATCAATGATTGTACGACCAGCTGCATTCGTCGAGATAGGTCCGTAACCCAGTATGGCGAACTCGATCTGAGGTATTTCGGGATCTGGTGACGTCCAGACTTGAGGGTAGTCCGCCAGGAGAGCAGCGCCGAGATGACCGCCAGACGAAAGACCGCAGATGCTGATCCCCTTCGGTGCAAGGCCACTCTCGGACATGATCTTCAGAGCTCTCCTTCCATCATCCAACGGCGCTTGGGCACCCGTCTCGCTATTTGGGAAGCGATGCACCAAGACGAACGCGTAGAAGCCAAGACTGTTGAGCCATTTTGCGACGGCGACGCCTTCACGGCCGACCATGAGTTGAACATAGCCTCCGCCACCGAGTATGAGAATACCGCGGCCATTTGGTTTTGAAGGACGGTAGCCGAACAGGAATGGGCGATTTACTTTGGTCACGACTGCGTTGTCGCCGGGGGTGTCGAGTTCGAATGCTCCATCGAGAGAGTCATTGCCCCATAAAGGCCAAGATTGATTCGAGTCGAGCATGATGATTAAATGAAAGGGATTGAGATTTACTGATGCTGCGAGACGTCAAGACAAAATGTAACGAGCGCGTGGGGTTGTGAGGGGAATTAGCGAACGCTGGCTCGCGAGAACATCAGCCCGAGATGCCGAACATTGGGGGGTTGGTGTTTCAGACGATACGGTCCTCTCCACATGGCAATTCCAGATACACTCAGCATATGACATACTTGTATCACCTTTCGAGAGATTCTTCACAATCCTTTGACTTTGTTTCCTCGGTCTGAATATGTTTGGATTACTTGATACACTTTGTAGGCCTGCCTATTATAATACTGACACCAATTTCCTCCACCAGCATTGCTCAATCCTCTTAGCTTGTAGTCGCATCAAAAGCAAGGAAAGTCGAAGCTTTCCCAGCTTCATCCTTATCCTGAGAAATGTTGTTCTGCAATTTCTTGTTCTCCTCCGCCAGTTTATCAGCGACATCCTGACCCTGCGCTTGTTGAGCCTCCAGCTTGAGAATAGTAGCAGTCAACTTCAAGACCTTGTTCTTGATCTTTCCGCGCTGGAAGATAGTTAGCATTGTTTCTTTGTTGACATTCGATGGAAATGCTTACCTGAAGAGCATCGGCTGCTTCGCCGGAAGCTGCGTCGATAGCAGGGTTGAAAGCCTCATCCTCAGCATCATTCGCAATCTGGTTGACACTGTTGAGGAAGTCCAAGTCGGACTTCTCAACCGTTGATAGGTCAGTTGGCAGACCGCCAAGCTTTTGAAGAGCTTCTTGCTGGGCGTTGCCTGCGGTGCCGCCACTGATGGAAAGATCGTCGTAGGTTGTCTGGCTGAAGACAGCGCGTTTGCTGATGGGGCTGGCGATAGCAGTGGCGGCGAAGCCAAGAAGGAATGAGGTGAACTTCATGTTTGCGTTTGAGATATGATGCACGGAAGACGGAAGTTGAATGAGATGGAGGGTGTGGGTGCAGTGTAGTGAAGAGAACAGACCAGCTGTAAGAAGTGAAGTGAATTGAGTTTGTGATATCGAGACTGAAGTTGGAATAAGTGGCAGTGTTGTCGAGTCTTTGTATGCGACATAAACACCGTAGAAGAGGTTCCCATTGGCGCTAAACAATAGCCCAGCGAACATGAGACGTTTCTCACTGAGCATCTTGACGCTTCATCTTCAGGATGAACCTATTCTGGGGTGTAAGCGCCGCAGTAAAACAGTGTATCCTCGTTGGTGATCATACTCGCGCTGCCGAGGAGTAGAATTGAAGACCGGATGAGCGGTGATCCGAAAGTACCCCAGCTTGTATTTGCTATAGTTCATCGGTTGGCGGAAACGTCAAATGTCAGATCTGGGCCAATGTCGCAATTGAACCTTGGCGTTGCTCCATTTTCGTAGGGAGGCGAGGGGTATCGCTAAGTGTCGCGCATGGTTTCATCGTGCCTCAGATCTCAATTGAGACAGCCCACTGCCTCAGGTTTGCTCCGTGAGTTCATCCCAAGTCGCAAAATAGTTTTAAGTCTAAAGAATACTATAAACAAATCTCTATTACGGTGCGCCGGGCCTTCCGGATTAATTCATTCACTCAAGGTTTGATGCCTGAAGCTACCTTTGCAGGTGCATACGATAACTCTACCGGTAGCCATGCAAATTCGGAACAACATGTGCAAGGTCGAGCCTTAATCTTTTAAGATACTCTATTGAAGATGCGTGTTCTGGTAATAGTGATAAGAGGGACGAACGTGTTGGTGCGCCGTTTACCGCTGGCTGCTGACGGAACCTGAAGGACGCATGTTCTGTCACAAAACGATGAAAAGGGATATTCAGAATAATAAGAGACTTGCGATAGTGAAATATGAAGAAAGTCCTTTTCACTAAAAATGTGGTATGAACTGTCGGAGCTTTCAGCATCAGCACGGGTTTGTGATCGGAGTTGCGGATGACTTTTACACAAAAATCCGATGACGCGTGGCTCGGGCTGACGCTCAATCAGCGCAACGCATCCTTCCACTCCACTCCATCCATGCAAGACGTACAAACAAGCTTAAAAGGTTGTACGATAACTTTATCGGATTAATTCTCATTGGATAGCACGAGTGTCATCCCGATGATCGTCATTTTGAGGCTGTGATTCACTCAATCTGCAGCCATCATCGCTATGGTGATGATGAATATGCTGCGTTGACGGAAGCCAAGATCCGCTTCGTCCGCAGGCTTTGACGTGATGTTGAAGGATCATGATTAATAAATGCATGCTATGCAATATGAGTATAAATACTTGAAGATCCCAGAGCTTGAAGGCATATGCAAACCAGAAGACGATAACATTAATAAACCGACACCATGAAACTTATATCCTTGAGCCTTCTTGCTGGTCTGGCAGCCGCGATCCCAACCAACCGTGCAGATCAATATGAGTATATCGTCATTGGATCAGGGCCTGGTGGAGGAACTTTGGCGTGAGTACCTGTTCTCCGATGCAGACCCTTGCTGACAATTCGTCTAGTGCAAACCTCGCGCGTGCCGGCCACTCTGTCTTCTTGATAGAGGCTGGTGGCGATCAAGGCAACACGCCATTACAGCGAATCCCCGCCATGTAAGTGTATCAAGGCTTTCTCGATGGCGACACGTTCTCATAACCTCCAGGGCGGATCAAGTCGCTGAGCATCCCAGCATGTCCTGGTCCTTCTATGTGAACCACTACCAAAACGAAACTCAAGCCCGAAGAGACTCCAAGTATGCGTACAGATTATCCAACGGCACTTTGTGGTCTGGTATTGATCCTCCCGGGGATGCCGAGCCGTAAGAATTTCCTCTGCTTTTCAAGTGCCTGATCTAACTTGATAGACTCGGTGTACTATACCCTCGAGGCGCGACGCTTGGTGGTTCTGCTCAGCTTAATGCCATGAACTTCGCCCTGCCACCTGACAACGATTGGGATGCTATAGCTGAACTTACAGGCGACAAGTCGTGGAGATCCGACAAGATGAGGGAGCTGTTTATCGATATTGAGAATTGCACTTATGCTCCCGAGGGGACTCCTGGACACGGCTTTGACGGGTTCATCCAGGTATGTACTCGGATTCAAGGGCCTGGAATCCACTGACAAGCCTCACAGAGCAACCGAAACAACATCTCCTACATCACCGATCGTCATGGCGTCGTACAATCTTTGAAGCGTGCATTCGAGCAAACCGAGGGCATTCAAGTCGACGATGCCGCTGAAGTTGGCAGGCTAATGCAACGAGACATCAACCGACTGGATAAAGATCGGTATTCGCCTGGCATCTACCAAATTCCTCTTCACGTAGACAGCCTCCGACAACGAAACGGTGCGTGGCGATATCTACACGAGACAATGATTGCCAAGACAGCAAATGGCTCTGCTCGGTATCCTCTGACTGTCAGCACTCATTCGCTTGCTACCCGCGTGCTGTTCAAAGAAGGTCAGAACGGGAAGCCACAGGCATTTGGTGTAGAGTATCTCAAGGGTGAAGGGCTTTACTCAGCTGACAAACGCTACGATGAGTCTGACACTGGTCGCTTGATCAACGTAACTGCATCAAGAGAAGTGATTGTGGCTGGTGGAGCGTTCAACACGCCCCAGATACTCAAGCTCAGTGGTATTGGTCCTCGCGAGGAACTGGAGAAGTTAGACATTCCGGTTATTGTGGATCTCCCTGTAGTGGTAAGTCTTCAGCTGAGGGCACAAGAACACAACTGATAAGGACAGGGCAAGTATCTACAGGACAACTATGAAGGTGGAGTAACCGTCGAAGCCTCTATACCCTGGGAGAACAATCCCTTTGAGAATTGTCCCTTCACACTCGAAGCAAACGACACTTGTTACAAAGAATGGAATCAGTCTCATACCGGAGCTTACGGCGAAGGCGCAGCACCGATTTCACTTCTCTACAGATCCAGCGTCAGCGAGACAAACGACACAGACTTGTACCTCTTCGGAGCCGCAGGAACCGTATTTCGCGGATATTTCCCAGGCTACTCTGCATGGCAAGCCCCTCCAACCTCATGGTTCTGGTCCATTGTCAAAATGCAGCCAGGTAACCAGGCCGGAACTATTACTCTCCGCTCTAAAGACCCACGAGAAGCACCTGAGATAAACTTCAACTATTTCACTGAGAAGGGAGACAGAGACCTTCAGGCTATCCAAGAAGGAGTTGAGCATACCATGCGTATCTTCAACGCTACTGGTGAACCTTATGCTCCATTCAAGGTCGTTGAGCCTCGGCCTTGCGTGAGTATTCGACAAGGTATCATGGATGATGCTTTCAGTCATCATGCGACTTCTTCGTGTCGAATGGGCCCTGCAGGTGATAAGAACTACTGCGTTGATTCGGAATTCAAGGTCAATGGGGTTGATGGACTTCGAGTCGTGGATGCCTCGATCTTCCCACGTACACCGGGAGGATTCCCTGCTGCGCCGACGTTTATGATAAGCCAGAAGGCCTCTGGGGCGATTTTGAGAAGTATCAGAGGAGAGTATGATGTTGAGTGATTGAAGTGTGAGTGTTTAGTTAAAGGATACAAATCTTTTCTGCCATACATCTCTCAAGAGGTGACTGATTAGCGAGAGTCAAGACTCTTCATCTATATTGCTCAGAATAGAGTTTACCTCACCATACAGTCCTCTTTCACTGATCAATATTTCTTGAACATCTTCTGGTACTTTGAAAGTATCTTGTTATCCCCCTTCCAAACACTCTTCGCATCATCCACTGCATCGATATGCTCGCCGATGTAGGTAGCCACCATGCCATTTCCATGAGCTGACTTGTCAATGAAGACATGCTCATCTGGTTCAACGACTTTGACGTAGTAAGGATGAGAGAGCATATCAGTCAAGACATCAGATGACTCGTAAAGGAACATGGCAATCCCATCAAAGTCCACTAGCTCATTAGATACTGGTTCAGTTGCGCCAGCATTGGTAGGGACGATCTTTCCTGCGACTCGGACCTAAGACAAGGAAAGGAGCGGTCAGTTTATATCAGTGATGGGAAGAAATCATGGAGGTGCAATGGCTTAATGACTTACCTGTTGGTATCGAGCGATACCAAAGTGGGTTGCCAGAGGGATCACCTTCGGAGCATGTTGGGTATCCCAATACTGCCGGAATTCGTCGAGGGTCATGTTGGGATGACGCTTAACATAGGTGACCATCTGTAATAGACCCGTGTTTGATGGGGGGCCTTTAGCTGACGCGAACGCATTACCGGAAAGGGCCGAAGCGAGAAATAACAAAGAGGCGAGTTGGTTCATGTTGATTACGTTGGTCAGTAGTGATAAAGGTGAGAGAATGAAAATGAAGGATACTACAACAATACACTCCTAAGGATTTCGGCGATATTTATTAACGAGAGAAACGAAGAGAAAACAGTCAAAAAATGTGACAAGAGAGCCGGGTTGCATTAGATCTGTCCGAGTCTTGGCATTTGGTGTTCGATTCCTACGACCAACAAGATCTAGACGCAACTACCGACAAGCAATTGGCCAGGATGCTCAGTTCAAGCACATCCCTGCATAATCAAGGATTTATGGCCCCTGTATAGACTTCTATTGACATTTTGAAGCGTCAAATATGTCTCACCCAAGTGGTTGACCTGCTCTTGTAAAAGCCAACAGCAATCATCCATTCCGCTGAAGAGTTCTCTTCCGCATTCCTGCATCCAACATTGGCTCAACAACGACCAACCAGCGCGGAATAAACCAACTGTAAATCCTGTGAACTCCTTCAGTGGTCAAATGGATCTGTTGGGGTCGATCGAGTCCCCTTGCCAAGGCATGGCTGGCCCGACTAGCCAATGGGAGCCACTCCCGGCTCCTATTGACACCCATTTTGGGACATATCACCTGGACAAACACTTGAGACATACGAGTGATTACGGTTGCACTGTTGCAGTTATCACCAACGACCGCGACGATCTCCGATGGTACTAGTACGTAAATCGGATGCTTTTGGGTCAAGATACGAAAGACTTCCAATTCATCCACCTCCCTGCCCCGTTAGTAGAGGTTGGAAGCAGAAACGACTGCACTATGTCCAGTAGTGACAAGATCTGTTGGTTCTGCAAGCCTCGTAACTTGCAACTGTTTGCCCACAGTGGCGTTTATTGCACACTAGCTTAGCAAACTGGTCCGATAACCTTGGTGAAGATTTCGGCTCTCCAGGTGAATAGCAATGAACCAACACAAAGCGCATGGATCAAATTGTAACCTCTACAAATAATACCAACATAATGCCGCAAATATGGATAAATCATATCTGACATGTCTTCTTATCCAGTCACCAACGGTGTGACCACGTTTCTGCCGCCGCCGGAAAGATACGTCGTTGACTTTGACAATCCTCAACAGCAGGATGCACTCAAACATTTCCTCATCTTCGGCATTCTTGGGTCTTTGGCCATTTTGTGTCTTTTCCAGCGATTATATGTAAAGTATTACATAACGCGAGGTTTGAAGATAGACAATGGTATGTCATAGCTCAATTGAGAGACCTGGAGCTGACTTGACATGTAGTTTTGATCACACTGGCATGGGTAAGGTATCAGGCGAATAAAGGCTCAGTTTACGCAAGACTGACATGGTGATCTCAAGGTCTTCTCCCTTGTCATGCAATCGACTCAAATATGTGAGTACATCCTATCATTGACCCAGTCCTGTACCAATTCTTCAAGGGTCAATATCCATCGGAGGCCTATGCCATCATGCATGGGAAATGCCCATTGACGTCTTCGAAAAGCACATGCTCGTACGATCCCCACTTCCATGCCATGATACTCTTCTTACACCTCATAGAGTTCTTATATCGCCGGTCCAGCCTTCATCATATGCAACGGTCTCACGAAAAGCTCTCTCTTAACATTCTACCTTCAAGTATCTCCGCAGAAATGGTTCAGAAGAGCAATCTTTATGACAATCGCCTTCGTTGTTCTCTACACTATCATCATCGCCAGCCTGCTACTCTTCGGATGCCAACCGAGACAAACAGCATGGGACCCCTACCTGTTCGCAACTGGGAAGTGTATTGACCATGCTGTCATGTATATCATCATAGCGATCGTCAACATTATATCGGACATCATCCTTTTCGTTATTCCCATGCCAACGATCATCCGTTTGAAGATGCCGTTGGGACAGAAGATTGGCTTGGGAATTATGCTCGGCATTGCAACGATGTAAGTTGAGCGACGAACAACAACATCGGTAACTGACAGAGACAGAACGGTCACGACGTCTATCATCCGCATGTTCTACCTACCCTCCCTCTTGGGAGCATTAGATATTCCATGGATCGCAGCACCAGCTAACGTCTGGTCATTCGTGGAAGTCAACCTTTTCATTATATGCGGCTGCATGCCAACCTTTCGTAAGTTCTTCAAACGCTTCGCGCCCAGATGGATGGACTCTTCAAGCAACGCGGACTGCCCCAAGCCCCCTTCAAGCGGTTCGCTGCATAAAGTGAATAGGAAGAAGCATACAGGGTACACACAGTTCGATACAAATTGCTCTTTGGAACTTGCGACCTACCCCGATACCGTGGGCCGAACAACGCAAGTTACGACCGGAAGTATTTGCAGTGGAGTGATGGGGAACACGCTGGATAATGCGAGCGAAGAGGCGATACTACAGCACAGCAAGATTGTGTGCACAAAAACATACAATGTATCACATAGCGTGTAGAAAGAAGCAATCAATACGACATACCTATCTCAGCGTCATTTTCACAAGCAAGATACCGCATAAGTTATGCAGTGCTCTCAGTCCGCAACGTTGCTGTGGCGTTGGTCGTGTTGCACAAACTCCTAAAACAGTGAGCAAACACGTCGATCACTTAACCGATCCCGATCGGTTACGTCAATGCCACTGTCAAAGCAAGGGCGCATTCTGAGCTTATATCCGTCCAAAAGCCAACCTTTCATCCCCAAACACCGACTAACCACAATTGTTCATTCTAATCTCCTTATTGCCTAACAACCCCAATTGTGATGATGTCGTCTTCCTCGGAGACCGCTTATGCCATGGAGTCGTTGCAGGAACAGCGGTGCGGAACTGATAGCCCGCCTGACACTGAACGTCAAGAAAATGTTTCTCAGTCGCCGACAGATTCACTACCGCCTACTGATCGCGGAAAAGACGCATATCTAGCTTTGATGTGCTGTACAATGGCGCAGCTGCCAATCTGGGGTACCCAACCTCCTCACCCATCACGCTTCAACTCTAACGAACGACAGGCTACTCAGTCTCCTTCGGCATCTTCCAAGAATACTACAGCCGACCAGGAAGTCCTATCAGCACAGCATCATCGGGCACAATCGCCACCATCGGAGCATTACAGCAAGGTGTAATGTATCTCATGATGCCGTTTGCCTTCCTCATCCTCACACGGTATCCGCGACTGCGTCACCTTTGCGGGCCGCTTGGTCTTGCTGTGACGGTCGCTAGTCTCACTGCGTCTGCGTTTGTGAACACTATTGCGGGACTTATTGCTACACAGGGGGCGATGTACTCTATTGGCTGTGGGCTTTTGTTTTGTCCGATTTCGCATTATATGAATGAGTGGTTTGTTGAGAGGAAGGGGATGGCGTTGGGGGTTATGTGGGCTGGCAAGTCGGCGACAGGTATAATACTTCAGCCTTGGCACCGATATCGTATGCTGACCTTTCGGAATAGGGATTGCAATGCCATTTGTCTTTGACGCTCTTCTTCGCCGAATCGGTCTCAAGGCTACTCTCTTAGCCTGGGCTGGTGCATCAGCTGCGATGACTCTCCCAACACTCGTGTTCATCAAACCACGAATCCCACTGCACACTCAGGTTCAGGTCCAACCGCTATCCTTCCGTTTCCTCCGCCATACATCTTTCTGGATGATGCAAGCTGGAGTGATCATACAATCACTTGGATATCTCATGCCGAGCACATACCTGGCTAGCTACGCATCGACAATTGGTCTGCCTAGTATCACCGGTCCTATCTTACTCGCGTTGTTCTCTGTAGCTTCCGTCCCCGGAGGTATTGTGCACGGCATGCTCGGAGACAAATTCTCAGCAACAAGAGCAGTAACAATCGCATCAATAGGAAGTGCCCTGCCAATTTGGCTTCTATGGGGTTTGTCGCTTGACCTTGCAAACTTGGTAGTGTTTGTCATTGTCTACGGTTTCTTCGCAGGCGGCTTTAGCTCAACGTGGTCCAACATGTCAACCGACATCCAAAAAGACGATTCTGCCGCTGATTCAGCTCTCATTTTCGGTATGCTCATGGGCGGACGAGGTATCGGCTTTGTCACCGCTGGGCCACTGAGCGGCGCACTGCTACAAGCAAAAGCACACCTGTCCAACGAGGCACTCGGTTACGCGACGCAGTATGGACCCATGATCATCTGTACTGGTGTCACTGCTGTGTTTGGTGCTTGGGCGCCTATGTGGAAGGGCATGCGAGTTGCTTTAGGAACATGCAAAGGTCGCTGAGGTTTCACAGGCAATGTTTCATCCACGTTTGGAATGATGAGCTTGTGCGGGGCGATGAAGATAACTGGGTCAACAGCGTACCTCGGTCAATAAAAAACATCCATCACCTTGATTGATAACAAGGTTCCTCTCAATGAGGGGAAAACGTGGCCTTAGCCGGACTTAGGCTCGGCTTTAGTGTAATCGTTTTCACCTTGATGCCATAAGCAATTCGGTAAATGAACCGGTAAAGAAGTCAGTGTAAGCACTTAAAAAGAACCCGATGACACTAATTGAAATAGGCAACTGAAAAGAATGCGTGTATGTAGTGCTAAACCCCAAACTCCATTATCTCCTGTGCAGTAGGCGTCATTGAAGCTCGGAAGTGACTGTTCACCGACCTATGCCCCGCTATCTTGAATTATTAATACTAACGCCCCAATGACAAGACGTTGACCTGTTTGAGGCTGGGGATAGTCCCTACCATTGGGTCCTCTGATTGGCTTGGGAATGAGAGCTGCTACGCTAAACTGTCGTCAGTTGTTTGCGTGGAGCCATCATCGTTGTATCAACCATCTCAATACCCCTCATTTCGCTTGGACCATCCAGAATGACATCAACTCCATTTATATAAGAAAAACGCCCCTCCTTCTATCTTCAAACTTTCATCTCCATCCCTTATTCTTCAAACTCAATCGCCAAAATGCCTGTTGAAACTGCCTACGACCCCAAGGACATGCTGTTCCGCCACCTGGGACCTACTGGTCTCAAGGTCAGTGTCTTCAGTCTTGGTGGCTGGTTGACATACGGCGGTACGCAAAAGGGCGATATCGTGAAGCAGATTCTTCAAAAGGCTTGGGATCACGGTGTTAACACTTTTGATACCGCCGAGGTCTACGCCAATGGTGAATCTGAGGTTGAGATGGGTCGTGCTCTCAAGGAGCTCGGCTGGCCTCGTGATGAGTAAATATCTCCAAACGCAAAATTAGGATTAATACTGACTTGCTTAGATACGTTCTCACCACAAAGGTCTTCTTCGGTACTGGCCGCAAGGAGCCCAACACTCGAGGTCTCAGCCGCAAGCACGTCGTCGAGGGTCTCAAGAGCTCTCTCAAGCGTCTTGAGCAGCCTTATGTCGATGTTGTCTTTGCTCACCGTCCCGATTACGCTACTCCCATGAAGGAGATTGTTGAGGGATTTACTCAGGTCATCCGCAACTTGAACCTTGCTTACTACTGGGGTACTTCTGAGTGGACCGCTGCTCAGATTACCGAGGCTACTCACATTGCTGAGCGCTACAACCTCATTGCTCCCGGTAAGTTTCACCATGGCTGGAGGTTGTGACAGATACTGATGGTGGTATAGTCGTTGAGCAGCCTCAGTACAACGCCTTTCACCGTGAGCGCTTTGAGGTCGAGTACGCTCCCCTATTCAAACAATTCGAGTACGGCACTACAATCTGGTCCCCCCTCGCCTCCGGCCTCTTGACCGGCAAGTACAACAACGGAATTCCCGAGGACTCACGATTCGCTACCAACAAGGCCTTCTTCGAGAACACAGTCAACGAGCTTCAAACCGAAGCCGGCAAGGCCAAGATCGAAAAGGTCAAGAAGCTCACCGAAGTAGCTGAGCGTCTCGGCGGAAACGTCGCCCAGCTGTCTCTTGCTTGGGCTCTCAAGAACCCTAATGTCAGCACTGTCATTCTTGGTGCGACAAAGGTTGAGCAGCTTGAGGATAACTTCAAGGCGCTTGAGATTTACAAGAAGATCGATGATAAGGTTTTGGAGGAGATTGAGACGATTCTTGATAACAAGCCTAAGCCTGCTCCTACTTTTAACCGTGAGAGGTAAAGAAAAGTTTTGGTATGGTCTAGATATGAATAATACATCAATAATGACTGAATATGAGAATTGAGCTTGTCGCGATGAGTGACGTGATTGATGAGATTGTTTAATCTTTGGTGCCACAATAACTCTTATGGTTCGTGACTGATTGGACAGGGCCAGTTTCATGGCATGCACTACGCGTGGGGTCGCCTCGCGTGACCTTCACTTCTAACGACCAAATCGCGAAAATGTTTGATCGACTACCCCAGGAGTTATTGAACTTCATAATTAGTGAGGTGAGATGGGGCTTTACTATTCTTGTTGCGCAGGCTCTTATGATTGATCATTCTAGATATCTACCAAAGACGCCAAGAATCTTTCTCAGGCGTCAAAACACTTCCATTCTGCTACTCTTCAGACCCTCTGGAAATCTGTAGTTATACCGGCATGGAGTGAGAACGACATTTATGGCATCAAAATCGACGATTTCCCAGTCGACAGGCTAGTCTTTACGAAATCTATTGATCTACGATTCATAAGTGAGAACGATACAAGAGCTTGTCCGCATAACCGAAGACTGCAGACCTATCGAGAGGCAGACGATGAGAATATTGTCGCCAAACTAGCATCCTTTGAGAACTTCAAGGGAAAGATTCTCCCACTTCTCGAGAAATGTGACAAAGAACAATTGGAATCGTTCAGGTTTGTCAATTGCCCGCAGCAAACCTGAGAAGAAAGGCTGACGGAAATAAAAACAAGTTGGGATCTAGGAACATGTATACCAGCTCCCATCTTGGGAAGCAATGGCATCGTCGCCCGTCAACAGTCTACGATCAGTTCTTTGAAGCTTACAACCCATCCCTTTTGCACACGCTATAACTCCCGCGAACGTAAGATCGACTTGTCCGCCTTTCATCATCTTCTGAATCTCAGTTGGAGAGGGCCAACCTCGGATAACCTCAAAGTATTCGCCCTTGCACTTAGAAACAACAAATCGTACCTTCAGGCCTTAGAGCTGGACCTCATCGACTGGCCGCATATACGAAAGGCACTAGGTTACCGGAACGATGAGGAGAGAGTACACAGATTGAGAGCAAGAGACTATGTAGCGAAAATGGTTCTTGGTCTGGACAAGCGCTCTCCTCGCATCACATTTCCCAATTTACATACTCTAGTTCTAAGCCACGTTCCTCTGACCGACACTCTAGTTCAAGCTATCGACTTCGAGATTCTCAGATCTCTAACGATCCGGGCATGCCCGCAGTGGTACGATTTCGTGCTAGCAATGGCACAGCACAGAATCCCAGTGAAACTAAAGAAGCTCGAGCTTCAGGAATCATGGCCCAAAAATGATGCAGCAACCTACGATCTTGAAGACGGGGACCCAATTGAGATTCTATTAGACTCTTTCCAAGGTTTAGAAGAGTTCTATCTTGATCAGACCGGTATGATGCTCTCAAAGTACACATGGGACAATGTTTGCCATCATAGCTCTACGTTAAAGAGATTTGTAAACCATTCAAGGTTCTATGATGACGAATTGGAGGACTGGACGGATTTGCCGGATATGATGATTATTGAGCGTGATAAGAAAAGGTTCTGGGACGATCCAACTTCATCTCCTCTTTATCACCTGGATCTCGATTTCATTGGGCTGTCTTGTGAGCCTATCAACTTGGTAAGAATCAGGCGCTACTAATTTCACCTACTGACTTTGGAACTTTTAGCTGGATGTGTTGAATCCATTTTCTAGAAAAGATTGTCTTAAAGTCGTTCACGTTCGTCAATCGCGTAAGAATATAGAGTTTACCTCTCAGTCATGGGGGATTATGGTGATTATAGACGATGAACCCGTCGATGATACTCCGGCAGTTGATGAAGGAGAAAACCCCAGCAATGAGTATCTGGAACCTATGTTCTGGGCATTTGTTGAGTGGGCGTTTTCTTACAAGGGTATCAAGTCCCTGGAGTATATCGTGTTTGGAGACTATGGCCGTCCTGAAAGAACGAGCAGGGGAAATCTGCTTATATGTCGAGAAGGATATGGATCTGAAGACTTTCATATCATCAGGGAGACATGTCCGGCACCCGAGTGGGATCATGTCAAGAAGGAGTATGGGGATGCAATGAGATGCTGTCCCTCAGGTCCATTGTTTTAGGTGCCGAAGGACCATGCGCAATAAACACCAGTTAGCTCAAGTTAAAGCATATTTAACAAAATACCCGTCGCAACATTCGAAATATTCCCAACCACGTCCCAGAAATTCGTATTACTCGTGTTCCTCGTCTGCTCCAACTCCCTAATCCTCGCCTCCATCCTCCTCTTCTCCAACCCATGCGCCACAGCCTGCGCCGTACTCGCATCCCTAATCTGCTGATTCAGCCTCTCAACCTCCCCCCTCCACCTCCCCGCCTCATCCACAGCACCCCTCTGCCTCTCCTCAATCTTCCTAATAGTCTCATCATACTCCTCTCTATCCTCTGTGCGCGCTTGCTCCATCTTTAGCTTTAGCGCGCTGACCATGCGGTTCGATTCTGCCATAGCAGCTTGAAATCGCTCGTTGGCATCTGCGCGCTCGGTACTTAGTCGGGTTTCCAGGTCTTGGATCTTGGCTTCTCTTGCCTTGCGTTCGCGCTCTAGACGGACGAGTTGGTCATTGAAGGCTTGTTCCATGCGGCGTTGCTGTTCGCGGCGATCGGCGTGGAGAGCTGCTTGCTCGCTTTCGAGACGGCGCATGAATTGCTGCTTTTCTTGCTCAAGCTTGTCGAGCATTTTCTCGAGTTGGACGTCGCGGTCTTTGATGGCTTGTTCTTTCTCTTCGCGGATAGTGTTGAGCTTGGCTTGGTGCTCTTCTCGTAGCTTGTTAAGTTCCTCGTTGAGAGCTTCGCCTGCTGTTGTTTGGTCGACTCCAAGGCCTTGCTCTACAATCTCCTCTTGGATTTGTAGAGTGACTGCTGGGAGATCAACTAGCTCATTAACGATTTCAAGAGCCGACTCTCTAGTGTTCTGGAATCGTCGAATTCTCGAGCCCTTGTTGCTCATATATCCCCACCACTCAGGAGTTGAGATAAGTTCATGCTCTCTAGCTGTTCCCTTTGACTCATCTTGCAGCTCATCCCAAAAGGTAGTTGCAAGGATGACATTCTCAAAAGCACCATCACCACAAAGATTGCGGAACATGGTGAGGTTTCGCATGATGGCGTTGGTCATCCTCTCATCTTTGATGCGGTGCAGGTAAATGATTCCACTGAGCTTGACATTGTTCATGTACGAGGAGCTGAGAGCTTGAGCGATATCAGCAAGAATGTCGGCATCTCCCCGGTACGTGTCGTCAAAGCCGGGCGTGTCGAAAAAGACAAATTGCTGGCCTCGAATGAGACATTCGTAGGCTTCAGTCTTCTGTGTGCCTGTAAAATGTTAGTGCTCGTTCAACATCAAGGAGGCTGGGGGCTTACTTACAAGATCCAAGTGAATGCCCGACTTGCGGCCCATCTTCATCGTCTCTCCCAGTCAAGAGCCGAAGGAAATTACTCTTTCCTGAGCCAGTTACTCCCATCACAGCAATCAATAATACTTGCGGAGGGCTTTCGGACTCATCGCTCACCGAGGTGTCTGTCCCCACCGACGGAGCGTCTGGCAGAGAAGACTGGGCAACTTTGGTCATGGTGGAGACTAACAGGGTTCTCAGTGCATGTGATACACTGCTTTACAGCTTGAAAGTCTAGACTTAATAACAAGAGAATGTCTCTTGATAAATACAACAAGGCAGACTAGACGCAATCACTTTATGCCGACATATCCGGCACTGCAACACCCAAAATCAAGCTTAACATCGCATGAGGGGCATTTCACACTCTATTCATCCACAATAAGCACTAACCTTACAAAACGACCGTTCTATTTCAACCTCCGCGCTACTGCAAACGACAACGAAACCTGCATTTCAAGCTGAACACCCAAAAAGTGATATAAATCACTAGTCCGCGCCACCATCCACTAATACCCTGCATCCTCCCAGTTAGACACCCAAACCTGCGCAGGCGACCAGACAATCCCTCTCCCGCGATTCTCAGATTCTACTGGCTCCGACACGATGCGTGGGCGCACTACCACACAAATCGGGCGACCGTCGAGCCGCTTATCACCTTTCAGAAGACCGACTGTTGGATGCGCCTCCATGTCCCCAAACATGCTCTGGAACCGATGGAGGGTGGCATCACCTAGCGCTTCGATTCTGATATTGGTTCTTAGCTTCCAGAGTCTCAGCGCAAGGCTGCATGTGGTCTCGAAAAGCTTGGTCAGCTGCGTGAGGCTTTCTCTGTCGAGGGGCTCCATGAGGGGTTCGTAGGTCCTTGCGAAGATCTCGGCACATGTTTGTAGTGCTTGCTTGTGCGGGGGAAATGCTTGCTCGAGATATTGGCAAGTCTGGATTCTCCACGTCACTGTGGCTTCTACGCTGACGCCTGGAGATTGTGTTAGTTTGCCTTGTTGCCTGGGGATTGTGAAGTGTACAAACCTCCTTGCAGGGCTGTTTTAAACATGCAGTGTTGGCATAGAAAGAATGGATCTCCGAGAAAGGTCTGCACGAGTCTCTTTGTTAGTGCAGCCTGTAGCAATATTGCTGTGGCTGTTCTGTGCGTCATGTCGAATCGTAGATGCTCCGCGCAATCTAGGTCATTGATGATACCTTCACTGAGCAGAAGATTTCGCGTCTCTTCGACGTTTTCGATGCGTGGCAAGCGATTGTCCATACACCACTCAGAGCACTTCTCGAACAGATCCTGCAGTTCGGTTCGAACCTGATCATCTGGAAAGTCGCTGGAAACATGACCTGCCAGTAGTGATATAGCCCTCGAGTGCGCCTCCGTTACAACGTCCTCTTGGTTCTTGATATCTTGGCTCAGAGCCTTGTTCACATCTCTTTCCTCCTTAAGCTCAGACTCAAGGTCTTGCTTTGTCCGTTTGAGTTTCCGATAATCATCTGCCAGGCGATCATAAGCAGCTTTCGCTTTCCTGATTTCCTCTCCTCGTCCGCGCAAGAGTTCATTGGATCTTTCTTCCCAATCCGCCCATCGCTTGATGAGACGATTTTTGTTATCAAGATCCTTGGTTTGTAAATTAAACTCGATTGCCAAATCGTTAAGACTTGTGCTCAGAGAGGCTTTCTCAGTTTGTAATTGAGTCACTTCCTTTTGAAGTTTCTTTTCTCTTGAGGTTTCTGATTTATGGCTGGGCTTCTTCTCATTTACCTTCTCAGTAATTGTAGAAGACTCTGGAGAACCAAATGGGTTCAAGGACTGGGTGATACGCCCAATCATTCCAGGGTTTTGCTTGATAATCTCTCAGTCTGTGTCTAGGATGAAGAACATATCACTTGTAAGCTTACTTTCGGGTGATGATTCGATGTTTTCATGGTCTCAACGACGTCAGACATGGTGGAGTCTGCTGGGTGATCATGTTTCGGCCTCTTGTCATCGGTCTTGGAGTATCTTGGCTGTTGCAAGCTTAGTAAGAGCAACACATTGGGTTCAAAACTGAATACCTCCTCATAAGGTCCCTCATCCTCACTTTTGGGTTGGAGCTGGTCGCTGATGTCCTTCAGAGCAACACCAGGACCGTGCTCTCCAGATCTTCGCTCAGATTCTCCGCCCATAGTGATGCTGTCAAAACGCGTTATTGATCGAATGGCGTGACGATATAATCGTCTCCGACTCAATCAACAAAAGCACTATTTATAAACCGCAATGGATGTTCCCCCGCAGAAATCAACAGTTCGACTTCCCTCCCCCTCCATTACCCTCCCTGTAAACCTTAGCCTTTTCAGCCGTGATAGTGGCTGCATATGCAAGGCCGAGGCCCCGACAAAACGCCAGCACATACACGGCAAAACGCCCGCGCATTTCAACCCCCCTGTAAGGCGCACTGCCATCAGCCGCAAACTCGGCGAACTGTTTAAGCTGCCGCCCTGGGCCAAGCGGCCATTTGAACATGCTGTAAATCATTCCATTGACATGACAGATCCCAAATCGCAGGAGTTATACTTCTTTTCCATATCGTAGTTGAGGCCACGAGCAGAAGATTCATTCATCAATCATGTTGGCTGTGAGAAATAGAACAAAACTAATAGTTGGCATTGACTACGGTACAACATATTCAGGTCAGGACAACGCAACTGGATACTCGATTCCACTGACTGATCTTCTCGACATCAGGTCTCAGTTTTGCACTCTCCAATGCCGCCGACTTCAAAGACATTCACCCATGGACAAAATACCCCGGTTCAGCAACTCACAGCGCAGAACACTGCGCCAAAGCTCCATCATGGGTCGCTTTCAAAGATGAAAATCCCGATCTCGACGAGAACGCATGGGGCTATCAAATCGAACCCGGAATGAAGACCTACGCATGGACAAAGCTCCTCCTCGATGATCAAGCACTCGCGACAGAGTACGATGATCCGGATCTTAACAAAGCCGCAGGAAACGGACTCATGAGATTACCAGCCGGCAGAACTGCCAAAGACGTGGTCACTGAGTATCTCAAGGGGATGAATTCTATGTATAAAAAGGCTGTCGTTGAGAAGATTGGGGAGGATAAGCTTGAGGATCTGCCTGTTGACTTTTGGTTAACTGTTCCTGCAACTTGGTCGGAGAGAGCGAAGCTTATTACTAGGGCTGCGGCTCTGGATGCTGGGTTTGCGTCCAGACCTATTGATCGTTTGAGTCTGATCACTGAGCCGGATGCTGCAGCACATATGGCTTTGAAGTCCAGCATTCATCATGTCGAAGATCTTATTGATGTAGGTAACGCCTTCTCACTTTTTGAGTCCGGGCTGACACTGGGTTTAGGTCGGTACGGGTGTAATGGTATGTGATCTTGGTGGTGGTACTGTTGTAAGTTCAGCTTTGAACATGGGGTCTCGCATCTCGCTGATAATGCTAGGATATCACGACATCAGAAGTGGTCAGAAAGTCTCCGTCTCTGAAACTGAGAGAAATTGCTATCGGAGCAGGTAAGATAACCCTCGTTCACAGATGCAACGATGGCACTCACATTCTCAGGTGGTAAATGCGGCGGGACATTCGTAGACCGCAATCTTTACAAGCTTCTCTCCGAACGCTTCGGTGCTCCATTCACCAACCTTGGTCCACAGCACGTTGGGCCCGGTAGTCAATTCATGGACCAATTCGAGATGCGCAAACGAGACTTCAGCCTTGATACACCGAGCAGGAAGTCTTACAGAATCACCCTACCCATGCGAAGTCTGGTGGTCACTCCAGAGATGGAGAAGTACTACGATCCTGATTTCAACCATGTGCTCTTGAGCAAAGATGATATGAAGAGTCTTTTTGATCCGGTGATTGACATTATTCTCAAGCTTGTCAAAGATCAGGTTGATCAAGTCAAAAGAGACAATGAGCCAAGAATCAAGACGATGTGTCTGGTCGGTGGTTTTGGTTCCTCGCCTTATGTCAAGGAACGATTGCTTGAGTGGTGCTCAGACCAAGAGATACGGCTTACAACGCCGTGGACAGGCGCGTAAGTATTCCACTCCCAAGAATTATCTTGCAGTGAACTAACAGATCTCCAGTTGGGCAGCTGTTGTTTGCGGTGCCGTCTTGCGAGGCGTCGAAGGTTCCATGTCCAGACAGAAGAAATGTCGTCGACACTATGGACATACGATGTCTCGAACATATGATCCAGCTGTGCATTTCAGCTTTGATGAGAACAAGCGAAGGCTTTGGAATGACCCATGGACAAAGGAGCAAAATCTTTCTGGCTTCATGAACTGGGAGATCGCGAAGGTAAGTCAGCAGTCCAAGTACAGTCAGCAGATGAGATTTAACTTTGTCAGGGCGCTCTTCTGGACGACGACACCGAGATCAGCACGAGTTTCTACTCACATTTCTCAGAGTATTTTGACGGAAAGCACACGCATGATCTTTATTCGTGCAGTTTGGACGAGGCACCTGAGACTATTGAGAACGAACGTGAGTATAATGACTATGATGGGAACGACAAAACTGACGATGACTAGGGATTGAGAAAGTTGGCGAGGTATTATACACCATCGATGGTATTGACAAGACTAAGATCAAGTCCATACAAGACGCCAATGGTATTCACTGGTATCAGCTACTACTTACCCTTACCATTCGCCTCAGTGACGATGAGGTCGGTGTATTGGTCTGTCGAATCTTCTATCGAGGAAAGGAAGTTGGGAAGGCAGAGATAGGGTATTCTTTTACCTGATTGGGTTCCATTATCTACCTAGCTATCTGGTTTTTGCGGCGCCGTTTTGTAAGGCGTTGAAGGTTGTTGGCCTTCTAGTCAATACTCCAATGGTGCTTAGCGAGGTTGCATATACTGGTTATTGAGAAACTAACATATGCATTTAATAGACTCTGCCAGGAGTTTTAGTTTCCTTTCAGAGCTCACCAATTGAAGACTGCTCTAGCTTGACTGTAATACCGTTGATTAAGGAGACCTCTAGTAGCCTTCTCCTCTTTGAGAGAACAGGTCGTCTGTATTCGCTTCGCCGTTTGGTCGTTTGCGAAGCATAACAAGCCCCTCATACGGGTACCCTTACAAGCACCAGAGAGGTTATTTCCTGGCTCTGGTCATAAGTGTAGATAGCTGAAGCTTGTGGAATGCGACATGATGAGGATTCTCAGTCCATCTGGAATGGTACATGAATTTGAATCTACCTCGTTGGAATAGGTACTTGTTCCACGTGCGATGACTCTATAACACGTCTTGAGATAATTTTTTACCACCTTTGAGCATAAAGAGGCTGACTGATAGAGGCCACGTCATTCCGTTGACTTTTCGTGATATTTATATGATGCAAAAAAGGTCCAAGAACATGAGTATATAGCGATCCAGCATCCCCTTTGGCGGGAAAATGCCTATACCTGTGAAGACTGCGATAATAAAAATACCGTCGGCTCAAACAAGTAGCCATGACTGTCCTTAGTCCTTGGAAATCGAGATTTCCTCCTTCCATAATTCGCGAGGGGGCCCTTTGAGCTTCATCAAGTAGCATTTGAGCCATATTCTCCCAAAGCTCATTCCTGGTCGTCGATCTGGGAAGTTTTAACCTGCAAAGTCTCGCCGTTTGAGCTCGATCAGGCCGGCTAACGATGCCGTAGGAATATTTTCATAATGACTTTTGACTAATAAGTCTGGGGAACCACGCCTATTTCGAGTACAGCCAGGACCTCGGAATACTACCGCCAGTATCAGTCTCCCCGTTCTCACAAGCAAGGAGCCGGATCTTAAGTCCGTTAAGCTCCGGAACAAGACTAAAAACCGAAAACAATATGAGTCACAACGAAACGAAGAGGCCATTTTGTAAATAAGCTTTGCTGGGTTTGCTTTAATTTACTTGGACTTGGTGACATGCCGCTGGGGTATTCATGTGGGATATCACGTAATCCGGCGTATCGGGGTGCGGAGAAACACCGAGCTTCCCCCGCGCGCATTTTACCAGCGATCTTTTAGAGCTCGTCATCGGCCGGTATTATTTATAACCCCTGTATCTTCATGAACGATCAATTGCTCCAAAGGAAGACATCAAAATCCTCCCTGAAACTCATAAAAAATGACTATGTCTCTGTTTTCCAGCCTCAAAGGCTATACGTACAAGACCGTCCCGTTCAAGTCTGGACCCAATGGTGATATCATTCTCGATATCGGATACCCAGAGGATGCCGATGGTTCACCGGCAACTGTTCTGATTCATATCCATGGTGGATTTCTCGTAAGTCTTGCCTTATCGCCTGGTAGACTTAGCTGACATGTGCACAGATCGTCGGGGACAGATATAGTTTTCTCCCATACTGGCTCCTCAGTGCTGCCACTGCTCGAAGCTGGATCTTCGTGAGTCCTGATTATCGTCTTCTCCCAGAGTCTACCGCCCATGCATCTTTAGATGACTCCATCGATGCATACAACTGGGTGCGCTCGTCGCTGGCTGACGCAATCGGACGTCCTATTGGACCCGTCTTGCTGTCTGGTTCCAGCGCTGGTGGATATCTCGCATTGGCAACTGCGAATGAAGTTGAACAAAAGCCAGATGCACTGTTACTTGTCTATGGAATGCTTGATGCAGCGAATCCGAGATATACGACTCCCGGGACGAATATCTGGGGAGCTCCGCCTTTCGACACAGCGTCGTTGTTGAGCAAGTTTCCAGCGACCCAGGCGAATGACGAGAGAAAAGCCATCTCTGGGTACCCTCCACTTAAGAACTTTCAACAAGACCCGCGCTTCCAAGTAATCTCAGCTCTTCACATCGATGCCCTCTTCCCAGACTACATGACTGGTATTGAGGGCCTAAGTCGTGAGATCGCCAAAACGGGCATCGATGCCATCCCCGAAGAACACCGACGCTTGTTTCCCGTCTCATTTGGAGATCTCGCCAAGATTCCTCGCACTTTTCTGATTCACGGCGTCAACGACTCTGCTGTTACAGTGGACTGTAGTGTTCAGGCTGAGAAGAAGCTTCGTGAAGCAGGCGTTGAGGTGGTGAAGGACTTCCCGGAGAATGCAGAACATGGGTTCGATAGTAGAATTGGAAACATCAATGTTGAGAAGGCGGATGCGGATGGTATTCCTAATGTTGGGAGTTTGAGAAACGCCATTCGCTTTCTTGACTCCTCTGTTAAGAACTAGACATAACGAGGTACCTGGCTACGAGTAGACCAATTATATATTAAATGATTTATATTGGGCCCTCGTGCATGGAGTAAATTCATGAATCACGTTATCCTCTAAATTGAAGTTTACTTGGCCTCAGCTACGACACTCTTGATAACCTCCTCAAGATTCTCCTCCTTGAGCCCAAGTAACCCAATCACATTCTCATCACCCTTTAGTGAGTGCCCAGCCCCATCCGCAAACAGGAACTGCTCCAGATAGTCACCAAAAGCACTAAAGTCTCCTTTGGCAATCTTCTCGTCTCCTCTCTTCTCCAGCTCAGCGCCAGTGACATGTGAAACCTCGAACTTGTCCCCAGTCACCTGCTCAACGATCTTCAGAACTTCATTCTGGGTTGTTGTCACACCAGCAATATTGAGATACTTGTTCTTGGTCTCTTCTGGCTTCTTCAAGATGGCAGCTACAGCTTCGCCGACAAAGGCGAGTGACGTTGTAGAATAGGGTTCGTTGCCTGAGTCGGTGATGCGAATCTTGCGATCCTTGATGTTGATGAATCCCCTTGCGCTTTTGAGATCCTATAATCTAATCAGAAACTTCTGTGAATATCTTGAGATAAGAAAACATACCGAATCAAGGAATAAGCCGTTAGAGAGACCAGTCCATGAAAACCAATCATGCTTCTCGGCAAGTTCAATCAAGTAGTCAGTATTCTGGATCTTCGCACCAAGAATTTTTCCGATCTTGGTATCGCGATTCTGACGAGACGGAATTCCAAACTCGGAAGGGATAAATCGAGGAACTCTCGCAGCAATAGCGGCGTCAATGATGACCTTTTGACCACCAGCTGCAGCGGTTGTTGCTGTAGATACCACGGCATCTTGGTCAGTCAGAGCTTCCTTGACTGAATCAACTGAAGTGATATCGACACGCTTCACGTCCACTTTCTCGGGAAATGTTGCAGAAGACTCATTTCTAGTAATAGCTGTAACTTGGAAGTCAGCTTTCAGAAGGCTATCGACGACCTTTGATCCGAGAAGACCAGAGGCCTTAGTAGGTTAGTTTGCTGCCCATGAGTTCTCTAGGGTAAATAACTCACTCCAACAACTGCGACTTTCTGAATAGCCATTTTGATACTGTTACTGTGTATTTTCTTTTCGTTGGAATTAATGAGAAGTAATGTTTAATGATAGCTGAGAGTGAAGTCTTTATCTTGGTTATTGACGTCTGTTCAACCCCGCCATTGTAACATTTTGCTGGGAATGCAATCATATTGAGCCAAACATAATGCCTGATTTGGATTGCTATCTCCACTTCATCATGATGCCATAGTGCCCGAGGATTCTCAACCACGATTTTGATAGATGTGCATCTGCGAATGGCGAACAGTGAATTAGAGCACTCACGTCGCGGATGTTTCTCTGCCTCCAGAGGAACGAGTTATCCAAACGACGGAGTAAGAAGCTCACTAATGCTCCACTAACGACACTAGACAGAAGCGGCTCTCGCTTGTTGAACAATCGAGTAATAAAGTAAAAAAGCCTGATGTCGATTGAAATCTCCTTGCCTGAAAATTCACTTATTCAATTTCGGCAAGATAAAAAGGTTATCCTCGGTAATTGCTATCGTCAAGAAGCTTCCCTTGTCTTTTACAGAGCCTCAACAGAGGTATCCCTCAAGTCTTGCGGAGCCTCAAGGCCTTGGATAAGGTTATACGGCACCATGAGACGCTATTGACCAATTCTAAAAAGTATAGACGGAGGCTGACGGTTTCGTAGTAGAACGACGAAGCGCTCGGTGACATACTCGCATACCTTACGCCATGAATTTGAGTACTGAGCGACTGAATGCGGCTTCAACTTCAAAATGGCTTTCCCTTAGCGACTCCATTATTCGAGCAAACTCGAACGAAGTGCCAAGATGTCGCTTGGAATTTAAGGGAACGAACCGCTATACGTCTAGAACCCTTAATGGAACTTCCAGAACCACGGAAAGGGAGCATCTTCCGTTAGTCCCGACCCTAACCAATTCCACTACCGAAACCTCAAAATAGATGTCTCAGAATTACGATCCAATCCGGGCTCTCGGATCCTTCGAGCGGAATCAGACGATAAACACCGCCGTGAAAAGTGGGAAAGCCGCGTAACAATCATAGCACCATATTAGACAAACTTTTAACCTAATCAATCTGACAGCACTCCCGTAGATATTGGACAGCAACCGTAAAACAAAGCTTCAGTGGCTTGGGTAGGCATGCCGTTGTGCCGGGTAACCGGACGCCACTGTGGCTATCGCCATGGAAAAATCCGGGGAATAGTCACAATGACGTTGTACAAGTGCCAGTAACATTGATCTATGGCCTGGAGATATTGACACGCAAACGTGCAGCAGCCACTGTGAATACTTATTTCCTTGATTTTTGTGCAAAAACGTCGATCAATGAAAAGTAATGCATGGCGGCGTAGTCTCGCGAGCAAAAGTCCTTTTGCTTTACAGCCACAAAATTTTGGTCAAGAATTACGTCCTGAATTGGAATGTCAGATGCTGAGCCAGTTTCTGACCACCTCGGCTACGGCGGCTCAATCCTCCTTTTTCTCGTATGGCTAATCTGCATCCTTGCTTACGTATTTCCTTGTGAAAAGCATTGAGTAAAAATACCAGAGACATGTTGGTGCCTGATTCCTCGTCACCCAAAATAGTCAGATCATTGCAGAGCGTTTTCATCTGTGGCGCGTCATGGTGCTGATGAATATTTAAGCTTTTACTGGCCACTCTGGATACTCAGCGGGAAACTTTAGGCAGAGGCGTCTCTGGCTGGCCGCTGCAACAGTCAGCAAATGGAGAACTTTAGTGGGTAGATTTCATGGAGTCCGCGGGCCGTTGCTTATTGACCCTCGAAAAGTCAGTGTCAACCCTGCAGTAAATCTATTCTCCAAGGGCAAGTGAAACCTCATTTCAAGAGCAAATGGTCCTCTTTTTACGAACCCACCAAACATAAGAGACACGCGACATCACGGAGAGCTGAGAGACCCCCCCTGCATGGGTAAACAAGGCCATTGTCTAGAACAGAGCAAAACCCAACTTCTCCACGCTTGCCAAGAGATCGATCGACGGCTATACTCAGGGGTAAGCCAAGAAAAAACCCAAGGCGCCTCGCGCACTAAAGCAGTCATCGTGTAATTCTTGTTAAGAGGTGCAGAAAGCGCGGCGTTCCGCCTCAAGAAGGAATAATGGCGCAGCCTAGCGTAAGATTAAACTGTTCCATGATTGAATGGTTCGAGTTGGTCGACCCATTAATATTGGACAAGGGGGGGCTAAAAATGGGAAAAGTCGGCTGAGCGGCTTTTTTTGCTGGTCAGCCTGGGAATAAAGGGGGGGGTACTTTTTTTGCCCGAGGAGACCGGGCAATATGCAAGGTTTCTATTTTTCTGGGGAAGAAGCTGAGAGAATGTGCCCAGTGTTGCAACCAATTTCATGCCCTCATGCAGGAAAATACATTGTTTCTTGCATGTGCTTATTTGTTGTTGATCAACATGCGTCAGCAAGGAGACTTGTTGGGCCGGACACTATCGACGCCTCGTTCAAGCCATCTCGGCCCCTCATCATCAGACGAGCGTCAACCTTCAAATTTAGAGACTCACAAAAAGCAAGCGCTCTGACAAAACCACATTCCTTGCAGAGTCGCGTGACCTTACTCGCTGAAGCGTAACTCCTCGCAGTACTGTTTAGCTTGGCGACCAATCTGTGCCGTGCTGTTAATTTTACTCTGCATCCCCCATCTTGACCAATTAGCTACCGAGGAGCGTTCGGTTAGTCGGAGCCGTTTAGTCAGATTGAATTGGCAGATGGGGAATACGAGCCTTGAAACCGCCACTGGCCAACAAGTTTAGTGTGCTGTACACCCGTCTAGCCCTACATGGATCCAATGCAGAAGTGACCGATGCCAGGGGTCCGACAGTGCAAATGTCCGTATTCAGCTAATGAACAAGTCATGGTTATTCCATGTTACGTAGCAGATTTAATCTGGGCTGAGCTGTGGCACACACACAACACGCGAGCAGTTGCTGTTTTTACTGTAATTCCCCATTTAGTTTGATGTTTTAGTGACCTTTAGTTAGGGGGGCCCAACGCCAATGTAAGATTTTACGACCGTGATCATTCTTAATGACTTTGGATCCTTTCTCCTGCTCTGCCTTGAAGCTCCCTTTTTCCCCCTCTCTTGTCTTCTTTCTCGACCTAGTCAAATCTTTCCATGGAATATCCATCTATTTTTTAATTTTGTTTTCTCTGGTCACTGGAGAGCAATCATGTTCGCGACACTCGTTCCCTTTTGTTTTTCGACGATATTTGTTTCATTGACGTTTACGAAACTGGTCCACCTTTCCATCCACGCCAAGACAATCTCTCCCGGCGCTTTCGTCCTTTTTCTGCCCTCGCTTTTACTTCCTGATGTTTTAGTCATTTTCCTGTCGCGCCTGGCGCTGCGGCAGCAGAAGGGCGTTTTCTCTGTTGGAGCTTGTGTATTGGGTTGCATATTCTCGTATGTTGTCTTGTCAGCTTCAATTGGCCGCTGCTAATACTCGCAGATTTATTCTTCTCGGCGCATCGGCTTCACAACTGGGCTTCTTCTATTCGACGGGCAATGAGGTTAAATGGTCTGAGGCGTTGAGCTATGCTGGTGATAAAGATGGAATGAAGATTCTTCTTAGTGGGCTTAACTCTGTCCTTGCGGCGGGCGCTCTGATCGTCGTTGTTGCTTGGGTTGCGAAGTGGTTTCTCTACAGGGCTGTCGGTTCATTAATTGCAACGGTTGGAATGCCTGTTGTACATGGTACAATCACTCTCTCACTCTTCGTCAATTAACACTAACGATAATCCAGCCTGGCAGTGGTTCCGACACAGAAACGGTCGATCCCCTCAGTCATTGGCTTATGACTCCGACAGCGAACTCGACGAAGACCTTGAAGTCGCCAAAGAAGGCGCACGACTCATCCCCGATACTCACGAAGAATCTCGAACGAGGCCTCGAACATGGATCATTCTCGCCCTCGTCACTGTCTTCCTCTTCCTTACGACGGCTCTCCGACCTGCCGCCCCCTACACCATGATGTCCATGACACTCCCTGCCGCTATGCTCGAAATGTTCAAGTCTCCGGCCAAGCTGTGTAACAATGTCGAAGGTGGATGGCCTCTCGCTGATCTTATCACTCCCGATAAGTGGGAGGAGCCCAATGGACGCTTCCCCGGTTGGACACCTGGTAACGACGGTGACGCTGCACGAAAGTACCGAGACACAGTCCCTGAATGGCTACCCAGCGACATCCCCGCCGGTTTCTCCAAGTGGCTTGCGAAGCCAAACAAGACCACAGATGAGGAGCCTGCAGCAAGCCCTAGCAACGCCTGCGAAGTCCCCAAAGCCGACGGTACCTTCTACAACCCCGTTCTCGACCCTCTCAAGATCTCCAACCTCGACACCGACATCATCGATGTTATCCGCGACACTCTCAAGGGCGGCGACGTCAAGATCAAGCACGTGGCACTAATCATGATGGAGAGCTACCGCGAGGAACTCTTCCCTCTGCAGCAGGGCTCCGACTATCACAAGCTCATGGTCAAGTCTCACAAGGGCGAAGACATCGACGAAGTCAATGAGAAGCTATCTCACCTGAGCCCCGTCGCTGAGAGACTCACCGGCAAGTCAGGAAACTGGAAGAGAAAGGACGGCTCGGACTTCGAACACGTGGCTATTCCGCAGTGGAACGATACAGCGCAGGAGGGGTACGGAGGTATCAACGTTGTCGGCGGTTTCACAACGTCTTCGTTGTCGTTCAAGAGCATGGCTGCTGTCCACTGTGGCGCTTGGTCCATGCCTGTCGATGGATTTGAGGAGTCTGAGACGGATGCGTACCAAGCTTGTATTCCTCAGGTATTCAGCCTCTTTAACAAGCTCAAGGATGGTAAGAAGTCGAAGGATTTCTTAGAGCAGCAGTGGTATCCTGCTTTCTTCCAGTCTATCACCGATGGTTATGATCGTCAGGATAAGTTCGACGACAAGATCGGTTTCGAGCACATCGTTACACGAGGCCGTCTGGAGGATGATCGCAAGAAGGGTGAGGAACTCGAGGAGATCAACTACTTCGGTTTCCCTGAGACGACACTCAAGGGCCACATCGAAGATTATCTCAACGAGGTTAAGGACAAGGGCAAGCGCATGTTCTTCTCTCACTTCACCAGCACGACACATCATCCCTGGGGCGTGCCAAACTCATTCAAGAAGACCGACTATCTCAACACCGAGGGCAAGATGGGCTGGCACCAGGAGTTCAACGACTATCTCAACGCCATGCGATTCACTGACGCCTGGTTAGGCGAGTTGCTTCAGACATTCGACAACCACGGTCTTACAAACGAGACGTTGGTGGTATTTGTTGGCGACCACGGACAGGCTTTCAAGGAGGATCAAAAGTCCAAGACTGGAACCTACGAAAACGGCCACGTTAGCAACTTCCGAGTCCCCATCACATTCCGGCATCCTCACATCCCACGCGTTCAATACAACGCCAACGCAACATCCCTCTCCATCCTGCCCACCATCCTCGATCTTCTCATCAACACGGGCTCCCTCAACGAAAAAGACCAAAACGCCGCTGAGGATCTTATCCACGATTACGAAGGCCAATCTCTCATCCGCCCTTATAAAACCAGCCATAATGGCCGCCGCGCCTGGAACTTTGGTATCATCAACGGAGGAGCGAGCATGTTATCAATGACATCTGCCGATGCACCATGGCGAATTGTCATACCGCTTGATGACTCTACACAATATAGATTCACGGATCTCAAGAACGATCCGTTAGAGAAGAAGCCACTTGAGAAGTGGACGCTTGAGCAGTTGACTTATGCTGTTGCGAATAAATTTGGGGAGGAGGCTTCGAAGTGGGCTGCTGAGGCGGATGCTGTGTCGAAGTGGTGGGGACCTGAGAGGAAGAGATTATGGGGATATAATCCTTCGCATAAGGAAGATTGATGATAGTATTTAATGTAATGCGAATGTTTAATGGTTTCAATTATATGTCTGTCTGTGATGTCTGTTGCTTGCCTGCTATGAGGATGTAGCTTCATAACGATAAGATCGACAGTTTTTGCCATTTCAAATGTACCCCGGTTGACGGAGACATCAAGTACTTCATGATTCATATTTGAAGTTCAAAGGTACCTACCTGCCTCAGTACGGGCTCGAGAATATATCATCACGATGTAATTGCAATCAGAGTGTGAAGTTGTCATTCTGGTATTTCCATTCCGCGTCCATGTTAATGCTTCATCTATACAACAAAAGAAAATGCGCCATTCGATCTATAACCCGACCTGATATCTCAATCCAAAACCATCCAATGCAATTTTACAAATTAGGGATCATTCATTGATCTTGGTCCTGATTTAATGTCCAGCAGCTTGCTTCTTCGCAGCAAGTCTTCGCTCCTCAGCAGCGACCATATCTGCATACTGTTAGCCATTATCCGAGCCATTGATGAAAGTGACTTACCCTTCCAGAGGTCCTGACCCTCATACTCCTCCTTATGGATCTTCTTCTCAATGATCTTGGTAGGATCATTAGGATCCACGACCCGAATAGTCTGCCATCTGCTATCACCATTCTTGAGATCATTCATTTCAAAAACAGCAGACACCAGCAACACAGCCAGTGTCAAACCCTGCGCATAAACACGAGCTTGCACAATCTTATTCGCCGTGTTCATAGGCTGTCGACTGACGATAGCAAACGCAATACCCATTGACGCCAACCACGACGCGAAGACAATGGGATATCGGTTCTCCTTGGCATATGACTTGAAACGCTCATACGTTGACTCATTTTCTCGGATGAGTTGTGCTGTACGCGCTGCCTGATCTTGGTAATTGCGCTTAGGATCTTGGGCAATCTGATATGCGATACTCCATCTCTCTGCATTGACGATGGCGCCGAATGTACCGGTTGATGTCACGAGGAATGCTCTGAAGGGGAGGGTGAGGCCTCGGAAGGTTGGGTAGCGTTTTGATGCGTAGTAAACGCCTCCGAGACCGAGACCGAGGAAGAGTGTTCCGCCGATGAGGCCGCCCTTGACGACTTCGGCGTAGTGGGCCTCTTCTTCTTCCTTGGTGAGAATCTTCATGATTGGTGACGGTGATAACGATAAGTGATAAGAAGGGTGATAAGAGATAAGGATAAGGATAAGCTTGAATGGGTAGGTGGTAATGTAATGTGTGTATGATGTATGGATGATATGTCCCACTACAGACTCCTGGCAAGCATGTTTATATAAAGGTATCAAGTCTGCAAATTTTACCGGGCAAAGCCGCTACAAAACGGATTCCTCATGTCATGTTGTCGCATGATTATTCAGAGTCGGGCTGCTTACGCCGCAGCTAAACCCTTGGTCATGATGCCGCACTCGCCGCATCATCCGCTCACGGTTCCGCCCGAGTGCCGCAAGTGGATGATTTGCGGCGCCGCATGACCGCAATTGATTCCAGAGATGAACGAGAATTTTTTGGGAGTGGTTCAGGGCATACTTTTGGTGATGAGCGAAATCATCGGGTACCGTGGTGATGATCAACGGCGATGCCGATGAGATGTCCAAGGAATTGCATTTGTATGATGTATGTATGTCTTTGACGCAGTGAAACTGCACAAGATTTCACATCTTGAGCATCGCGACCATTTGGCAACAAATACCGTCAAGATGGATGGTTAGTTGAGAAGAATAGAAGGTTTGAGGGCCGCCGTGGGTGTTATATAACTCATTCTACAGCCTTAGCGCGTTGGGGACGGATTTCTCAACCCTCGTTGTCGGTAGCCATCAACAACGGAACAAGATCTCTGCAGCCAATGAGCCGGGGAACCTAGATAACCCATCTTTATTCCCATACTACCGTAGATTCGTCTCACTACAAGTCTTGGCAGGAACTGGGTTACCTTCACACAAGGCATGCCAGTAAAATGCTGCCCTTGGCCAATCTGTTCCTGTCAAGGTGAAGCGGCTGGTTATCTACCGATTGGCGGCCCAACGGATCGCCACGCGTCCCAGATCCATGTCCAGCGATCTCAGTAGATATGCCGAGAATTTGTGGCATTTGGCAATGCCTATATCCTTGTTTGAAGTTCCCCATGCTGACGTCACAGTTTGCGGCGTCCCCGGAGAATTCTATGCCGCAGCCCTACAGCCTACAGGGCAGACATGCGGTCTTGTCCAAGCTCTCAGCAAGCAGCGGCAACATATCGGAATGATCAACCATACCACCAGGAAGTCATGCAAATAGGTTTCATGGGCAATGTACAGTATATTACGTCAAATCAACTTTCTCGCGGTATATTTCTATGCTGATAAGATCAATGTTGTCTTGTGCTGATCTGTAGATCCCGATCTTCTTCGCCCCCTTACCCCAGCATCAACGCAGTTGACTCGCTCGCTGCCACAATCCTCGCATACTTCTCTCTCTCTCCATTTCTGGTGATCCACCAAACCTCTTGATGGCCTGAACCCCGAGAGGACGAGGCCAGGTACGACCAAGAATGCTTGCATTTGAGCACCGTGGACTCGATCTGGATGCTGCCCATCAAGCCACCTGTCAAGACACTGCCAACACACTCCGGATCCACAGACACGTCTGATAAAGGCAAGATGTCCTCCAAGATCTCTAACTGATTCATAGCGAGATCCAAACTCCAATCACTGAATTCGTATTGGTCCCTTTTCTTCTCGACTGCCGCAGAGAAAAATCGGATCCGCACATTGTTCAATAGCTGGGAAACAGGGGACCCAGCGGCCTGCATCACATCTACGTCGCCACTTACTCCAAGTGCTGATGTGATATCCGCTATGCTTATCCCAGAATCAAGAGAATTTACGTAGAGCCTGTGCTCATAGTCTCCAAATGCGCCAAGAGGATGGGCTGCAAAACCCAGAATGATAGTTTTACCAGCAACACTCTGCAGCTCCAATGCTATCGAAACTCCCACGGCACGTCGTTTGGGCAGTAGGAGGTACAAAACATCTAGAGATACTTCAAGGTTTATGGTTGGCAGAAGCTTCTTGAGTGGGAATGAGCTTGGCAGGAAACTTGTCCAGTCATCAGAGCTCGTAGTGGCGGAGATTCGCGAGATCGTGTAGTGGTCCGTCTGTTTGGAAAGTTGGGTGAACACAACGACAAGATCGGAGGTTTTTGGCAGGCTTGACAAGGGCGACCAAGAAAAAAGCATAGCCGAAGACATGATAGCTTCGAACCCAAGAGCTCCCGACAGACTTTGGAGAGAGTCTGTCCTAGAAACCGCAAATGCGACCTCTACTGGCCCTTTGGTGTTTAGGTCGCAAGATAGTATGAGCTGGATGGACTCAGTCACTGCTTTGAGAGTTGCAGTACCATACATAGTAATCGACTGGCTTGTCAAGAGAGTATTTTCGAGGATAAACACGATCTCTCCCAATTCTATGCCAATGCCATTGAGACTGAGGAGAGGTGTCCAAGCTTTAGAAGATATGGTCAAACAAACTACCTCAGCTCGCTCGATGATAGCCATACCTGTTGAATCGTATGGTCCCAAACCGTTGATAGACCACGATCTGGTCTCGGGCCAAACAGGCCAGATATCAACAAGCTCACCGGGACACGCTTAGAGATAAGGGCAAACAGTCCAGAGGGACCTGCGACAAGATATCCAAAAATTTTGCTGCACTCGCCAAGCACTCTATTCTGGAAAATGTAATTAGGAGGTATAAGGGCTTCAAAATGGCCCATATGAGCAGTGAAGAAATTGAGAAATATGAAATTCAAAGTTCCTGCTAAGACTCGGGCAATACGACATAATACTTCGTAACTAATGGTCATACAACAGCCTTGGTATCCTTGTCTCAAGTTTCAGACCATAGAAAAGTCAGTTTACACGCTGATGTCAAAAGGTTTGACTTCATAAGCGGCAATAGGTGTGCTTCTCACCCTAAACTAGCGACAGTGTTTTTCACAGCATTAACATTGAAATCAACTTTTGCTGAAGAGACTGGGTGTCTGATTGATGAAAGTACTGTGAGTTCTTGTTTTAGTTCTGATGTCTATTACGCATGTCTTCTTAAAAGCTCTAAAGGTTCTGGGGCGAATGTATGTCAAGCAATGCTCAGAGTCATAACGCAGAGTCAAGGAGTGACTAGATTCAACTATTCTAGCTATAAGTGTGATGCCATCGTCACAGATCCAGTATGTACTTTCCATCCGTTACTACAAGTGCGATGCCCCAGCATCAACGTCGAGTCTCAGCCCGATCCGGTTAGAGATCATCATTTAGGCTTCGGTGACGTTGGGTCGAGTGCTCCACTCATCAGTAACACCCACAACGTTGTAGGCAACATCCGCAAACTCGTCCGCGCTGTCCCGCTGATAGTAAACCTTGATCTGAAAGCTCTTCTTGTCGGCAGTCGACTGGAAAACGTTGGCGGCCAGACCGCTCACTTCACAAATAGTGTGGTTCTTGTCATTGAAATCCATTCCGTCGTTCCATTCTTCGTCTTTGTCGCCAACACGGATGATCTCGCGGAGGAAGAGGTTGTCTGTCGACATAATAAACTCGCACCTTTTGGTTGCAGGGTCAGTAAAGAAGTATTATATTATATAAGTAAGGACGTGGTTTTTACCTGAGCTCTGCCGCCGCAAGACTCTGGGTGAGTGAATGCGACAGCCGAGATAATAGGCAGCTTTGGGTTGACCTTGATTGACTTTCCCTTAATCTTGAGGGTATTCATATCATACTTCTTCCTGGGAATTCTTTCACTGGGAGTGCGACTCTCATAGAAGATTATCTCGTAGTTTTTGTTGACTTGAAACAGGATGGTGTTGCCGTCATTCTGCGCAACAGCGACCATGTTCTAATGATCAGGTCGTCAGTATAGATTTGAGTAATTCATGAGGAAAGTGACAGAGGCTACCTGAATATGAGACATTTCGGCTGAGGGATGGAGGTATTGAGAGATTGATTGTTGTGTGAAGGGGTTCTTTGGATGCTTGAGATGATCTTGTGCTGAATGAAGGAGGTCTTGGACGGGGCCACCCAGCTTCTTTATAGTTTTTTTGACCTCCTCCTTGACCTTCTCCTTCGCATCGTCCTTCTTCTCTTTAGTCTCGACTGGTAGACTTCGCTGGGCGTGAATGGTGAGTCTGATAACGACGATGACTAGGATCAAGCAACTAGTGCAAAGTATACCCACTAGGACGAGGCAGATGAACAGAAGAGGCAGGATGAGGTCAGGTTCTGGGCTCGGAACTTGCATTGTCGCTTCGGTCTGTTGATCCAGATGGTGAAAAAGTAACATTTACTGTGGGAATGAGCACTATTGGCTATGAACGTGGTCTTGGTGTGTTCTTAGCCTCCGCTCAAAGCATCTGCGGATACCTTAACGAGCTATAACATGTGGCGGAGTTATGGATGAGAATTCTTGAATGGGTAAGTGGAGAGCTTCGTGTCGAGGTTGGGGTGGACATATGACGAATAGGATCGTGAAAAAGGTGCATATTATCCAGACTCAGCACATGCGTATTCGTCCAATGTTCTCTACACGTCGGACCATCAGCTAGCCACGTAAACTTTCTGGTAAGCTCTTTGAGTAACAACTAACTGTGTTGAGAAGAGGAGAACTTCCGGCGACTAGTGACTTCGTTTCATCAGCCCGTATACATATCGAGGTTACCAAATCAAACGTCAAGTCAGAGAGGTGGAACGGATTTCAGCTGGTCACTAACCAAGAACTATCTATACAACGAACTTTACACTACCAGAAGCTGCCATGGTGGTGACGACTACTACGTGTTACAAATTATTAAACTTTGACTCTCAATATCCCCTGCAACATCTTGAATCCGGCACTTCATTTCAAGTTGCCGAACAGAGACCAGCGTTGGGCCCAATCACTTAGAAGGGTGCATTGAGAAGGGGCAAGCTACTTACCAGAGCGAATTCCGTAGTACAAGAAACGAATTTCTGTATGGGCAATATTTGTCTTCCAAGCAGGAGAGACTTGCATACTTCCCCTCAAAAGCAAAGCACTGTTGGTTTCACCTTCACGTGTCCCATAGTAACATCGGCTTCCTCCCGCTCGGGAAGTGGACCATAGACTTGAAGCTACGAGTCATGACCCCTTCCCCGCTCGTTCTCTTCAAGCAAAGAAAGGGTCTAGCAGACCCTTAGGGAAGAGCTAATAGGTGAGGCTAGTTAATGCCGCGGAAACCACCCGCATTTAGTGGCCTTAGTTCCGATTCTAATCAGTCTAGACTGTACAAACTGGTGAAGTCGTTCGACGGCGATGTTGAGCTGTCTTGGTTGTCCTTTAATTGGCGAATGATATTGCCAAACACTCAGACGTACTGAGAGCTGATGATCGTCATAGATCAACTATCGCTGGGTAGCGTCTCTCTGTTCATGTCCTATTGTGATGCCTCGAATGCCCGTACACGAGAGTCGTTCCTTTAGGGCTGCTAATGCCATTGTGGCTTCTCGATTAGAGTGCTTATAATGATCGACACTGTACCGATCGTCCGAGATGCGCTGCTGCAGCCCGTCAGGCGGACACACCAATGAGCAGAATGGCGTGGCCTTTGCGAAGCGAGGTCTACGCGCCTGGGCAGCATGCATTTCGTGATTTGATATCACATTCCGGGTTTCTAAAAAGGTGAAAAAAAGGCTGGCTGATGCTCCCAAACTTCTCTAGAAGGTTTCGGATTACGAGTTCGTGGCAGGACAGGAACGGTCCGAGCGGTACAAGGACCCCAACGGGCTAAAGCTGGGGAACCAGTGTTAAAGCTTCATTCTTCAATGATAAGGTTTGTACTAGTGGCCGATGCCGGATTCGCGAGGTCTTAATGGCTATGACAGGCCGCAAACTATTGACGAATTATGGCAAATAGTTGGGTGATAAGGATGCAGGGTTAATATTGTGGCTGGAACATGGGGTGACTGTTTGTCGTTCACCACGTTGATGAGGAAAGATAGGGGGAACGACTGTAGCTTTGCCAAGAACAGCCATTTGATATGTTAGCATCGGCTCCGACAGCAGCTGACGAAAAAAGATGTCGCTGTACCTGAGCGTTTGGATGTTTAGCGACCAGGTATTGGACAATTCTCTCATATGGCCACAAGAGAATTGACCGTTTAGCATGCAAGTCTCGTGTACTAAGATCTCTCGCCGGTGATCCAGGACCATCATTGGGCGCTGAATACGGATTAAAACTCGTCGTGGCGGCGATAATGCTCGTAGAATAAATATACCCTAAAGTTCCGGATTCTGTGGCTGGAAGAGTCTTCCGGTATCATGACGGGCGTCGGGAAGTATGAGGCTGGCTGAGATGGCGCACCCAAACTCCTTTTGCGCGCCTCGACGCCGAGCTAACGAAGGTGCTGCATATCCCGAAGAATATCGCTACGCAAACCCCAAGAGAGAGCTTCAGGCAACCCCTTCAAAGGCATGGCTCATAGAATCCTTGCAAGTGATAAACTTTGGCTGCGGAGAGTGGCGTACTGAGCAGTTACGGAAACTATGGCCTGACGAGAAAGAGAGCGACAGGCGTTCGCATTTGCGGCCTACACGAACTAGGTTGAGCAGGTATTGTTCAGCTGCAGGACTACAGCATCCGACAGCAGTGATCGGACAAACCTCTGCGCGGTTTATCCCTTTTGGAATAGTTCTGCAGGTATTAGTAGTAAAATGAGCGCATCATGTACGATCTAGACTGGCCGGCCGGCTGCGATTGTGGATTGATTAACCTTAGTACGGAGTTATCGATTCTTCTGATTCTACTGTTCTAATTATGAACTACACGTGGCTGTCCAGTCAAGTTCGCGGTTGTCTAAGTTTGTGCAAACACGTCGGCTTGTTGATTCTAGTTACCAGCAGTTCGATCAGCGTTACCGCTCTAGACTTGCGCCCAACTTTGTCCTCCGAGATGTATTTCGTCAACAACTACCTGTGGAGAATTCATTCTTCTGTAAGCCAACCTGACACTAACACACAAGAATGGCATTCCACAACTCCAATGGATCACTACCTCTGACTTCACACGCCAGTACCTCCCCCGCCAAGCCCCTACCAATCCGAGACATTGTTACTGATAACCTTACCCAGCCACTTCTTGTGCCCATAGCTGTATTGATGCATAGTAATCTTGGGGAGTCCATTTCCGCCCTTTCCCGAGGCAAAAACCTTAATATCCGTCTTGTCGGGCCAGTTATGAACACAGGCTGTTAGTGAGGCGTCGTTGTCAACGTAAGGCCTCCCTTCCTCCTTGTAGCCAAGTAGGCCATGCTCCCATCCAGTGCTAGAGCTGAAGGAAACCTCTTGGATATAACCTTTATTCTCACATTCCCCCTTTTCAGGAGCAATGCAGTAGATGCGGATCTATAGAGTCAGAGTGCTTCATTATGGCTGGTGATAAACTTACTTCTTGGCCGTTTGCGCCCTGCCAAGCCACCGCGGCGATTTGTCTGCTACCGCACTTGACCTTCAGGTCTCCGTCTGTGAGCTTGACGACTTGAGGGTCATAGTCGTCGGTTCCCGCCCCAGGAGAAAGGAGGTAGCAGAGCTGGTGATTCGAGTTGACAAAGAACACGTAAGTCTTGCCCTTGACATCGACCGCAGCAACGTCCCTGGGGAGCTCTTTGAATGCCTCTGCGGAAGTCATGATGGGTAGAAGTTGTGTCTCGCAAATTTCACTCGCTAATAATCTTGGTGATGGTCGTAAGTTGAATTTTATGCTATGAGAATAATCATTCAAGCGCTTGGGACGAGGAGAGTGCCTGCTTTTATAGATTCCCGAACCTTATAGCTGCTTTCGCAAGTCCTCCAGCATCCCTCGTGCATGCATAAGCATCACTCGCATTGGCTCTTGACTGTGGCTTTGGCCGTGAACAAGAGGCAGCTCATGTCAGAACGACTCGACATCGATTCAAGAGCAGAGCAGTCAGACGATATGCCTTATTTCCGGCTATGCGTTAGATCCGGTAGTTGGGAGGCTGGCTAACCTGATTAATGAAACTCGCGCTCGGATCTTTGAACATGTACATCCAGCCAGACACTAATCTAGCAATTTCTAGGCAATTCAGGAACTACTGCACGTTGTTCTTTTGTGGATTTGTATATGTGGCTGCTCTGTATGGCGGCCGATGGTGTCTCTCGTGATATATGGAGACATACGGCACCCTGTAGAGAAGGCCTCAAATGCCTAACCCGGACCGGTCAAGATGAGAGAGAGGAGAGACTCTCACGACAAGTTCGCCTAACACGCCAAAGTTCAGTGATTTTGCTAAGCGATGTAATGGTGATCTCACTATCGCATGAATTGTGTCCCTCTGAGGCGCCATGTATTTGGATCAACACGCACTAGACCAGCCAGCTCGAGCTCCTGACTGCCCATGCGCAGCACATTGTGCGCCAATTGTGTGTGTGCATGAGATGGTTTGAGGCATAGCTACTTTCCAGAAATGGACATTCAGCTCTGAAATCGGATGAGGGGAAACGCCAATCGTGCCCGTTTTAGATCCATTTTGAACCGTTGTCCGTTGTGGCTTGGTCCTAATTAGTCTAGAATGTAGATAACCGGCGTGCTACGGGTGATACCAGCCAGCCACCTAAGCAACACCACTCTACAAAGAAGTACATTTTGAGAAAGATGTGGACTGCAGCTGCAGATGCACTATCGCCTACACTCCATTGCCCGCTTCCCGAGCGCGCCACGACGCCAGTATCACAACCTTCACCTCACATAGTTCGATAATTGTTTTAGCGTTGAAATAGCTGGGCCCTGTGAGACTACGGAGCAGACGCTCCCAGGGTCCATGGAAGAGAACCTAGATGGTTGAGATTTAGTCAAACTCAATTCGCTCGAGAGCAGCCGTAGGCCAGAAAGGGTCTATTGCTAGATCTAGACTTTGAAAAGCTGGCTTGGACCCCTGGGTAAACTCTCTAGCTCGATACAGTTATCGAGCTGCATTTCTCTCAAAGCTGTGGTCGTTCTGATAATCCTGCCCTCCCCTCATTCTTTTTAACCAGCCAAGTGAAGCTGCAGTCGCAAGCCATCCTCCGTCTTCATTCTCCCTCTCATCCATTCTCACTGTCACCAAGCTGTTCACAATGTTTCCCCAGTCTCTGTCGCAAGCCGCCATCATAGCGACTCTTTGTCTCGCAGGCCTGACGTCCGCTGTGAGGGGTAAGCTTTCCCTTGGCGTGATCACAATCATAAATGGGCCTTCAGTAACCAAGTGTAGAATCTGGTGATCCCAGCCCTGTTACCATCTCAGTGTCGAGCTCGACCACAACCGTGAGGGCGGGCGAAACGAAGATCGGCAACCCTGACGACAAGGTGATGGCACCTTGCGCTGGCCACATCACACAGTGTGGTATCGAGGACAAAGCCAAGATTGTTTACGTACCGAAAACCACCATAACCATCACCAATGAGATTGTCACAACCTCGGTCGTGGTAGGTTTCAGCCGCAAAGTCCCTATGCTCAAGACAGACATGCTAAGGCAACAATCAGGTGCTTCCGCCTCAAATTAACGTTATTGAGAGTGTCACGGTCGAAACCGTCACCAACACAACCAAGGGTCAGTACATGGCAATCTGGATCTTCCAAAATGCAAGATGCAGGGATAAGAAACTGATCTGAAATGACATCAAGGCCACTGTCGTGAGACCGTCTATCTCCCCGGCGAACCCGTTCAAGTCACAGTCGATGTCCTAGTTGTCACTACCGAAGAAATCCAACCCATTTCAAACACTACCAGCTGGATTACCCACACTGTTACCGCCAGTGCAATCGAGCAATGTTTCCTTGAGAGGTACACCGCCCTCGGACAGGGTCCGGGAAGCCCAGTGCCTTCAGCACCAGTTGTGTTGGCATCCGCCCGTTCATCCGACAGCGTCAGCCCGGCCGCGTCTACACCTGCAGCATCAGATGAAAGCCACTCTGCAGATGATTCTGCTCAGAAGCCTTTGGATCCGGATGATGATCTACCCGCGGTGATGGGGTCAGATGGTGAGATGTGGAGTTAAAGTGGCCAGGCAAGGTATGACTTCACCATGACTCGGGACAAGGGGTTCGAGAAGGCTTGATATGCAGTCAGGGCTTGATGTGGAGCCGTTGTTGTCAAATATTCTATGTATTTGGAGTATGAATATCTTGCAATAAGAAGTAATAAGTGTTCAGACATTTACTCCTGATCACCTTGCCTCGATAGTGTAATTCTGTCCTCAGATTACTAGATTAACAATGTTCTTTGACATTATAAATGCCTGGAATATGATGGATTCATATTTCTCTTCAACATCTTTTCCTCATTCCGGTAAATTCCTTCTTGGGTTAGATAATAGGACTTGGCCGACTAGATTTGGTAGATTATCATCTTGTGATCACACGAGAGAGGAAGGTGGCCCATGCAGCCTGGCTGTCTGACCACAAAAAGTAGTAGGTGGGCTACACTAAGGCATCACTGCTCTTTTTACCCATGCCATGACAACCCTTCCCTGGCCATCGTCGGGTTTGTGATAGTAGGACCGACTATGGCATATTTTAGTCAATATCTAATCTTGATGTGTATCTAGATATATCCTTGCGAGCTCTACTTTGAGATGTAAATTGACATCAACAGTTTATGGTATCCCTACGGGATGGAAAAAGCGAACATCGAGGGTATCCCAATTAACCCCGACTTTTAATTCGTGACGCTTTTGTTCCCTCCTCTTTTGCGAACTCAAACTTTAGAGAGCATATTAAGAGCTCTGAACTGTAGGAACAGTTCCCCGGTTGCAAGAGAACTGAAGAGATTGGTTTGGAGAGAATATTCATCCAGTACCAGTCAGTGGGGGACGGAGACCTGCCACCAAAACGACTTTCGTCCATTTGCATGGACCCCTGAAGTTTCCCTTCCTCCAATTTGACGAATTCCCAGCAGTGAGCTGTCGTCTGTTGTTCGGTACTTACAACCGAGCAGCCTATCCCGCTCCGGCCTCCATGGTTGGCTGTGTGTTTGCGGGGACCCCACATGAGCCTGGCTAGATCTCCAGGTTCTTATTAGTATGAAACCTGGAGAAAGACCCAAGGAAGCGAGCTACTTTCGTCGAGGGGTAGTATTACCGAGCAAGCAGTCCGACGATGCTAGCATTGGTGAGCTCACGACATTGTAGTCGAACGGTGGTGCCCCTTAAATCTAACCTTAAAGTTGATCCTCTGGAAACTTTATTCGAACAGCTACAGTTATTGGATGGCCAACCACTGTAGCTTCGTCTTTGGCTGCGTGTCTCATTCCTTCCAATTTTACATATCGTCTCAACTGCCCACGATCATGTTGAGACAGGGTATAGGTTGTACCATGTAGCTCTTTCATGCGGCATGGGCATGTCTGGAAATCAGGACGTCTTCACCACCCAGGTTCATTAAGGATATCATGTTCTTGCAGTAGGGCCGATATTAGATCATATGGAGCCGGAGAGGATATCTCGCCGTGGAATCAACCCTTCCGCATCCCAAATCTGGAGAGGCAGAGGGAAGTGCCCATCATTCAATTATAAAGAGTGCTATGTGTAATTAGAATGAATAAACAGAATAGAGAATCGCAACAACACCTTTTCCTTACGAATCGTCCCTGGATGGTCACGGTGTTTGCTTTGGGATCGGTCAAGATCACAACTTTGACGGCACCTCCATCAAGGTGCCTACTCAGCGAGATTGGCGTGCTTCGTTCAGTGAACACAGCGGGACTTTTGATAGCCATAAAGCTATCGCGTTCGACACTCAGACAATGGCAGTCCAGTACTTCCAAGACGACTCGTCTATGACAGCACATCTTGTACCAGGGTCGCCGTACATGACCTTCGAGTAAAAGTCTGCAACTCCGCTGTTGACAAGATTGAACGGAGGCATCAAGTCGTTTAACGGGAAGGCTCTGAGCGGTGCGATACTGGTAAGTGGTTCACGTTCATGAGAAGCATTATGAGATGTGCTGACCGAGACTAAACAAAATATAGTGAGTGACCAAGGCACCAAGTTTACCATCGTCGGCACAAAGGGCACCACATATCTGATCTATTCGGACTCAACCATCAAGCTTACCGCCAAGACTGACAATGAGAACAAAGGGACCCTTGTTGCGAGCGACAAGTTCAGCGGCATCATCCGACTGGTGATGCTTAGGGATCCTAGCCATCAGACACTCTTGAATTCCTATTCAACGGCGTACCCTGTGTCAGTGGCTCAAGATTATTCCATCAGTGTTGATTCAGGCACGGTGACTTTCAAGTGGGAGACAAAGGGCACTGGTGACTTGCTAATGCTCACCTGGCCGCATCATCGCGAAGCGCTACAGAGCCCTAACTCTCCTCAGCCAACAGCTCTGAGCTATTTGACCTTGAAGGTAAGTAGTCTTGATGGCTATTTGACTTTCCATGATGGATAATCCTCTTAGGGGTGGATATACCCAACGCTCGGAAATACTTGGAGATTGACGTACAAGTTGAGTGCGATAACTTGGAACGCGCCGCGTGACGTGGATCCCTCCTGTAAGGAATCAGTTGTGAACGGTCTCAAATACGAGGTCGGCCAACTCGACGCGTCCAAGGCTCCTGCGCCAAACGATTTCTACTTTTGGGGCGGCACGCTCGCTGCTAAGTCCCGTCTAGCACTGATCGCGTAGGTAGTGGTGGTATCTTGATGGATCAGGGCTGACTCATATGCAGTGATCACGTTCGAAGCAAGGATCTCATCGACCCCGTTATCAAATATCTGAAGGCGTCTTACGACGGCTGGTTCAGCGCAGCCAGCAAGACTCTCCCTGCTTATGAGACAACTTGGGGCGGCGTTATTAGTAAAGAGGGTGCCACAAATTCCAGGGTCGACTTTGGCAACGGCTACTTCAACGATCATCACTTCCACTACGGTTGCTTTCTTCATATCGCCGCAGTGATCGCCAAGTACGATGCAAACTGGCTGAACCAGCACAAAGGATACGTCACCCTTTTTGCCCAGTAAGTTCAGGATGCGACTTGGTTTTGCCTAAGGACTCTGATGCTGACCGGCAACCTCAACAGAGACATCATCAACCCTTCAGCGGAAGATCTCTACTTTCCAATCACACGTTGTCGAGATTGGTTCGCCGGCCATTCATGGGCATCTGGCATTGCTAACGGGGTGGGTAGCCGCGATCAAGAATCTGTCGGCGAGGCTGTCAATGGTTACTGCGGCGCGATGCACTGGGCCGCGATAGCGCTTGGTCCGGAACACGCCAACTTTGCTAGACTCCTGCTCGCCATGAAACAGTAGGCTGCTAGAGTATACTGGTACCTCTACCCGGGCGCTGGTAAAGATGATCCAACCAACCCTTACCCCGAGGCCAAGTTTAGGGATCTGATCACTGTCGGCAATGTGATGGGCTGGCAGACGGGGCCTGGCTGTTCTGGGGTGCTGAGAAGGTGCAGATTGCTGCGATCCAGATTCTTCCAGTCACACCTGTCAACGAGGTAAGAGTGCTTTGACCTAAACTGATGATTGTGGCTTACACAGGGCAGGTTATGTACGACGCCGAGTGGGTCAGTAATGTTTTCTCTTACACGATGCCGGAGCTAGCGAATGCATCATACGCCGACTCATGGTACGTATTTTGATCTTACAAATTTTCAATTCTGGATTGCTGAAGAAGTAGGAAATCTGTCATCTACGTAGCCTATGCCAACGCCAAACCGCAAGAAGCTGCTGCATGGAGCACCAACCTGAGCGACTGGGGTGCGTTCAGAATACGCCCAGCAATTACAAGATAGTTAACTGGCATATCTCCAACTACGGGCTCTGGAAATACATACACGAACGAACTGTATTTCATCAGCACGCGTCTCGACCAATAACGCCGATACCTTCTCTAGTGCCTATGTCCCTAACGCTGGTATCCTGCAACTCACCAGGAACAAGCAATTTGTGACGGCGGATCAGTCTGGCGCCTCGGCGCTCTCGGCAGCTCGCGCAACGGCGAGTACCTGGGAGCGATTTGCCATCCGTCCGAAAGTGGGTGAGAGCCAGGGTGTGCTTTCCATCAAAGTAGCTAGTAACGGGAAGTATGTGAGAGTTAGCGGTGATGGATCACTGGTTAATGATGGTGCGGTTGAGGAAAACGCCACTGGGTTTCGCTTTGTCAACGCCTGATATAGTGCCGGACAACTTTCCTAGTGTTTTGGACTGCAAGGTATTGAGTCCTTACAACCGACTTACTATCTTCCTTACTTCCTTTCTTTCTTTTTCCTCTCATGTGAAAGCATTTGGTTTCATGTTTCACAGGGTGAAAAAATACTGTCTTCTTTAGTCTATCCACTTCGTACATCGTGCGGCTTGAGTCTTCTTCTATCGCTTTCTTCTGACACAGGCTGGATTTAGTTACACTGGCATTTAAACTTTCACGACAGTGCCTTCTCTTAACTATCTGACTTCCTAAACAGCTTGAACAAACTTCCTCTCAGAGAGATCTTCTTCGCTCCTCTCAACCTGTCCCCAAAGGTCTTTTTAACCACAGTCTCGCCCTCTTCTCTCGCCTGCACTTGTATCTCTTCCTCCCGCACCTCATCTTGAGCAGCCTGCAAATGCTCCATCACCCAACAAACAGCCTCCCTCACAGCTTCCGGTTTCTCAATAATTACATCATGACTGACATCCGGGATATGGATATATCGATTATTCCTTGAAAGTTGCAGCTGTGCCTTTTTCAACCTCTCATCTTCCTTATCCGTCGCGTCTAAAAGCTTTTTCTGCATCAGGAGGGTTGGGCTGGCGAGGTTCTGCTCTGCAGCGATGGCTTGATCATATTGTAGCTGTTTCCATTTCAGAGTGTTTCCTCGAATAACGACGAGTGGTTTGTTTCCCAAGATCTTCTTGTTGTATTGTCGTTGTTCGAGTTGGGGGTCTATCGTTGGCTCTGCACCTGTTTCGGCGAGAACTATTCCTGCGACTTGGTGCGGCCTCGCTTCGAGGAACAGCCTTGCGAAGGTGCCGCCGTATGAATGGGCGATCAAGACATATTTCTTGGGCCACTTCCTGCTGTCTAGAAATTCCAATAGTTCTGAGATAGCTGTATCGGTTCTAACATATGGATCTTGCCTATCCCAGAGCAGAAGCTGGTACGCGGGTCGAAGCAGTTCTGCTAAAGACCCCCAAGATTTGCAGGAGTCGCCTGAGCCGTGGAAGAAGATGACTAAAGGATACAAGCTGCCTGGGTTCCCGACTATCTCGAACTTTGTAATGGTATTTTGTGTTGCTTGTGCCATTTCTTTTGTTGTTGGCATTTCATTGAAACGGCTGAGACCTGACAATCGGTGAGAGTAAGCAGAGTGGGTCAATGCGACTCAATGGATTGTTGGGTTTCATTGCTGCCTGCGACATCACGAGATTGATAGCACATCTTGAATTTCAGAAAGCTGGTGCCTGGCAAGATAATCCGTGAGCGGTTTTCAATTTATGAAGGAATAATCTCGAGATTTGTTTCATAGGCATTGGTGATATGGAGGAGTAGAGAAGTCATTGCGTGATAAATATAACGCGGGATAGCATAAAAATCCTGGTATCTCCTTGGCACACTGTAAATGTTTCAGAAGAGCTCACCAGTTAATCTGCACTCCCGCGACCCGAGACTCTAACTTGCAGATATCCCGGCAAGCGAAGTCCTGGTGCGTTATGATGTCACATGCCGGGCCGTCGCACAATGAAACTAGGCTTGATTCATAGCTGAACTCAACCGCCACCAACACAGCGGTTCACATAGTTTAAACCGACATCGTATAACAATAATTACCATCAAATCAACCCATATAATGCGTAAGCATATTCTGTCGTAAATGATCCAACAAGAGCACAAGAGGAACAACAATTCGCTTCTTACCCTGCACCTCAAGCCCGCTTCTACCCGGTAATCCCGTAGCCGAGGCTTCCAATCGCCTTTCTCACAAGAGTCATCCCATTATTACTCAATCTTGTTAGCGACAGGACAAGGCAAAAGTTCCGCCGTGAAGCTATCCACAGTCGTGCTATTCCGATCATCAGATGAACTGCAGGGTTTGTCCTGATTGACATAATTGACCGAGATGGCTACGACTTGGCGGGATGCGATGCAGAGTAGTGACAAAATAACTCAGCAACCTCTCTCTGTTGACATAGGTCAGTTTAGGTGGTGATTTTTGGCTATATTTCAGACCAGCAAGGATTGTCGGGAATTTCCCCATGCGCTACTCACTTCCCCATGGGAATCATGGCTTGGGCCTGGGGATTAGCACTAAAAGAACATGGTCTCCAGCAGCTAATACGAGTGCCACCGAGTCACAGACCGAAGTCGGCCCAATAATTGGGGAGAAGAGGGAGTGGTGATGCAATGACTGCATGTACCCTCGGATGGCAAGGATGCATCACTATCAGATTTCTTTCTGACACATAGTATACAGGGCCATGAAATTGTTAGTCTCGGATCATGGTTGAAAACTAGGACTTCTTACTCAAAGTCGCAGCCACACTCAGTTCTGAAGCTGATCAAACCAACCCACGATCATTACCCAAAGTAAACACGCTCCATTTTCCAATCCCATTCATTCGTCAATGCCTCTCATCCGTTTTCACGAACTTCTTCAATTATGCATAACGTTCGGCCCGACATTGAGCCAATCCCATGCTTGAACCGTTACTCACCCAGCCGATTAATTTTACCATCACACTTTTTCTCTCCTCTGACCTTGTTTAAAAAAAAGCTGGGGAAAGCTTCTGCCAACCCCGCAAATGGAGCCTCCGCTCTTGAAGATCATGCATCCTTGCACAGCATCACGCAACGAAAACCTGGTCCCGGCTCTTTTCTCGGCCATAACTTAGCTTAAGCTTGAGTGCTTCTTCAAGGGTTCACTGTAATGACGACCGTTGTAGCAGGCTTTCCATCAGGAGTCTCCCTCATCGGGTATGTCACTTGGTTCCTGGGCGGCGGAGTCTCCGCACCAGGGTAGCAGAGCTGCAAGGTAGCAAGCATCATGACGAGACGATTCAAGGTCACCATGCCAAGACCAAATCCGTATATATAACCAAGCTTCGTAGACAATGATGGCTTTGTTCTTCAGCAACCAGCTCTTCTCATTCAATCATGTTCTTCAAGACGCTGCTCACTTCAGCCGTTGCCTTTGGCACTGCTTTTGCGCAGAGCAAGGCTGGCGTTGGAGACCTCGACAAACCCCGCAGAGACCTCTTCGAGAAGGATCTCTCCAAATGTCCCGGTTACAAAGCCATCAAGCATAGAGAGACGAAATCAGGCTTCTACGCTGATTTGTCCCTTGCGGGACAGGCCTGCGATGTCTTTGGTGTTGATCTCCCCGAGCTGAAGCTCGAGGTTGAGTACCAAACTGAAGATCGTCTGCACGTCAAGATCTTGGATACGAATAACACCGTTTACCAGGTCCCTGATGATATCTTTCCTCGTCCTGGTTATGGACAGTGGGCTTCGCCTAAGAACTCGAAGCTCAAGTTTGACTTCAAGGCAGATCCTTTTTCGTTCACTGTGACGAGGAAGGATTCTGGGGAAGTGCTTTTTGACACTTCGGGCAGTCAGCTGGTTTTTGAGAGCCAGTACTTGTACCTCAAGACGAAGCTTCCTGAGAGGCCTTATCTTTATGGTCTTGGTGAGCATAGTGATCCTTTCATGCTCAATGCCACCAACTACACCCGCACAATTTACACTCGCGATGCTTATGGGTAAGTTACCTGATATTTCTTATCGTTTTGGGACGAATGCTAATGCTTTTCAGTTGCCCCAACGGACAGAACCTCTATGGAGCTCACCCCATTTACTTCGACCACCGCAAGGGCGGCACCCACGGTGTCTTCCTCCTCAACTCCAACGGCATGGATGTCTTCATCGACAAGAAGAACGGCAACCAATTCCTAGAGTACAACATCATCGGCGGTGTTCTCGACTTCTACTTCATCGCTGGCCCTTCACCCCGCGACGTCGCCAAGCAGTACGCTGAGATCACAAGCCTTCCTCTCATGACGCCCTACTGGGGTCTTGGTTTCCATCAGTGCAGATATGGATACCGAGATGTCTATGAAGTCGCTGGCGTTGTGGCCAATTACTCAGCTGCTAAAATTCCGCTGGAGACGATGTGGACTGATATCGACTACATGGACCGCCGTCGAATCTTCACTATCGACCCCAAGAGATTCCCTGCTGATAAGTACAAGGATCTCGTTGACACTATTCATGCTCGTGATCAGCACTACATAGTCATGGTTGATCCCGCTGTGTACGACATGGAGCCAAACACGGCCCTCACCAAAGGTCTTGAGTACGACACCTTCATGAAGGAGCCCAATGGTACGGACTACAGAGGTGTTGTCTGGGCTGGACCCAGTGTATTCCCCGACTGGTTCAACCCCAACTCTCAAGAGTACTGGAACTATCTTTTCCAGAACTTCTTCGATGGCGAGCACGGTCCTGATATTGATGCTCTCTGGATCGATATGAATGAGCCTGCCAACTTCTTCAACCGCCCTTACCCTGGTAACAACACCACTCCCGAGAACTTCGCCAAGGTCGATGGTGATCCTCCCAAGGCTCCTCCCGTTCGAGACGGTCCTCCTGCCCGAATTCCTGGCTTCCCTGAGAGCCTTCAGCCACCCTCTCTTCGCTCCAACAAGCGTGAGGTTACGTCCATCGCCAAGACCACTAAGCGCTCCGTTCAAGTCCGCAGCACTCCTCGCAACCGCGGTGTTGGTCGCTGGGCATCTACCCGCAAGGTCTGGGGCCAGAACAAGTACGGTCGTCCTGGCCACGGCTGGCAGAACGGCAAGAAGACTGGCTCTGGCTGTGGTCCTGATGAGTGCAAGGGTCTTCCTAACCGAGAGCTCATCCAGCCTCCTTACATGATTCAGAACGGCGCTGGACCTACACTGGCTGACAGTACCACCGACACCGATCTCGTTCAGAGCGGAGATTATGTTCAGTATGATACGCACAACTTGTATGGTGCTCAGATGTCTTCTCACTCTCACAACGCTATGCGCTCGCGACGCCCTGATAAGCGTGCTCTCGTCATCACACGAAGTACCTTTGCTGGTTCTGGCAAGGATGTTTCGCACTGGCTTGGAGATAACCTTTCTCAGTGGGATCAGTACCGCTTCTCAATCTCTCAGATCTTGCAGTTCGCTTCTATCTACCAGATTCCCGTCGTTGGTGCTGATGTCTGTGGCTTTGGTGGCAACGTCACCGAGACCCTTTGTGCACGATGGGCTACCCTTGGAAGCTTCTACACTTTCTTCCGCAACCACGCCGATATTACTTCTCAGTCTCAGGAGTTTTACCGCTGGCCCAAAGTCACTGAGGCTGCTCGCAATGGTATCTCCATCCGATACCAGCTCCGTAAGTTACACTTTCCCTTCATCTGAGCGATTGCTAACAGGAACAGTTGACTACATCTACACTGCCATCTACAAGCAGAACCAGACCGGTACTCCTACTTTGAACCCCATGTTCTTCAACTACCCAAAGGACAAGAACACCTACTCCATCGACCTCCAGTTCTTCTACGGTGACGGTATCCTCGTCAGCCCTGTCACCAAGGAGAACAGCACCAAGCTTGAGTACTACCTCCCCGACGACATCTTCTACGAGTGGTCCACCGGCAAGCCCGTCCGCGGCAAGGGTCAGTATGAGTCCGCCGAGGTTGAAGTCACCGACATCATGGTCCACTACAAGGGCGGTATCATCTACCCCCAGCGCGCCGAGAGCGCCAACACAACCAAAGCTCTCCGCCAGAAGGGTTTCAACCTCGTCATCGCCCCCGGTCTCGACGGAAAGGCCGAAGGTTCTCTGTACCTCGATGACGGCGAGTCTGTTGTTCAGGACACTGCTTCTGAGATCGACTTCAAGTACAAGAAGGGCAAGTTGAGCTTTGATGGAACTTTTGAGTATGATGCTGGTGTTGGCATTGAGACTATTACTGTTCTGGGTGTCAAGTCTCAGCCTAAGGGTACAAACCATGCCGAGTATGATGCTGAGAACAAGAAGCTTGTGTTTGCCACGGATATTCCGTTGACGCGGAAGTGTCACGTTGACTTGTTCTGAGTTGGATATGATGAGACTTGATTATGATTATGATTCTAGCTATGACGATAGTTTACAGAAAATTTAGCTTTTGTTTGACAATTTTGAACAAATATTAATTTGATTATTTTCTCTGCTATTCGTGATACTTCGAGCGCCAAGTTTCTCAGAAATGTTTGCAAATGTCTTTCGGTAGTGCTGAGCAAAGTAGGTTAGCTTATCTCGTTGTATCCAACTCATAATGAGGATAAGGAAAGCTTAAAAGATAGAGCAGATAGTATGTGGATTCTATTACATGTCGATATCATCGCGCTGCGTGGACAGCTCATGATGAACATAGGAGTCAAGTGACGCACTATGGGTATTTGACAGGCAGGCTTGATAGATTCGTTGTCGAACGACGAGGAATACTGGTGGAGCAATTGACCAAGACAGCTCATTCTCCCAATGATACAAAGCTGACGTAGTAGGGAATGACAAAGAGAGTGGAGATCTGCATTAACGTGGTCTGACATGGACATACGGTCACAGCTGCGTTGCTGACTTATTTTCCCGAATAGTTTAAGCGGCCGATGTCTGAACCACCACTACAAAAGCCAACGATGTAAAATTCTCTGCCTTCAACCAGGACTGATAATTTTATTTCTGGTGAGAAATTATGGCGACGACTCAGACAACTCTCCAAGCACCCTTCGAGACAGTTTCCCTCGAAAGACGGAGCCAAAATGAAGATCCCCCAGAGACTCGTCGGGCGGGGCGAGTCTTTGAAGCTGACTTTGCATTCACGACAAGTCCAGCATCACGTCGACTAATCATCTCCTTGCTGGTTTGCGCAAACACTATTCAAGTAAGTCATCCATTGAATAAATAGCCGAAACTGTTTGGATCATCTACTGACTTGTCGGAAAGTTCATATCCAACTCTGTTACCATCGCCGGCGGCCTCGCTTTGAGTAAAGATCTTGGGCGTGAATCGGGTCCTGGAAAAGCCAATTGGATGGTCGCTTCATATCCGTAAGTCTATACCCTGTCATGGCTGTTTTGCTACACGCTGCTAATATCTGTAGACTCACTCAAGGTGCATTCGTCCTGGTGACAGGTCGACTGGGCGCCATCTACGGCCATTCTCAACTCACCCTTCTCGGCTGTGCAATCTTCACCCTATTTTCTCTCACCAATGCCTTCGTTAAAACATATGACTCATTCATCGCCATGCGCGCTTTGACTGGTGTTGGTGGAGGTGTCTTCATGCCTAATGCTGTCTCAATCATAACTACCATGGTTCCGCCAGGTCGATCGCGAAATGTCGTACTGGGGTTCTTCGCAGCTTCGCCTCCACTGGGAGGAATGATTGGAGCATTGCTGACGGGTGTATTTATGGATAACGTGAATTGGATGTGGCTTTTTGTTCTCATGTAAGTGTTCTGTTGCTCTGTTAAGCGATGACTGACATATGTATTAGCGCTGGTATCTCGGCATTAAATCTGGCTTGGTTGATGTACCTCATGCCAAAGGAAACCCCAGTTGACAAAGGAGGGCATATTGATGTTCCCGGAATCTTTTTGGGACTAGGAAGTTTGCTACTCTTCAACGTAGTATGCAAGTAAGTGCAGCTTGCCTTTGGCATTCTTATCTATGACTGACCATTGTAGCCAAGCGCCATCAGCCGGATGGAACACGCCCTACGAGATAGCCCTGCTGATTCTTTCTGTCCTCATGTTCCTCGCTTTCCTCTTTTGGGAGAAGCGTTATGCCAAGGAGCCCATCATGCCACTATCCATCTTTCAGGCGCCGACTTTCACAGCTTTGGTCTTCGTTGTGCTCTTGGTGTGTCTTCCCACTGTCGGACTTCTCTTAACAGTTTGTATACTAACGCAACGAGCAGAGTTACATGGCATTCGGCATCGGTCTGTGGTACTCGACCAGTTGGCAGTACCTCCTGCGCGGAGTATCTCTCACCCAAATCGGCGTCCATTTCGTGCCATTTGGGTTCAGCTCCTTGTTCGCCGTTTTCGTTGCTGCATGGTTAATCCCACGCGTTGCAGCGCAATGGATCATGGCGATTGGTGTGACTGTGACTCTGGTTGGCAACATCCTCCTCGCGACCATGCCAGTTCAACAGACATACTGGGCGCAGCTCTTCCCAGCTATGATCCTGTACGGTTTCTGCCCTGACTTAGTATACGTCGCCGCGCAGGTGATAGCGAGCAACAGCGTCAGCCGTCGTCAACAGGGCGTAGCGAGCAGTCTGATCGGAACTCTTAACCTTTACGGAAACAGTTTAGGTCAAGGATTTGCTGGGACGATTGAGACAGAAGTTGGAACGAACAACGATGACGAGGTTAGAGGATACAGGGCAGCTCTGTACTTTGCCGCTGGCCTAGCATTGCTTGGCTTGGCTTTGGACATCTTGTTTGTCAGGCTGCCGAAGGATCAGCGCGAAGGATGGGATGATCCGTCCGATAGCGGTGAGCAAGAGCTGGATGGCATGACTACGGCTATTGAGGTTGAACGCACCGCACAGCGAACTTGAGCCGTGTCCTGGAATGAGAAATAGTCATCTGAAATAGAGGGCATATTGTTGCAAAAGATAAACACCTATTCAGTCGAGGTGGATGGTCCGCTGCTTCTCCCCTTTACAACCTTTCATGGGTCCGACCGCGGGAAAGGATGGACCAGACCAGACCCGCCAGGGCCTGAGCATGGAAAAACTGCAATCGGTCATTGAGACTATATACTCCGTATTTTACCTTCACGTTCCAATCTTGCCAATGTCTGCTTGAAGTTGGGGGGGGGGGGGGGGGCGAGGATCTTGAACCCCGACCCATAGTCCGTCGGTCGGATTTGATGGCTAAATATAACCGTGTAATAAGGATTGTAAACAATAAGACTGAAATCTTGGAATTATCTAAGCCCCATAGGCCCATGGCCATTACGCAGCAAAAGGACCCAAAAACTCCAAGGGTACCGCTGAAGGATCGCAGCCAAGACCCGTAGCGAGAGGTTTGCGCAATGCCCGATTCGTCGGGCTACAGAAGGATTAAGACGAGATAGGTCCTTATTTCGATTAAGATGTTATGGTAACGTCGACCCAAAATGCCCCCCACCTGTCAATGCATTAAAGATGTCGTATGTCCATCGTTTAGGTTCCCAGTAAAACACTTCAACTTGTTCAAATTCTCGACGACCAAAATGCGCTCCCCACTGAACCTTGCGTCGAATGCGCTACGACGAGCCGATGATGGCGAAACAGGAGAAAAAACAGATGGTTAGTGCGAGATGGCGACTATTGAAGATCAATTTCTCTGGCCTCGTCAAGGCAAAACTTGGGTGCGTGGACAAACCCAGATGGTAGGCTGGGGAGCTGGGCGCGACATCAACGGAACATGGGGTGAAGGGAGCTCAAAGGTTAAAATGGAGTTGAGGTGGTTCACAGGGAAATATGGCCCAGGCCCAGACGATCTTAAACCCATAGTTATCTTCGGTATGTCTGATGTTGGATTCTCATAACAACAAAAGCACCGCTGACTGAGTATAGACAACAAGACCTTTGACTACCCTTCCTTCGACTGGAAGTTGTGGAACCCCAACTGCACAGATACATACATGAACTACATTTGGACGATACTTGTGGATTTGGACGTTGGCGACTCGAAATTCTTACTCACGGTTTACGACGTGACGGATCGCAATGATATGAGTAGTATTGAAAGTAATTTATTCTTCATCAACGCGAACAACGGAATATCAACAGCAGATTCAAATGCTAGTACAGTAACACCAGAAGATTCACAAGAAACAACAGCCTCGACGGGACTTGCAACTGGTGCAAAAGCAGGCATTGGCGCAGGCATTGGTGTCCTTGCGCTGGTACTCCTCCTCGCCGGTTTCTTTCTCTACCGACGTAAGAAGCGACAAACACCAAGCATTGACCCAACAGATGGTTTTGAAAAGCCAGAGTTGGATGCAAAGTCAAACACCATTGCTGAAGTTGATGGAAGTGGGATATCTCCGCATCAAGCTCCGGATAGTGCGATATACGAGGCACCCGGCGTTTTGGTCCATGAGGCTCCAACTGGAGGGGAGAAGACAGTGATAGAGAAGAGGGAAGCAGCACGTCAAATTAACCAGGAACCGATTGAGATGCCGGCGGATTCACCCGTGTCGTCGCCAAAGACATCGCAGGACAGACTAAATAGGAAATAATATTAATACAAATTCGGTAGCGTCGAACCTGAACCCCAGCGTCTCACTTGGTGAACCACCGTTTCTCGATTGAAGCGACAATTTTTCGTCAACAGCTGGTCGACGGCCTTTATATCATCATTTAGAACTTTCAGCCTAACTCACCACCACGTGGCACAGCAGTCTCACATTCGTGGTTAGTGTATAAGCAAGCTGACCCCTCCTATAAGACCTCACACTAAGTTACATCATCCCCGCGTCTTATCTTACGGCGCGATAAATACAGCGCGCCGAAGCCTACGATCTTCTCTGCTGTGTCCACGACGCGTGATGCCTTCAAAGCTCTGTGCGCCATGTCGAGAAGCTTTTCTCTCCAACGAACCAACACGTCTGCATCGAGACTCTACCATCAGCTGCACTCCCTTCCACGAAGCGCCATGGAAAGCCTTCCAGAAGGATAGAGACTCATCTCGAGACGTAACCGAGTCCGTGAAGGATTGCGACTTTTGCTCCTTCGTTGTCGCGTTTGCAGCAGCGGACCAAGCCCTTGGCGAACATGGGAATGGATCCTTCGCTGATTTTGACAGCAAAGCGTCTCGAAGGTCACAGGGCGAGCCATTGCTAGCTCTGTGGAAGTATCATATGTATACATATGAGGGCCACCTTTCAGCGGATCTCGGTCTTAGAAGGCATAATCTTCGCTATGTTGATGGGTTTGATATACGGCTCTTTGGGACAGCAGGTGCGCTATTTGGTCATCACCAATAGTACTTAACTGATTGCGATAGATCCTCGTGTGAAGTGTCACAGGCCCATCGAAAAGACAACAACGAGTACATCCAGTGAGGCCAGTTTCGAGTGCTTGTCCAAATGGATCAAGAATTGTTTGGACAATCATGAATCATGCAACAAACTACATGCTCGCTCTGGTGAGAACAAGGGTTGGCTTCCAGCTCGACTCGTCAAGATTATCTCAAATGCAGATGGCGTGCCTGAGATTATCAAAGTGGTAGAAACGAACACATGCGACTGCCCTCCTCCCAACATAGAGTATGCTACCCTGAGCTACTGTTGGGGAAGGCAAGCTTTCACCAAACTACTCAGATCCAATATCGACAGCATGACAACTACTGGGATGCCTGTTAGAGACCTTCCTGCCACGTTCCAGGATGCGATCACTGTTACAACTCGTCTTGGTCTGGAGTATATCTGGATTGACGCCCTTTGCATTATTCAACTCGATGCAGAAGACTGGAGCTTGCACTCGGTGACAATGGCCAAGGTTTACTCATACTCAACAATCACACTTGCAGCAGCAGCATCATCAGACGCACATGGGGGACTCTTTCGCGAACGCAACCCTACAGCCATCAATGGTGCCAAGATCAATCTCAAATGGCCCTCACACGAGTTTGAAGGAGAATTTTATGTGGTACCGACAGATCCCTGGGAGAAAGCAGTCGCAAAGTCACCACTGTTGAAGCGCGCATGGGTATTCCAAGAACGGCTTCTATCACGAGGAACCGTCTACTTCGCTCACGATATGCTTTACTGGGAATGCGGCGAGCTCTATGCTTCGGGCTTTATCCTGAGGGAGGGCCTTGGGATCTGCAGTACCGATACAAGAGATACGACGTTGCTGACAGGCTTCCCTCTGGTGTGCAGTCGGTAGAAGATTACAGGTTCAAGCATGTATACACGGAACTTCTCACGCGGGAGCTTAACGCAGAGGAGACGGTCACGGATGAAGAGATGTTTCTCTACGTATGGGCTTCAGTGGTAGCTCAGTACAGCGTCGGCAAGCTGTCGAAAGAAACAGATAAGCTCATCGCCATTGATGGTGTAGCTGAGCAGTTGACGAGTATTGTACCAAGAGAACAATATCTCAACGGACTCTGGAGACAGGATAGTCTCCCGCTTTCTCTACTATGGTGCACCGAAACGGAAGAGACACCGCCTAGCATTCGCGTCGCGCCAAGTTGGTCTTGGGCATTTGTTTATACGCCAGTTGAGTTCAACTTCTTGTTCCGAGCGCAGACTGAGCCTAAGGTTGTCACGAAAGTCATCGACATCATCACGCCCGGCTATAAGCCAGAAAGTCTCGAGATATCGCGTCCTACGGCACTTGTTCTTCAGGGACCTCTTACTGAAGTGCGCTTTCGATCTACTTCGCGCAACGCACTAGGACCCTTGCATTCAAACTGGTGGAAGAGCCACAACACGATGAGAAATCGCATCAAGTTCTTACAACCAATTGACTTGGCGCCCAGACTTGTATTCAGGGGCAAAGGCTTGAAAGCAGATTATCCATGTGCTATCTGGTTAGATAGGGAAGTGCCCAAGGATACTCGAATCTTCGCGCTCAAGATTGCGGAAGCGGATATTAGACATCCTTGGCAGGAGAGATTACCATCTGAGTGCGGCTTGTTGTTAGTCACTGGTCAAGAGCGAGGAACGTTTACTAGAATTGGCATGTTTGAGATTGCTGTTGATAAAATGAAGAGGGACTGGGCAGACCAGAAGACATCGTTCACGTCGATATCCAAGTTGAGAGAAGGAATATGGGGTGATTCAGGTATAGAAGAAAGGTTTTATCTGGAGAAGGATGAGACAGACAGATATACGATTAAGGTAGTCTGATAATGAGGTTACATTGCCATTGGTTTTTTATTGAGCCTATGAGGGGCTTTATGCAGTGTGCATGCAACGCGTGTTGGCATAAAGATATGTCGCAACCTATCAGAGCGGCATGGACCCTTATTGAAAATGAAGCATGTATAGTCATGGTTGTCAGTGAATCCCAGGTGAATTTGTGGCTGTGAACTGAAGCCATTTGGCTCTGGCGCTAGTGAAACGCAACGCCATGGACATCGACATGGTTGGGACCTTGCCATATCGGACGCCGCGGACGGTTATGGAGGCGGTCAGTGATTCAGCCATACTAAGGTTTACGGTTTAGGAGGAAATTACCGTAAGGAACACGAAAATCGAGCCTCGTGGCACAAATGAGAAGTGAGTCGGTCTAAAATGATTGGTGTCACATCAGCGTCACGATGATGCCGTACAACAAGACCTCAGTCTCAACGGATCACCGAATCTATTCAACACCCGAAATGTCTCACATTCACCGCCAAATTCTCACTTTTATGTTGTATTACCCTGTGACTCAGAATAAATACCTAGCGCATAACCAGCCACCAACATGTCTCAAGCTACCTTACCTTAGCACCAAACATTAACATTAAACTCATAACGCGCCCGCGGACATGCGTCCGCTTGCATAACTCAAACCAACATAAAAAACAACCTAAAGCCAAGCCACAAATACTCTAACCATGGCCGGGCTGTAAATCCACCCGCTGATCGATGACGATGTGCCAGCCACTAAAACTGCCGTGATTATTATCTCATCCCTTTGTACTACACATTCCTTCTTCTCCTCCTTCACTTTCTCACGGTATCTTACTCTTGACTGCATACGATATACATACCATGGCAAGAAATGCAGAGGGCTTGCCGCGGGCTGGCTCGACGACTACCATTACGACGCAGAGAAAGCAGAGGCCGATTGAAGCGAAGGCGCTGACGACGGAGGTCAAGATGTTGGCTGGTGCTGATATTTGGGGTCGCGCAGCATTTGGGAGGTCGTGGTTGCGATCTCTTGTTGGTGCATCGCCTTTGTTTCTCGCGCCGATGGCTTCGATATCGATCTTTATCACGTTGGCTGAATACGAAGGATCACTCTCCCTCTTCGCAGATGCTGTGAAAGAACACGGCTTCTGGACCATTTGCGCCCAGCACGGTCCTCACCTCACCACCAAGGGCGTCGCAGCTGTGATCTTCTGGGTCGGAATCCAAGCACTTCTTTACTGCTTACTACCCGGAGAACGACACCAAGGCCAATTAACACCAGCTGGCTATCTTCTCAACTACAAAATCAACGGCCTCTCCGCTTGGATCGTCACGCATCTCCTTTACGGAATTCTCAGCTGGTTGGGGATTCTAGACCCTGGCTTCATTCCCCGCAATTGGAGTAGCTTGATTGGAGCTATGAACCTAGCTGGGTTCGTTATTTCGGCACTTGCGCTCGTCAAAGCGTACGTAATGCCGACTCACCCAGAAGATAGGAAGTTCAGCGGTGAGAACCACTTTTGAGTGTTTGGTGTAATTAAACGCTAATTTGACGTAAACAGGGTCGTTCCTATACGACTTCTTCATGGGGGTTGAGTTGAACCCGCGGTTGGGTGAGAATTTTGACCTCAAGCTCTTCAGTAATGGGAGGGCTGGAATGATGGTGTGGACCCTGATGTAAGTCTAACCATTTTTACGAGATCGCCAACTTATATGATGCAGCGACTTTTCGAACATGGCGTATCAGTACCAGAACCAGGGATATGTTGAGCCATCGCTTATCCTTGTCACCGCATTACAGACTCTTTACGTGGTGGATTTCTTCATTAATGAATCCTGGTATTTGCGCACAATCGACGTCAAATTCGACCATTACGGCTTCTATCTCAGCTGGGGATGTTTCTGCTTCTTACCAACAACATATACGATCCAAGGCCAATATCTCGGACGCTACCCATCTTCAGCTTCAACACCTTACCTAGCATTCTTCTTCACCCTCGGAGTAGCAGGCTACATCCTCTTCCGCTCCGTCAACCACCAAAAAGAAATCGTACGTCGAACAGGCGGGAAATGCACCATCTGGGGAAAACCGGCAGACTGCATAGTCGCATCCTTCAGGACCTCCGATGGTCGGCAGCACAGAAGTTTACTCCTCTGCAGTGGTTGGTGGGGATGGTCTCGGCACGCGAATTACCTCGGCGATCTGATTCTTAGCTTCAGCACTTGTGCGCTGGTGGGTAGTACAAGGGCTGTGGTATGGACGTACACGGTGTGGATGACGGTGTTACTTGTGCATAGGTGTATACGTGACGAGAAGAGCTGCTCGGTTAAGTATGGTGCTGCGTGGACTGAGTATTGCAGACGGGTGCCTTGGCGATTCATTCCTGGCGTTTGGTGAGATTTGGTGTTTCAGGATTTTGATTAGAGGAGATTTGTGCTACACTTGGTGCAAGGTTGTGGAACGGTGAAGGATAGATGGTGTTACTTGTGCCCGGAGAGAAAGCTCAGCCCGGGTCTAGATTCGATAGATTTAGCTTGTTGTGCAGTTTATGCATGTTATACTCGTCAATGAGAGGTTTCTCGCTGCATGTACGACGAAGATGTCACCTAACCTCTCGTAAATAGCATCAAGGCGTCACGCTGTCTGCCGAACACATAGATTAGCGGGCGAGGTCGCGTGTAGGCATCGTCACCGCCCTTTCCTTCGAGTCTGCCGGCTCGGTTTAATTGTAATGTCGTCCATAGTCACACAAGCCTTTCCCTGCCATTCAATTTTTGGTATCTATGAGGTCTACCAAGTTAGCCTCGGTTCGAGTGCTCCCTAAATAAGGAGATACATGATGTCCCAAGACATCCGTCAAATGTTCGAGGATGTCTCCTTTCTTTTACTGATACAAGCCGTGTTTAACCATGGAGCGGCACAACCAAATTGTCCAAGATGTCTCCAACAACATAAGAAACTTCTATAAACTCCGCCAGCCATATCACGTCTTTCACGGTTCTTCAAGCAATACCCGTCCTCGCCATGGATCTGATACCAATGTGATGGATATCAGCATGCTATCCCATGTTATATCTGTAGACACCGCACGAAAGACCTGTCTCGTGGAACTGAATGTACCAATGGACCAACTGGTCGAGGCCACGATGCCATACGGCCTGATACCTCCGGTGGTGATGGAATTCACAGGGACAACAGCTGGAGGGGGGTTTGCAGGGACATCTGGGGAGAGCAGCTCATTTCGGCATGGTTTCTTAACGAAACAGTCAACTTTGTGGAAATGATACTTGGAAATGGAGACATAATCCGGGCATCACGCGAAGAACATAAGGATCTGCTTAATGGTGCTGCGGGTGCTGCTGGGACGTTAGGTTTGACGACATTGATGCAAGTCCGACTGGTGGAAGCGAAGCAATTTGTGAAGACAACATATCACAGAGTTGGCGGCGTGTCGTCTGCTATCTCTACAACGAAGAATTGCTGCGAGAATGTTGATGTTGACTATGTTGATGGCATCCTCTATTCGAAAGACCACGGCGTTGTAATAACGGGCGAGTTGACCAATACTAAGCCAGATGACTATCAAATCCGGACTTTCAGTAACGCGGGAGACCCTTGGTTCTATCTTCACGTGAAAGAACAAACTGGATCTCCTCCTCCCTCAGCAGTAGTCACAGAATACATACCACTCGGTGAATATCTCTTCAGGTACGACAGGGCTGCCTTTTGGGTTGGTCGCCAAGGATACGCGTACTTCAAGATCGTCCCATTCAACAGGTTCTTTCGCTGGCTTCTGGATGACTACTCCCATACACGGACACTATATCATGCTCTTCACGCAAGCCGAATCTCTAACCAGTTCGTGGTGCATGATCTAGCATTGCCATATGACACAGCTGAAGCATTTGTTGACTCGGTGGATTCACAGCTCGGAATATGGCCACTTTGGCTTTGTCCCCTGAAAGGATGTCAAATGCCGACATTTCATCCTGTTACAAGAAGCTCTACAGATACTAGCGCGGGGGATAACATGTCACAGCCGATGGTCAACATTGGTGTTTGGGGCTGGGGACCATCAGACCTAGAAGAGTTCAAAGCAAAGAATCAGGCTTTAGAGAAGAAATTGATGGAGCTGGATGGCCGTAAATGGTTCTACGCACATACTTACTACACCGAGGAGAAATTCTGGGATTTGTATGATCAGTCCAGGTACCAGAGGCTTAGAGAACGCTATTTTACCACGACTTTACCAACCGTCTATGACAAGGTGAAAAAGAGGGATCAGGATGCGGACGAGAGGGGAGATAAGGGTTGGGCACTCGGGACGTTGATGAATAGGTGGCCCATTGGAGGAATCTATGGCATGATACTGGCGTTTTACTCTGGGGATATCAATCTGCATCGACGAGCGAGATGGAGGTATAGGAACCAGTAGTACAATCGAGGTTGAGTCTATCCTAGGCCCATCCATATCATTGGTCTGTGACTCGCGGGGAATTTTCAGCTTGGCAGGGATCTTGAAGCCACAGCCTGCTTGTTCTCACATGCCTTCGTTGCTTCAAAGTCAACCAATACAAGACTCTCAAGTCCAATTAGTATTTCTGAAACTTTGAATGGTGCCTAGTATTTAAAAACGCCCGTATCTTAGGCATAATTCCGTTATTCTCAAGTATGTTCTGACCAACGGGACTGGTAAATTGCTTCCTGACTCCAACGCTGAAATGCAGATCAATATCTTGGCAGACGGTGAGGTGCATGAAGATGACGTTTCAACAAACACGGCTCTCCAGGCAGCAAGGTAGAACCATAATCTTTATCTCTCCTCCAGTATTTCAAATACCTCTCAGCACCAGGAACTATCCTGAAAGCAGACCCGCGCTTTCGTCAAAATGGTGGAAAGAAGTTTCCAATACCTCACAACACTCAACTTCACCGACAACCCATTTCAACAGTTCACCATTCCCCAAGATTGGAGAGCATGGGAAGTCGCATGGCTTTATCGCTTACCCGCCATTATCACCCATGCTAGCTATCCTGCTAGGCTGATCGAGAGCGGGTGTATGATCGACAATGTTGCCAATTGTCATGAAGCGTGCGGAAGCGAAGAACACATGTTCTCAAATCCCGAAACGCTATGGAACTGTCTAACCCTGGCGACCGTCGCTATCATGGCTACCAACCGTGGACCAGATACCATAAGCAATGAGACGTTGGAGAAAGTGGATAAAAGGTTTAACACCGGCCCACTGGATGAGTTCTGGAGACTTGGTGCATTGCTGAGCTATGTCAAATGTGCGCTACAGTCGTGTTCTGACTCCAAGTTTGGTGGGTGTCCGCCGGAATTGTGGACGTTCCAGTGTCAGATGATCACATCTAAGAACATTAAGGATCTGGGCAGGATCATGAGCACGGAGTATTGTGACAAGGCTGATCCTGGAATTGATTACGATATTGCAGGGCCTGGCGTGAGTATGGCCATAGAATTGAAGGGAGCTTAGTACTAATACCCATGCAGATCATCGTGGCATATCTGATCCAATTCACGATAGTTCTATTCTTTGCACTATGCTACAAAGTCACAAAGACCTGGATAAGGAACTTCACACTGATTTCCCTTCTTCCATTTCAAGGACCCTCTGGAGCTGTCGAGACAGCTTTTCACTGGCAAAAAGCGGTCTCAAGGAGTAGCTTTGGTGTTGCAGTCGCATCAACTCTTGTCGATCTTCAAGAAGCTCAAGCTGTATTTCTCGGCACTATATCTACGGCCGCCATCATCACTTTCTCAAGTTCTAGTGGAACTGGACTTGGTAACATTAGCTCACTCCTCTCTTGGCTGACAAATAACCTCACTGTAAGGGGAATGGTCTCGGCGGGAATGTACCCACTACTGTTTGTCCAACTCATTCTTCAAAAGACCCATAATCGCTGGTGGTATACACTAGTTCTTGTGTTTATCAACTGGGTTCTTGTTCTGCTTATTGCTCGGCCCCAGACTGTTGATGAGCCTACGTTATTAGAGCACTTTAGTGAATCCTCCGGCCTGGAACGCTGCGGGAATCAACCTGGGCCGAGGACGTTCTGTCAGACTTTCAACAAGCCCGCGGAGGGGGATTCGAGTTCTAATACGGGTGAAGAGTTGGGTCATCTGGATCGCGATGCGGAGAACTTCTTCAAGTTTCACTCTAGGATACAGGCACCCATGCACGTTATAATGGCATTCCTGATATTGGATTGGCTCGTTGCAATGATAAGGATGCACCTCTTTCAGCGGGGTGACTGGTTATCTCACAAAGCCCATGCTTTGATGGATAGCGTACCAGCGCGCCTGAAGTCATTCTATACTCGGAGGTACTTTGTGCTCTTCACAGAAGCTATTTGGATCTCAATGGAGGTCCTCACTATTGTCATGGGCGCCATAGGAGTGCATGAGTTTGCGTCATTTATGCATCTACTCAGTGGTGGGGAATCGGGTAACGAGAGCAAGGTTGCCCTCTCGAAATGGGGCTTTGGACAGTTAGTAGCAGTTTGCGTTTGGGTTCCTGTTATCCTCAAGTTCGCATGTCTCATGGTTGGTAAGTCGAAATCATTCTCGTCTCTCGCCAAGTCCGGGCTTATAGCTGACAAATTGAAGACGGGGCTCTCCCTGGTTGGAGAAAGCGATTGGGCCAATTTATCGAGATTACGCAGCGCGAAGAGACCGACCCAGATGGGAATGATGTTGTTATGGAGACTTTGCTTCCTTCTAGGCCTACCAAAAGGGGTCAGACGGATGAAGGAGAGGGGCATACTTTGACGGCGAGGCGGTCTTGGGGCAGGACATATAGTTAGTCTAGGATAGCTTTGTATATGGGCAAAGCGAGAGATTTCTCTGCATCCAGTAGTCCAATATCGCTATCTTGGTGTCTGCTGAAACGTGTTATGGTGGCATGCGCGTTGTATGGAAGCTGCATTTTGGCATCGTGGGGGGTTCAAAGGGTTTGCCACTGGGCTCTCCAACTTAGCTGGCCAGTTAGCTAGCCTATAGAACCATCCAGGCCTGGCTAATCGACTTGGTGGCGCCGATGCACCCAGCTGAAAGATCTCGCGAGACACTATCGGTTTTTAGCGTTCAACTTCTACCCCAACTGGGATTTTCATACAGAATCACCAGATCATTTATAGAAATACTTGTCCCCAACCTTCCCCTAAACGCTTTTCTCTACATCTGTCACGATTCATACCACTATGGCTTCATCTAATCCTGAAAGAACTTACGCTCGGTGGTCTCTCCGAGACGTTCCTCGTACGCCTGCGACAGATGTTCTTCCCATCGGACCTGAAGCAGATGGAATTGAGACGTCTTTCGACGATGATTCGCGTAGATTAGTGAAGCCGGCGGATATCCAACCTGGGGGAAAATATTATTGTAGGTCTCTGGAGCATTTTGCCATCGACAGCCCAAGGTCAGCCCAAATCTGACTCTGCGCGTAGCTATTGTCAAGCTCCAGATTCGATTTGAGAACCAGGATTCTGGCGATGCGCGCCGAGCCCAAGGGACAGGATGGCTGATCATGCCTAACCTAATCGTCACCGCTGCTCATTGCGTATATGACCATACATACAACTTCGGGAAAGCTGTTCAAATCAGTTCTTTCGTGGGATACAATGGCAAGAACGCTATTGACCAGCCTGGTGTTCAATTTCGCAGAGGTACCAAGGTCGTCATTCCGAAGGACTGGATGATCAGTGACACCAATCGCGCCAGCGATGTCGCCTTCATCAAAGTGGAAGACTTTGACAATATTGTGCCTATCCGCCAGCAGCCCACTCCAAGTATTGTGACTAAGATGCTTTTGAGCGTGGTTGGGTACCCGTGCGACAAATCCTTGGGCGATGAACGAGGAGCGCAAATGTATGAGATGACCAAACCGACAGATTGTGATCTATCGAAATCAGCTTTCAATATGCTCGAGCATACCGTGTCTTTTGCAGGTGGTAAGTAGTGGTTTCTGATCCAAAGTACTTGCGATACTCATCAATACTAGGTCAATCCGGATCCCCTGTTCTCATCAGTGGCGAAAGCAAGGCTATCGGCGTCGCTTCGTATGGTGCTGGATCCAAGAACACTGCAACTGTGTTTCGAGGAAAATTCGGAAACTACTTCAGCGCCATGTCTGGTGTCATGTATGCCCTGGATCGTGCTTCTCCTGGCAGTGAGGACGTCAATTACATCCGGACCATAGGCCGCCCCGAGGGCAGTATGGCAGAAGAAACCCTCAGTGATTCCGAGGCCTTCTGGATCACTTTCAAAAACGTTGCCAGCGTCGGCCAAAGGATTGATAACTCCGTCTTGAGAGCGGGGTCACCTTTCTTGGGCCAGATGGGCAATCCTATCGCTGCCGTTGCAGGTACGGCACTCGGCGTGATGAGCAAGCTTGGTTCAGACGCTTCAACTGACATTGAGTCCGTCCATGTCAGTTACAGGCAGTGTACTGCACGTGCCATTCTCGCAGAGGCTGCTATTCAGACTGTCTTGATGATGGATGCTCAGCAGGCCAATAAGTTCACAATGTTCGACAAGATGCAGGCCCAATATATAAAGACAAGAGATTTCATTCCCAAGGTTGCAAAACTCATCACACCTGGAATCGTTGAGTCCGCACTTCGAATTTCTGTTAAGGCACAAGCTGCGGGCGAAGAAATATCCACACTTTACCCGAAGCTCCCTCCAATGAACAGTTCTCTCAGCGACGGTGACAAAAGGTTTATTGAGGCCTTCGTCCGGTACTCAGAACAAGGTGATGCCCATGAGATGTCTGAGTTTCTCGGGGACATTGTCAAAGCTGCTGCATCTGCCGGTTCTCCCAACTTCGGCGGCATTACTCGAGCTATCGGTGAACCTGAAGTGAGCGTGACCGATATGTCGATTCACGTCGAGATTCTGTGCCACAGAGCTATTATAGGCGACGCTGCTCTGCAGGGTCTCATGGCTATACCTCCCACTCTTATGGTGCAGGATGATTTGTTTCATCATCTGGTCGGTACGGTCAAAAAGATTGCAAGAACCGTCATTGGAGTCGCTCCTGTTGTTACTAAAGGTGTTATGGAGAATATTAAACAGGACGAATAACACGAGGGCTCGTATGAGCTGGTGGTTGCCATAAGAGATAGATCTCAACGAAAAGCTTTGCTAGCCATGGGAAGGGTGTAGCTGACAGTACTCAACGCAGCCTTGAAGTCTTTGTTGGGAGCATAACAATACTCCTTACATGGTAGGGTTTCTCCCTTGACTTTTATCCATGTGATCTAGGCAGCCGTTTCCTCAGCACAGCGTGTCTTAGAATTAACACAAACTGATTTGCGACGCTTTCATGATCCTCTAGCGCTTTCCTGAACCATCACTCCCACTTGAGGACTTCCCTTAGGCTTTGAGGCCTGTGGATGTCCCTCAGGGGGGTGGAAAATGTGCGGGGCTTGAGAAACGATTCAATCCGAAAGATCTGACTCGCAAGTATTGGCCTACCATACAGATGATCGGTTGCGGCCCTTAGCATATCATAGCCAGATATGTTCTTTTACTCGATTTCATAAAGTTTTTATCACCTTTAGGTTACATTTAGCCGTAAAGAAGGCGAACTAGCGAGCTATAGACTTTTGCATGGGAATGAATCTAAAGCCGTCGACCAAGTAATAAGAACCGGAGCTTCACGGGGACACATAGCACTCGTACATTCATCAAAATACTTGCATATAAGTATGAGAGCCATGACCACGATCTGTTCTATAACTATATGTACTAGAGGCAATGCAGGATCCGATACATGGGAGCGACAGTGGTCAGTTACAGCACAAATCGAAGGCCATTTCCCTCCATAACTTTCGAACTCAAATACTCCACCTCCCTTCCAAAACAAGGCTTGGCAAAACCGTTAGGTCGATGTATGCCGAACCCGGGCACAGGAGAGTTACTCCTTCTTATCGGACAACATGAACATGCGGTGGACAATGTAGGGCTGGATGACAATGGTGACGCTGGGGAACGGGGGGATGACGGGAAGGTTGATGTCATGCTTGATAGTGGCGATGACATGGACCGTCTGAGGGTCTGATGCACCGGTGGGAATCTTGGCCCACGAAATATCCCACTTGATGAAGCCGTTCTCAAACTTTGTGTCGACAAGCTTCACATATTCGGGATTGAAATCAATTTTGACGCCCGAGCTGAGCTCCTTGGGGATCAAGGCAGAAAGAAGCAGGAGGCCCTCGTCCGTGAGGTAAAAGTGAATGGGCGGAAGAACGACAGTGTTCTTGCGCTCCTTAGTCTCTGAGTCAGAGGCAGCAGCGTCGCCTGCGGCAGACTGAACAGCGACTGCGTTATCCTCAGGAGGCTCAGGCCATTCAAGATAGACGATCTTGATCTCGGAAGTACCGAAAGCGGTCTCAACAAGGACCGACTTGTTGTTGAAATGGGGGATGGGCAGAAGGATAGGGAGTTCAAACTCGAACTTGACATCTTTCTCTTTAGGGAGCTTCGCAAAACCACCACTGTAAGCCTTGACAGAAAAGCGAAGGCCGCCGTCCCAGATATCCTGTTCAAAGAATGGGAGGAGGAAGTATCCGGGAATCTTACCCTCAGCCTTGAGAACAAGCTTGCGGCCGAGACCATGGTAGTGGGCTGTGATGCCCTTGGGTCGATGGGGACAAGAGAAGCCATCGTTCAAGAAGTCTTTGGGTTATGTAGTTGATAGAGAAGTAGAAGTGCTTGGTTGTTGATGATTTGATCTCTTTTCAGCGGAATGGTAACAGGTATTTATAGGTAAATGGAGGCCAATGTACATCAGATTGATTCCTTCTGTGGCTTTCATTCTCCAGCTGAAATCGATCTCTAATGAGCTGATATCACAGTAATATGATGCTATATCCAATATTGGTTGGGAAGGTTTGGATATCACATCCGCATCTGGTCTCTTCCCCGACCTTGATTCACACATTCAAGCGGCTCAGATACGACAGCCCTATAAATGCTCTCACTCTAGTCCTTGGCCTACGTCTGGAGTAACACACGCATGCCAGAAATGAGTATGTTTCACCGTATTAGGCTCACCCAGCTAGCCAACGGCCGCGGAGGGGTCCGAAGCTGACCGTTCATTGTCTCAGTGACGTACTCAAAAAGCGGAAACGATCACCTCACTCTCGTATCAAATCACAGCGTTTAGGCAATGTCACATATCAGCAAGGGATAGTTTATGTGATAATGCAGCCGCGCGCACTAGAACGGCCAATGCCGTCCTCAGCTCTGCCTGTTGCAGACGTGGCGTAAAGTTGAACTACCTTATCAGGCATAGTCAACACAACGCCCAGAAACTCCATGTCTTTGTTTGACAGCCATGGTCCGTTGATGTACAGAAATTCTCATACCATTACCTGAGAGCGGCGCTACTGATATGAACTTCGAGACAAATGGGATTTGGCTGAGCTGAAAGCTTTACTTTGAGGGTGATGAGTGTTGATCGTGGAAGTAGATGTCTCACCTCCTCAATCAAGACACCAAGGAACCCTCTGTCACGTCAACGGTACTGGTTCCTAAACGGCTGTACTCCCTCCTCGCCAACGATCGTCTTGGTATCTCGTTTTCGTGTTGCTTTATGTGACAGTCCAAGGTTTTAGTAGGAATTGTAGGTCCTGATTTACTGCATGCTCACCAATAAGCATCAATGGCTCATATCTCATGGGGCTTAAAGAGAGAGCAGAATCATGGGTCAAGTGGAAAAGAACAAATACATTAATCAAGTGGAATGTAACCATACAAATCTAACAATATCAAAGCCCCTTTAAAAGATGAATGTTCAATAGTAAGCGTTATAACACAATCTGGTTCGAAAATATCCCGTCATCTGCTTTCCTAGGTAATGGAGCTTTCACTTGTACTTGCTGACCTGTTCTTCAGTCCACTCCCAGTACTTCTTCCCAAGGTCAGGATCAAGAAGATCCTTACAGGCCGGCTCGACCTTTCCAAATGGAGAAACTATCCAAGTGATACAGTTAGCCATGTGAAATTTCAAAAAGATTTCTAGAATAACTTGGCTGTCATCGTGGAATGGCAAAAGACTTACCCCAACAGCCATTTTCCTTTTCTGTGATAGTAGAAGAATGGCTTGCAAATAGTTGAGTATAGGCACCGTTCTTGGGTGCGTGAGCGATGAGTTTCTACACAGCTAGCATCAGTTTATAGTCTCTACATCTGCAAGGCGCTAACTTACAAAGATAGCAAGCTGCATTCTTGGCATGTTCTGTTGTAGGTTGGTCACAAAGTTGCCAGGGTTGAGAGCCTATAGACAAGAGTCAGTTTTTAGTATCTGATGGAATAGAGGATATGGGATGACAAACAATGCTGATGATGCCTTCTCCAGCAGTCCTTCTGGCATACTCAACAGCATGCAAGACGTTTCCAGCCTTACTTCTTGAATACTTCGGCCAGATTCCCTCTTCAATATGATAGTCCATGTTGGTGAAGTCGATAGCTGGTGTTGGTGCACCATCAGCAGCGCTGGAAGATACCCAAATGATACGAACAGAGTTCTTGGGAGCAACCTGAGCTGTAGCAGCGAGGATAGGATGGAGGAAGTGAGTGAATAGGAATGGAGCGAGGTTATTCACGCCAATCTGCAACTCATAGCCTTGTACTGTCTTGGACCCTTGAGGAGGAACCATGACTCCAGCATTGTTATAAAGTACGTCGAGACGGCTTTCCTGTGCAAGGAATTCGTTGGCTGATGCCTTGATGGTGGTAAGATCGTCGAGGACCAGTGGTAGGAAGATCATACTGCCGGTAGAGTTTGGATGTGCTGCCTTGATATCTCTTATAACGTCGCCGGTCTTGGATCGGGAGCGAGCGGCCATATAGATCTTTCCGTTTTTCTGGTATAGAATTGAAGCGAGCTCTTTGCCCAATCCGCCAGAAGCCCCGGTGATAAGAAAGACCTGGTAAGTTTGGTTTTAGACGAGTGGTAGTCGATGGGTACAGCAAGTTGGCTTACCTTGCCTGCTTGGTCAGGAAGATTCTTCTCCGTCAGAGTCGGCTTGTTGGGAATAATAGTGCTACGGCGGACGCTCATCGTGGGCAGGTTTGTGGGCAGTTTCGTGGTTGGAGGTTGTCAATAATCTAACAATTTCTAGACGATTGAGAAGGATATTTATAAAAGGTAATCTCGTACTTGATCAAAGACGTAGATATCTTGGTGAATAATTTTTGAGGCCACTAACTGGGGCTGCTCTCGACTATATATAGGCAGTCCGTCGTCAATAATCCGAAAAAATATGAGTTTTTGTCCTAAGTCGCCATCACAACCTTCGTTAAATTGATCATAAATAATGCGGCCGCACCTGAGAGTCGCGTCTGACGCTCGATCGGCCGAGGGCGCCGCCTGCGATGATGCGGGTTCTGCGGCCGCACTCTGCACTATCACATTTCTAGGGCCACACATATAGAAATAGTACAGTGCGCGATCGATGGGCCGTTTCTCTATTCTTATTACAGAACGAACTTTACTAAGAATAACGTTTCATAATACATTCGGAACTTAAAAACTATTCTATCATACCATCGTCCTAGCTTCGACCCTTGCTGTGACGTCGTGAACCATCAGCATTTCGCGGTAAGTGCTTCCAAGCCGCCACCTCGAGCTCATAGTATCCAGAAACATATCCAGATCAGCCGCAGCCGTGCGGTAAACTTCATTCCCGCCCTCACCAAGAAGCCAATGGAATGTCGCTGCACTTGCGTAGATGGAGTCCAAGATGAAAGGGCTCACATTCCCGAGCGAAGATACCATTTCTGCCCTGAGCATTGGCAACATGGCCATGCCCATAGTGTGTAGCTGTTCGCTGGCCTGTCCTATGATATGCATAGACTGTTTTTGAAGCTCGAGCTCCTTCTGTGTCTTGTCCCCGGGACTATCTACATATCCAGGCTCTGCACTGATCTTTTCCGGGCAAGTGAAACGGTCGAGGGTGACGAAGAGCGCTGAGCGGGCGATACATCGAGGTGCAAGAAGAGCGGAACCCCTGTCAGGGCCAAGGGCTGCACTTTCATTATTCACAACTTCCTCGAAGGCTGACAGTTCCTCGGCGAAAGACATGACTTGTTCAACACGGGAAGTGCTCATGGCTGACTTATCGCGTGCGTAGCTGGTCGCACGTCCGAGATACATTGAGGCTTGACATAGTCTTGCGAATGCAGATTGCTGGAAATGATATGGTATTGACGTTGAGTGGCTGACCGCCATGCTGACGTCGCCCCGGTCCTAACTGCGTATCAGCTGCTCTGTTGTGAACCGCGTTGAGATTTTGTTGACTTACCCATGCGTCATCATCAACAGGCAATTTACCCTCCGGTTGGAGATCAGGTAATAAGCAACGCTTCCTGCTTCCCATCGACACAAGCTTATCGAGGATATAGATACTCCACCATACTCTCCTTCTCTCTTCAGCCTCCGTCCATGTTGTCTAAAGATGTGTCAGCTTCTTTCGTCCCTTCTCTTTGTCAATGGGGTCAAGCGATACTGAGCTGATCATTCAACAACCTGCCATAACATCAAGGATACGTACCACTTGACCTAATGGAGAATAATCACCAGGGGCGATGCCCAAGATATCAGAATAGCGCACGCACGACCCGACAGTCATCCAAGTTGCCGGATAGATCGCATGCGAATATTCATACAAGGCTACGAGGATCATAGCCTGAAGACAGAGTAGCGAGACGACACCATTACCCTCCAGACTAGCGAGGAAGGTTTTGGCTGTATCATACAAGGCTGAGTCGGTTATGTCGACAGCAGGAGTCGTGGCAAGCTTCATTCCAAGGAACAGCATGGCGAGATCGGGGCCTGCATTCTGCACAGGTAGACCCATATCCATCCTCTTTTTAGATATGATGGGGAACCAGGTATGAATCGTCGCAAAGTAGTCTCGTGATACATCTAGAACGACGTTGCCTTGGCTGAGAAGCGCAAGGACGGGCTACCAAATATTAGAGCACTGATTAATAGATATGAAAAGAGATAACTGTAGTAAGATCAAGGCAGGGACAAGGTGACGTTGGAGATGAGTGGAGGCAGCATACCGCAGGAATGGCGCCGGTGGGAACTGGCAGTCTAGCATGAGACCATACATAGCAGTCAACATCGAGAAACATAGATGCCGGGAAATGGGTCACCGAGGTTAAACCTGAATATTCGACAGCAGAATAGGAAGGCGTGAAACCGATGGATTGGGACGATGAGTTGACACTATTTGACCCGATGCTGTGCGCATCGATGGAGTCGCAGAATGTCGCGCCAGACGTTGAGTCTTGTCCCAACGCTGACCCCGAAGCTGGGCCTGAGATTGGGCTCAAGATGTGCTGGTCGGTGGCTCTCGGAGAATTAGCCAGACGATTCTCGAGCTCAGCGAGACGTGCCTGCATAATGTGCCAATCGCCAGCAGTTGGTTGAAACTCGGCAGGGACGCCATACTCGCACGCGCGTTGAGTCCGCTTGCATAAGCTACACTCAGGGAGAGCCTTATCGCAGCGCCGCTTCTGCTTTTTGCAGGCTTTGCAAGCTTGCTCGCTACGGGTTGCCATGGTTGGTGTATGTAAGTCTCGTGTTTGTGGTGGGTGTATTACTCAATCGATTAATTGACAGACGCGGATGTCAGCCCCACGTTGAGAATATGCACAGTCGCGAGTCGGCGTACATACTGCTAACTCCGTGCTTTTAGCGCGGAGATGAGTGCGGAGAATGCGGCCGCATCAATGGGACTAACTGATCCCGTTAATCCGGAGACATCCGTTCACAAATGCCACCCAGGACATCCATGACTCCCGTAAAGGCAATCAATCTGCAACATCTTAAATTATCTGATAAAAGAACTCACCTGGGCTCCTTAATCACTATGACAAAGTTACGCGATTCCGGTTCCCATGCTCTGACCCACAGACATCTTCTGCTTGGAGCGGAATCACCGCCGAGATCACATCGACGGATTGAGACAAGAGACGCCACAGCTTTATCGGTCTATAAATAAATAACAGTAGAGAGTTAATTGTACTGTGTTCTTGATTATTTGAGTGGCGCTGGGAAAGCCACAAAGTCAGCTTCATTACCTGGAAATGTAAGCAAGGGCAATTGAAGTCGCTACCCTGCAGTAAGCAAATGTCCCTCCAACCCCAATTCTTTTACTTTCTATGTTTTGTTCTCCTGCAAAAGATCCTTCTATATTGCTTTAAAAATATTCTTTACTATCTTAGGACAAATTTAAACAAATGGTAAAAGCATTGTGAGTCTTGAGATATTTGCATGCAATGTTAATTGTCTAAGGCCGCTAAGTTCCGCAATTGGGTGAGGATGTCACGCAGCGGAAATTTACACTCTTAAGCTAGAAGATAAAGTTACCTTGCATACCAACGTTACAGACGAAAGCTCAATCATTTACTTCCAGGAAAAATTTCACCAATGTTTCTCTTCATGCTGGACGATACAATGACTGACCGTAAGACTCTAAGCTGCGGTCTGTTGATCCCCAATTGCAAAGACCTTGAGACGATGATTTTCCATGGTTCTCAGGTCCCAACAGCGATCGCAATTACATCATCACCAAGCTCCAATGCCGAAGCAGTCCACGTGGGTCGAGCTTGGCCTCGCATCGCTAAGATTACCTCAACAATCAACACGAGCATCATCTTCACCGACTCTGCTTTACGAGGTTCTCTGAGACAATTTCGCATTGAGTTGAAATGCAAGGGCAAGGGACAAACAATAGTTCCTGCTGATCCGCTCGTATTGCCAGAAGCTCGTAACTGCTTCTGGCACCATATCCGCAGGGGTTAAGAATCTAAGAATAAATCACACCCTGATTCGCTAAAAAAGGCACAAGCTAAACTTGTAAAGGCTAAAGCTCAGCCGTAGCTATCGGGGTTCCCCAGGTCTCGAAGGGGCTGGCCGACGGAAATCGGCATATGAGAGAAATGCCTGGACTATTCTGTCATGCTACGGAAATGGGTTCTAGAATGTGAGGCTGGGTCTAAGCCTGGATCAAACGTTACTGTCAATTGATCAACTGTAGTATCGGCTAGAGCGACATCAGAGCTCAACACTATGGAGCCGATGAGCCGAGAGATATGAAGTCATGAGTCTATTAATACCTTTCGCGAGATCTATAAAGACTTGGTGAATAGCCCTCAGAGTTACAATTCTAATCATCAGTCATCTCATCTTCTCAAGCATCTCTACAAACACTCTTCACTCACAACAACCAACTCTTCACACAAACAAACAACTCTTCAACCACAAGATTTACTCTTTCCCCTCAAAACCATCAAAATGAAGTTCACCGCCGCTCTCATCGCTCTCGTCTCCGCCACCGGCGCAGTCGCAGCCCCTGCCCCCGCCGACTCCGTCTCCATGATGGCAGCCTCTCCCCAGTGGACTATCCAGTCCCTCTCCCGCTCATGCGACAAGGCTGATACAACCTGCACCTGGAACTTCAAGATCAACACCGGCAGCGGCGCCGCCACCGCCTGCAAGTACGTCGTCAAGGGCAAGCCCGCCTCCAAGGCCAACGGCGGCCCTGCCAAGTGCGGCACTTTCACAATCACCTCCGGCTGGAGTGGACAGTTCGGTCCCAACAATGGCTTCACCACTCTCTCGGTCGTCAGCAGCAAGAAGCAGATTATCTACCCCAGCTACACTGATAAGCAGCTCGCTGGTGGTAAGGTTGTCAAGCCTGACCAGAGCTACTCCCCTGCTGCTCTCCCTTAAGCGGTTATGAGATTACGATTTAGATGGAGGATATGATTTGGAGGATGAGCGATAGTAATGTTAATAATTAGAAAGTGGGTTAGAAGGACATACACCAGTATAGACTAAATAATCTGTTATACACCATTTCATGGCTCATGCAATCTCAGTGATATCTCAATTTGTGAACCATTGCATCGATGCAAGATCTGCTTGATAGGAGCTGCGGCTCAAGGTGCAATAACACCTGCATCTTTGCTTAAGCATACAAACCCCCGCTACATGATTAAGCCCTCGGCAGTCCCCGCCGATCGCCAAGCAATCACATCAGATGCGGGGTCACATCAAAAAGGGCGCAGAGCGGGAGAAACGTGGACACCAAGATCTTATCAGATCAATCTAACTCGCCACCATCACAAGGTCGCGCCTACTGGAGCGCCCGACTTTCTCAGTCACAATGGTCTTCCATCCACCATCATGGGTCCCAGATCTACCAATTGGTACCGAAAAGAATCCTTCCAGGCTATGAACTTGCTAATATGGTGCAGATCCCCCAGACTCCATCAGCGTCGCCGAGTTTATGAGCTCGGAAGAGTATGGTCGATATCCTATCAACAAGGCGCGACATCCATACACGTGCGGTTTGACTGGAAAGACGCGTACGGCCGGGGAGGTTATCCGCAGAGAGGGCTTTCTTGCGCGGGGCATTGGCAAAGCCCTCCAACTCGACTCGCAATCTGGGTCGGAATGGGATCGCGTCTTCGTCATATTTTCCCTCAACTCCGTAGGTATAGCCACCGGCCAAAAGACTGATTGTCAAGCTGACGCAGATAACAGATTGACTACATTCCCCTCACGCATTCCATCCATCGTCTCAATGGTATCGCCAGTCTGAGTAGCGCAGCCCTGTCGGCCTCGGAGTTAGAGCACCAGCTCCGCGCTTCACGCGCAAAAGCAGTCTTTACTTGTGCGCCTCTTCTCGATACAGCTCTGAAAGCTACAGAGACAGTTGGCATATCGCAACAAAATGTGTTCCTCCTTCCAGTGCCCGGCGCCACCACCACGCATGGTTTCAAGACAATCGAGGACCTCATCAATGAGGGAGACAAATTACCCGCCTTATCACCCCTTCGATGGACAAAAGGACAGGGCGCTCGACAAACAGCCTATCTCTTGTATTCGAGTGGCACTTCTGGTCTGCCGGTGAGTGCAACACCGACATGACGTGCTGCCAGCTGACTGTTTGGAAGAAACCCGTCATGCTCTCGCACTACAACATCATATCAGGCATAATCCAAACATGCACATTCGACTCCGTCTCCCGAAAAGCCGACGGAATTGATACACAAGTTATGCTTGGAGTGTTACCATTCAGTCATGTCTTCGGGCTGATGCTTATCACTCATTTAGGGACCTACCGCGGCGACGAGATCATCGTTATGCCTCGGTTCGAATTCGAGCCCTTCCTGGCCGCGGTCAGTCGCTTCAAGATACAGCAACTTCCAATTGTCCCCCCCATCGTGATCCAGATGCTTGATAGGAGAGAACTGTGCAGAAGGTATGATTTGAGCAGTGTTAGATTTGTGTATACTGGTGCTGCACCTCTTGGGAAGGAAACAGTGGATGATCTGTTGGGTATTTATCCGAAGTGGCATCTTGGGCAAGGCTATGGTAAGATTACTCAGGACCTGTGGTCCAAGTAGTCACTGACCTTGAAACAGGAATGACGGAGACAGCAACCGTCTTCATACAAAGCAGCGAACACGATACCCAAGTTGGAACAACGGGCTCACTATTGCCAGCAGTGAAAGCCAGAATCGTGGACCCCGACGGAAAAGAGATCACTGAATACGAAAAGCCAGGCGAACTACTGATCCAAAGTCCAACGGTATCTATTGGCTACTTCAACAACCCCAAGGCCACCGCCGAGACCTTCTTCGGAGATGGTACCGGCCGTTGGATTCGAACGGGTGACGAAGTGCTGGTTCGCATGTCAGAGAGTGGAAATGAGCACTTTGTCGTTGTTGATCGCGTTAAGGAGCTCATCAAAGTCAAGGTTCAAGTCCTTTATTACTTCTGCCCTTTGCTGTACTATTTCTGACTATGTAAATAGGGCCATCAAGTCGCACCGGCAGAGCTTGAGTCCCATCTTCTCACACATCCCGCCGTGAGCGACTGCGCAGTCATACAGATACCCGATGCACGAGCCGGCGAGGTTCCGAAAGCGTTTGTTGTAAAAGCAAACCATGCAGAAGAGCCTGATGAAGAACTTGTGAGGGATATCCAGCGCTATGTTGAAGAGCATAAAGCTAGGTACAAGTGGTTGAAGGGTGGAGTCGAGTTTATTGAAGCGATACCGAAAAGTCCAACTGGTAAGATATTGAGACGGAAGTTGCGCGATAGAGAGAGGGAGACTAGAAAAGCAGCAGGGGCAAAACTGTGAGGTCAACTGTATGCTCTGGTGGAAGATTTGGACATACAAATATTTTTTCTGGTCGTTGACAAACTAAAACTCATTACTTTCATATCGTTCAAACATCAAGACATATACATAATCTGAAAAGAGCCCACCCGGGCTGCTAAAAGCCGTTTACTATCGCAGCGAGCTTTGAGTTTACAGCTCCTCAGTTCCCTCAGTGTCCTCACCTTCCCCGGTCTTCTCGGCTTCCTTCATAGCACCTTGCTTAGAAGACCTCTGAGCGTGCACCTCAACCGTGATATGATCTCCGATCTGAACCTTTCCACCATACGAAAAGGTATACCTGACACCGTCAGCAGCAGGCTTCTTCTTATGCCAGTTGCTAAAATTAACAAGATCATCTACTCTCGTCAGCTTGAGCCTCTTTACGGGTCAAATCAACTTACCCTCGCACGCATCCTTTCCGGGCTCAACCTTACTTCCCGCAAACAAAGGCGCCAACCACGTAACAACACCCGGCGCAAAGAACGCGCTCCCATCAATCTCAGCGATGAACTTGCGCTCCATCTGTTTACCCTCTTTGACAAGCTCCTCATGATACTTGCGCACAGCCCAAGGAAGATTCTTATAATCCGTACGCATAACTCTGAATCCATCGGGATGCATGAAGCGATCAAAGTCACCAGGGTACGGAAGATCACGACCGTCGTCTGTCTTCCAATGGTTATCGAGGAACTCCATCGCCCATGCGATTTCTTTAGGTGCACGCGAGGGATCGGGAACGGTGTAGATCTCAGCTTCGAATTGAGAGCGTATGCGGCAATCTGTTTTCCAGAGAGATTGTTCGTTGAAGGTGGAGTCTGAAATGCGGATTTGATCCATTAATTGGGCGGCTTTGGCTTTATCACCGCGGGCTGAGGCTTCAGCTGCTTGGCGCATGATGTCGAGTCTGGCGGTGTCGCCGACCTGAATGTCGATGAGTTGCGCCGTCGCCTGAGAGGCGAGCACAGAAAGGATCGCGTTGGTCAGCTTCATTGTTGTTGTTGGTGGTGGTGAGATTGTGACGTGAAGCGGTGACAGGCTGACAAGGCTGGGCGTGAATATTTATCGCCATGACGCTCGGTCATTTCCTGTTGGAGAAATTACCGGTTTGACCTTTGAGCCAATGACTTGTCGCGACATCAGCTCTTGGTGGCCCGGAGCGGGTTATTGATTTTACTGTTGATAAGGCTGACACAGCGCTTTAAGTTGAGGTGGCACAGCACACGATAAGTCTGAGATCAATGCACGCACTTATGGCTTGACACTAATATTAGGCAGTAGCGCCCGTGCACGGGGGCCTGAGTCATAGAACAATCTTGTACTTTAATCATTAAAGGCAGAACCATAACACTTCACATACATCGTTCCGCAAACCCTCATCCCGAATCCTGACATGTCGGATCAATCACCATGCTCGATTCTTCCATCGCCCATCGATATTCCCCGCATCACTTGTACGAAGCAAGAGTCGACACTCAATTACTATGGCCCTGTTGACGCTTCACTTGCACAGCAGGCGTCTAAATTCCTCGTTAGCAATACCGATGGAGCAGAGCAGGAAGCAGAACCCATGATCAAGGCTTTCCTGGACGCTACGCACAATGACTGTACTGGCCACGCAGAGGAGAAGAAATCATGCTGGCTTACCATCCGCATCACAAAGCCTAGTACCGCATTCGAAATCCCAAGGTGGCATCAAGATGGTCCTATGTTTCCGTACGACCAAGGACGCGAAGACGCTGTGAGGAGCAAGTATGCGCTCACGTTACTCGGGCCATCTACGCTTATGCTGGAGCCAGATGAGAATGTATTCACGACGCACCGGAAAGCGGAAGCGCGGCATTTTTGGTGGTGGAATAAGGATGATGCGCCTGAGCCCTCGGAAGACGAGATCTATGAAGCAGATGACAAATTGCGGGAGTGTCTCACGAATGAGTTCAAGAATACCCCTAGAGTTCAGGTTGGACATGGGCAAGTCGTGCGTTTCAGCTGGGGAAGAGATGATAGCCCAGTCCATTCAGAGCCGGATCTTGTTTCTGATAGGGTCTTCATGACTGTGCTGTATGGAAGTGAATCGGAATTGCGAAATATGTGTGAGTGGAGAGAGGCTCAGTATGGAGAGTACTGTGAAGAGTAGCTGCCATTCTTCAACTTTTCTCAATCTTGGTTCATGATTGAAAGATATTTGAGATATACGAGAAGGATGTGGAAAGGCTTTTTGCTGCGTAAGCTCTTGTCTTGAATGCGCTTCCTTTGGATTTCCCCACGTTATATCCAGAATTCAGATGCAGCTTCTGACGAGCATGCTATTATCGTTCGTGAAATTATATCTTTTCCTTGGCCGCCGCTCTGTTCACAAAACGAAAACGATAACCTCGATCTCCATTTTCATAGGCAGCGCTGCCTTCGTCCTCAAACAAAAGACGAAAACTAAACGGGATCCAGTATTTTCCACTATCTTTGGTCATATGTGCTTATTGACAAACTGGAAATCCTTCCATCTGGGGGCGTCAGCATGACCTAAGCACCAAAATACCAAAGTTGTAAGGTGGGGCTGCTGCCTAAGAATATTCTCATATCATCATCCAACAAATCTGGTTGACTCCATTTTGAATAAAACTCTGCTGTATCAAACTCCATCAAGTGTCAAACCTGGCAGGATGAGCTTCAATTCATTGCCCGTGGAGCTGGCCGATCTCCTCGCGGATTACTGCACCCCCCACCAACTCTCGCGTCTGTCTCGCGTTAATCACGCGTTCCACGCTATTTTTAACCCCATCCTCTACAAGCGCAATGGTGCTGTTACTGGTTTACCATCTTGTTATCCATGGACCCTCGAACACGATCCAAAATACTGCGGGCAATGCCCCGTTGATAAGGCCTCAAGATCATGCCTTCATTGGGCCGTCGATCACGACTCACTCTCTACAATCGAGCTGGCCGTTGCTTATGGCTCCGATATCAACAAGATCAACGACGTTGCCGACTACGTCCCCTATGAGGCAGATAGCGCTTCTATTGCTATTTGTGGGCCCATCATTCGAGTGCAGCTCGCAACGCCACTGCATCTTGCCATCTTTCAGAAGCGCTTCGAGATTGTACGATGGCTTCTTGACAATGGTGCTCATACGGATGAAGGACCAGATAAGCTCTGCAATTGCGGGAGTTATGGAAGAGTAGGCAATACGCATCGTTGGCTACCACTACACTATGCCATACGCCACAGCACCCATGAAATCTTCCAGTTGCTGCTGGAGCGAGACGTTATTTACTCTGCGATATCCGATGACGGAAAAATCCCGGGGCTTCATTGTGCTATCGCAAAAGGGTCTCTTTCTGCGATTGATGCATTCATTCAGCACAAGAGTCTTAGTCCTAATTATCGAGACGCCAAGGGCCAGACACCACTTCATTGGGTCAAACGTTGCAATAATCAGGACGTAGCCTGTGCGATGGTCGGGAAGCTAGTCCAGTGGGGTGTTCCTCTAGACGCGGAAGCTAAAGGTCAGTGGAGAGATTGGTATGGCGGCACAGCCTTGACTGTCCTTATCAGAAGGAGAAAGTTTGAACCTGCCGTTACACTACTGCAGCTTGGGGCCGATCCGATGATACAACAGGGTGAAGATGGGTGCCTGCGGCTGTTGGAGCACTGCATCATTGGCCGTTACAGAGAAAATATTGATAAGTGCTCGCCAGATCGCGCGGAGAGAAGGAGAGAGACCGGGTTGCGTTTGCTGAACCTCCTGATCCAAAAGGGAGTTGATCCTGGCAGACCCCGTAATCCAGACAGCCAGGATGTACCAAGACCGCTGTACTCCGCACTCGTCGCGACCAGAGACGCGCGGTACATGCAGGTCCTTCTCGACGCTGGAGGAATGGCCCGGGAAGCTATCGATGAGAATCACCACGATACTCTGCTCCGAGACTTTTTCGACATGGTGGCGAATGACATGGCAATGGACTCATCTCTCCCAGAGATGAGAGAGGAAGTTGAATCGCGCAAAGAGTCAGTACGTCTGCTTCTCGATAGGGGGGCTCGAATAGACTCAAGAGACGGCCAATACTCAGCGTTGAGCAAAGCGTGTGAGATTGAACAGGGTTTTGGGATACTCAGCTTTCTCATTGAGAATGCAACTTGCAGGAATACAGAAGTGGAATATGTTGTTACTTTAAGGGATACGTATATGCGGGATGAACCCTTATGGAAGAAACTGGATCGGTTCTATCATAAGTTGGTGGCCGAGAACGGTGATCGAGAACAAACACATAGTACTAATGAATCTGCATGAAAAGAGCGTATTCATATAACTACATGCGGACTATTCATTCTTATATATGTATAGAACCATTTGACTCGTGTGGGGAGAAGAATGCTGTGCAGTGGAGCTCTCAGAAGCCCAAGTATATCCAGCTAAACTGAAGGTTGAGAAACGCAATAATGACGCTACCCAAGTGACTTCTCCGCGGATGAAGAAACAGGTTCCATTCCCTCTTAAAAGAACGCAAATACCTTGGTACATTAATTCCACATAAACCTCACATTTCAAGACGCCACGGAAACGTCAATCAAAGCCACAAGACATCCCATGTAACGGACGCAGTTTCCTAAGAAACCGCGAAGGAAGAACAACTATGCTTACACCGACTATTCGGATCAAAACACCCGACGTCCCAACGACAAGCATATTTGCAGTAGTCCCTCAAGCCTCAGCCACAAAATCCCTGAAATTAGACGCTCTCACTATCCTCATTCAGTGTTAGCAGGTCAATTAGCGCCAGGAGTTCTAGAAATTTATCGATTTTTGGCCTCAATAGCGCTTAAAACTATTGAGCCCCGACCGTTCCAAGGGTCCACCAATTACGCCCAAAAACACCAAAATCCACTTACAAATGTCACGATGAGAGAAAGCGATATGGCCTATTTTGCTTCGTCGGGTTCCCTCCGCCGATTTTATCAGACGACTGGAGCTATTATCTGCTAGTAACCGGCTGAACAAAACGCCTCATGAGGCTATTGAGAGATATCCGAGCGGTCTTTGCCGTAGCTAAGATGAGTATGCCCCTTGTAGTTTCGACGATGACCATATAATACCGATCTCCTTCCCATTTCTTCCCGCTTTTACTGTTTTGCTTGTCTCTTTTGCGCTCATCCAGTCACTCATTCATGATGCGTTCTATCCTGGCATTGGCGGCCCTCGCCACCGTCGACTTCGTCGCGGGAAGCGCCTGTAAGCCCAAGTCCAGTAATACCATCCCTACGATCATTTCATCATCTATCGAATCAACAAGCTCAGCGACCGCTACAAGTGTCGTCACTCTCCCTCGAGTGCGAAATTTGGCCACTAATGGAAATATGGCCGAGATCGATCCCAATAATCCTCTTTCTGTTCCTGGTTGGGAAGTTGATGGTGACGGTCGTATTGTCGGGGGTGCTGGGCGTGAAGAGCCTGGAAGTACTGAGCGAGGCTGCGCTGCGATGAGTGCTTCGAATACCGGTGATGGAAAGCGTGCTTTGGGGATTTCTGTTAGTATCTCGCAGACAATGTCCAACTTGGATCTTTCGACGCCCTACACCATTCGCTTCTACTACCTTGTCGTTACATCGCCTGCGGCCATCAACCTCTGCCAATTGACGGGCTATCTCGGCGGTTCCGTCTTCTACCAGAACTGGGTATTCAGCACTGGTACAGCCGTGTCTTGGAACGAGGTCCTCCAGGCTGTCACTCCGGCACAGGTCAATGCTCCTCTCCGCATCGCGATGAACTGTCTTATTGGTGGTGGAGCGACTGTGCTTGTTGACTCTGTATTCATCTCCAACGCTGTCACGCCACAGAACATCAACGACTTTGCTGTCAACTTTGGCAATACCGGTACTGGTGCGAACCCTCCTCTTGATCCCCCTCTGGTTGGTCCGCAGACGACCACTAGCTCTCCTCAGCAGGAGACTACGTCTGCTACTCAAGAGCAAGAGACTACGTCCATCTCCCAGAAGCCAGAAACTACGTCTGCTGCCCCAGTACAATCCACCGAGACAGGAACCACTGGTCAACAGAACCAGGCAACTTCAACTCAGCCTGCTTCACAACAGACCTCAACTGGTAACTCCGATGTCGAGACTACTAGCAAACCGGTCTCTGAAGTTCAGACCTCAACTGTGCCTGTTGTAGGCACAACCAGCACAGCACCTGAGCAACCATTCTGCTCCAAGGCTCTCAATGGAGGCTGCTGGTGGAAGCGTCCTGACAATGGCAACGACATGGTCAACTGTGCCAGCCGAGGTTCCTGGCCCGGGTCCACTGGACAGGGCCGTCTTGTTCCTCGCCCCGATAACTACCCTCTGCCCTTGAGTCAGCTTTGGTGCTTGGGCTGGTGCTCTCTCTCCCCTGGCTGCAAGTCCGTTGCGTTCATCCCCGAGGACCGAACATGTCGCTTCTCAGAACATGAAGTTCAGGATTCTGACTTTATTCCTGGTCCTGATCCTAATATCGACACTGAGGGCGTGTTTTACTGGCATGATCTTTCTTGCTTTAACTGTCCTTGTAACGACGAACCTGCCCCTACCTCTGTTGCAACAACCACTCAGTCCAGTGAACCTACCGAACTGGCTAAACTGCCTGCTGCATCAACCTGCCCCAAGTCCCTTGACGACGGTTGCCAGTGGAACGAGAGGTCCCAGGGCGGTAGTCTCCCATCCTGCGCCTATCGTGGTCGATGGCCTGGAAGCGACGGTGCTGGCTTTGCTATTGAGCAGCCCCGCGACTATCCTATGGCTTTGAGTCAGATGTGGTGCGTTGCCTGGTGCTCGCTCTACCCTGGTTGCAAGTCTGCAGCTTGGATGCCCAGTGACCGATCCTGTCGCTTCTCCACGCACCAAGTCTCAGATGATGACTTCGTCATGGCTGATGATCCCAACCAGGATTCCGTCGAGGATGGCATCTACTACTGGCACGACCTCGACTGCATGACTTGCCCGTGCCGTGACGACCCTGCCAGCGAGACCACCTCTTTGATTCCTGCAGAGTCTACCACTCTCGTCCGCGCTGTCACACCCAAGCCAAATACCGCCGTATCTATCACGGCCACTACCCAAGCTGTCACAGGAACCCCAACACCTGGTCCCGTGGAGCAGCCCTGCGACTGGTCCTTCGGCCAGGGTATCTGTCAGCGACCTTTCGAGAAGGAGCAAGGTCCCTGCGGTGGAAGACTCATGATTGTCAACCCATCACAGTACAGAAAGCTACCGCTTGACTGGAAGCCCACAATCACAGAGCCTGTCCAATGTGCTATCATGTGTCACACTAACCCTGATTGTTACGCTTGGGGTTTTGAGTGGAGCACGAACATGAACTGTGTTCTTTCTCTTGGACAAACGGAAGTTGATCAACTGGAGGTTGTTTCTTCGGGACCTCAGTATCGTTGGTACTCTCATACATGTTGGGAGTGTAGGGACTGTGTTACTCAGTGGAACTGGTCTTGGGATGCTGAGCCTGCTGGAAACTAAGAAGGTTAGACTATAGTTAAACGGCGCTGATTAAACCTGTACTATTAATATATTAATTTGTTCAGCGGAGTGGAAATCTAACACGATATGTGAATATTTCATCAAAAGAGTTACCAGTCAGAGTTTCTCTGATGACGATCGGTGATTCTATGTCACTGAACTCCTTATCCATATGGCTTTAAGCCGATTGACATTGATGCATGTTGCATGATGCCTCGATCACGTCATGCGTGGCGACCCATATGAGAGAGAAACGCGTCGACAACGAGGCGTCATACTGTCCAATTCTCTAAACCATCTCTTTATTTTCGCATATCCACGTCGTATCTTTGATTTCGAACCAAGGAAGCTGACAGTTTTGAAGCCTCAGCTATCACACCCCAATTCATTATTGTTGAACTCGCCACTGCCTAACTATAGGTGGGTTATGAGGTTGAGGGGTTGAGAGAAGCTTCAGCCCTAATACAAACACAAAGAGCATATATCAAGGCAATATATTGATGCCCCTCCCTGATGTCCTACGAAAAGCTTCAGACTGAAAAGCCAGTTATTAAAATGGCCGAAAATCCCCTCTCTGATGCAGTATAAAGAACCTGCCTGGTAACTGGCTCACAATGCTTCGACGGGTATATAACCCGCACTCGGATACCGTCACTACAGACTCGTTCTTCGCAATCACAATACTGCACTTCTGACCTCCGCGACCTCACAAACCAGTCTCTTCTCAACAATTTAAACACAATGACTGCATCAATCAAGGCCCAAACGGCACCGAAGCCAGATGCTCCAGGCAAAGAAAAACCGGTTGCTCAAAAGAACAAGACAAACACCGAATCCACTACCAAGGCCGATAGGACGGGCACTGTACCGAAAGTTGGATTAGGATTGCCTGGGGTCCACTGCCCTTGTAAATGCGGATGCGATGAGTTAAACATAACATTCACTGTTCATAAGAAGCACTGAATCAACTATAGAGGTACTTACTGGTCACAAGATTAAGCGGTAGGCAGCTAACACAGATGAAAGGAACCCGATTTTTTTTTCACGATGTTAGCTTCTACCCAAAAGCTTCCATGGCGGCTGAATCATAGAACTTCATATGTATCCTTTGCAACTTGCTTGGGCACGGACTGTAACCGACATCGAGTCTGCTTGCGAACCGTGCATATCTTAAGATGGGAACCTGATATCATAAATAATAAGAGATTAACACGGAAGATGCTATGGAAATGTACGAGAAACTTGCTGCACTGTGAATTTGTAGTCCTTGACTTGCTGTGACCCGCCATCTAGCTTCGGTGAGATGGCCGAGTTGGTTATGGCGCCAGGTTAAGGTCAACCTTAACACCAATTTCCTGGTGGAGCAATCCTCCTGGGTTCGAGTCCCAGTCTCATCAGATATTCATTTTTGCAGTTCCACACTCCTTCTACATCTCTGATTCACCGTCTCTTGAAACATATAAATACCTGCCATCCTTCCCAATTTCTCTCCTGCGTTATTTCCCATAACTATACTTCCACGAACAAGCATTCTATAAACCTTTGACCTGTACCTCACGATATATATAGTAAAATGACTTCATCCAACAAGAACCCATCCTCTGAGGCTCCCAAGAAGGGTGATAAGGAAACCGAGACTTCTGCCGCTAAACCAGAGGTTTCAACAAAGGCCACAATCCCTGCCCAGCATACCAAGAGTGACAATAAAGAAGGCTCGGCGAATCCAATCGTCACTTTTGCTAACGGGGCATGCTATTGTAGATGTGGCTGTTCGGCGCCACTGACCTACTACGGCAGGTGCCCGACGTGCGTGGCATATTGCGAGATTACTTCCTAAGAAGTTTTATCAGAGCTTAGACTAGGTCTACTTGTAGGGGCAAACAATAGAGGCATTTAGATTCTGAACTTATTCCATCTTGCTACGGGAACTAAAGGGAATAGTGAATGTTATGTTGAGAAAAGCTATCAGGCTAACAGCGGAGATCCCGGATATAAATCTAGCCCTGGTCGCATATTTGGAAGATGTTTATTGTGAGCCACTTCTTATCAAGTCGTTGCTTTCAAGAGATCTTTTATTGTCAGAAATCTCCTCGTTAAGGCCTCACACTCTATTTCACCTATATGTCCACTAGCCACATTAAGGAACTTCCCTCTAGCTTTATGACATTCAGGGTTTGGAAAGACATAGAGCCGATAAAATCGAGTACACAGGCATGCTGTGCCTAAAAGAATTGCTGCCATTGTAGATTCATTAACCTCTTGACGGCGTGAAATACTCGTTACTACTGGTATTACGTATGGTTTGAACGAGTCGAGAGTTCGCGAAGGACCAGGAAATGAACTCAATAACGAGAAGCAGTTTGGAAACATCATTTCGAACAAAAAGAATGGCTGGAAAGTGAGACAATGCTCAAAAAGATCGACCACGCCAGGATTCGAACCTGGAATCTCTAGAGATTACGGGTGATGAGAACCGAAATCTAGCGCCTTAGCCATTAGGCCACGCGGCCGGAGTTTTTTATGACGATGGCCTCACTCCGAGGCTCCATACACTGGGACGGTGTGAAAATTCGACGGCGAGCGATGACGTTCGTGTCTCTTGTCTGAGAAATATATAGAGCACGCATTTGGTTGGAGTGGTGTAGTATTGAATGCCATCAGTGATTCTGTACTGGAGCGTTCGAAGCGGCTTGATGCTCATCAAGGTCCAAAGATACAATAATCGGCGCATCAGGCATTCTACGATGTCATCGCAGCTTCAAAATCGTTTAAAAATTTCCAGTGTGTCTTCTCTTTCCAGCCCTTTTCCTTCCAATTATTCGCTTGCTTCGGGAACGTATCGATAACACCGAACATGGACGTATCATGTGCAAACACGAAGAAGACATTGTCCTGTGCATCTGCCTTCTGAGCCTCTTTGATCGTCTTTGTCGCCAGTTCCTTGTCGAAGCCAATTGCTGGGTCAAAAAAAGTTTCTCCCAGGGCTCGTCCACGCTTGACATTCATGTCGTCAAATGCCCTTCCAGGGCATTGTGAATGGTGAAAGCGGAGAGAATCGGATAGAGATAGATGCTGGGAGAGATTTGATGGGTATGTTAGATACTTTGAAGGACGTAATTCGCCTCCATGGTGGCAGAGATCCCCACCCATGAAGATGAATGTGTCTGGGCTGGTAGTTGTACGAGCAAGACCTGCTAAATGTCCAATATCATGGCCTGGCGCATCAAGAAGATAGAATGACCCGTTGTCGAAGAAGTCAAAAGCTCGAAATGGGCCAATCTGAAGGGGCTTGTCTTCAAAGTTGATCTCTTTCAACTCTCTGCCCCTGGGGTCCTGTCAGCTCTCAGGAAGAGAAAACTGCGTTGGTGATACCTACTCAAAGTCTGCTTCATGCACGGGAGAGTCTGGGTCAGCGGGATACCCAGGTAGAAAGGCTTCCTTGAATCCTGGTCCAACGATGAGTTCCGTTGACCGGGGAAAGGTTGTAATATCTCCAATATGATCAAAATGGTGATGACTAGGCAAACATTAGTAAGTGACTCAAGACATGGATATCCTATACTACGAACCTCCAGATCACACTATCGATTTCCGAAGGCTGCACTTTATTCTCAGCAAGGATATCTGCAACATTCTTCGGCACATCCACATCCCAATGCGAGTTTCTTCTTATCGTATTGGCGTACTTGGGCGAGAAATTCTTCAACGGCTCCTTCGGGACACCCAGATCAAAGACTGCTTTCTTCCCCGAAGCACTTTCAACAAGAAATGACCACGTTGTCAAGGTTGGCATCGCATCAAGGCCTTTCATGGCAGGTTTCATAAGATGAGTGAGTGGCATACCCGACAATCTCAAGCTGGAGTCAATGATACTGACTTTGGCAGCTTTGCCCTCAGGTACGTCAAATCGTGGTCGTGATAGCATCCTCAAGAATAGATATAACAGGCGAAGATGTATGTTGCTTGCAAATTTGCCCAGGAGAAGGAATTGCCATGTCCTTTATACTGACGGTCGGATGGCGGGTAGTAAGGTTAGCACGGAACACACGGCTTATGAATTACGACGTCATAGGTGGCTTACTCAGGCGAGACGGACTTGAGCCATTGCTCGCTCTTAGAAATCGCTAGTACAGTTTATTCAAGAATGAACTTATGGTTTAAGAAACGAATTCGGCATTGCTTGTTGAATCACCTCAAGATTAAGGTTGCTTGAACAGTTTCCGCGCCGTGGTTACAAATACTGTTGAATTGCATCTCAATCGTTCAAGATTGACCAGAACCACTTTGGACGCAGGGTAAGATGGAAGATATGACCTAACATGGTAAGCATTCTCTTGACATATTCTACCATACTTCACAACTACTGCAACCATGAGACACATCTTGTGGTCAAAAAAGGCCATTGAGCGATTTGCTAATGTTGAGTCAGAGAGGCACAGCTCTCTATGCTATCTATACTTAAAGCTAGAGTGTTTAGAGATAAGCTGACATGCAGTGTCGTATCCCTGACCATGTCATAGCCAAGACTCAGCCCTACCCGACAATGGTATTTAGAGGCGGAGAAGCCCTGTATTCCCTTATATGGCATTTTTCAGGCACTCAGCTCTCCCAGTGATCAAACATGATGGTGGGAAATAAACGCCTGCTCCTGTTGACCAATAGTGACTTCGGTCAAGCCAATGTAGTCCTCGCTACTGCTCACGAACTCGGTCTTGCCTGCCAAGATGTCGAAATCCATATTGCTTCATTTCAAGACCTAAGAGGCGGAGTGAATGATGCCTCAAGATTCATGCAGGCAATCGCAGCTCAACAGAAAAAGAAAATACCTACACCCTTTGTGTTCCACTAGATTGAGGGAACGAGCTGGGGACCGGCTACCAAACGTCCAGAAACGGCAATCTTCGAGACGCTCGAGCTAACTCCAGGACCCCTAAACTCGGCAAAAGGCATCGCTATTCTTCCGGCTGTCATGATCCCTTGGAGTCCGAAAGAGTTTCTCGATATCTACAAGGAAACAGGACGAGTATTTGATGAAGCCAAGCCTGATCTGACCATCGTCGAACCGCTATTCACCCAAGGCTTAACCTATTGCCACTACCGAAGTGGTGTCAGATGGATGGTCCTTTCGCCGAATACAATTAAAGAATTTGCCGTTCTGCTGCAGCCAAAGCTAGCCGCTCTGTGGAAGTATCCAATGCAAGTTATGTTTCTAAATCGGCAAGTGCGCTTTTATGCTAACATAACTAGTGCTTATTAAGCCCTGCCTTGTCCCATACCGTAGGGTAAGATCCCGTAGAATATGTACTTTTCATGGCTGGATACACTCTGCTTACTGACACTAGGCTAAAAACGACTACCGAGATACTTCACAAAGAGATTGATCCATCCATAGCCTTAATGACCATGGTGGAGCTAGGTGTTTTGAAGCCCGCGCCGCCAGGTCTGCCAATCCTTGTCGCCAGCAGTCCTGATATAGACTACCCGTTCAGTATCGTACCTCCACAGCTCACATTGTGCGGTCCCATCATATAAGCCGCTCCACCTATCAGGGAAGTTAATGCTGTTTTAGCTGAACCAAATTCTGTACTTGAATCACAAAGCATTGTTTGTTCTGTGAGTCACGGCGGAGCTAATTCCTTCTACGAAGCGTTATGGTGAGTCTATTCCGAAGATGTGTTGCACCCTCCGACAATGTGCTTAGTTCTAGAATCTCTTAGGCGCTTCTACCCGCTTGGGTAGACTGCTATGACTTTGCGAACCGCGTTGAGCTCCTTGGTATTGGGCGTTGGGCGAATAAGGAAGCAAAGCCTAGATGGAAAGAGGACGAGCTCGCCGAGGCATTGTTGGAGATTCTCTTTGGACCGGAGTCCGCGGGGATGCGAAAGAAGGCAGAGGAGGTTGGGAGTCGTCATCCGGAATGGGGGGGCCGATAAAATGCTGCTCAAGAGATCCGTAACTACTTAGTAAGGTCGGGGTAAATGAATGATGTGAGACAGGACGGATAAAATCTAGGCTCAGTGGTAGCCTTGATGCAGTTCATAGATGAAGCCATACTGATGACACTATGAGGTCAGAAATTCTGGATTAAAAGCACTGCCAAATGTTATTAATGTGCAGCCAGCACTCCCATAGCAGAGGAGATGGTTCAACGCATGGTGAATCTTCATCGACATGAATAATGCAACACCTGTTTCCTTTGGACTCGTGGGGTCAATAAATGGTGTTAGCATGGTATCCCCGCAAAATGTAACATGACGTTCTAATGAAGGATTGAAGGATCGGCAACCTCGGCACGTTCCAGGTGAGGAGAAGACTAGGGAAGATCCGAGGCGCGTCTCTCGCACCTCAACTTAACTCAACTTAATTCTAAACAGCCCCAAGATTCATAGGAAATCACCCACTATATAAGCATCTCACATTCCGAATCGCAAAATGGCAGATGAAGTTGAACCCAAGAGGCTGAGCCAACCATTCTCAATCCCAGACCCAACCAGCTTCTCCAACTTCCAACGCGACATCTACCAATCCTTCCGTCCACCAATCTTCTCAACAAACCCCACAGAATGGGAGTCCCTCGCCAAGGAAAAGGTCCCCGCCACCAACTTTGGCTATGTGTACGGTTCAGCTAGCAGTGCTGCTACTGCAAAGGCAAATAGCGAGGCTTTCAGTCGGTACCGCCTGAAACCGCGTTTTCTCGTTGATGTCACCAGGCGTGATGTTGACGTTGAGCTGTTCGGAACCAAGTATAAGAGCCCGCTGCTTGTAGCGCCCATTGGTGTGCAGAGTATCTTGCATCCTGATGCGGAAGAAGCCACGGCGAGGGCGTGTCATAATGTTGGCATGCCGATGATTCTATCGACTGCTGCGACGCGAACGATTGAGGAGGTCGCTGAGGCGAATGCAGATGGTGATCGATGGTATCAACTCTACTGGCCAAAGCCCCAATTTGAGGAGGTTACAGCCAGTCTTCTCGCTCGTGCGAAAGCTTCAGGCTACAAGGTTCTCGTCGTCACGCTTGATACCTTCTCACTTGGCTGGAGACCTACAGACCTTGACACGTCTTACTTGCCGTTCATCTGGGGCCAAGGTTGTCAGATCGGCTTCTCGGATCCTGTATTCAACAAGCTGTTTGATGAAATGCAAAAGAATGATTCGCGAACCATTGCGGAGAGGCTCGCTGAGCTTTGGACGATCATGAGACGGCCTGGGACCGTCTACGGAGCTGCGAGGGTTCTGGCTAATGCAAAGACTCTGATCAAGTCCAAAGCTTGGATTGATGTGATCAATTCTGGTACATATCGCTCGTGGGCAGACTTGAAGATCTTGAAGGATCTCTGGGATGGACCAATCGTTCTCAAAGGGATTCAGACCGTGGATGACGCTCACCTGGCTATCGAGCATGGAATCGACGGTATCATCGTCTCTAACCATGGCGGTCGACAACTTGACGGTGCCATAGCGTCACTCGATGCCCTGGCAGATATCGCAGCGGACAAAAAGGTCAAGGATTCAAATTTGACCATTATGTTTGACAGCGGTGTCCGAACTGGTTCAGACGTCTTGAAGGCATTGGCCCTTGGTGCAAAGGCAGTGTGTATCGGAAGACCGTATGCTTATGGTCTAGCTGCGGGCGGACAGGAAGGCGTTGAGCATGTTTTGAAGTGTTTGTTGGCGGATATGGATAATATGCTTGCGAATGCTGGCAAGAAGAGCGTTCGGGACCTGAGTAGAGATGATCTCCAGATCTTGCCGCTCTCCAAGATTTGATCGCATGTATGCATGGTACTCTATGTTCTACTCGATCATACATTTCTTCCCGTATGTTTTATGGCCTTCGGCTATATCAAGAAACATGTTTATTAGTGCTGGTCTTAACGCCGAAATGTTGATCATACGAATCGACCAATCATGGTTGACATTGAAGTTATCGCCGAAGCCCACTTGCGTCACATCTCCGTTGCCATCGGCGTTCAGCCCGGTACCAAACAGGGAATCAGAAGGATCAAAGTGCCAAGGCTTCAGTCAGACATATATAAATGAGACTCTGATAGATGCTCAATTGCCGTGTTAAACATCTCCCATTTATTCTCATTCAGCCATAGCCATGGAGGCTCAACCAAATTTCCAAACCTTTAAGGGTAAGGTCGCTATCATTACAGGCGCTTCTCGAGGCCTTGGAGCAGGGTTTGCTTACGAACTCGCCAAACGAGGCGCAAAGGTGAGCCAGTTTTGAGTCTCGTTATACAGCAGCACTAAGCATGACAGGTCGTCGCTACATACACTTCCCCGAGCAGCGAAAGGCTAGTGAAGGAGTTGTCCGACAAAATCGCATCACTCAATCCACCATCAGAATGTATTGGCGTCAAAGCAGATCTCAAAGACGAGTCATCTCCCGCAGAGATCGTTCGCCAAGCTGTCGCTGCATTCGGCCATCAAATCGATATCCTTGTCAACAACGCTGGTATGGAAGTCGTCAAATCTCATACTGACATCACAACATCCGACTTTGACTCAATCTTCTATCTCAACGTTCGCGCTCCTCTTCTTCTTCTCCAAGCTGTAAAACCCTATCTCCCTTCCTCAGGTGGCGGCCGTATCATCAACATCTCATCTGTTGGCGCACGCTGCGGTTTCAAGAACCTCTCCCTGTACTGCGCTTCCAAAGCTGCACTTGAAGGACTCACTCGCTCATGGGCAGCTGAGCTAGGTGAAGAGGGTCATACGGTAAATGCGGTTAACCCTGGACCTGTGCAGAGTGATTTACTGGATAATATTCCAAAGGAGATTGTAGACATGCAGAAGAAGCAGACTGCAGCGGGGAATAGGTTGGGTGAGGTTGATGATGTTGCGCAAATTGTTGCATGGTTGGCTTCGGAGGAGAGTAGGTGGATTACGGGACAGGCGTTATCTGCCAGTGGTGGGTTGGAGATGTATTAGTATCACAGGCGGTTGTCACCTAGCAATGGTCTGCTAGATGTTCTGGAACATGATGATGCGATCAGCATGAGAAGGACATGGCTGCTAGTTCCATACTGAGCCTCTATGACAATAGATTTATTTCACAAAACATCACATCGCAAATTATAGGAACATGAATTCACGTTTGAATATGTATACTGAATTCATCATCACTTCTACATACGTCAATGTCATCAGCATTCTAAAACGACTCCTGCGCCGGCCTCAAGTCCAACTCATGAACCCAAAGCGAACTCGGCTGCTGTGAAAGCCACAAATAAGTCTGTCCCACATCCTCAGCCCTCATATGCTTACCCGTCCTGGTCTCTTCAGTATCCTCATCGGTGATCCGTCCATTCGCGATAGCATGCACGCACTGAACGCCAAACTTGCTATGCTCTTTCGCAATAGCCTGTGCGACCATCCTAGCTGATGCGCGAGTGGCTCCATAAGCGGCGTAGCCAGTGTTCGTACGCATGGCTCCCAGGGTACCCGTGAAGATAATGGTGCCTTTCTTGGCGCCGCTTGTATCGGCAAGGAGGGTCTGGCCGCCATTTTGCTCGTACATGAGCTTGAGAGCTTCTTGGGCGAAGACCACTGCGCCAGTTGTGTATACCTGCATACTTTTGCTGAACTCTTCGGGAGTTTCCTCAAGGAAAGGCTTTTTGCTGGCATGTTTGACATGATAAATCGCAAGCTTTAGCTTGAGATCCTTGAAGTCGGCATGGTTGGCGATGTCTTTGAACGCTTTGCGTAGGTTCTCCGGCTGAGTGTCTGTAGGGAAAGAGTGAAGAACACCATCCGTTTCTTTGCGGAGTGAGTCGCGTAGACTGTTGAGGTTGTCGGCATTGCGGGCCAAGAGAGCAACAGCAAGGTTGCCGCCATCTTGACGGGCGAGAACACGAGCGATGCCGCGACCGCTTGTTGGACCGGCTCCAATGATGATTGCAAGACCTGAGGGAGTCATTTTATAATGCTGAGATGTTTCTTGACAGAATTGTTGTTAGATGAGAATCTTCTGTGTGTTTATATAAATATCGGGTCGAATACGTCATGTCGTTACTTTGATGATGACTCTCCCAGCCGTTAAGTCCGAAACTGATCAGGTAAGGATCTCCACAACGGAACGTCAACTAGATATATTCTTGGATATAATTGGAATTTTGACAAATTTCGACACGGCCTATCCTTGAAACACTTCAGCTGTGAGACAGAATATTTCCTGTGTTGAGAATGGTCATGTATTGTAAGATGGCACACATAATTCAGCAATGACGACTGTCGTAAGTTTCGATTAAACTCCCTTTCCGTAATAGCTTCCCGATCACTCCCCTAGAACAGAAGAGTTTTAGGCCCGTTGTCATTCAGCTCAAGACCCTTCTTCATCCTCTCTCGCCTCTGAACAACCCATTCTATCCACCTCGTTGCCTTGGTCGCATTGCGGTCTCGGAAACTGTCATCGTATGTCCACTTCGCAACATCACACGCTTTCAATCTCTCATCCATGACAAATGTTTCCAACTCTTCACCGTTGACCCGAAAATTAATGCTTTCAGTAATATGTTCGTGGAGGACCAAACAATGTTCAATGGTATAACGGCTTGCCCCCAATACCCACCTAAGATTTCTGGTCATGTAGTGAGCAAGCTTCCCTTCTGGCGGCTCATCGTCATCTACGCCAGAAGAGAAGGCGCTGAGGCGCAGTCGACCTCGTCTGTCCCTGTCCAATCCATCGAGCCTTGTATGATCGGCCCCGTCCGTTGGAGCTACAACGTTGACGTCGATTTTGTTTATGATGTAGCAGCGATTACCAATATGTTGAGAGCCGATACAACCGGGGCCTTCGCTGATTAGATCTGTGAGGAGCTGGTAAAACCCCCAAACGGCGCCCTCGGGTCCTCCATCGCCACGTCGAAAACTCAGACTTCTTTTGAAACGATCATCGAGGTGGTCGGTAGGTTCAAAAATGCGCATTGTCGCTGTGACTTTGTCGATGTATCTTGAGGCTGGGAGCTTCGGAATATCCCATGTCGTCCAGAGGCCATAGTTCTTGACAAACATGATGTCGACGTGATAGCTGTTGGGCAAGCGACTGAGAACATCTTGTACTTCAGCGTGGAATTGCTTGCAGACGAGTAACAAGCCCAGGGCCTTATTCTTGGGCGGCAGTTTCCAGACTCCTCGGCGGGATTCTGTTCGGCCGTCTTGGCTCTCTGAGGGATTGATTGGCACGACTGGCGCTGTGATGACGTGCGCGAAGATGGTTTGTCGAATCTCGACAGGAATAATTTGTAGTCCCATGGTCAAAAAGCTTGGTGATGAAAAGTCAGAAAGAGCGAAAGCGAAAGTCGGATGCTGAAATATGAATTCAGTTTGAGGCTGCATAAGCAGCACCCCCGCTTGTCCGTGTCCGTGTCAGCCTGAAGGCATCATTATATAATCACCAATTGCTCAAAGCCGCACGGTCACAAAACATCTTTCCGCCATTGGACAGGCTCATTGAGGGTTTATGCGAGGATGAGGCTCTTTGGCTGTATTGGAATAACAGAGGACTAAACGTTTCTTAAACCAGCAGGCAGCAAAGGCTGACTCAATCCTCAGATAGATGCCTTACTGGCAAATCGTCCAAATCACAAGAAATCATACCCATTTTCTCCATCCATAGGATATTCATACAGAGGTTCATTCGGCCATCCTGCGTATCTTCCATAATAGCCCTCATAAGCCAGAGCGACAGCTGTGAGACCAGCTGAGAATGCCTCCCACGTCGCAATTGTTCTCCAAGCAGGTCCTTGCACCCAAAAGATTCTTGCTGAAATGAATCGTGCTAGGGTGAGGGTAAAGAAACCACGGTTCTCTTGATAGGCAGCCAGCATGTAGTAGATGCCGATGCCGATGATGGCGACTGAAAAGCCGTTGAGGGCGGGGAGGGCTGAGTCTTGGAGTTGTTTTGCGGCGAGAGCCTTGCGAGGGGAGATGAGATTGCTGACGCCGTGGTTGAATGCGCTGAGGCCGAAGATGAAGATTGTTATGGCGGTGATTGAGGGCATTTTGGTGTTGTAATTAATCGACCTTGGTTACAAAATGACTAACGTTAGGACAAAATAAGGTTCCATTACTTGACAACAGAATTTGGTGAGGACAGATCTCAACATTTGTTCAGCCATGCCAGATCCACGTGCGAGGTTTACTAGGGCTTACATGAAAATACAACTCGTCAGTTGCATAGTCGAGCATCATGGCGTTTTCTTCTCACTTTGATTGATCAAACGATGAATGCCTGACAATAATTTGAGATTATCATTAAATCGAGTAACTTCTCATCGAAATGTCTGTCATAAGCTACAAATAGAAGCCAAATATTTCCTATCGTGACATCCCGTACTATACAAAGGAGAGGGACATGCCAGAGGTAGCTGACATACTCAGTGATTTGCTATCAATATCTAACCATGCTACATCATTTTAGATGCTAGCAACAGCCACCTTGGCAACAAGACCAAGAATACCGGCAGCAGTGATCACATCGTCAGATCTCTTGAATCCTTCCTCCAAAGGCAGACGCTCCTCCTCTGCAAAACGTTAACATAATTTCGATCTGCTCAACAGGTTTACTTACGGAACAATGTTTTGACCCACTCGGTCTTTGCATTTCCATCGTTCAAGTTTCCAAAGACAGACAGGTAAAGCGCAGTCTCGATGAAGCTGAACTGCTGAAGATCGGCAGGCAGCGAGAACTCGGGGTTGGCAGCTTCAGCGGCTTTGAGACGCTCCTTGCGAGCCTTGGCGGCGGTCGCAATGGAGATGGTGGGCTCGGTGAAGTGAGAGGCTGTGGAGGCCCAAATCGTCTCGTTGAAGCTGTGATTATCGCCGAAGAAGATGTCGCTGCGACTCAGACTACCATCGTGCTCGATAACTACTACAATTAGCTTCTACGTTCGTGATACATGTCGGAATACTGACCGCCGTGCTTGTTCAGGTCATCGAGGTTGAAGGTACCGTTGTTTCCAGTGGTAAGAGCCTTCTGGCCAACAAGAGCTGTCGCAGCTGGGTCGAGGTTGATGGCGTCAGTGAAGGCAACGATGAGATCTTCAAGCGAGATATGGAGGCCGTCGCGAGGGAGATATCCGTGATTGGCGAGCGAGTTCACCATGGGACAAGGGCTTCGGCCTGTAATTGTTAGCTACGGATCATCATCATTGGGCCAATCGTCTTACGATCGGACGCAGTAGGTGCTCGCCACTCATTGCTGGCGGTAACAGCCAAAGCTGCAGAGCAAAAGAAGGCAACGTTAAAAAGCATCGTGATTTCTTCAACAAAGTCCAAAGAACACAGAACTCAAATCACAAGCAAAAGCAGTCTCCTTATGGCATTTTATCAACATTATCCCCTGAGCGACGATCATCCTTCACATTCTATTTTAGCTCCCTCCAATTTGTCGTGGTCAATGCCGAGGCTCACGGACGACTTCCAGAAGAGGACGATGCCGTTGATTTGGAGTCGCAAGATTGGTGCAAAATCGCCGCGCGACTCGGACGAAAGATGCAGGTCCGGAGATGAACCAATAATAGGGATTGTAATTACCATCTTAAAACGCCAGGTTAATGCTTGGACCCCTTGTTGTGGAGATGGTGAGGGTCCGGGTGGTGAACCGAGCCTAGGGTGAATTACTTGGAAAGGCAGCTCGTGATACCCTGTAGATATTTACGTGTTTTATAAGGTTAAGATGGGATTTGTTCCGATAGAGTTTCGGCGTGTACGTCTAATCTGTCCTTTGGAGATAGGTGAGCGGACAATGGCTTGTTTTTTATTCGTAAGTTCATTACTCTCCCCGACTAGACTTGTGAGTGGCAAGATGCTGAGACAATTGAATGGCAATGAGCATGCCAAGCCGGCAATCATCCTGATGCTAGGATAGAACAAAGCACACAATGCACGAGGAAATGCGATACATGATAAATAATAGCAGATAATGTATGGAAATAGCTATGCGTATGGTATCCAGCAGTAATCGATGTACACACTGCATCAATAACTACTCAATTGCCAGCAACAGCTTCCAGAATTTCCATAACCTCCTCCGTCTTCGTAATCGCATAAGCATTCGTCTTGATCCAAATATCATTCAGACTATTCGCAGCCAGACCCGAAAAATGCTCAGACGTAACTCCGACATCTTTCAAAGTCCGCGGCATTTCTAATTCCCGAATGATCAAATCGAGAATATCCCCAAGATCAACCTCTTTCTCTGAAACGTTTTTCTCAGCCAGCAGAGGCTGTACAGTTTCCTGCTTTAGCAAAACGTCCACTGTACGCTTCTGCCGAACGTTGTTGGCGTTCTTGCGAGCGTTGAACTTGCAAACGGCCGGTAAGAGGATACAACTCGTCTCGCCGTGTCCGACGTTCAAGGGTCCGAGTTGGTGGCCTATCGCGTGACTTGCGCCCAGTGGTACGCCTGAAGAAACGGCACGCATGGCTTCGACGACGCCGGTCTGACAAAGATGGCGAGCATCGAGATCCTTGGGGTCATGTTTGCATCGCAAAAGCCCAGAGATCAACTTCTCCAAACCTTTGGCTGCCCATGCATCGCCATCGTCATTACTCTGCAACGAGCACAGAGTCTCGACGCAATGGTCAACAGAACGGATACCGGTGCTGAGCCAGATCTTTTGTGGCGTCGTGGTAGTCAACTGCGGGTCTTGTATGACCAAGTCGGGATCAACGTTTGGCTCAAAGGTATGTTTCGCTTTGCTCTTCGAGTCTGTCGCTCCGGCAATAGCCTGGTATTCACCACCAGATAGTGATGTAGGGATGCAAATCAACGGAATCATAGGCTTATGCAAATTCTCCCGTTTGTTAGGATTGTACGACTTGCCGCCCCAGAGCGTACCGATGTCCTCTTCGGTCCAAGCATCATTTGCAATAGCAAACCGCACGAGCTTGGCTCCGTCGGTGATACTTCCTGCACCTAGAGTTACGATGCAGTCGATATCGAGAGGCTTGACTTCAGCCAAGATGTCCACGATTTCCGGAATTGGCGTATGCGGTGAGATGCCGATACGAACGCCGGCAACGCGATTCCCCAAAGCGGATTTAAGGTCCTCAACGTAAGATGTATTCTTCGACAACGAGCGAGATGCTATGATGAAGACTCGTGAGCTTTTAAACCTGTCTTGGACTTGTTTGAGGCATATTTCTGGGAATGGCCGGCCATAGCTGAGTAATGGCGTGGGCTTGTTATCGAACGCCGGGCGGGTCGTCTCTTCTGTGTACCAAGAAGCCATATTTGTGCGACGATTGTTTATGCTACGTTGTAGATGAGAGACACGCCGTTTGTTTGTTCACCGGTAAACTGGTAAGTGAAGATGTGACGTTATCCCGGTGGAGCCGGCCAAAGTCATCATGGTGCTATCTCCGTGTCATCAGTATACCATACTGTCTAAACTCGAATTTGGTTAACCGTGCTTGCCGGTTGGCGAATAAAGGAATTTCCAAGATCCAAGTCGTCTCTTGTGAACGTCTTAGATATGCCGATTAATCCACCTCTTATGTCGTCGGCTCCTTGGTAGGATCGTCGAAACCAAGACCCAATTCCAGCCAGTATGCGGAACTGGTTGCAAACTTATATGATGTCTTAGCCAGGTGTTGACAAAACCCCGTATGAGAAGATTAATATTACGAGGTGAATATTAATAATTATAATTTTTGGAATACGATTCCTCAGACCTCTAGTTCTTTTGTCTTCCTGATCAGATTCTCTAATCTTTTCTTCTCTGGATCAACATCAATCCACTCAAGATCAATAGGCCAAGATGAGTTCACTTGCTCTTCCATTATCTTCTCCTCCTCCCTGTCGTCCTCCACAAGTTCCACATCCTTTAGCAAAGGGTGGTTTTCACTCCCCATACTACTTTTCAGTATACGAAACACCAGTCTAGCCAGACAACTGTTCTGGCTCTGATCCTGGAGACCTTTGGGACAAGGACAAGAGTCGATCGCCTGCTTTCAAGATCTGCCATCCCAGAACTATCCAAACTAGCTGCCAAGTCGAATGCAGAATCCCTTGATTCTGTCCACGGTGGTGTCCGGAGTAATCTTGAAATCGGAGAAGAACACAGTGGCAACGTTGTTGATGATGACTCGGAATTTGGAGAGCGATTAAAGGTATTGCCATAGTTCAATGATACTGGTCCTTTTCCCGATGAATAATGGAGCCTAAAATCTCCATAATATTCATCCTTATCGGGAAGTGGTATAGATAGCAGTGGTGCTTTGAACACGGACGCTGTTGTCTGTCAGCTTGATCATGAGATGAGGAGGCGAGACTTACGCCTGCAGCTTGAATAGCGCCCATGCCGTAACTGCTCTTGCGTTTTACTCACAATCATCGCTCTTCGTCTATAAAGAGAATAACTGCATCGCATGCGCAGCCGCAACGGCTTGAGTTAGGTATAATCTTCCAACCTCATCGCTCCACTCGCGTCATGTACAATCGACAGAACAATCGCGGCTTGTATGGCCATTAGTGAAGAATTTCCAATCTCGAGTTCCCAAAACCGGCGCGCTTCTGCGAGAAACTGGTACCCGAGAGTCTGTGGATTCCAGAATCGAAACCGATGATTCGTATTGGAGTGGCCCTGCTGGAGACAACGGTTTATAATTTAAAGGTCTACCAGCCTACGGGGTCTTACCTACGCAAGCAGATGCAAGGACTACATGGACCAACAGGGAGGAGCAGTATTTCTTGCGGCCCAATGCCATGTCTTGCAGGAAGGAGTCTTTTTGAAAAGCTGGAAAGAAAGTGTATTCAGTCAGGAATGTCTGTAAGAGCTTCCGTAATAACTTGTTATCATCGATGATGGACGTTCAATTCTTCGCTTCGATCCGGTCTAGACGAGGATCAACCATGTTAGCTGCATGATAAGGAGCCTCATAAATTATGGGAAACTCCAATGGCGAATTGTCACCATCTTGTATCCTCGTCTCACCCGAGGAATACTTATACAGCCATGAATCAAGGTACTGGTTTCCCTCTTGGATCAGGAGACTGGGCATGTCCTTGCCATAAGGAAACTCATACTGGTATTAGTGATCCGGCACTACATGAACCTGTTTGAGAAGATCCGCTCGTTGAATATGCCCAAGTATGGACTCAGCATCATGGCCGCTCTGTATTCTTCTCAGAATATCAGTCCCTTCATGCATCGGCTTTGCCGCTAGAAGATGGAACAGTTCTTGATACGCACCCGGGACTTGTGCTGCCATCATGGTTCGCAGGCTAGGGTGATAGGTTTACGGCGTCGTACTAGGCTTGCAACGGGCGGTGGACCTTGGCTTGGGAGTCGGGGGTTTTCCGGGGCTATGCCTGGTAAAAGGCAACGAGACATATTCACTCGCGGGTGAGTTGGTTTACTAATGCAACCAATGCTGCAGAGAACATGTTCATGGTGAAGAAAGTGAGGGGGTTTGGAGAGCCCTCACGTGAAATCTCTTTCACCAATCATGTTACGAGTGGTCTCGATGTCTATGACGTCCCAAATAGGTAATCGAACAGTATCTCTACTTTGGTTGGGGCTCAGTATGAGGAACTGCTACTTTATAAAGAGAAAGAAGACTCAATGGACAGCATCATGGGCAGTATTTAACATCCCCTGTCTTGACAGAATATCTGGACCAGGGCCTTGCGTTTGACTTCGTAACCCTGGCACGCTCCAGGTCGGGATGTGGCGATTGTCGCAGATCGGGCGCTCCAGTATACGCACTAACGTGGGAGTAGAGGGGCTTTCATTGTGCGCTAATGCAGGGCACGTCAAAAGCGTTTTCAGTGGAGTTGAAACATTTTTACAGGGAGGATTCCACTGGATCCCATTGTAGATCAACGTCCTTCATCGTTGCATTCGATCTTTTCACTCCTCTCCCACGTGAATGTCTAATCACTGTATACCAACTTCTCAGTAACACTTTTCAAACTCGCATCTTGAAAGTCATGTTCTTCACTGCAATTGTCACGGAAGCTCCCGTGTATCACCCCATGAAACGCCTCTCCCTGACTAGCCGCGTGTCAACCTCCACCACCAGCTGACGTACTGTACGAAGAACCAACCCACAACACGATTCAAAGCAACCCACCACGTTAAACGCCACTGATATTCTCTTCCGCCGTTGATCGCCCCACGTTACAACCCGGTATCCAATATGATCGTTCCAAAACTCATGCGTTTCGTGGGGCGTTGTGCCGGTTGACGCGTTCTGTGAGACTAACAAAAAGCCAAGTTTTGCAGTTTTCATCCCGAGTCCAGAATGCGGAGTTCCGATCTGTTGGGACTGCGGGAGTATATGAGTTTTTGTTCTTCCCCTTGTTGAGTTGAGAGACTTTTGATCATTATACGCTTCGCTGTAGCCATTCCTTCTGTACGGCACGTTCACTTTATTGTTTCTTCTTTTCATTGTATCTACTCTCCTTTTATAATGAAGTTCTCTTCGGTTGTCACGAGCGGGCTCGCATCTTTCACATTGGTCGCTGGCCTTCCGACTGTTTTGTCACCAAGTGAACATTCTGTTCAACAAGTCCGAAATCCAGTATATAAGCGCAATGGAATTGCAGCTCTCGGCAAGATATATCGAAAGTACCATATCGACCTTCCGGAATATCTCGAAAACTCAGTACTCGCCCGTCGAGATGGTACGGGCACCGTCGCCAACAGACCTATCGAGAACAATGCTGAGTGGTTAACACCAGTTCAAATCGGCAACCCTCCAAGGACGTTCCAGATGGATCTCGATACAGGATCATCGGATCTTTGGGTATATGGTTCGAAAGCAGCTACTGCAGGCGGTAGCCGAAATCGGTACAATTCCTCCAAATCAACGTCTTGTAAGGAGATGGCCGGTGCAAATTGGGTGATTGAGTACGGTGATGGAAGTGGCGCATCGGGCCATGTTGTGAAAGATACAGTCTCCATCGGTGGCCTTTCAGTGGAGGCTCAGGCTGTACAGGTCGCCGACAAGGTTCATGAGTCTTTTGCTCAGCAGCAAGACTTGGACGGCCTTGTGGGACTGGGTTTCCGTTCCATCAACACTATCACTCCAAAGAAGCAAAATACATTCTTTGACAATGCAAAGACGGAGCAAGGCACTGCAGTTTTCACAGCGGATTTACAGCATGATGCTCCAGGTACATATACCTTTGGCGTAATTAACAAGACGGCGTATGAGGGAGATCTTACGTATACGGCTGTTGATTCATCAACGGGAATGTGGACATTCACTTCAACGGGATATGCCGTTGGAAAAGGCAATTTCACCAAGACGCCCATCACCGCCATCGCCGACACAGGGACATCACTCATGTTCTTACCCGAACAAGTCAACAAGGCGTACTATTCACAAATCGACGGTGCCAAAGTCGACCAAACAGCGGGAGGCTACGTTTTCCCGTGCGACACGAAGATGCCCGATTTTTCGTTCTACGTGGGGGATACGGGTATCACAGTTCCGGGTTCATACATGAATTTCGCACCGCTTGAGGGACCTGTTCCAGGGGAGAAGGAAGAGAAGAGGGAGGTTGGAACTTGTTATGGTGGATTGCAGTCAAGCGCGGGCGATATCAATATCTTTGGCGATATTGCGCTCAAGGCGGCTTTTGTGGTGTTTGATGCGGAGAAGACGAGGATTGGGTTTGCGAAGAAGACTCTGGTTGGAGTTGAGTAGGAAAAAGCTATAGATATCACAACGAATTACACTCTTTTATTATCCATTCCATACATGATGTCTTATTCTGGCTGTGAATAATTGTTATGCTATCCTTGTTGAGCTCTGCACAACTGCACAGAGTCGAGTATGCACACAATCCAAGAAATCGCGCACAAAGTTGAGTTGTGTGCGATTCTCCACTTATGCAGGGGCATGACTTGCACTAAATTCTCTCCAGTCTCTCTCCAGATGAGAAGTACCTCTCTGAGAGACCCACAGTAAGCAATAAGTACCTTTTTCAGTCTCCACCGATAATTCTGATAAGATAAGAATACTCTCCGATGTCCGCTCAGCACTAAAGATCGGATCCGAAATTGCACTGTGCTCAACTCAACACCACGAAATGTTCAACGCAAGTGTTTATTTTCATCATCATGACTGTCGTATATTCTAAGAAATCACGCTCTCATCAGTATCCATTCAATTTTAACCAGCGGTAATCACTCCAGGTCCGCATCCAACAGAAGTCAAATGCCATCCAACCGCTCTTTCAACGTTCCTCAAGATCTGGGGAACATGCTCGCTCTTCATGTGCATCATACCCAGTACAATCCCAGCAAGGCACGCACTTCCAAACTTAGCGACACCATGCTGCAACACCATTTTCACGCCTTCTCTGATCTCAGGATCGCTGCACTTGAAAAGAACAACAAACAAAGGCTTCATGACGTTGTTATCCATGAAGCGGAAGTTTGCTTGCGATCCCTTTAGCTCGTCGAGGATACGATGCGTCGTGGCGATGATCTCGCGGTACACAGGCTTCGCGTCGGGCAACACCTTTGCATCCGTGTTGAGCTGCAGGTGGAGACTTGACAAACACTCCAGGTACAGTGCTTCAAAGACACTGGCTGTCACGTAACTGTGCGGCTCCTCATTTTTGCGCTGCTGCGTGTAGCGGTATAGCAAGACGAAGCCGTTGTGCCAGCTTGAAAGGACCGAGAAAGCTTTCTCCCATGTTGCTTTGGTCGTCTCTGTATCGTCGTCCAGAAGATGATGAGCTAGATGGTGCTGTGCGACATCCCACCACCTCAAAGCTTGATCCAAATCGTGAAATGAGGAGGGCATTTTGTCTATGGAGTACCTGTGTCTTCCCAGACATCGCTTCGCGGCTAGGAACTCATCCGTATCCCCGGTGATACCCAGTCTCAGGGCCCACGGGTAGGTACTCAATCGCTGTATCATGTCAAACAGAGCATTCTCATAATCGTCAAAAACCAGATCTGACAACGATGCACCTTCTTGGGCACATCGCTTAGCCAGGTATGCTTCAAAGAGGCGAGCAGCGTGGTCGTGGTGCAAAGCAGCAGCCAGCATGTCTCCACGAAGAATATCGTAAGTGAGAAAGACAAGAGCCACGTGAGTAACACTACGCAGCGCACGAAGTGTCGAAGTAGCAGTCGTAACAGCACGTACAGTACGTGTGTAGTACTGAAGTGACAGCTGATGCGCCTTATCAGCAGCAACGGAATCGATGGTTGGCTGCGTGAAGGCATTGACGGCACCGCCTAAGGCACAGCACGTCTCACGGACAGCCGCATCCTCATGGGCCAGCTGAGGCGTAATGGCAGCCAAGGTGTTGTGAGGGAGGGTGGTGCCCTGCTCGTTGGACCAGAGAAAAGTGGAGAACATGTCATATTGCGTCTGGTCTTTGAAGAGTGAGAGGATGTAGTTTGGCTTGGCTAGGATGCGTGTGTCGGACTGGGGTGCTGCACGCGTTGTTGTCACGGCTGTAGCTGTGGTGTTGAAGCTGACGGATTGGCTGAGCGGGAAATGACATGTTAGACCGACGGCTTTGCACCGGTTACAGATTGGTTTGCCCTCATCACATTTCACTTTGCGACGTCTGCATGATATTAGCAAACATTTACACTGGAGTGTCTGTCTGTACGAACTTGCACTCTTTACAACCAGTACGTGTCTTGAAAGACTTGGTCTTGGGCTTCTTAGCGGCATTTTGTCCCGAACGATCTGCAATGTCAAGGACTGCCACATTGGCATTCGGGATCTAAGGGAAGCAAAAAGATAAAACATGTAAGTAAGCCACCGACGACATGAAACGGGTCTGCCCTAGCGGCGTTTTTTTGCTCACCCGTGGCTTGTTGTTGGCCGGGACCGAGACGATCTGAGATGATGATGGGTCGCCGCCGCGAGGGGGTTGCACACCGCCACCATCAGAAGAAGACGAAGAAGAGGAAGCCTTGGGTTTAGGCTTGATAGCTATTGTCTGCTCCATCACACATTTACCCTGTCGGGACCGAAAGAGTGTGGCGTGACGGTATGGGGAAGGCGAGCAGAATGCCCGAGATGACACGAGGAGGGGGATGCGTTGTGAGTGAACTGTTCACTTTCTGTGGAGGAGTTTCAGACCGTTTAATCCTACGGTATCCACATTCGACGACTCTGTGCCCAATCATGAGTTGGCCTGTGCGAGTTACTCAAAGGAGTTAGGGTTGGGGTCTCGTTTATTTGTCCAGATCCGAATTAGACAGGGATCGACGGTTTGATGATCTTGGCAACGGTCTCAACCCACAGCTGCATTCTGACTGCATAACGGCTCTGCAATAGGCGAATATGAACAACTGATAACTGGTCTTATTAGCAAGACGTTGCTTCAAAGTGTCAGAGGTGAAGCTACTCCCCAACACTTGCCCTGGTGACTTGCTGAGAGTATCCCAAGCTTGTTATCAGATACATGCCTCTCCGTATTGGAGCTGCCCAGGCTAGTACTACAGACACTGCAGGATGGATATAAGTTATTCCTTGCTTTTGACTGACTGTTGAACGGTCTTCACCTACATGTTTCTGCCCACTCAAGTTGGTTAGTCTTGATACAAGTGATCGACATATCCTGGTAAGGGATGCTCCAGCAGGTCAGCTTACAGGGTTGCTTCAATCAACTCCCTTTCTTCTTTTATGAAGGATGGATATTACTGATGCTAGGGTATGACTGTTGAGTGAGGGCGACTGGCTGGTGGACATTCAGGTTTGCTAAGAACCGGAGCATCGGCACAACAGCACAGTCCGTGTTCTTCAGAGCCCCTTCACTCATCTTATCATGTACCAACCTCTTCTAGCATGATCTTGGGCTCAACCTTCTTACACAGTCCGCAAGGACCTAATACGTTAACTTCCGCCCTTTGGGTTATCTTTTATCAGAGTGGAAATTCTACCAACTGGGTATCTGAAGACAAGAGAATATATGACTTCTGGAGCAATGAGGTGCTGGTGTAACAGCCTGAAGCGATACATATTTGCGGACGTTTGCTTCCATTTAGTGCTGTAAGAAATGGCAGTAAGTTAATTGAAACGGACATTCAATCTTCCTCTTTCAACTATGGAAGTACTTGCTGGACACAAGGTTAAACTTTAGGCAGCTAACTCAGGTTAAAAGAACACGATTCTTTTTTCTTTTTTCTTTTCCACGATACAAGCTTCTATCAGCTACATAGATGATTGCTGGCCATGAGGTTAAACTTCATGGTTGCGGGTAAAAAGCTTAGAAGCTCATCACACGCCTGAAGAACGCCCAATAACAACACATAAGGGCCATCTCTAGTTTTTGGCTGAAAGGTCATTTACTGGAATCACCGAAGTTTCCGTTGCAAAAGATGTATAAGTGGAGTCATATCTCTGACTTCCTTACGTTAGGACACAATGAAGAAGTGATCCACAGTTTGGTTTAAAAACCAGCAAATTCGGCATACTCTATCGTCAGCGAGGCTCGTCCTTTTATCAGACATGGCTTCTTCTATAACTGTAACCACCTCACCTGCAGGTCTCGAGGACTTCATCGACTCGATTCCCCCGTCTGCTACGCTCTACCTCGACCTCGAAGGCAACAGTCTCAGCCGTAACGGGACCGTTTCCATCATAACCATACTCGTGAACCCCACGAAAATCACAAGACTTATCGATGTTCAGACCCTTGGTAGCGCCGTTTTCACTACGCCTGCCGCCAATGGAAAGACTCTCAAGACCGTACTCGAGGACCCTCATATATCTAAGTGTCTTTGGGATGTACGCAACGACGCCGATGCCCTTTGTGCCCACTACAAGGTCCGAATTGCGGGTGTAACAGACATACAGCTCCTCGAGAACGCCGCCCACATAGGCGATAAGAAATATGTCCGCGGGCTTGGCATCTGCGTTGAGAATGATCTAGACCTGGAATTGTCTGAGTCTAATAGCTGGAACTGGACCAAGAGACGGGTGATGAATCTTATGACCCAGAACATCTTCGCCAAACGCCCCTTGGACCCCGAATCAGCGAAGTACTGTTTCAATGACGTTGTACACCGACCCGCATTATATCGCACATACTTACAGCGCTCCGGATAAGCTATACGGGAGCTCAATTGATATTATGAGGCTCTAGACGTCCTGGATATGGCGCTTGTCGGTAACCATGTTTGCAAATGGGTCTTAAACTGGTTCAAAGATTTACACCTTTCATGAGTGTAAGCTTGTCGATACACGCTTTGAAAGCCGTACTATTGTTCTCCGGTAAAGACTTGAACAATGCAGGCTACAGAGAGAAAGCTCATTGGGACAAAGTTCCGCTGAACATACAAAGACGGCGATTGTTCACATCTCAGTGCTAGGGAAACGTCCGATTTCGGTAACAGTTTATAATTAAGAGAATCTTAGCTTGCTTTGGACACTGAACTTCTTGTTTTGTTCAAGCATCGGCTCGACCTTGTGTGATGCTCAGGTCTGTTGGCAGGACATGAGGATAAAGTACGCCGTGGTATTTCGCAGCTATATAAAACCCTATCCCCTTCGACAACTGTACCTGAAGAGCAAACTTACCTTCTCAAGTCCACCTATCTATCAAGTCTCAATTCACTACCTGGAATCCCGCAAGTCATCGCCCCAATGACTACCAACGCACCAACGGGTATGCCACGCATCAACATCTCATTCAGTCTCTTCGCCCAATTACTCAGCAAGATCAACAACAGTCTTTTCAAGAACACATCGATTGACGCTCTAGGCAAGGTACAGAAAGTCCAACAAGCTCAGTCGCGTTTCCTAATCTGGTACCCCGAGCTCACGACTGTTGTATTTGGGTCTGCTAAACTGCCTTGTCATCGATACCATCACAGCATGAGATTGGTGAGCTTCTTGATGACTTGAGAAGTGTCAGGGACTTTTTGTTTGACATGGAACATCGGCTCTACTCTGGCCAGGAGAGCGAACGGAATATGTTGAAGCAATTGGAAGAGGTGACGACAAACTTGGAGAAGCAGTTGGATTGTATTCAGTTGGCTATCAATAAGCTTGATCCTTATCGTGGGCCTAAGGATATCTACGGCATGTATCATGGTGTTCTTGTTGACGCCAAGTTAGCCAAAGCTCCCCAAGAGAATGGCACCAATGAGATTGAGGAACAGATGATGGAATTGGATATCTAACTGAGCATGGTTCTCAGCTTAGCAGGGATTTTTATGGTTCTCGCAGGCTGTTAGCAAGAATGGAGGAGAGTCCGCTTGGAGGATGGTTAAGATAAGTACTCATGTGTTTACTGCAGTGGGTTATGGACTGGCATGTTTCAGGCGTTTAGGCAAGATTAACAAAGGTTTATCGAGTTCTAGCTAATTTTATATGTACTCATTGACTCCATAGCTTATTTGTGAACGGTCGTTCTCCTGCTTAGTACTTCTATATAAGCATTTCATAACTATTAGACCTATTGATCGCCAGCATACAGTGCCCCACTGCTCAACAAGGAAATGGCGGATGATGATTTGATGTGGTTCAAGTTGGATTTCGCTATTGGAGTCCACAAGACGCATCCAACCACCGCTGACGTGCCTTGGTGCCAATCACTAACGGCTTCTTCGTGCATAGATTCAGTGCAGTCAACATATTACACAGGGAGGTCTTTTAATAGCATGCGTCATACAGACTTAGATTATCGACGTCTGAGGGAAATATCCAAGAATATGAACTCCAACTCCCATAGACCAGTAACGGAGAATGCTACTGACATCTGTCGGAAAGGCCTTGTCTTTGATGCGTGTCACAGATGCAGTGATGCGGTCGCCGATAGAGTCTCAGTGCCAGTCATCCGAAGTCTAATACCGAAATTGCCATGTAGTCTAAAGAAATAGAGGAAATATGTTAAAGCAATGTCAAAACAAAAACAATGTCGCTTTTAAACCATTTATCACCTCGCGTCATTACAGTCTGCCAACTAGTACCCAGATCCCCATTCCAAACCTCATGTCTGTACTGTAAATGTCAGAAGACATTCAGATAAGATCTTGGTTGAAGTTGAAATTTCCATGCATCTGAGAGGTGTCTCCCAGATCGAACCCTGGCAGATAACCCCAGGCATTCTCCGTCCACCCTATAAGTGACAATATTAGTTTTAGAACATAAAGCCATGGTTGGTCAACCGACAGTGCTCTCCCCCGTATCCGTTTGCAGGGGCCCCGATAGAGGGCATTTGCACGCCTGGCATCTGAACGATGCCCGCTGCCTGTGGCTGATGGCACGGGGAGGTATATACACCGGGGGTATGATGTATATGCATAACCGACATCGGCACAAAAAGCGGATGACGGTCTCCCGCGTAGTATATGTACCCGTGCCCCGGGACCACCGTGCAATGCGTAGCGACTGCGTACTCAGTGGGAAAGGCGGACGAAGGGGTCGGAGGGCTTGGCGGAGGATTCTTCTCATCCTCAACACGCTTGGCCCTGGACCTCTCAGCCGCTTTGTTCTTTGCTCGTGCATTTCTACGAGGAACACGCCTAGGTGGGGTGCTAGGGCGCTCCTGGTTTGCGTCCTACATCAGTCAGCTTTTTTATATGGTCTTTGTCATGGAAATATATTACCTCGTCCATCTGAGCTGCAGTGCGCTTAGGGGCCGATGAAGGGAGAGGTCGACGTTGCACGACCAGCTGCGATGAGGGGGTTTCTCGAGGGGCAGGCATGAGGTAGGGGCGAAGACTGTTGTTGTCACTCATGATCGAACGAGTTAAGATGGGTACGAGTGAGTTGCGAAGAGTTGAACCAAAGATAGAGAGTAGAATGTTTGCTCAAGCGCGATTATAATAGTGTTGATGGCAGTTGAAAAAGATGAACTCTAACTGAATCATGAATGGATTCAACCGTCCTTTTGAACTTCACTGAGTCCTTCCATCGCCTCCAGAATCACGTGTACGGTTGTCAATTAGACTGTTTGATATAGTCATATATTGGAAAATAATCGTTGGTGGGGATCCACTATACGGCGTGGCGTTGGAGATATGACGGGAATCAACATTAGCGATATGCTACTGTCCTCACCGACTGGTAAGAAGAACCCTTGTCCCATGTCTGTGCTGGAGGAGAGATTAGGAGGGTAGGAGGTAGGTCTGCTGCGTCAAGGGGCAGTTCCGATCTGTTGGACCCTTTGCCAATGTTCTGGAGATTGAGGATGAGTTACGCTGTGATATAGTGGGGCGATCAGTGCGACGATGTCTTTGAGCAGCTCAGATCCGAGACTTGGCTTCCCTGGCACTGAGAGGAGTAAGGCTGTAAACTGTTGCTGCCTTCATTCTATCTTGGAGGCAGTTCTGTCGCTCCATGATCACAGCCACGCTCGCACTAACGAGCAGCGCGATGAGCCACTCCGTCTCAACATGAGCAACTCCACACTCTCCTATCTGACACCGAACGTTCTAGAAAGTCTATCATCTTCGTATTCCAGCAATTGCTAACTCATACGGACACATGGCGCTTGGCTATGACCTCTTCTGCGACAGTGTTGGCAAGCTTATGCGCCACCAAATAGCTATTGTTGTGAATGGGTAACAGGGGCTATTACCTCCCCATGTTAGGCTAAATGTGATATGTTTCCGATTTATTGAGGTGTAGCGTATTCGCATTGCCATTGAGAATCAGAGTTGCCATGTTCTAGCGCTTGTTTCTATCAGATCTCAGTCTCTATCAAGTAGAGAAGTTGGGCTAAGACTCTCACCGATATTTCGGCCTGCAAGTCACTCATTTCTTTTCGTGCGAAATGAAGTCTAGATCGCGGTTATTGGCAGTAGTAGCAGTTATCAAACGTTTGAAGGTGAGTTGTTGGCGTTGATAGTGGAGTCCAAACGGCTCGGAGCAATTGGCAGTGGGGCCTGTCCCCACTTCTTCCCGTCCTCCATGTCTCAGCCGAACCCCCAGTCCCGCTTGCGTCCGGAGATGCTGGATGAGGATCTCTTCTTTTTCCTGTGAGTGGGGGATTACTGAAGAGAGATGACCGTGAAACCATCGATGTGCACGTGTCTTTCAAAGCCCTTGCCTGGGAATGAGTGGAGAGACGGGTCGCATTTAGAGCTTCAGAGTGTATTCGCACGGTAAGATACTTTCAGAGAAGCGAGGAGACATGAAGAAGAAGAGGTAATTTTGACCATGCGGAAGTGATAACAGACTGTTGATGTACCGTATTTTGCTTACTGGTGACCGCTTCACCTTTATCGTCATAAAAAAAAGAGTCTTGACACCAAGCCTGGCACGATTCCGCTGGAGCAGCCATTGGAGTCGGACGATAAAAATTGTGCTAGATTGCGGCACCTGTTCCTCATATCGCGACCGAGCTTCACAAGTGAGGGGCAGTTCAGAGCCTGCACAAGTCAGTGAATCGGCATAAAGCCATAATTTCTCCCAGCCACCAGCGTCATCTCTGTCGTCCCCTGTTCTGAGCCGCCCCAGCTCAGACATGAGCCAGCCACGACAGGCAAATACGCAGACACGAGACGCGTCCTCCCGGCCCCAGTTTTTAACTCTACTTAACGCGCCGGACAATGTCCCCGGGTTGCACAACACAACACACGCCAAAGCCCCCACTAACGCGTTTGCTCTCTCGCGACGCGAGCGACCAAAATTAGATGGCTGGAGAGTCAGGGAGAAAGGTACATCGAGAGCGACAAGCTTGAATGTACCTTTTGCCAGGCGAGCACCCTTGTCGAAAAGAGAGCAAGGTTGGCGTGCACAACGTTTGTTAATGCTTTTGGTGGGCTTCTCAGTGCCGTGTTTGACCAACAGCAGTTCCCAAGTGATTTCGGGGCGCACTACACCGATGCAAGGTCCAACGCTGAGTTGACATGGATGGCCATTTTCCTCGATCATCTTGGCTCACTCAATTTTTAGTTACTGTTACTCTGCCGTCTCTCGCGTCTCTCGCAACGTTGGATACCATCCTGCTCGATTCCCTAGCGACTGTAGCCAACGACCCCAGATGCTGCCTGCCTTGGGCATAATCTGTCCGACCCACCAGACGACTGTGAATGCCGCGACGTTGGACTTGCAATTGCCTCCCACTTCACGCTGTCCAACCATTCCGTCCCGCTCGCGACCCTTGGTGCCAGCGCTCTCGTCCTTCCGAGCTTTATTCCATCACGTATCTCTTCCTGCCGAGACGAGCCGCGTCATTACAGCCCGCCATTCTCGATAATGCACTCCATGTTGGCCTTGAACTGTCAAGACTTCTCTGCCTTTGGTAGATGCCGCGTGGTTCTAGCTGTTGGTGTCTTCGCCCTCGTGCGTGGTCGCCGCCAAAGCTTGGCAGTACAACCGCGCCGAGCTGGCCCGAAGGTTCGTCCTTGATGAGGGCGGGCTGTCGGTGGTGTTATCACGATGCTTCCTCACCGGGATGGATTGCACCCATCAATGCCACTGCGGACATGCTCGGCTTAATTCCCTGTGCAATGTGATATTGAAGCACCTTGACGCTTCTACGCTCCATGTCTTTATCCATGACCGATCTATTGTGTCTTGCCTGTATTGATCTATTCCATGACATTGCAGCCTATTCCAGCCTACACATCAGGCTCAACCTCGTCCACAGTCGGCACCTTGTTCAACTCAACCCCAAAGAACTTTGACACTTCCTTGACACTATCCCAGATGACCTGAACGTCCTCCTTCAACACACCAATTCGTCGCGTCCCCCGAATATGCCAATGCGTCTCCAGCGGTAGATTCTGACTCATGATCGCCGGCAGCACCACAAGCTGCGTGTCCGTATCGTCCAAGACCTGCCGATCCGATAGAAACAACCCATACGTGATCTCTGCCGAAACCCACGCAAAATCCTTATGCGCGTCGAACAATCCCATCGTATCCCCCGCGTTTCGAGTGTACACTTTCTTAAACCAATCAATTCCGCAATCGTGGTTTGCTTGGTCGGCCTGCCATCCGTCGCGCGTTTGGCTAAAGTCTCGATCCTCAGGTTTCTCGACCTTGATGATTGATAGGATGGCCTCGATGGGCTTGCACACGCCGACGAGGATGGTGGTCTTGATGAGGGCTTCGCGGAGGCGTCGTACGAGAGCCTGGCGTGATTCGCTGGTCCGGTATACGTCTTGGCTGATGAGGTATTGGTATAGAGCTGCTGCGGCTTCGGGGTCGGGACTGGCGGAGAGACAGGCGATGACGAGGAGATACCAGCGTTGGTCTCCGAGTTGAGTGTCTTTGAAGCGGGTTTCGATGTTTTGGAAGAGCTGGGATAGCTCCGGGGTGAGTTCCGTAGGTGCCATTGTGACTGTTGTAGATGTGGTCGAGGTGAATGTTCGTACAAGATTACCGGCGTGAAGGTATAAGTAGCATTGAGCTTATTCCTTGTAAGACCACTGTGGATAAGGTTCCTCCCCTCTCTGTTTAACTCGGAATCTCGGAAGCCACGTGGATCACTGTAGCGACACGATAAACACAATTAAGATGATTCATTGGGAATTTTTATGTGAACCGTCACGCCGCATGCCATTGCCGCCATTTCAATGGTGGTGGTTATCTTATCGTAAATTTCCATACGCCGACCGTCGGCGGTCAACCCCGCAGTTCAATTGAGCTTAAGCTGGGGTTTACCAGTCCGCCAAGGCTTGAATGGAAAAGATCAATACCATGTCCGTACGGGAAAAAATGAAGAGTGACAGCTACGCCGCTTGGCCTTATCTTGCTACTGACATTTTGCCCTGGAAAGATGTAGTCTAGCTATCTCGTGGTTCAGCCGGCAGTTAGACGTTGCTTCCGTGGGTTCCGGAGGCTAACTAACTGCCGTGATTCACGCGTGTCACTCACTATTGGGCTTTTTGTAAAGGCGGAGCGGGCGTTTGTAGACCTTCTTGAAGGACTCTTAATAAGAAAACAAGTCTCACTCTCACATAATATCCGCAGTTTCTAGTTTAGAAGCTTGCTCTCCTCATGTAAGCGTAGCTTCTCCGCGATAGTGTCTCCGCACAGTCCGCACGCTTATATGATATATACCAAAGAAATCTCCCAGATGATCCCCTTTAGTGAAGTAATGATGGTTTAGCTCTGTTACAAGTTGTGTATATCGAAAGTCGCCTTAGTCATGGGCCAGCAAACATCCCTGGTCGTCGAAGTTGAGATCGAAGCTCCAGTCGAGGTTGTTAGATCTCTTGTAAGTCAAAGTCAAGTAAGCTAATAGCTTGCGCATCACAGCTAAATAGCCCACTTAGTTCAAAGACTTTTCTCGTTTCAAAGAATGGAGCAGTTGGTCCATCGAACCGGCAGTATCATCCAAAAAGCGGATGACTTGATGCCAAACGACAAGTTGAAGGTCGACGTCAAAGATGGAAAGTTCACAGCAACACTTCTAGTCAGCAATCCCCCAATTATCCCAAGCTTGTGTCTAATTCGATTTTAGAGAGATGACCCTGATGTGTTCGAGTGGGGAGGAGGTTGGTGGCCGCTTCTTATGGGTCAGCATGAGTTTACCTGGAGAGCGAGCACTAAGACTCCTGGAGCCACGACTTTTACGCGGATAGAGAGTTTACGTGGTCTGTTAGTGCTTCTTTGGCAGCCTGGCTGGTTTATGAGAAGAAGAACACAGGTGTGCTTTGATGCGTTCCATTCAGAATTGAAGAAGGAAGCGGAGAGGATAGTAATCGCATACAGATGAAGTGGTTGCTTGCCATTATTCTGCCCCCATCGCCTTATTACAGGGCTGCATTTCCGCTTCGCCTCACCCCAAACGCAGAATAACACCATCTCCATAAATAAAACTCTGGAAAGCAGATGACCGTTATTTCCAGTCGAAATCAACCAACAATCGCCGTAGATCTCGTTGTCAGACAATTCGACATGATCTGATCCAGGGTAACGGGACCTGAAAACGTGGGGGTTCACGTGAACGCCCACGCTCGTATCAGCACTCGGCATACCCGGATCGGTCAACCGCCACGCGGGGGATGAAATATTACTCTGAGACCATTCAGATATATTCTTTTCTTTCAGGGGCATTGATGCATTTGACCGCTACTCAAACTGGAAATCCTTGCCAATCAGCTGAGACCTACATAACGCGTCCCCCTCGCAGCTCACAGTATCAAGGTCTTGGATCAGCAGAAGAATGTCATGTTTTCTTGGTACGGTGATCGGGATTCGGAAAGGATCACCAGATGTTGAGGGGTGAATAAAACTGAACCTCTATCCCCTCACTTGGGTTCTCTGTATCATATCTATTCATCAATTGACTTGGTTATTTCTTCAATATGCCTCCTGGAGTTCCACCAAAACGATCTTACTCTCGTACCGATGCTGCTGTGCGCGTCGAGTACCCTGAACATCATGAACTTCCTGCTAGTAAGCCGTTGATAGGCCAGGGTGGGCAATTCTCTAAGCCGACGTTGGCGTCATTGTCGCTTGAGGGGAAGACGATTGTTATTACTGGTGGTGCTAGAGGATTGGGGTTGGTTATGGGGCAGGGGATTGTTTACTCTGGTGCTGATTTAGCGATTGTTGACTTGAACAGTATGTGACCATTCCGAGTGATCTGAGGAGGTACTGACAGCTTGCAGAGGAGGAAGCGCAGTCGCAGGTCGGGCAATTGACTGACGCTTTCAAGAGAGAGAATCCCAACAGCCAGAAGTCAGTATGCAGGTCCGTTCTCCGATCTATCTTCTAACAGATCAACAGAATTCCACGAGTGACAGCTCACTACGCAGACGTCGCGGACCAAGATTCCGTGGCCAAATGCATCGCCGAGATTCTTAGCATCCATCACAAGATCGATGGCCTAGTTACATCTGCTGGTTTTACCGAGAACTTTGATGCGATCCATTATCCCATTGAACGTATGCGCAAGCTATGGGGCGTCAACGTCGACGGAACCTATCTGTTCGCCGTCGCTGTTGCCAAGCATCTCATGGAACGTGAGGCGCCTGGTAGTATTGTTGTCATTGGCAGTATGTCTGGGGCTATTGTCAATGTTCCTCAACCGCAGGCGTAAGTTACCGCCAAGATATCGAGAGGAGTGGTTGCTGATAGTGTTGACTAGTCCGTACAACGCTGCCAAGGCGGCGGTTCGTCATTTAGCTGCTTCTTTGGCAGTTGAGTGGGCTCATGCCGGCATTCGTGTCAACTGTATCTCTCCCGGCTACATGCTGACTGCTTTGTGCGCTCTTCTATCCGACTCTCTTGACCCTTGGTGCTAACAACCTATAGGACACAAAAGATCTTGAATGATAACCCGGATCTTGAAAAGACATGGACTTCTCTCATCCCTCAAGGACGAATGGGTCAGCCCCAAGACTTGATGGGACCTGTTACCTTCCTCTTGTCTGATGCGTCTTCGTACATGACTGGATCGGATCTTCGAGTTGATGGAGGCTACACTGTAACTTAGATGGGGGTTGGTGTTCGTGAAACTTGTGTCGAGTACTGTTATTATAGATGTTGAATATTAGAATGAACGTATAAAGTCCATGTCATGCCCCGGTGGCCTAACTACATGAATAGTGTTGTTGCGCTCTTGTGTGCTGAGACAACTGGACCTGGCGTGGGTCCTGGGGCAAGACGTCTCACGTCAGCAGCAAATCTTCAAACCACTGCCCGCACAGTTTCGTCCTCATAGAGCCTCTCAACTGCCAGCACATTCCTGCGACACCTAACACTGAAAGCACTACAGGCCCGGCTTGATTTGCACTACGATGGGCTTCTCAGAACTTGCAATCTACGCCCTCGGCCTCGCTTGTATCGCCAGAAGCATGATGGCCTTCACCAACCCGCAAGCTGAGTATGCACTCAATGGGTTAAAGCACACAGCCACTTCAAAGGACGACCCAAGCTCGGGACCTATTTACATGCTCGGCATCTGGGAGTTGTCTGTTGGCGTCCTTTTGTTGGTGCATCAGATGAACAGAAACGATAAAGGAGTTACGGCTCTTCTGGGGTTGATGAGCATGTACAAGGCTGGCGTTGCGGTACTACTTTGGAGAATTGGAAGCGAGATGAATAAGATTGCTGGGAATGTGGCGACGGCTGTTGCGCTCTTGACCTGGGCTGTTTTGAAAAGCCAATGACTGGACGGACACAAGGTGGTGAAGGGGAAAAGAGAACCGTCACAATGAGAGCTGATGGAGAATGATTTCTTGTGTTTTTCAACTATCTGCAAAGATATAGTCTTGGTCTGTTATCCTAGGCTCCTGTATATATCTATGATGACTGGGCAAGGAATGAGAATGGCACTTCCCGTTGATCCTGCTTCCATATCTTGGGCAAAGCTCAATAAAGTGACCAGTGGGTGATGCTTCCACGTAAGGATGCAAGATTAGGACTCGAGAATCATCGACGACACCGCAGTGTGACCGGTGCTGCAACTTGGAGGAGAACTCTGGTAAGTTATGACAACTGTTTCTGGTTCTCGGTATGCCGCTGATACGACAGCGCCGATCAAGTACAGGCTTTCAGACTTGCGACTACAGCGAGAGACAACAAGGGAGAAACCGCATAGCAAGTCTGTAACACATGTTAGCGGGGCTCATGAGATCGAACCAAGGAGTCTATTACCATTAGGACTCGAGCGATGGACATCTTGTCATCCTCGTCCGCGTCGTCGACCTCCGCCATGGCTACAAGCTTCATGGCTGGAGGACCCGCTGGCATGAGCATCATGGTGAACCAGAGAACGCGATCCTGGCCGAGAACATCAGTCTGGGTGATGAGCAGTCGAATGAACAGAATGCTGAGCCTAATTGCCAGTGTCAGTAGAGAATATCTTGAGGAGTCCAGTGAGCGATCTTACACAGGCCAGATAAAGAAGCGGATAAGGACAACGATAGACAGAGGAAGCCAATGAACACTGCCCGAGTCATGTCCTCGACGCATGCGACGAAGACTATGAGCGAGTTTGATGCCGACGACAATGACCTGCAGGGTGACGAAGAGCTCTCCGATGTTCTTGAGACTGACAGTCAACCAAGCGTTGAAGATGCCCCCATCCTCGCTGTCGGCGAAGAAAGCTTTCTTGAGAGGAGGCGTGAAGGCGAGGATGACACCAATGGTAGCGCCGACAGATGGCGGGCTGATGAACTGAGTCGTGAGAGCCAGAACGTGCTGGATGCGAGGATGCAGCTTGTCCCATACGGCGTGCTGAGCTTGAGCAGTACCACGAGATGCTCTCTTTGCGTATCGCGGGAGAGGTCCAGGAAGGAGAGATGTTCGTTCGTTGGACTCTCCATTCTCTTCGGCCGAGCCATTCTCATCTGGCGTATCGTTATGTCCCGCTCTGTCGCGAAGATCCTCATCCATAGCATCGACCGGGTCTTCATCGCTGACTCCAAGAAGTGTTCCACCGAGGCCAAATGTGAGCATGTTGGAGATGACGGAGCAGACGAGGAAGAAGGACTTGGCTCGGTCAATGATTGCATCGCTGGTGTCGTCGTCGGACTTTGCGAGGGCAGAGAGAACGCCAGCTGAACCGAGGGACTGGATCAAGAGCAGAGGATAAGACGTGGTATTGTTGAAGGTGATCGCGGGTGTGAACCATTTCGGGAGGCTAAGACACTTGGTGAGGGCGTAACCAATTCCGATCGAGACGAGGTTGTAGACGAGTGCCCATGCTATATTACATTAGACTGTGAAGATAGACAGAAGATTGTTAACTGACCAAGGATGATAACGTATTGAAGTGCATTTGAGGCTTCAATCTGAGTACCAAGGTTGACGACCAGAAGTGCAGGAAGAAACATCTTGATGCAGATCTTTGAGATCTGCCGTCCCGTCTCAACACTGAGAAGCTTTGTCTGTCCAGCGACAACACCATAGAAGATGGTCAAGAGAACAGACGCCGACGCCTGAATGGCGCCGACAAAGGTGCTGACAACACTGCTAGACATGTTTGCTCACTCTCTTGTCATTAGTATCTAGCAAAGAGTATTGTAAAGTAAAGTTGAAGTTTGAGATGTCGCGTGCTCAAGTTTGTTTGATCGTGCTCCTGGAACATTACGTCAATGATCGCGATTGTCAAGTGGCATCCCGCCCGGAGCAGTTGTGCCTTGAAAAGTGGAGCGAAAGGTTAAGGTTATCTTGGAAAACCTTGGAATGGGTCAGTGACATAATGAAGAGGGGGCATTGGTGGATTTTATTCACGCGGAAAAGAGGGTGGTGCATCTTTCTTGGTTCTGGATCTGTGGAGTGGCAGCTGACGAGACAATCGATGTGAAGGGCTTGAGGGGGTCACCGAAGTGCTCTTTGCTTGAACAAGACATAATATTCATCTGGACTACTCTACGTCGTTCTCCTTGTGTCGCCTAGCAGCTCATACTGCTGGTTCTGCATCCCCGACAACTCCTGCGGCTCATGCACCTCCGTTGGCAGTTCAACAGGATGATAACTAGCCAGCTCTGCCGAGCCTTTACGCTCGCTATCAACCGGTGCCTGACGCTTTTTGCGAAGGAAGAAGAATGCACCGGCAGCAATTGCTAGCACGCCGAAGCTGACGCCAACGCCAACACCGGCCTTTGCTCCAGCTGTCATTCCTCCCGTGTCTGTATCAGCTGCGGCGCTCTCTGTCTCTTTTGCGCCGGAACTACCGCCTGTGCTTGTTGCGTTGTCGCCGCCTTCGGAATCAGAGTCGCTGTCCGTAGCGTTATTTGATGATGGTGTCTGCGCATTATCCCACGTTCCGCCTTCTGATCTATGCAGCTCTTGGATCTTATCGCCGCTCATGTAGTATACCCAGATCTCGTCCGAGTCCAGCGGTGATACAACAGCTAAGCGCGCGGACGCATCATCGGCTTGGGGCCATTTCTTCTTCCCGGGGCTGTCCTCCTCCGCCCAGTCGCCATTCTTATGTGTCATCGCGTGTAATTGGGAGTCTTTGCCGATGTAAAACACTGTCAATCCCTTTCCTGCTTGATTCGCGAGGCCTAGATCGACGGCCGAGTTATCGTAGGACGGGAGTGTGAGCGACGCCGCCGTCGATGTATCGAGTCGTATATCCGAAGGTTCGGTCGCATTCGTCGGCGCTGGGCTATCGAACGGCGTTGGGAAGGATTCTGAAGCGTCTGTCAGCTGCATTCTTGACCCGAAGTGAACTGTCTCTCTTACCTAGTCGCCATTTGCTCTTGTTGTCGTTATTGTAGCGAGCAACAACAATGTCTTTGGTATCGTAAGGGTAAACCACCGAAACATTGGTACCCTTCGTCTGTACGGCCGCTATCGCCATGCCACCCGGTTTCTTGAGTGATACAGGGCCATCGTATCGCCAATCGGTATCGTCATCGTACGCGAGGAGGTTGACTCGTCCATCTTCGTCGTGGTAGTAGACTCGGGAGCCGCCCGAATCTCCTAGTTCCGCGACCGCCAATCCAGTCTTTTCGTGCACCGAGGGCAGCCCAGCCGAGTCGGAAACAACCTCTTCGCCATCGGTGTCGAGCTTGTAATTGCCTGTTGTGTTGTCACATACCAAGTACGCATTCACAATGCCGTCGTCGGCATTCTGGTAGAAGACGGAGGCCTAAAACATTAGCGAAACGGCGTCAACGAGAGCTGCAAGATGCTCACGATTGGCGTATTGAGCTCGTCATCCCACCAACCCGAGATAGCGAGCGGTGTCGCGGCCTTGGGCTGCTCTTTGAGGGGAAGTTTGTTGGGGTTCTTGGTCGAAAAGGAAGCTGATCCGTTGCTGTTGCACGCGCTGTGTAGAATGTCTCCAGATCCCGGATCTTGGTATGCGAAATGCGGTGTAAGAGTGTAGGGCGACCAAGTCCACCATCCAGCCAAACCCACTACTGGCCTTGCTAAAAGGCACGCAACCGCAATCACCGAGCGAGACATGTCGGCCTGTCTTCCGATGTCGAAAAAATGGCGTTGAGGTAGAGGAGAGAAGAGGCACAGGCTCCAGCCTCATCAACTAACAAACACAAACACGTCCATCAAAGCAAAGCGTGAGACGAGAAGCGAAAGTGACGCTGACAGAAAGAGAATGGTATCCGAGAGGGCCAAGCAGCGGCCCAGCTTCACATGGGCATCCATTGGACTTTTTACCTGGCATCGCGTTGCAGCGAGAGCGGAGATTTGAAGGGACTTTGGTGCGTGAGAAAAGGTGATGAAGCCAGAATTGGCAGAGGTCGTTTCGCAGGGGACTCAATGCAAGCTCGTGGTTGGCTGCTTTGTAATTCTGAGGGGCTAGTGCTTACACTTCAGTGTCCTTACAGGGCTGTGCGCAGCAAGACACGGGAAGTGGATTGCGACCTTGAGCTGATATTTAGGGTTGGATTATACTCCGGAGAGGATGTCCTGATTTGAACATGAAATGCGACCTCTCCCCAAGTTCAACTGCCGCTTTGTCTTCCCACCAGAACAAATCTGAATCTCAATTGCATTGTCTTGCGGCCAAGATGATGGCTCAACGGCCCGCTGTAGACTAAGCATAGCCGCTCGACAGCGTGAGCACTAAGCTTAAATGCCATGTAAGCGACTATCATTGGTGCAACAACTGGATCCTTCTCCCCTGGAAATTAGGGCTGATCTTTGAAGGTTGTTCCCTCTTACGGCTAAACAGCCGTCCTGATATGTTCTCCCTGATTCGCTGCGGACGCAAAGATCCGTTATCTTAAGATGGTCTAGTTTCGGCAGTTCTTGCTTCAAGTTGAATACCAAGGAAAGCATAAGTGGCTATACTGTTGTTATAAATAGTTGGCCTCGAAGATCGCTTATCTTACTTAACTTTATCGGCGTGCGCTTGAAAAAATCTCTGGAATTCCAGTTCCTCCTGGTATGAGTCCATTGCTATAGGCTTAAATAAAAGCCTTCAGATAAGACCTCTTGGTATGATATATTGGCATGATTCATTGGTATTGGACATCACGTGCAAATATGAAAACTTGATATAATGCTTTGATATGATCTGTTGATATGAATGTCTGGTATGATTGACTTGAGCTCTCTTCTTTGAAGAAGAGTGGTGGACCTCAGCGATACAGAGCGAATTAGTTCAAGTATTGTCAAGATAACCAGGTTCTGTACCCAGATATCGTCTCACAACTCTTAGAAACAGGTTTGGCAACAACAAATAGATGGAGTGCTGACCGAGTGTCTGGTGAAAGCTTCATATAAATAGGATCTGGTTACTGGACGCTGCTTCTTCATCGAGGCAAGACTTTAGTAAAAGCACGTCCCGGCGACACTGTGAAAAGTAAAGCTAATTTAGTTGCTTTGAACGTCATTCATCTCAGAGGAGTATATACACGGAGTCTGCCAGGTTGATCATTTATGTCTTGCTGATACTGATGGTAACCGGCTTCTCGAACTTGAGTCGAATAGAAACAGGAGTCGACAAATAACAGTCACTACAAGACACTAGTCTACCGTGAAGAGCTAATCTCGGACTGAAAGCTAAATTCCTAAAGTTGCACTGTAATTCATATAGTAATCCTGCTTCGCGGCAAGTCTGTCGAGGATTGGACGGGCTGGTTACAGTGGCAGAGGTGTACAGAATGTTCGAGGGCAACTGATACTCCGTATTTAGTCTAAGATTGGCGACTTTGCAAAGAAGAACTTGAGAGTTTGTTTGTAGTTATTGGTCTTGTTCTTTGTCGTCCTAGATTTAAAGATCCCATCTTTACAAGCACCGAGGCATACCTGATCTCTCCCTGGAGTCATGCTGTTAGTCGCAGTGTTCAAGGTCAGATTAAGTTCATTGTGCAAATTTCAGAAATATTTTGGCCTACATCTAGTTCTTGGGCTATATACACGGCCTTAGATGGTGCTAGATCTGATATCGTCATCCATTCCAGGGGGTAGGCAGTTACTTACCCGAGAGTCAACGTTCAGTAGTCATCGATATGAATGAGAATAAGAAAAAGCTTTCTACCTCGAAAGAACCAAGATAGGCCACTGAGTATAGAGAGATTGTTTCGATACTGCTCACTAAGAGCTCTTTATAGGTATCAATTCATGACCGCTTCGAACGTTGCTAGCGTCGATGCTGAGGAGATATCTTTTATTTTCATAGCTGTAACTCATTCTGTTGCATATTCGCTCCAAAAGCCATTGGCCTTTTAGGCTTTACACAAGATGCATGTCATATGTCAACTTTTATTCTGACTTATCATTGATTGATCATGAAATATGTTGATTGATAGTTAAAGCTTATAAGATGTCAACGCGATATATCAAGCCAACACATTTAAAAATCCAAGTATGTCTTGCAATATTATAACTGATGGCCTCGCTATGGCCAACGGGCTTCGCGCCGACTTGCTTCCAGCTTCGCACTGCACTGTTACAACACTGCTACGGTTTTCGACAGAGAGAAGTCAGTTGGTAAGGCAAACTTCGTTCTCGGTGGCGACGCAGGCGAGCGTGAGACCAACGGAGAAACGATGTCCATGGCGTGATGATTGTTATATCAAGCGCAATAGCACCATAATACAAGAATCTTATTACACTTTGCCACTTAAGAAGCCGTTATAGCCGCGGGAATAGCTGGCAGCCATTGAAGTGATCAGACATCACCGACCTTCCTTGTTGGGCATGGGAATAGAAATAGGCTATAGGGCTGCACTTTTCCAACGACATGAGATGTCCGGTTGAATGACGGCATGTACATTGCCCTCATGCCCAATCACTGTTAGGTGTAGGGTTGGTACTGGAGGTCGGGCTCTAATGGTACGTTGCAAGGAACCGTTAAGTTGTCTGATTCCCTGTCTGTCAGATCTCGACCCGCCACAGTGGAAAGAGCTTATGCACCTTGGATGAAACTCTGAAGCACTTCTGTATCCTGCGTATCTGCTTGTGATGGTATTCTATGGAAGTACCATGATACAGATCAAGGGACCTTTGTCAAAATCCTTCGAGCTAGGCTCCTTCATAGATGCATACTTTGGAAAGATCAAAACTGCTGCTCCCAGAACAGAACATGCAAAAGGTTTAAGCATAATTGCCAAGCGATTACACGTTGATAGGTGTCATGCAGAGCAACCTGCCAGTTTTAAACTTTCTTGAAGCTGTACTATGCAGATGATAGATCTTTGTCTGATATACAAGGCGGAATAGCGCATAGACCTCTTCTGGTGATTTATTGCAATGGAAACGTGAGAGCTAGGTACAGAAGTATTGTATTTCCCGGTAAGCGGAGAGGCGATTTGTTTTGTTAGGCAACTCCAATGTTACAGCACTTCGTCACAAGAGACCACCAAGGTAGACAACGGTCGAAAACTGTCGACACAAAGGATCCGCAAGTGAGGTTCAGTCTCGACCTGGCCATCGCATCGTGTGAAGCGGCGAAGTGCTGGGGGGTCACGCCTCACGTACAGATAGCGGCCGCACCTATCGATGGGGAGATTTAAGAGACCGATCAGTGCCGGCTTGGCAGAATTCTTGGCGTCTGGAACGGGCTGGTGCTAGCCTGCGTCAAGATATCGGAATATTTCGAATTCGGACTAGAGCAGATAAGTCCCACCGGAGGTATTTACATGTCGACCGTTTCGATGTGAGAGAATGCGATCAACGTTTTGACGACTCTCAAGTGCAAAGTCAATAGCAAATTACAATAAAATGAATCTCAATCTTGTCGTGATGAGCCGCCGCATCTTGAGCCCTCAAAAGGAAGCTTGGATGACGCCTTTTTAAAGGTTATTGACGAATGAGTCGCATCGAGCAAAAGTTCCTCGAGACCCTCCCGATTTAATTGCCAACCCGGACCACGTGACTAGTTTCCGGTTATCACGGCAGGAAACGACCCAGATAAGAGGGCGAATCTGCCGATAATGAGAGAGCGAGATCGAGAACAAGCGACCCAATCCTGCCGCTTAACCCTAAGTCAACTTAAGCTTGAATCTACTGTCGGCGCTTCTACTAATGTCTCGGCCTTGACCCCTTGAAGATCAAAGGTTCCGGATAGTAAAGGAACGATTGTATCTGACGTGCGTTGCAAAAGGTCAATGGCCCCTAGTTCAAGCGATCGGGCCCAATGATCCCCCAAATCCCACTGAATCGGCTGCACTGGCCATGTAACACCGGAATGTGGCATGTCGAAAGGCATGTTGGTGCACTGGGTCTATCAATATCATTCCCACTTGCCGTTGAAGATGTTCTTTACTTCTCAGATAACGCCCTCAGACATCAATTAATATGCTGTAGACATGTTACATCATCATTTAGAGCTTTCAATTGGGTGCTGACATGGCGTGTTCCAGAATTCTGGATTCTTAGTGTGCAGTAGCTACGTATCGTTCCGTGTAAGTTGACAAGGGTTTGGACCAACACCAAAAAAAAAAAAGTCCCTGTAACATGAGCTCTTCCGAGGTTCAAACCAATAGCCGCGCTTTGATTATAGCCATCTGAGACCCTTTGTAAAAGACCCCTGTTAATCAGAATGTCGCAATCAACATCGATCCAACATTAGCCACCCAACAGCCAATGGACTTGAGGCGATGTCACCAACACTTGCAGTCGCTAACACAAGTTCCTGGTGGAATCGGGAGAGGCGGATTTCAAGTGCGGCTCTTCCGAGGACACAGTCGATAGCGCAACATGGAGGCATTACTTGATGAGGCAAAGGCCAAGACGTTTTTAGCCTCGGGGACTTGAGTTGACGGTTCAACGCTAACGCCTCCACGATATGCGCGCGGGAGGGTTACAGAATTGGGACGTGACTAGTACGAAAAGAGCAGGAGAACAGGGTTTTGGTATGTTGCAACGGCACCACGAGGGTCGAACTCCCCCAGAGGCAATTGTCCAAGAAGGGAATTGATCTTGCAAAAGGACCTCGAGAAACCGGGAACTCAATGAGACGCGGCCGACACTTTTGGTCCTTATCGCCGTGGTATCCGATATGGAAGTTCCAGAACCAACGGATGTTACATTCGCTCATCGTGTAATGCGATGGTATCACCCACGATATGGTTTTAGATAAAGATGGGTTGCTGCCCATGCATAGATTGACTCTGCAGCCCAGATGATTTGAGCCAGCTGTGGATTGTTACACAACGACATCAAACCCCTCTTTACCATTCTCAGGAAGAGGACTACTCAAGCATGTCGTCCACGAATGTCGAGCCCAAGGGGCCTCAGGGCCCCGAGGATACCTTCGAGACCTCGGTCTTCCCAGTTCCTAGCCCAACAGATGTCGATGAGAAGAGCGATGCAAAGAACGCTGTTCTTAGCCCTGAGGTTCACGATGCATCTCATACCGACGAAAGCGATAGCGATAGCAAAGACGCCATTATCGTTACCGGCGCCGACGCCTCTCGCCACCTGCTCCCGATGAGAGACGATCACGATAGTGCTTTGACGTTCCGAAGTATTCTTTTGGCCTCCGGTCTTGCTTGTTTCCAAGCTGTCATGTACCAGATTTACACAGTTCGTGGCTCTTTACCCTTCAACTTCGATGGGACGTCATCTAATATGACCAACTATAGTTCAAACCTACCATGATCACCATTCAGGGAACCTTTATCGTCCTCATCTCCTACTTCATCGGCAACGCTTGGGCCTTTGCCCTCCCCCGAGGTGACAAGTTCGAAGCTCGATGGAGAGCAAAGGGCAACACCGGTGCCCTCCCCTTCCTGATCAAGGCCATCAAGTTCATCAACCCAGGACCTTGGGGTCTCAAGGAACACGCCATCTGTTCCATTACAGCCACCTCGGCATCTAATGCCGCTGCAAGTGTTCAGGTATTTGCGGCCCAGGATCTCTTCTACAACATGCCATTGAGTCCGACTACTGTTATCTTGAGTACCATTTCTATTGGTCTGTTCGGCTATGGTCTCTGCGGTATCATGCGTCCTGTTGCTGTCTGGCACGTTGACGCTGTCTTCTGGAGTAACTTGCCAACTGTCAAGACTCTCCAGGGTCTCCACTGGCAAGAAGTCAAGGACTCTAAGCCTCTTCGAGTCTTCTGGTACAGTTTCGGTGGCATGTCACTTTACGAGTTCTTCCCTGCCTACATCTTCCCCTGGCTCAACTCGGTCTCTGTTCCTGTAAGCTACACCCCCATTGGTGATACTTTACTCTTGCTAACCGCTTTGTGAAGTGCCTGGCTGCCATGAAGGCGACCGGAAAGACTGCCAAGAATCTCACCCACGTCTTTGGTGGCGCTACTAATAACGAGGGTCTTGGCCTCTTCAGCATTTCTCTGGACTGGCAATATGTAAGTTACTATAACCACAGATATCAAACTTGAGCTTACATTGATAGATTACCTCTTTCAACACCTCTCTTCCTCTCCCCCTTCAAGCTCACATGGCTATTGGGTTCGTGGTCTGCTATATCGTCATGGCTGGTATCTACTACGGAAATGGCTGGGGAGCCAAGTCACTACCTTTCATGTCTACTCGACTCTTGTTGGCCAACGGTACTACCTACCCCGTTGCTGAGGTTTTCGAAGGTGGAGTCCTCAACGAGTCACGCTTGTTGGAGTTTGGGCTTCCCAAGTTGACTGGTACCTTTGCCTACGCCATGTTCATGGCCAACGCTGCTGTAAGTCATCGACTCTACCTTTACCGTACTAAAAGCTAAACTTGCACACAGATCGGTGCTCTCATCCTTCACTGCATCCTCTTCTGGGGCAAGGACGTTGTCAAGGCTTTCAAGAGTGCCAGGGAAGGACGATATGACGACCGTCACCACGAACACATGGCCAAGCACTACAAGGAAGCTCCATGGTGGTGGTATGTCACTGTCCTTGTGGGAAGCTTTGTTCTGGGCTTGATCGTCGTCATCAAGGAGAACATTACTCTCCCTGCTTGGGCTTACGTGGTCTCACTTATCATGGGTTCCATTATTGCACCAGTCGTAAGTTCAGAAGGTCCATAATACAGCAAACGGCACTGACCTTTGTTCTAGAGCACACTCCTTTACTCTCGTTATGGAAACGGTATTGCGACCAACAACCTTTCCAAGATGATAGCTGGTCTTATGCTGCCTGGCAAGCCTGTCGGTAACATGTACTTTGCGGCATGGTCTCACAACGTCATCTCCAACGCTGTCAACCTGTCTGGTGATCTCAAGATGGGTGAATACCGTAAGTCTTACGCTAACCATTCAAGGTCTTCGCTGACATGAACGCAGTCAAAATTCCCCCTCGCGTCATGTTCCTCACTCAGATCTGGGGAACTATCCTCGGTGGCTTCATCAACTACGCTATCATGATCAGCATCGTCGGCAGCAACCGAGACCTTCTTCGTGACGGTGATGGTAACTCATCCTGGAGTGGTGCTACCATGCAATCTTACAACACCAACGCAACCTCTTGGGCTCTTGCTGGTTATCTTTACAAGCTTGGTGGTACTTACGAGCTCGTTCCTTTCGGTCTGCTTGTTGGTGCTGGTTTGGTTGTGATCCACCGAATCTTTTACAAGGTACATCTCCCCAGTCACCAGTCTTGGAACAACCGACTAACGGTTTCTAGTTTTACCCCAAGATCAAGAACTTTGACGTCGCCGACGTCAACTTTCCCCAGTTCATCCAGTTCGCTGGTTATATCCCTTACAACCAGAGTCAAACTTGCGTCATCCTGAGCCAGATTCTCTCCGGCTTCTTCGTCCAATTCTACCTCCGAAACTACCGACCTCGCATCTTCAGGGACTACTCATACCTTGTAACTGGTGCCTTTGACGGTGCCAGTCTTACTGTCCTCTTCATCCTCTCTTTCGCCGTGTTTGGAGCAGGTGGCCCGGGTCATCCTTTCCCAAGCTGGTGGGGAAACAACGTCAACGGCAATTATGATCTTTGCCCTGTTCCTGAGTAGACGAGAAGTACTCAAGGTTTTGAGTTCGGTGGTCTGGAAATGAGCCTGGAATTTGCCTGTGCATTGTTTAAACTCGTACTTCAGCCTCTGTACCTTATACCCCAGCTAGCTATTTCGAATCAAATGTTCATTCAAATACATGTGTCATTTCTCGTGAAAGCGTTCTTCTTTGAGATACTTTAGCCTTGAGTCACCTTCGACCGCCAGTTACTGACAAAGTCCCCTTAAGAGTAGCCTACAAAAAGTCTCATACAATTTCGGCCCCGGGAATGCTTGTATTCCTCCAACCTCGTGACCTACAACTGCCATCGCTCCTATTAATTACTGGTTATATCTTGGAGGAGACATGTGATTGTCGTTACTGTTACCATCTTCCTTCTCTAACCGCCTGGCCTCAGCTTCCTCTTAAGTCTCATCCCTTTCCCGCAAACTGTACCATATTTCTCTCTTATCAAGATCAGAATGCTTCTGATACGCCCCATCTAGAGCATCGCGGATCCTCTCCGTAAAGACAATCTTCTTGTCGTGTCTCATAAGTACTTCAGCAAACCCCTTTCGTGTTTCCTCTCGGGCCAGTGGATACTCTCTGAAGATACTGAGAAACAATTTCTCTGTGATTGGCAATGATGGTGTATGCGTCAAGATAGAATCTAATAGCGAAGGCTTGGCACCAAGCACCATCTTCTCAATGTGGCTAGGTGACAGCTCAATCTCTGGGTCAGACTTCAAGACAAGCGTCAACATATCCGCCTGGTTGAGAAAGTAGTCAGGGCTCTGTTCGCAAAACCATGTAGCAATATCTTGCAACTTTCCGCGAGCTGGCATCAGATGTTCAAGCAAGAACTCAAGCTGTGGCAAAGTTTTGGTTGCTTTGAGCATGTCGTTAGTGACCGGGAGTGGCGAGTCCCGGGGCCAGATTGACAAGAGAACCTCGGTATTCTCTTCCGGTAGTCTCCATCTGCTGTAAGGCGTGTTCATTGACAAGACTTGGACCACAATACCTTCCGTTATTTCCACACCTGGTTGATACTCCATGAGCGCTTTCAGGGTCCCAATATCTGTTTGCGATTCGAGAATGTCGGGGGTGATTTCCAATGAAAGCTTCCGAGTCTTGATCAGACTGTTGAAAGCATGCTCTGAGAGCCCAGCCTTTAGCATCCTTGGAGTTATTTCCAGTCCCTCGCTACCATCAAAGAGAACGTCTATGTTTTCTTGGCTTGGCCGACTCTCTTCGCTGAGGAAACGGACGATCAGATCTTCAGACACTGGCCGTACTCTTCTCTCGGCAAGGAGGAAACACAATATATCGCTGGTCTCCAACCGAGCTGCAGCTACGATATCGCTGTCTGTGATATCGAGGGTTACTGAGTGTTGACAAATAACTCGGGGCATCGCCTGGCTCCCACCATAAGAGCCATACGAAGCTGCAGACTGGAGTGCGGCTGTAAGCGCAGTTCTCCCGTCCGCGTCTTTCAAAGCGGCTGAGGCACCGTGTTGAAGCAATTGAAGAACAAGTGACTCATCGTTGTACTGACAGGCCAAGTGTAATGCTGTACCATGAATTAGGTGTACGTAGTTGATGTCGACCCCCTTTTCCAGGATCAAAGATATGATGTTCCTCTTGTTTCCCTGCAAAGCTGAAAAGAGGGGTGTCTTGAAGTCCCCAGCGATTTTGTGCAGGCTGGCTCCGCAGTCGACCAAAAGCTTCACGATTTCGAAGTTCCCGATGAGACAAGCCAACTGAAGCGGGGTCTCGAAGCCATCCATTCCACCATCAGCGCTGGCACCATATTCAAGCAAAATACGGACAATTTTAGTGCATCTCCGGATAGCTCGGTACTCCACATTTTCTGCGTTGAGGTACTTCTGGTGTCTCGTCCCTCGTTGCTCCAATTGCTGTTGCAATGGTAATGCGCAAGCCCATAGTGCCATTGTAACTGGGTCTCCGGGCTGGGATGATCTTGGTCGGACGTTTGCGCCTCGTTGTAGCAGTAGCCGTACCACTTCAAAGTTCAAGTAGTAACAAGCCACTTGCAACGGGCTATCCTCCTCTTCGTTGCTGCCATCGACATTCATGCCTTGTCGAATCATTCTTTTCACCAGAGGCACAGAACCTGAGGAACACACGAAGAGAAATCTTTTGGGAGTTGGAGGAACATAGTCAAGTAGAAGATTGAGAGTTCTGTAGTCAGTAGACTTTCCCACTGTGAGTGAGTCTAAGGTTTCGTCGATGATCTCAGATGGATCCGACCCGTCATTGAACAGCTGTTCAAGAACAGCCTCAACAATGGAAACGTCTTCACTTCGGCATGCATCCTGGAGACTAGAACTGTCAACCTTTGCGCCAGCCGCGATCAGGTCTTTGATGATTTGAAGACCCGCTTTCCCTGCTACAGCATTCGAAAGAGCACCAGGAGATTTGGAGATATCAGCACCAGAGTCAAGAAGTAGCCGAACCATGCGCAAGTCTGCGGTCTTTACCGCTACTACAAGGGGCGTTGGGCAGCCACATTCGTCGATTAGCAGGTTGATATCGGCACCTCTTGACAAAAGCAGTTCGACAAGGTTGATATGACCTCCAGAAATAGCGGCATGCAAAGGACTCGCATCTTGAGCCTCTATACTTGCCACATCGGCTTTCTTTTGGCCTCGCACATTGGCAGAAGCATTGACTTCTAGCAGCAACTCCGTCATGGCGTAGTCTCCTTTTTGACAGCTAATGATAAGGGGATGTTGCAGGCTCCCCTCTTCATCTATCACTGAGGGGTCTGTCTCGAGGAGCAGTCTGGCAATTTCCGAATGTCCCTCCTGCAGAGCAAGCTGGAGTGTACTTGATGATGCATCTTCCATATTGTTCCTAGACTGTCGCTCAGTTTGGTGCTTGAGCTTAGGATCTGCGCCATGTTTAAGCAGAAGCTGCACAATCTCAAGCTGACCACCGACAATGGCTGCGCGTAGGGATGTGTGCCAGCGACCCTGTATCACGTTTGGGTTTGCTCCCTTGTCTAGTAGAGTTTTGACGATCTCTAGCTGTCCAGTTCGTGCCGCGGCTTGTAAAGAACTTCCATAGTAGTATCCTGTTGCATCAACCTCGACTCCCCGAGATAACAGCAACTCGACAAAAGAAGCTTTGCCGAGAAGGCAAACCATCTGAAGAACTAGACCATATCTTAGGCTTTCCAAGTTGCCTGTATCATAATTCTGTAGAAGGAACTCGAGTACCGCTCCTGGTCCTTGTTCGAAGACGTACTCCAAAGACGGGGCCTGTACAAAGCGGCCGTCTGGGTCAACAATAATGCTATGGAAAGTCTGTCGCTCTCTATCGCCTTCAAAGAACTCAAGAGCTTTTTCAAGAATCTCCTTGCCTCCATCACAATAGTTTGGAAGTTGGTGACCACTGTTCAATAGTCTTGTTGTAACCGCCATGGCTTCCATTTCTCTCTGAACTGCTCCCATAAGAGCTGCATCTCCTTTACCGGCAAGTTTGACATCTGCTCCAGCTTCAAGCAGCTCCTTTACCACGACATCTGGACAGACCCTCGCTGCGTATTGGAGAGGATAGACACCCTTTCCACCGAGACAGTTCGGTTCGGCCCCTAGCTTCAGTAGTGTTTGGATAACCTTCTGCTGCTGAGACATCGTTTTTTCTCTATAATATCTCGCATAATAAGGCAATTCATAGCTGTCAAAAGCACCCAATCCGACCTGCAGCGGACTGACAAGGCGAGAACCCTCAGCCGATCGCGAACCACCATTATGTCGAGTCGCTTCATCAGTGGTACTTATAGGGACACTGTTAAGACGAGGGTCAACAGACTGCCCCAAACGCCTGAGATACCTGGGTTTATCCTCTTCGAGGACATTAGCGTTGATATCAGCACCGAAGTCGGATACGAGATACGAGATGATGTCAGACTGTCCCTTGCTACAAGCCGCGTAGGTCAATCGGCCTAGAAGAAGTTCATAATGAGACATGTCGTCCTTTTGAGAGAGGAGAAGCTTCAATGTCTCAAGATCCTTTCCGGCGGCGCCTACCAGTGTCGTGTCGGGAATGGCAACATTTTGTAAACCAGAACCAAGTTTGAACAAGCTCTTGATGAATGAGGCGTGACCTTTTTCTGCAGCTTTCTGTAAGCCATCCAGGAGGTCGTTGGCTTGCAGTAGGTGATGATGCTTGCAACTCATTATGGCCTCTAGTACAGCTAGATCTCCCGAGTTGCAGCATGCCAAGAAGTCTGACTTGAAGACTTTCGGCTCAATGACTGTTACTTTGTATTTTTCCTGCCCTGGTGGGAGCTTCAATCTGAGTTGGTCAATCTGTTCCGCTGTAAGACCACTTTCAGACGCTTTAGCAAGAGTAAGCTGCAAGATGTCATCACGCTCTTCTGGTATGCCTTCCAAAGTTGTGTAGATGCGTTCAATAAAGGGACCCTTCATCTTCGATGCGTGATCGAGCAGTATCTTGACTGTGCTCAAGTGTCCGTTGGAGGCCGCTGCCTTGAGAGCATTACCAACCTCGGAATCCCAGAATCCTAAAGTTTCCTTTTGCTCTAGTAACACCTTGACAACTGCGTCCTTCCCTCCGGCAGCACTAGCTTCCAGAGGGCGATTCTTTTGAGAACCGTCCTGCGTATCATCATCGTTACGGGGGGGTTTCCTTGTCTGTCTTCTGGTAGAACGATAGCGAGCATCTCCATTCCATCATCGGTCTCGACTTGAGTGGCGTTGTCATGGGCATCTACATCAACTACAGGTTCGGTCTTCCTGACGTTCCGCTTGTAAAGGTGCGGCCATAATTTAGAACGAGGATGCTTATCCCTTCCAGGAGAAGCCTCCCGATAAAGCGGCCTGTACGGAGAAGGGCGAGCTCTCTTGTACTTCGGACCCGGTGGCTCATAAAGAAACCTATATCCCCGTTCAAGAAAGAGCATGATGATCTCTTGATGACCACCTTCAGCAGCGGCATGGAACGCATCTGGGGAGGAACCTTCCGCATGGACATTTGCTCCAGCGTCAAGTAGTATCTCGACAACATTTCTGTGGCCGTAGTACGCCGCAGCTCGTAAAACTGTGCCAAAAGACCCCGTCTTCTGGTGAACGTCTGCACCTTCCTCCAGCAGGATCCTGACAATATCTGCGTGGCCTTTGACAGCGGCGACGTAGAGGGCATTGCCTTTCCGTTCTTCTGTTTTGACATTGGCACCATGCTGGAGTAGTTCTTCAACAGTGGATTTGTGGTTCATCAAACAAGCTGAGCGGAGTGGCGTACCGAACTGACCCTCAGCTTCAATATCCAAACCTTGATCCAGAAGGTACTTGACGATATCCGCATGGCCATAAAGGGCGGCAATTGCAACCGAGTCTTTTGGGAAGATTCCTTTCGCATCGGACGATGCTTTTGACAACTGACGCTGTAGCACGAACAGCTGGCCCCCTTTAATCGCCTTTGCCAACCTCATCTTGTTTTTTTCTGGGGATTCTTTGTCTATAAAGCGCTTGAAAGTTGGCTTCAAAAGTTGGTCGATGACCCTTATGAAGCCATACTCCGTTGCCATTTGTATGGCTTGCTCATAGTCATCTTCAGTATCAATAGTTGCATCGTGCCTAATGAGAGCGAGCACGATATCTTCATGCCCTCCCTGAGATGCAGCTTGAACGGCACTCTGAAACTTCGAACCACACTTTGGAGATGCTCCATTTTGAAGAAGTTTCTCTGCAATCTCCTCATATCCTCTGAAACACGCAACATGCAACGGACTTCCGTATGCACCACATTCGGTGTTCAACTCCGCGCCCTTCTCAATCAGAGTTGTCACAGTGGAGAGATGCCCTGACGCAACTGCGAGGTAGAGTGCGGTGTGCCCAAGGTCATTTCGCTGGTCCCAGTCTATGTCAGCTCCTGATTCAGCAAGAAGAGTCAGCAGCCCGTCTATACCAAAGACAGCTGCCAAGAAGAGGGGAGACGATGTTTCATTAGGTATGGCATCGAGAGCCGGCTTCATAGGGTGATCCCTTGGCAGCAGTGTTGCTATCTCCTTCGCAATTTCCAGCCAGGCTTCGAAGGAAAGACTGGCATCGCAGTCCTCATCTTCAAAGACAAATGAGACCATGTCTTGAAATAACTTCTCTTCCTTCTTGACAACCTTTGAACTCTCAAAGTGGCCTGCCCAGTGCGTAGCAGCATAGAAGAAGAAGCCTTTGACTTGTTGTTCCAGGCTTCCACTATCTGGCGGACCACGAGAGCTGACCTTAATACAGATCGATGCCAGCAGACTGTGAGCTACTGGGGCGGAGAACAGAGATTGTTGGGAGCGGAGGATGTACTCTCGGACTGAATGATGAGCAAGTCGGACAACTTGGCGATCGAGGTCTATAACCACCAAGTTCGAGCACACAACAGAAATATCGGCCGCTGTGCAAGGTACATTCCCTAAGCTTGCGGTAGCGATGGCGGCTAACAAGGCCTCAGGAGTCAATGGTGATTTCATGTACAGCAACCAAGAGAAAGTTTGAATGGCGAGTTGTCGCGATGTGTCTCCTGATTGTAAGATCTGTCCCAGGTCGTTCTCGTAAAGCCTGTCGAGATCTGAGAGAATGGTGGACCGTAGGGCCGGTAGAAGGTCGTCTTCGCTCTTGACTTTGCGAAGCTGCTGTATCTGCCGATGGACCCATAGAAACCTAGATCAAGTCACTTCAGTAAACAAAACCAAGGATAGAAAATCGGGAAGATCAATTGTGTAAGGCGAAGACCTTAGTTGGCGCAGCCTCAGGGAGCAAGAAAACTTAGGGCCTCTATCATAAGTAACAAAAAGACTTTGGTAAATTTAGTATAGACTTAGAAGGCCCTTAGATTAGTTTTTCACACTCAGGATGAGGTTCCTAAGTTTTCTTGCCTCCCGTAACGCAGGTAGCTAACAATAACTCCATTCACGGTGGGAAAAGTAATAGAAAAGAGGAAAAGAGGAAAAGAAGAAAGGGAAGCCTACATTTCGCCCGCACCGTCTAGCAACTCTTTTGTCAGGCAGCTTCTTGCATGTGGTGAGAGCCTTCCACTGATGAGTTTGGCGTCATCAATCTTCTGATTAATGAACCTGCACATGTCGTCGTGGACTCGGTCGGCTGCCACGATTATCTCTCTCGCAGTTGGCATCGAAGAGAGAATATCGATACTATTTCTGCTCGTGACAAGCACTTTGACGACATTTTCAGCCCTTGACATGACGTCAGACAAGGATTGCAGCAGAAGATCGCAACTCTCGTCTTCAACCTGCTCAACACCATCGAGTAATATTGTGATGGGGTCTTCATTGGCGACTTGAATGATACGATCCACACAATCTTTTCTACTCAGTTTGGGTAGTTCTAGTCCCTGTAGAAGAGAGGACTTGGAACGACGCTGGAAGTCGGAGTACAGAAAGTCGCGGATATCACTTTGGCTTTCTGTAATCGTCAGCTGACGCAGGATGCTGCGGAGTATCCCGTCTGCTGATGATCTCTCTGGTTCTGACTCGCTTTCGAGACAGTAGAAGTATGCGAAGGGAGTCGATTCTGGGTTCGTAGCCCTGGTGGCCAGCAATGAGTCAACAACGACAGAGAATAGGTTGGTCTTCCCTGAACCCGTGATTCCATGTATCCACAATGTTGATGAAGAGCTGGATTCGCACCAGTTTCTGTAGATCTCATGCTGCAGAAGCCACTGGCCAAAGTTTGGCGTTCTTGGCTCGGATATGGTTTCATGGTGGATTGAGAATGGCGGCGTGGAAAGCCAAGATATCATCTTCATATAATCCTCTTCCTCAATGCGCTTGGTGGTAGTGTTGATCTGATCTCTTAGGCGAAGAACAGTCTTCTGGATAAAGCGTAGATCTGAAGTATCCTGAAGCTTGGCCAGTTTGAGAACCTCGTCTTCTCTTGATAAGATCTTTTGGATCCCGTCATCACCCGTCCAGAAGACACTCTTGGCTAATCGGACTGCTCGGGTCAGCGGATGTCTTTCCCAAATGTTTTTTAAAACATGCCTGCAGTTGATTGCGAAAAGAAGGCAATGGTGCTTGCCAAGCATGTTAAAACTTCTGTATAAAGAACAGTGAGGGCTGTTTCAAGCACGGGCTCAGCGGATTGATCTCGACCAAGATGGAGATTTTCAAACTCCTTGTAGCGTGCCATGATCCGAGAGACCACCTCCAGGTCCTGAAGCATGGTCCCGTACTGTTGAACATCGTTAACTGTCACTTGAAGAAGTAATATGACAGCGGCCCAGGGCAGCGAAGCGTTGCTAGCATCAAATTGCACAGCCGCGTCGCCGACGGCTTTGAAGCAGTCGATCCATTTGGCGATCTTTTCAAGAATATCTCGAATGATAACGACTTCACCATTTGTTCGTTTGAACTTCCAGCGTTTGCGGAGACTCGTGGCTTTACGGTTCTCAGCTGCCTCGAGAGCGGCCGCTAGAATGTCGCGCTTATGTGTCGCAGCCTGGCCAAGCGACGTTTTTAGATCTGCGCTGAGGGAGTTGAAGGCTTGATCCCAGAGACTCTGGGCATTAGCAATACTTGGAGTGACGGCTTGTGTCGCCATGACGCTCTCACAAAGTTGACGTTTATTCTTTTCGCTATTTACTCCGCTTTCTGTTTGCGAATGTCGAAATGGTAATGGCATAGACACCAAGTTTCAGCCGCAATGCTCGCGACGCTTGCCTTTCTAGTCCGCCACCTTAGGCACTCGCCTTCACGCGGATGGCGTCCAGTAAAACGTAAAACGCTGACTGCATATGCCGGGTGTAGCCAATAGATATATTTTCAAGGCCACAGCCCGAATCTATTGCGTTATCTTGATGGCTCATCGTAATAGGCTTCACTCCCTGGTCTATTGCAATCTATGGGGCTGATGAATCGTTTCATGGTCGGCTTCTTCCAGCGACTCTTTGCTGTTGGCAGTCTAGGGGAGGCAATAAAACTTCAGCCCTATATTCGAGATGACAAAAAGACTTAGGTAAGTTTAGCATAGCTTGTTGGTCCTTTAGACTGGTCATTTTTGGCACACTGATTAAAGGTCAGAAAGTTTCCTTCCTCCCTGAGGGCAGTGTCCATGGACACGGTCGGTCGCACAACTTTTACTTGAGCAGCTATTATGATATAATGTATAAGAACTGATATCAACAAGTCGGTGCAAAGACATTGCGGTTGAACTGTGAGCTTGTCCTGCTTGTCCAGTCAGGTAGCCAGCCAGCCACGCGAAGAGACGCGAAAAAAGAGCGAGATTCTAGCGGGTTTTTACAGGCCTGTTCGCTTTCGGTCAACTGTCGGCCTCAAGCTAACTCTACAAAAAAAGGGTCGCGGCATCGACAATTGAGAATAGACTCCAACAATAAAGATTCTAGATCAAACAATTTCTCAAGTGAAACAATCTATCTCGACCTTTTCCAATCTTCCAGACGCCGATTCACCCGCCATCATGTCTTCACCAAAGACAGTCGCTTTCTTGGGCGCTAGCACAGGCGTAGGCCTCTCAGCGCTCAAACATACACTGGCTGCAGGGCATAACTGCGTTGCATTATGCCGAGTTCCATCAAAACTCGAGGCTCATGTCTCCCCAAAAAACCATGCCAATCTACGGGTTGTTGAGGGCAACGCCCACGATATCAAGGCAGTCGCTTCTTGTCTGAAGAAGGACGATGGCTCAATAATTGATGCGATTGTCTCTACAATCGGTGGCAAGCCCATCATTCACAAACTGGCAATTGATGATCCCAACTGTTGTCGGGTGGGCATGGCTGTCCTTCTCGACGCTCTCGCGCAAATACGTGCAGAGGGTGCCGTTGGAAGACCTCATATCACCGTCTTTAGCACCACTGGCATGTCAGACTTTGGACGCGATTATCCCCTTCTGCTATATCCGATATACGCGATTGCTCTAAAGGTCCCGCACGAAGACAAAAAGATCATGGAGACCAAATTGGCCGACAGTGGTGAGGACTTCACCATCGTGCGGGGCAGTCTGTTGGTGGATGGTGAGACTGAAACACAAGTGCGCGTAGGCATTGAGGACCCCAAGAATGGGATAGAGTCATTGGAGATTGGATACACCATCTCCAGGGAAGACGCTGGGAAGTGGCTGGCAGATAAGTTGCTGATCAAGACACAGGCTGAGTATATCAACAAAATTGTGTCAATTACTTGGTGAGGGTTCATGGTAATTTTGTGTATTTTAGAAGGCGTTGGATAGTGCTTTGGGTTACAGCGTGGACGTACAAATTACACATGCTTTCAGTATCTCGAGTCTTTACTCAATACAAATAATAAATTATCTAAACACCGAGAATTCCCAAGCGCGTCTTGAATAAACTCTTGGTGTCCTGTTAAGAGGAACTGGCATGGTGGCCCGCCCGATTACCCCAAGGCATCGCGGTGGTGAGGTGACAGGAGAACGGCACAGTCGTCCCAAATTGCCTTAGCGCTTATCTTTACTGTCAGGTAACTTATCGGGGGTCTAACGCTCAGCATCGCAGCTACTTATCAGTCATGGGGGAGAGAAAGGAGCAATGGCAAGGAGATAGATCAGATAGCAGATTTGACGTCTTAATATAAGCTTCAGAGTAGAGAAGTAATTTGGATAGGTCTTTATTGAAAAGAAATACTACTTAACACATAGATTCCCGGCTTGCCGAAAGCAGTGATGAAGTAGCGACTGATGGTATATGATAGCGTTGTCTCCAAGCAGCGCATCATCCGCGATGGTTGACCCGATCAAGTGCTCATTTCCCGCATGGAAAGGCGTAAATCTGTATCGCGGCAAAAAGATCAAACTATTGCCAGATCAAGCTGTGTGTATGAGTTCGCCTGATACCGTTGTCCATCATTTTATCGCCGTTCATCACGAATGACGCCCTCCCCCGCTGTCCCAACCCCTCTCGCGTCAGATTCGGCCTCCGCGCCCGAGAAAAACGCGAGGAACGCCTCCACAGCCAAGCTCCGCAGCTGCGTCGTGTGTCGCAGTCGTAAAGTGCGCTGCGACAAGCTGTCACCATGTTCAAACTGTCGCAAGGCTAATATTCCCTGTGTTGTGCCCTCCAATGACCGTCCGCCAAGATGGGCAAGGCGCTTGGAGCGCATAGCCGATAATGGACAGGGCACTGCAGGTCAAGGTGGCAGCTCTGGGACCGACCAGGTCATGAATAGACTGCGGACGCTGGAGAATTTGGTTAAGGAGTTGAGTGGACAGCTTGAGGTGGCTAATGCTGCTGCGAGTCGGGGCGCTTCTTCTGATGCGTCATCGCCTCAAGATGCTGTGAAGGACGCAGCTAGTCCTTCGTCAACTTCAACGGCTTCAGATGTGCAAAAGCATTTTGGAAGAATGGTGATCAAGGATAAGAATAGAGAGAAGTACGTAGCAAGTGGCTTCTGGTCCCGTATCAGCGATGAGGTATGTCAACTCCATCCAGCCTTACTTTTCCTGTTTATCGCTCTGACTGCCTGCAGCTCGATGGGCTGAAGATGGACACTCGTAGGATGGCAGATGATGATGAGTCTTCTGAAGACGAAGACTTCCCGGTCAGCACGCCTTCAACTCAAGAACTCTACCGAGAACCCTCGGAGCGGCATGCTTTCCTGTTTCGAAACAGCCATGCTCCAGCGTCGCCCGGCGAACAGGACTTCAGCCCGTTACCGTCTCAGATACCCTTCCTGCTGGACGTATTCGACGAGAACATTAATCTCATCATGCACATCGTGCATATGCCGAGTATCAGGAAGATGGTCCGTCCATCTCCCGGGACAGCGGCCAACATATCCCTCAAGCACCAAGCGCTGCTCTTCTCCATCTACTACGCTGCCATCACGTCCATGGAAGACGACGATGTGCTAGCAAACTTTGGGTCTACTAAGACGGAGCTCAATATGAAATTTCGGCGGGGCCTTGAACAGGCTTTGGCAAGAGCAGACTTTCTCAACAATCCAGATATTGTCCTTGTACAGGCCTTGGTCATCTTTCTATCTCTCGCCCGGCGTTACGATAGCCCTGTATACGTGTGGATGATGACGGGTCTGATGATCCGTATGGCTCACGCCGTCGGTCTACATCGAGACGGTTCGAGGTTCCAGCATTTATCACCGTTCGAAGTTGAGCAACGACGTCGTCTTTGGTGGATGATCATTACAGTCGACATTCGCGCGTCTGAAGACCAGGGAACTGAATTCTCAATCACGCAAGACAGCTTCGACACCAAGATACCTCTCAACGTCAACACTTCGGACATCGAGCCTGACACGAAAGAGACTCCCCCAGAGCGCAAAGGCGTTACAGACATGTCTTTTGCACTCGCCATGTGTGAACTAGCAAGAGTTTCGAGACAGCTGATGGCATCAAGTATCCACTCACCTGGGCCTACTCTGGAAGAGCAAACTCAGTTGCTTGATGGTATTCAGGAAAAACTTGAGAATGGCTACCTTTTCCGCTCCGCTCACCCAGAAGATATAGCTAACTGGGTCGGGATCGTGTGTACGCGGCTTGTCCTTTCCAAGTTGACACTCTTGGTATACCTTCCCTCGCTTTTTGCGTCGCCCAATGAGCGTTTCTCGGACGAGATTCGAGACAAACTGCTTGTCGCAGCTATCGAGGTGGCAGAGCATAACCACGCGCTCAATGCTGAAACGAAATGTCGCCAATGGCGATGGATATACCAGACATATACTCATTGGTATGCCATTGTATGGCTGTTGATCGAGATATCCAGACGGCAGTGGTCGCCTACTGTTGACCGCGCATGGGTGGCTCTGCACAGCGTCTGGCTGATACCGTCGCAGCATAACATGGCCAAGAATGCGCGCATGTGGATTCCACTGCGTCGATTGATGGCTAAAGCGAGGAGCCATCGGGACGAGCAACTGGCGCAAATCCGGAACAACCCTGCCATGATTGAGTCTCTGGAGCAGGCTGATCGCGACCTCCCTATTCCTATCAGCCCGGAATCGTTGCAGGAGACAAATTCGCAGCAGCGGTTCCTTGAGCATTGGCGCTCTGCTGTCGGAAAGACAAGCTATGGCATTTCCGAGCAACCTGGGCCCCAAACTGGTGATAGCAACACGACGCAATCTCTAGCTAATCCGGCCATGGGTGACAGTGCCACCCAATGGGCGAACCCCTCTTTTGACTTTGCGTTTCCCCAAACATTGGCTGATGGTCAGCCTGGAGATGCAGGTGTTGCATCATGGCTTTGGAATGATATGGATCAGAGTGGTAATGCATTGGCAGATATCAATATGGACATTGATACTGATATCGACTGGAATACATGGCTACAGTCTGCTACGGGTATGGAATTGAATGCGGGAAACACGGGGCCGATTTGAGTAATCTTGAGTAGTGGGCCTCAGAACTTCAGTCCAAGAATGATGTTTGCATAGAGCAAATACGAATCAAGATAACATGAAGGTCGGTTCGATGGTTAGGGACGGATTAATAGAAGGCAAAATCGAATGATTCGTCTGTTTTTATTCATGTAGCAGTGTCATACCTACGCGGTTTTAGAGTCTTTGGCTAAAGTCCTCCAAACCATACAACTCCTTTTGACGTTCAAGCACAGCCGGGTGACGAATCACCCCTGGCGTGAGCTTACCAAAGTCCAGGTCGACTCCTTCCTCGATATAGGGAAATGGACCGAGAGGTGTAATAGCGAGCGGATTGATCTTATAATGACTCTTTGTGTACTATATCCTAGATTAGTCCTGACCAGGCAGCTAGTTGAGCGCTTACATTTTCTTTGATATGCCTAAAGTCTGTCGTCTCTTTGAACCCTGGAACATTCCAGTAGAGATTCTTGAGCCACTCATGAATCACTGGGTAGTTGGCGCGAATAGTTCCGAGGTCGCACTTGAAGTGGCCAACATAGACAACATCAAATCTGACGACAGTGGCATACGCGCGTATGTCAACTTCGGTGAGCTGTTTGCCAAGGATATAGGGGCCCCCATTTTGGTGAATCAGTGCCTCGAGCTTGTTCAGTGCCGCAAAGACCGTTGGCACATTATTATTGTAGTCCTCCTGAGTCGTTGCGAAGCCGGCTTTGTAGACGCCGCTGTTGAGGTCTCGTTGCATCCAAACATTGATGCCATCAATCGCGGATCTCAGGTTCTCTGGGTAAAGATCCAGGTCACACCCAGGAGCGTTTGAGTCGAGGATAGAATCGAAAGCTGTTGGCAACCAACGGAGCAATTCGTGACTCTCATTGTTGACCATGCGATTCTCCTTCTTATCCCAGAAAACAGGTACACTGTACCGCCCCTTATAGTCGGGGTCATCCTTGAAATAAACTTCATGTAGATACTTTGACTGAAAGAGGCGATCTTCAGTGGCGCCTTCATAGAGATCATCCGGAGGACTCGGAAACTGCCAACCTGGCCATCCCTTATCATCACCTTTGGGGTATGGCTTCACGACGGATAGGCTGATGATGTCTTGAAGGCCTTTGAGATGTCGAACGAGATTTGCTCGGTGTGCAAAGGGGCAAAAGAGTCCGATGTACAGATGGTAGCGGTCCTTCTCGGGCTGGAACAGGCCATCCGAAGTAACAACCCCATGCCACGAGTCGTCAGGGCCACTATGAACAGTCATTTTATGAGCTTAAATCAACGACAACGATGCATAAAACTTGTGCACTTGTTACATATGAGAATGTGAGGTTCGTATGGTGAGATGGAGTGCTTGACCCCGCTTGATGACGGATAATCGGAATTAGAGGTCCGGTTCCCGGAAGTGGCTTCGGAACCGAACTTTATTGACCTATGCACCAAGCATTTATAGTGTGTAGTTAATAGAAACGGATAGAAAGAAGCCCTGGATGAGTTGAAGATGCCATGCTGAAATACTGGTGAGTTCCACGGTATGTGATGGCAATTGGATCACAACGAGAAGGGATCTTGCTTCACAGCTTGAAAACGATACAGGACAGTCACAGAAGTGGAATTTGAGAGAAGAACGTGTTTGATATAAATGATAGTATGTAGTGTCAGGTCGCGTTCGCCTTCCACTTTCTCAATTTATATATTGAAGAAGAGCATCAAAGAGAGCATTCGAAGAGAATATAACAGTCAATGACAGATGCCAAAGACTTTCAGAGTAGAATTCATAGAGTTAAAAAGTGAAACAGAAGTTCTCTCGTTGAGATGTGTGAGAAGTGAGGAAATGAGTGTTGATTGCCTTGGGTGAATATCCCCCAAACATGTCATCATCCTAGCACATAAGTCGTAAGTCCTCTGGCCCAATGATCCCAGACTAGGGGCCAGTCGTAAGTGTGCTTTTGCATCAAGCAAGATCAAGCTGAGCTTTTGTTGAAGCACTGATTGAGAGGTTTAGGTTGTTGGCCTAAGTCGATGGCTTGCCTGGCTTACCAGGTTCCGGATAGTCATGCTTAGGAGGGGGATAATGAGGCTTTGGCTCGTAAGGCTTTGGCTCGTAAGGCTTTGGCTCGTAAGGCTTTGGCTCGTAAGGCTTTGGCTCGTGAGGCTTTGGTTCGTGAGGCTTTGGCTCATAAGGCTTTGGCTCGTGAGGTTTTGGTTCGTGAGGCTTTGGCTCATAAGGCTTTGGCTCGTGAGGCTTTGGTTCGTGAGGCTTTGGCTCATAAGGCTTTGGCTCGTGAGGTTTTGGTTCGTGAGGCTTTGGCTCATAAGGCTTTGGCTCGTGAGGTTTTGGTTCGTGAGGCTTTGGCTCATAAGGCTTTGGCTCGTGAGGTTTTGGTTCGTGAGGCTTTGGCTCGTGAGGTTTTGGTTCGTGAGGCTTTGGTTCGTAAGGCTTTGGCTCGTGAGGCTCAGGCTTATGCGGCTTGTGAGGAGGATAATGAGGCTCCGGCTTGTGAGGCTTGTGCGGCTTGTGAGGAGGATAATGGGGCTCCGGCTTAGGATGCTTAGGCGGGTAGTGAGGCTCAGGCTTGTGCGGCTTGTGCGGCTTGTGCGGCTTGTGAGGAGGATAATGGGGCTCCGGCTTAGGATGCTTAGGCGGGTAGTGAGGCTCAGGCTTGTGTGGTTTTCCAGGCTGGCCAGGGTTGTTCTCCCACGGCTTGTGAGGCTTGCCTGGATGATCTGGCTTATGGGGCTTAGGAGGAGGATAATGAGGCTTTGGCTCGTGAGGCTTGTGCGGCTTGTGAGGAGGATAATGAGGCTCCGGTTTGTGAGGCTTGTGCGGCTTGTGAGGAGGATAATGAGGCTCCGGTTTGTGAGGCTTGGGCTCGTGAGGCTTGTGCGGCTTGTGAGGAGGATAATGAGGCTCCGGTTTGTGAGGCTTGTGAGGATAGTGCGGCTTCTCTACACCATAGCCGGGATCATATGGCTTGGGCTTTCCAGGCCCGCCGTGTTCTCCCCAGCCCTTGACGGGCTTGTACTCATGGTGGTAGACCTCCCTACCAGGCTCAGCAACAGGAGCAGAGATAGCACCCGAGCTCAGAGCCAAGAGGGTGACAGCAGACAGCTTCATCTTTGCAGATGGTTGGCAGATCTGTGCTGCTGTGAAGACAAGATTGTAAAGAGATTGTCAAGTTTCTCTATAGATTGAAGAGACAGTTGAAGAAGTGAAGTTGAGAAAGTGAAAGGCGGATGAGGAGGGAAGAGAATAGATTTAGAAGGGGAAACGGCGAGCTTTTATGTTATTCTCTCGTCGCTGGATGCGACTTTGAGAAGAATCATACAAAGACCTGTAGGCTGGTCTCGATCAACGTGCTGCACTCCATCGTGAATGCATCGGCTAGAATCGAGTGAACTCCACGTTGAGTTCATGGTGGCATGCCTTCAGGCACTTGGAAAACATTCAACAGACATGCATCGTGATGCCTTAGTTCTTAGCCTCGAATCGAATAGATGGCCTGGCTGTCGGATGAGAACTTCCGCCTTGATTCTCAGATGCGATTGGTTTCCCCAAGGACATTGATGCTCCGAGTTAGACATGGCTGATTCTGTCGAGATCGAGTAGACACTCCGAAAAAGCTGCCACATGGCGTTATTGCAGAATGATGTTGTCATTATCGTATATCTTCAAGTGGTGGCTTGCTTACCAACAGCAATTTGTGTCTTCTCGTATCATGCACGCACTTTTGAATGTGGTGTCTTCATGCAGAAGCAGAGAGTAAAAGTTGGGTCAAGGTTCCCCTGAGGCTGAATATTGAAACAGTTAAGGTCAAACCCCACCAACAGATGGCTGGGAATACTTGTGGGGTTACGAGTGGCTGATTGGTCTTCAGGTGCAGTTCGGACAAATGGACTCTCCGTGACCAGACGGCCATAGGTCAGCTTGAGATGGAATAACCCAGTTGCCGTGAAACAATAGTTCATGGGATAGATCGTATTCATTGATGGTCGAATAGGAATACAACCGTAGAGCTTTTCTGGCACAATCACATCAGAGAACAGCTTCTCACTCCGCACATTTGGTTCGTTGCTGCTGTTGTACCTTTCCCCGTTCTCACAACCGAGTCTTCCGGAGATAATGCTAGGACCATGACACAACACAATATGCTACTCATTATGCATATTGTGTGTAGGACAAAATGGGTCTGGCCGAGTTGGTCATCACCAATCAAGACATCACCAGCGGTTGAATGCTCAGGAATGCGGGTATCAAGCCAAACCGGCCTCAACGTTGAGGCACGTGTAACGGTCAGATCCAAACTCGATTCCGTGTTAGCATCAAACCTAAGCTAAAACTTATGGTTGTTCTTGTCTCTAAAATGTCTGTCCCTGGAGCTATCAAGCGAGAATTTCCAGGTACCTGGGAATCTGAGAGCTAGTTTAGTACGCTGACATAGTTATAGTGTCATCTTTAATCGGTCATGACTAGATAAACGAACTCTATTCAAGCTTCTCCTCTCAACCAAGCCTTTCAGCTTAACCTGACTTGGTACTCTCATCGATCGATTTGGCTTTGGCCGACCCAACAAGGCATGCAAAGCATACTGAGCCAGGCAAGCACTGAGGTCCTCCATCACCAACAGTACATGTGAGCGTAATTATGCAGGCGCCTCATGCAAGCGCGATCGCGGTATTCCTGCTGTCAATCAGGGGAATATCATTTGGGGCCGACAACGATTGGTGTTCGCCTGAGAGCTCGTTTCGAATCTTATGCATTAATGCATGGCTTACAGTCATAACTTGCATTTCATGATCTTTAGTCGTTGCTAATCAACCGACTCCTGAGTCTCGCGCCACTGGTGAGAATTGCGACATTTGTGAGGCGCATTGCCCCATCTGTCCACCAACAGAGCGAATGTTGTCAAGAGGGTGTTGCGATTCGCCGTTAGTGCCACTCAGAACAGGAAACGAAATGGTTGGGCTCACAATTTAACCATTTGAGGGTGTGATGGCTTGCCCAGTTCTGTATGCACAACATTCAATAGTCTCGTTTAGGGTATTTTTAGCTTTCGTCGGAGACTATCCTTGGGATAAACTACACCTCGGAATGGAAGCCCGATCCTGATTTGGCCAGATCATGACATCACGTGAGATGTGAAACAGTTGAGTCCTCGTATTGATCTCTACCTGCATTAGTTTGATATCTAAGTTTATTTGACTTGAGTTCATAAACATAGAGAAGACATATCACTTAGTAATGCCTCACCAGAAGCTCAAACTATTGACTTTTAGACACTTAGCCGCATGCAGTGTAAGCCCTAGATAACTATTTTCTACTCATCTCGATAACTAGCCTTTACGAGAGATCACCGATTTTAGCACTTTTTATCGATTAAGAGCCCTTATTGCCATGCTCACAGTCTGTTTCTAGTTATATCCGTTAGTCCTATGCCATCCATTGGTTTCTGCACTCCGGCGGATCCCTAAAGTGGTAGTAATGGAGCTGTGCAACGTGAGATGCACTGCCGAGTTTTACAATCTCGAGTCTTTAATGATTCATGGTAATTGGAGCCAATATGCTCACTCCTTACCCGATTCTGGTCACCACCACCATATGGTAGAAATCGATGCTCTGATTGGAGTTGCATGGAGTTGGTCATCGGTCCCGGGATTCGACTCCAATGCCCGTCGCGGAGAGGTGTTACACGCTATAGGATTGTTTTCGTCAACGACACTAATGCCTGCAGGTGCTCACACAACAACATCATCGCCCTGGTTGAAAGCCATACTCTTCAAGTTGCATCATGTCACTGTATGTAATGATTCTTTTACACCTCGTGTTTACGAATCATCCGCATCTCTCCGTCCTTCCGACTTATTGCGGAGGTTAGCTGATGGCCTATTGGCATGACTCCTCCCTCCATTCACGTCAAGTCGGTACTCACATACTAATGAGATACACTCGTACCATGGTGAAGAGCTGAAGTCCTTACCGATAGAAACCCGAGCTGTGACGTTCAAGCCGTCTGTCGACGTGTCGCAGGATTGGATGATGCACTTGCGCAGGGTGCTAGCTTACCTCGCGGTATGGGTTCCGTATTCCGGTTCATACCCCAACTTCGAACAAGTGTATGGATGTACTCTACGCTTTTCATTACATGTTGGAGGTCTTATGCTATCCTGATATAATTCAGGTTCGTATTGCCTGCCTACTGCTTATGGTAGCGGACAGAAATCCGTGCATCAAATTTGTGCAGTGAGGTCTCTGAAGAGATACTATCTGGTTGAAGTTTCCTCAAATAGATACGAGCTTGCTACCATAATGCTCTATTACTAAGAGACCGACATACACAATAAGTTGAAGTCAACGTGACGTGAGGGAATAACCACCGTACCTCAGAAGCTGTTAGACATTCACTTGTTGTGAGGCGGTTGTTTTACGCTTTCGGATCCTGACACAATCTGTATTCTCTCTGAGGATAATCTTGTTAGAAAAACAGTGAAAAGGAAGCGCCAAAGGCTTTAACCATCAGATTGCGATATTATCATTGGGAAACGGAGTAGTAAGACGAGCTTAAACCAGCAAGCTATGCTATCGGCTGCATGGTTTTCGTCGGAAGAGATTGTTCAGTCCAGGCCTTATTATTATGAGAGTCTGAACTTTCCACGGACAGAGCTCACTGTTCCCAACCATTCATTACAACATTATCCCAGCCCAGAGTATCACAACTGATTGTACCCTTGAACTTTTGGTACTTATTTCCAGTAAAAATGATATAACCCATACCTGACTGAATCGAGTCCGGTGGTGAGTGTTCTTCCGAACCTTCATCCGATTCAGGCTGTACAAGTATATTTCCTCTCTATTATAGCCAGAACTTTGGTTGTCGGAATGTATTCTTCTCGAAATTGTTAGACCTCAGCTCTTCTGTGGTCTCATAGCCCTGTCGCTCTGTCGGGCGATTATCTTCATGTTCCAATATCTCAGATGATTGCTGTTCAGGGCAGGTCTCATGTTGCTCATCCTCATCGTCAGAGTTATCTGTTGATTTTCCCTCGAGAGGATTTTTATGGCTTTCAGCCTCGCTGTCTGGGTCCTCCGAAATATTAGCCCTAGCCAGGACATCCTGTAGTATCTTCCGGCTTCCTGCCATGACAAAAGAAGCATCCAGAACGCCGGGTAGAAATAGTTCGCCTATCAACCCATCATCCTCATTTGTAAACCGCTGGATCTCAAGCCGCGGCGAGTCGGCATGGTGACGTCTATGCTTTACATGCCTTTGATGTTTGCCTAGAGTGCGATTGCATTGAGAGGAGCGAATGAGGCCATGAGCTTTGGGGCATTTAAGTTGGTATAAACCGAGTATTCTTGTGATGTTGGAGGGGCTGGTTACCTGCGATATAAATTTGCGTGCATTCCGGTTGTGAACGCTTCGTGAAGAGAGCATTTCCTGCAGCCAGCTTTTGTCAAACCGCCGGATGCCAATTAGCAGGGCATTTTGGTCAAAGGAGCTGCTTTTCCTAAAATAGAAGAGTTATATAATATTTTACCCCTTTTTTAGAGATTAGCTAGGCTATATTAAAAAGGCCTTAATTAGATAGTTTACTTAATTAATTAATAGTTTAATAATTAAAAATCTTAAAGCTAGATTTTTAAAAAGATAATTATAATTATAAGAAATAAATTATTAATTAATAAATTAAATTAATATTTAAATAAATAATTTTTAATTAATATAATAATTTAATTTAATTAAATTAAATTAAGCTATATTAGGTTTATTATTAGTAAATAATATAAAGTATATATTAAATATTATTAAAGTAATATATTTCTTAATAATAGATTTAATATATATTAAGCTTAATTAATATAAAAAAGTTATATTAATAACTAATAAGCTAGAAGTTATAAAAGTATTAATAAATATAATTTATATATTTATAATAACTTATAATAATAAGTTAGTACTTATATATAAGCTATAAGTTTAATTATAAGTCTTATTAAATAGTTTATAATAAAAATAAAAAAAAAGTATAAGTTATTAATTAATTAAGGGAAATTTATAAAGTATCTATAATATAATTACTAGGATTATAATATAATATATCCTCTTTATTAGGTCTTATCTATTATAATCCTAGCAGTTATATTATATATACTTTATATTTTTCTTTTAATTATAAATAGTTACTATATACTAGGGGATTTTGTAAATAACTGCCAAGATCTAATTACTAATATTTAACTAAAAATAGTAGTAATTCCTAGAAGTATTAATAACTATAAAAAGTACTTAATAACTACTTTTTTAAGCTATAATTATATTTAAGTATATAAAATATATTTATTAATATGTTTATAAGATTTAGCTTATTAGCTATTAATAAAATATATTTATATTAATAAGCTTAATATATATTACTTAATTATTAAAAAATATAATACTTTATAATTACTTAATATTATACTATATATAATTTATAAATATATACTTAATATAAACTAGTTTACTTATTTAAAAACCCTAATTATTATATATTAATAGATCTTATTTAGATAATAATATATAATACTAAGTATTATCTATATAATAATACCTATTACTATAAGCTAAGCCTTAACCTCTAGCTATAGCTAGTAGCTAACTTAACTTAAGATAGCTTATAAAGCTAGGGAAGTTATTATAAATATTAATAATAAAAGAAAAAAAGATATTATCCTAGTATACTTAAATACCTATAAGAATAAAATAAAAAAGCTTAAATAAAAACTCTAAGATTTAAGTATATAATAAAATTATTACAATCCTTATAGTTATGTTATATAAAACCTATAAATTTCCCCTAATTAATTAATAACTTATGCTTTCCTCTTACTTTTATTATAAGCTACTTAATAAGACTTATAATTAGACTTATAACTTATATATAAGTACTAACTTATTATAGCAAGCTATTATAAGTATATAAAATATATTTATTAGCACTTTTATAAATTCTAGCTTACTAGTTATTAATATAACTTCTTTATATTAATTAAGCCTAATATATATTAAACCTATTATTAAGAGATATAATACTTTAATACTACTTAGTTTATACTTTATATAATCTGCTAATAATAAACTTAATATAGCTTAGCTTAATATAATTAAACTTAATTATTATATATTAATAGCTCTTATTTAGATTATATTATATAATATTAAGTAATATAAATATAATAGCTATATTAATTACTTCTATTTAGTAAAATACTATTACTAATATTATCTTAACTTTAGTTAATAATAATTTACTTATTAACTAGGATATAAAAGAAAATAATAATAACTTATTTAAAAGTAATAATAACTCTAATAGTATTTAGCTTTAATAGCAAATTATTAATATAACTATTAAAATAGTAAAGCTTTATTAAATACTTATTAAAGTAATAAACCTCTAAGCCTAATAAGCTAGTAATAACTAGAATAAGCTTTAAGAAATATATAATCTTACTAATATTATTACTTATAATAAAGATACTAAAGGAATCCTTAAGCCTAACCTACTTAAGATATTTAATAAAACTTTAAGTAAACTCTTTATATTCCTTACTTAGTATTAAGCCTTTATATCTTACTATTTAACTTAGTTTATAGAGGAAGTAAATAAAACTAGGTATATATTAGGATACCTTAGGGGCACTGCTATATAATAGTTCTAGCTATTTCTTAAGGACTAAATTACTAAAGGAGACCTAAAAGCCCTTAAACCTTAAACTTATATACTATATACTAACTACCTAGCTTTTAAGAAAGCCTTATAATAAGTATTTAAAACTATTAATAAAAAAGGATAAGCTAAAAGAAAAATTAAAATACTTAAATAAACTTAATTTATATTTAAGCTTAATATAAAATTTCTTTAATTAGTATTTAAATTACCTTAAGATTAAGATATATTTATATTATTTTTCTTTAATATACTTAAAGAACTAATATAAGCTAAATTATATAAAGAAGATTAACTTAAAACCTTAATAAATTATATTAACTAAGTAATTAGAATTAATAATTAATAATTTACTTTAAAAACCTAAAACTCTTAATATAATAAATAATAAGATAATAAACCTTATTATAATACTAATTAAAGACAGAAATATAATAATAATATATCTTATAATATTAAAGTAAGATTAATAGAAATTAAAATAGTTAAATAAAATAAGTCTAAACTTACTTACTAGAACTATAATAAGAAAGGATATAGAGAATTAAAATATAAAAACCTTATTAAAACTAATTAAAAATATAAATTAATACTTAAAGAAAAGAAATATATTAATATTATAAAACAGAATAATAAACCCTAAATAGTAATTAAAATAATTAATATAACTAGAAAGGATAGATATAATATATTTAGTATTAATTTTATTATAACTTTAAAACTACTAGAAGTATATAACCTATTTCTTAATAAGGATAAAACTTTTAAAAAATATTATCCTAACTTAATACTAAAAGAATAACTTATTTTAGGATATAAAATACTAATATTAATAAGAAAAAGAGAAATTAAGGAAGAAACCCTTAAATAAAAAAGACTTAAATATATTAAAGATATAAAAAACCTTAAATATTAAAGAAAATAAAATAAATAATAAAAGGGTTATAGAAATAAGTAAAGTATTTAATAAAAAGAAAACTTAAAATTAAAAATTAAATAATAAGAACCTATACTTATATAGAAAAAATAAAATAAATATAATAAGGTTATTATAATAATTAAAAAAGGAAAAGAAGTTAACCCTAATCTAAATAATAAATTAAATATTAAAGACTTTAACTAAGGTATTAACTAAGTATTAATATAAACCTTTAAAAAGATAAGAATACCCCTTAAGATTTAAGATAGAATAATTATATATAACCCTTACTTAATAGTAAATAATATTCTTATTAGAATTACTTTAAGGTAATTTAATAAATATTATAAAGACCTAGGCTATAAAAAAGTAATTAAGGTATAAAGGGAATTTAATACTAAGAAGATTAAATATAAAGAGGAATAAATAATTTAAAATACTAAAATTATACCTTAATATAATAAACTTAAAAACTATTTTTAAAATAATAAATACTAGAAATATATAAAACTTACTAAAGAAAGAGTAATTATAAAATAAGATAATAATATCTATATCTAGGCCTATATAAAGGAGGTAGTAAAAGATCCTATAACCCTAAAAGAATATATTTAACTAGAAAGAGAATTATAAAGGTATTTATATTACTTAAATTATAAATAGAGATTATAGGTATTATATATATAATATTACTATTTATAATACTAATAAAATAAAGTAATAAATAATTACTTCCTAGTTTAGATTAAAGAGTATTAAAAATAGAAGTTATATTTAATTATTAATATAATAAGATATTAAGTTATATAGAGATATAAAGGATTTTATATAGCCAGGCTTAAAGCTTATATAGAAATATATAAAAGAGCTTTAATATATATTTAAAACTTTAAATATATTATATAATAGAGATAGTAAGTATAATATAAAGTTAACTTAAAAAAAGATAAAGCTATTAATAATAGTATTACTAAAGTATATTAAGATATAACCTAATAAGAAGAAGAACTTTCTAAAGAAGAATCCTTAAAAGATATCTTTAAATAATTTAAAAAAAGAATAACTTTAATACTTACTTATAATAGTAAAAAGGGAGAAAGGAAGACCCCTTATTAATTAAGAGGAAAAAGACCTTATCCTAGACTATAAAATAAGGAAAATAGCTTATAAAGAATACCTAGTAATTATTAATATTAATAAATACCTAAATAACCTATACTATATTTATAGTAAATATAATATAAACTACTTAAGTAAGTAAGGAAAAGGTCTATATTATTATAAAAGAGTAATAGATAAGTAAAGAACTAGAGGAGCTAAAACTCTTAGAAAAAGCTTTATAAATAATAATAAAATAAAATTAAAAAACCTACTTATAACTAAAAGTATAAATTAAGGGCAAGTAGCTTAATATACTTATAGATAGTAAAGTAAATATAAATATTATTTCCCTTAATATAATAAATAAGCTTTAAATATTATAAAGATATAAAGAAAAAGGAAAAATTTATACTCTTACTAATAGAGAAGGAAAATAATTATAAATATAAAAATAAAAAAATTACTAAAGAAATTAATTACCTTAGGGTTTTTATAAATAAAAAAAAACTAAAGAATTAACTTTAATATTATCTTAATAAATAGTTTTAACTTAATACTTAAATACCTATAGCTATAATACTATAATCCTTATATTAATTAGAAATCTAGCTAGATAAACTATAAAAATTATCCTTTAGATAATAAGTTAAATAATTTAGAAAATAATAATATAAGATCTTAAACTATAATTAAAGAGGATAGTAA